AGTTTGTTGATAATGTTTATCTTTATTCAGAATTTAATCAGTGTCTCTGCGCGTCGCTTGCGTTCGCTTTTTATATTCACTTAGGGATTCATAGCGCGTTATCACGTGGAGCGTACGATATAGTGATACCATAGCACACATTGGTAGCGAGCCTATATGGTACTACGTATCATAACCTTGTCTATTCCATCGGATGGATATCATTATCTCCATGGGTTATCCTGGATCATAACAAAAGTGAAGCTCTGGTAAATTACTACCCTCGGAAGTTGGCAATCCAGCATACTTCCGACCTGAACACTGCGGCGACGAATTATCAAAATATTTCATAATCAAAAAAAAAAAAATTCTTACACGAAAGTCAAAACCATCATCGACAGCAATAACAACAACAACAACTAAAGACAAATACCATGAGTAGTAGATTCCTATGATTTTAAGTAAAGAATATCTAAGCAGAAACTACATTAAACTAATAGTACCCATAGTTATATTCCTTGGAATGGGATATTTCAACTATGTGGTTAATTATTCATTAGGTTATAAACTTATTTATAAAAATCATTCTCATGCATCTGGAATTATATTATGGATACTTATGGGATTATTACAATTATCATTATATATCTATTGGATATTAATATTTATTATTGGACCTGGAAAATCACCAATTTTCCCACCTTTAAATATATATAATGAAGAAAATAATGAAAATTTAATATCATTACCTGATTTATTCTTTTGTGATAAACAAGGATTTCCTTATTATTGTTCAAATTCAAATTCAATTAAATTAGAAAGAAGTTTTTATTCAAAAGATATTGGTTATAATGTACTTAAATTTGATCATTATTGTATTTGGATAGGACATCCAATTGGACAAAATAATTATTTATTTTTCATAAAATTTACCATTTATTATTTATTAATATTTATAATATCTTTAATTTATCTTGCTATTTATACTAAAGATTCAATAAATCAAGGAGAAATAGATCATAATTTTATTGTATTGTATATATTTTGTGGATTTTGGATATTAATGATTGGTGGATTATTAGGTGTTCATTTAAGATATATTTGTTTAAATTTAACTACTTTAGATGATATTACTAGAAATCAAAGAAAAAGATATAGTCGTTGGTTAGAATCTCAACAAAATCCTAAAAAATCTTCAATGTTGAATGATAAAGTGGAACCAAGAAGAGAATTGGGTATAAGATATGTTAATATTAAACATGAGAATAATTCTAGAGTTGTCATAACTTATTATATTGATAATATTAATCCATTCAATATGGGTATTAGAAATAACTGGATTAATTTAGTATTCAATGGGAATAGAAATCATGGTCTTGATAATCTGTATTATACTAATATTAGGTTTATTTATTCAATTCTTTATCTATTGATTCCATTCATTGATATACCGATTTGTTTCAAGAATAGGCACCCGTTTAAAGAAGATATAGAACTGGGGGATATTGTTGATTCGAATAAATTACTTGAGATTTATAATACTTATTCAAGTAAAGTTAATGATGAATTTTATGAAATGATTAAATTAAAAATATCTAATGGTGATTTCACAACTCCTGTATATCTACAACATCAGAAATAGTCTATATAATTTAAGTAGTTGATTATTACAAAATTTTTTGCATTCATTTTTTTACATCTTTTTGCATTCGTTATAGATGTTGCGTAAGAGAGATGGAACCTGATCGAAAAAAAAAAAAAAACCAACTAACTAACTAGTCATCACGACTTCTTCTTGATTGCTGATTAATCAACGAAAAAGATTCATAATGGATTTTATTGGAGAGATTATAGAACATGAAACTGAAGTTCCTCAAGAACCTATTCCAATGGTAAATCAAACTGGGTTCCCAGAACCTGGTAAATTAAAATCAAAGAGATTATCCCGTTGGAAACAAAAACAATTAGAAGAAAAACAAAAGAATAATGATGATAAATTAGAAACCAAACATCATGAAACAGAAGCAGAAAAGATTCATAAAGAAAATCTTGAAAGAATGAGTAAGATGTCAAATGAAGAGATTTTACAAGAACGTGAAGAATTACTTCGGGGATTAAATCCTAAATTAATACAAAGTTTAATTAATAAATCCAAAAAGAGAGAACTTCATATGATGATCAACAACAACATGGTGGTCATCATGATATTGGACATGATCATCATGAGCATGCAGAAGGATATAATGGATGGATTGGATCAATGAAGACAGAAAATGGATTAACTGATTTATCACAACTTGATAAAGAAGACGTTGATCGTGCCTTGAGAATAACATCTAATGATGATTTATTTGAAAATGACCAAAGAGATAGAAAAGTTAAATTTGATGATAATATTAAAACAGTAAATGATGAAGATGTAAATGATGAAGATAAAATTGAGTTGGATCCAAATGGTTGGGAAGATGTTGATGATATAAATGAATTAATCCCAAATGCAAATAGTATAGCTCCAGAAGGTTATCAACTTAATCAAGACAACGACGACGATGATGATGATGAAGATAATAATAATACAGTTCATTTTACTAAACCAAAACAAGATGATTTAGATCTTAATGATCCTGATTTTTTTGATAAATTACATGAAAAATATTATCCTGATTTACCAAAAGAAACTGAAAAATTATCATGGATGACTCAACCAATGCCAAAACTTACAACAACTACATATGAATCAATATCAGATATGAGATTTGATTTTAAAGGTAATTTAATTGAATTAAATCTAGAAGAAGAAGAAAAGCAACAACAACAAAATGAATCAATTAATAAAGAAATTCCTACATATTTTGGATTACATCATCATTCAGATAATCCACATATGGCAGGTTATACATTAACTGAATTGGCCCATTTGGCAAGATCAACATTAGCTGCTCAAAGATGTATAAGTATTCAAACATTAGGAAGAATTTTACATAAATTGGGATTACATAAATATAGCATACTTCCAATATCTGATCAAGATGAACCAATAAATGAAGAATTACAACAATTATTGAATAATTTTGAAAATATGATGTGGGATTTAATTGATGAATTACGTATAATTGAAACAATAACTGATGCTGCTGATGAAAAGAAAACTACTAATTTATCAGTTAGAAATTATGCTATTGAAGCATTATGGTTATATAAATCTGGAGGTGGTAGACCTAAACAAAATTCTAAAAATGAATTAGAAGTAATTACAGAAGCTGTTCAACAATTATAGTGATAATTATGTATACACCAATGTATAGTCTTCATTTTTATTATCATCTCATTGAATGAAATTTTCCAAAAATGAAGAAACATAAATATAGAATCAAAGGAAAATCCAATTAATTTCATTATAACCAAGTTTAAAAAGACTAGATAGGTCTAGTAGAATTGTAAGATGATAAATAAACAATCTAGATAACATATCCATCTCAGAACGAGAGGAAGTATCCAAACCATTCATAATATTTCAAAACAATTCCAATCTAATAAAAAACCCATCGTCAAACATCTTCAACTTAGGATCAAACGGTAATAGCAAGAATAAATAATTAGATTCTTTATTGTTCCTTAATAAACTTCACGACAAAAACTGTCATTTCCTTATCAAGTAAAATAAAAAAATAACCAATATAAATTCAAGTTGACAATTTCAAAATTAAAAGGTTTCAACAATATAAAAAAAGATCAATAGAAATGTATCATCTTCAGAACGAAGAGATAATTCTAATGAAAATTTAAACAGAATATCCACCTTTAATATAAAAATATATCAAACCTAATTTTGATCAAATGAATTAAAAGAATGTCCCCTTTATTAACTGACTCATCCATTGTGTATTAATTGTTGATTTCCGCATATTGACACATTACACCGATGGCTCAATAATAAATTATTGATAAGATTAATTCATCTTGTATCGGGCAACTTAAGTTTATGCGTTTTGAAAACGTATCTTGGAAATAAAAATGATAATGATGAAATTAAAACAATTGAATTATATATATATATATGTATGTATGTATATTGATAGATATACAAGTAAAAAGTTGTTGTTGAAAATATGAAATTAAAGAAAAAGAAAGTGAATAACAAAAAGTGAAAAAAAAAAAATTTCATCTCTTCGCTTTCTTCATTTAAATACTTCTTAGGCTCCCCGTGACTGCATCACGTGACATGGTGATACAATCAAGAAGTGGTTGCACCATAATCATTGGTTCTGTTATCATGGCCATCACCTCCAATTGCAGCATAAGTAGCACTGTAAGGATAAATCAGGATGATATAATAACAATGTAATAAACCTGGGAAGAATCCTAATATACATAACAAGATATTAATCCAAAAATCAGCAGAAAAGAAACCTCTTTTAATTAAAACAGGTACTGGTGGAACTATATTCAATCAAGGATATTCTGTTAGTAAATATTTATTAATTTTCATTGTCAAAAATAACAAGATAAGAAATAAGCTAATTAATTACATACGGAAGAATCCCACAAATACAAGAAACCAGTCATGACCATCCATCGTTGTTGAAAATTAAAATGAATAATAGTAATGCTAATAATATTAATATTAATAAACACTTGATATGATATAAAGTCGATTACAAATCAATCTTTATCAACACGTTATCTTGTCTATTTGATTTTTTTTTAGTTATTCGGTGATTTCCTTGCCCTTTATAAATAGATAGCAATCTTAAAAAACAAAATAGTATTACTGGTCGTTCACTTTGACCAATGTCGTATGTCGTAACTAAATATGCATCACGTGATGCGACATTTATTGATGGGAAAATTTTTGGCAACGAAACGAAACGGAGAAAGAAAAATTATCACCAACATGACAAAACCCTAACCCATTTTATCAGTATAATCCCTCCCCCCAATCAGACAGGACAGGACAGGATAGATATTACTAAAATGAAACTTAATTTATATATAATTGTTAGTTATTTCTTATGTCTAACGTCGGCTGTATTGGTCAATGAAGCATTTGGGTCACGTGAAGCAGTCAATTATTTATATGGGCAAGATTTAAAGAATTTCCATTTATTGAAGAATAATATTCTTGTTGTTACCAATTCATTTGATCAATTATTAGGAATTGATGTGATTCATGATGATTCAATTTTATGGAAGATTCAATTAAATGATTTGAAAAGTAATAAAATAGTATCAACTGATTCTAAAATCTTTGTTTATGGTTCAACTTATGAAATTTTTCAAATTGATTATCATGGTCATTTGGAAATTATTGATATTGGATCAATACCTAAAAAATTATATGGTATTAAAAATGGGATTTTAATTATTGATTCAGAAAATAATTTGAAATATTATGATAGTGATAAAAAAATTTTGCCTATTCAATCAGATGTATCATTTATACGTGTTGATCAAGATTTAAGTGGTACTTTTGTTATTATTAATGATAAAAAATTGATTAAATTTTCCAAAATTGGTAAAATATTATATTCAATTGATTTAGCTGTTGGATCAATTAAAGAATTTAAATCAGGTATAATCTTGACTGAAAATGATCAAATTTTCAAATTCAATGAACATGACAAGGCATTCAAAAGAATTGAAAATGATTCTTTTAAAAATTTGGTAATTATTGATAAAGATAATTTATATTCTACATTATCTGAATCTTTACAATTGATTAGAATTAAAGATAAAGCTGCCACTTTGGTTGATGTTATCAAAGTCAAGACAAACTCTAAAATTGATTTATTTTCTACTCCATTGAATGAATTTATTGGTATTTCTAATGGTAATATTAAAGATTTTTATGATTTAACTGATTTTATTGAAACTAAGGATTCAAAAAGTATCAAACATTTTATTTTCAAAGTAGCTAAAGATTTCCCATACAATTTTATCACTATTGAAGACAATCAATTGAATCTTTTATCCATGGATACTAACTTGTTTGGAGAATTGTTCAACTTGGCTGATGGATTGAAAGTTAAGAATATCACACCAAAATATCATCAATATTCATCAAAGCTGAATAAATATTTGATTATTGATGAACCAGAATCAGAATTGGCTAAAAGTGAATATGAACTTATTTTACATGAATCAGATAGCAAATTCATCTTGACAAATTGGGTTCATAGAGTTGTTAGACATTTGGGTGAATTGGGTAGATTTATCACTAGTCTTGATTACAAGAATTTGTTTACTTCACAAGTTGACTCTATTAAATTTGTTAAATTGATTGTTTTCTACGATGAAGATCATCGTAAATTAGTTTCTGTTAAATCCAATAACTTTGATATTGCCTGGGAATTGCCAATCAATAAAAGTGGGGATTTTATTGCCTTGGCCCAAACTGGAAATGAGGAAATCACTATCGTGTTCAAATCTTTAATTGTTAAAGTCAATTCTAGAAACGGTACTGTTATTGACCAGAAACCAAATGATGGTGGGTACACTGATGTATTCCAAGTTCAAGATGCTTTGGCTTTTGAAAACAAAAACGGGTTTACTTTAGTTGGAAATCTTACAGAAAATGTTTATTTCAGAAAAGCAATCAACAACGATGAAATTGTTGGATATGTTATTTCTCCAGGATCAACTAAATCTGCACAAACATGGTCATACAAGTTTGATGCACAAATAGTTTCTTGGACAAACATTCCTGCTGATTCCACTACATCTTCTTTAGGTATACCGTTGGCTAATAAATCAGTATTGTACAAATACTTGAACCCAAATACTATTTCCGTTTTGACATTCAAAGATGGTGTATTGAAATTTTATTTGATTGATGGTATTAGTGGTAACTTGTTGTACAGTCAAACACACAATTCAGGAGAAACTATTGACCCAACCTCAGTTAATCTTATTATGGATGATAATTGGATTATTTATTCCTATTTCACTATTCAACCAAGATTAGAACAAAGAATTAATGTTATAGATTTGTTTGATTCAGAATATTCCCCAGATGCTAATAAGAGTTCTATCAATGTGGCTAAATTTTCTGCTAAATCGTTTGTCTATCCAGAAAGAATTTTGAATTTACAAAATACTAGATCAGTTTATGGTATTACATTGAAATCAATTGTTGCCTTGACAGAACTGGGTAATTTAATTGAAATTCCTAAATTCATATTGAATAGTAGAAGACCAGAAAATGATGTTAATAAAGAAGAATATGCTAACGATTTCAATATGGTTCCTTATGATCCAATTATTGCTAAAACTAATTTACAAATATTAAATCATAAATATCAATTGAAAAATAATGGAGAAATCTTGATTAAACCAACTTCTTTTGAATCAACATCAGTTATTTGTTTCTTTAATAATGAGAATCAATATTGTGGTTTAATTCAACCTTCTAATTCATTTGATTTATTAAGTCAAGGGTTTGATAAAGTTAAATTATTGATTACAATTGGTATTTTATTAATTGGGTTCATTGCTTCAAAACCATTTGTTTTCAACAAGAAACTCAATGCTCAATGGTTAGACCGTAAATAGAATATGATGTGTTGTTTCTTAACATATATATATATATATTAAGTCGCATTCTATAAAAATATGGATTCATTAGTTTTCATATAATCAATTATACTTTGATTCGTTGTTGTAAAGTTACTTGAATGTAAGTTATGACTATTTTCATCACGTTGGTTTTCATAAATTAACCAAATCAATTCATAATTCAAACTACCAACAAGATAATTCTTCATTCTACTTATTAAAAAAAATGAATTTTGTTTTGATGATATAAATGAATTATCCAATTTATTAAATTTTTCAACAATTTTAGCAATTTTAAAATTCATAAATTCCCAATTTTCATCATATAATAAATATTTATAAATTTTATTAAATCCATTTTTAATTAATTGATAATCTTGTAAATTTTCTAATAATGGAGATTTAAAAATTCTTAATAAAATTAAAATTGTTAATTCAATTGGAAATTTATAAAAAATAGGCAATTGTTGACATAATTTCCTTCCATTTATATTAGTTTCAATTAAATTGATAATTTCAAAACAAACATTCAACAATTTATATAAATAAATTTTATATTCTTGTAATGTAATATCAAATTTAGCCATGGCATTAATAAATAATTGTAATTTTGAATAATAAATTGAAATTTTAATAAGATTAATATTAATTAAATCATCTTCATGATCATCAAATCTTGAATTGAAATTTTTCTCTAAATCATTAATTATAATTTCAAACATTTTAAAATTAATGAATTTTGAAGTATTAACTTGATTTGTCAGCATCAAGATTGATTCATTTGAATTATTAATTAAATTATTAAGATTTTCATTTAGTTTAGATTGAATTATTGATATTTTCAACATGGAATTGATGAATTTATCTGCTTGACTTAATTTCAAATCATTTTTGAAAAAATCGATATTTGATGATTTATTAATGATATAATCTTGAGTGAATCCATTATAATTATTATTTGAAACTCCTAAATTAATCATCCAATAATTTGAAATAACATTGACAAATTTATAAATTCTTTCTCTAATTAGATTATTTAAATTAATTTCACGAGAAATATTCATCTTGGTCTTGTGACTAAATTCATCGATAAATTCCAATTTATGTAATCCAAATTGATAAGCCAATGATTTCATAGTTGATATAAATTTAATTGATAAATTATCTTCAATATTATTCTTATAATTTGGTAATGGCCAAGTTGTTAAAATCAATAATGATGAAATAACATATACTGATCTAGGAGTATTTAACCAACATTTTTTAACAACCAAATATTTTATATGTTCTGATAAATCACGATATTGTTTATAAGCATCTTTTTTATTCAAGAAAGAAGTCAAGATTATACTCCAAAATAATAATTCATTCTCTTTATAAAATTCAACAAGATCCAAACTAGTGAAAAATTCATCAGGGAAAATAGGTAAATAATGGTTGAAATTTGTTTCATAATTTGAAAATAAAAGTATAGCTTGTTTGTGTGTTAGACTAACTGGATCATGTTGTTTATTACATTGTATGGTGAATTTGGAACTGTTGTGGGGTAGGGTATATTCAATATCTAGGCATGTAGGTTCAGGGGTAGTTGCAGGGGTAGACAAACATGATTGAATTTCTGCCACTGGTGGTGTAAGTACATCACTATCATGCATTTCCTCGTCTTCACTATGTTCATTAACATTATCTTGTTTTTGTTCTTCTTCTTCCTCCTCTTCCTCTTCCTCTTCTTCTTCTTCGCCTTCATCTTCATCATGAGTGTCTTCCTCGTAGTGACCATTATAACTAATTTGTGTATTATCTAGTAGTGTTGGTACTGATGTGCTAACATGTTCTATCAGTTTACCAACTTTGATTAATAGATTTATTATTTCATTTCTTCTAGTAATGACGTTATTTAGTACTTCTTTTAAATCAGATACTTCATATGATAATTTTTCAAGTATATCCAATGATTTTGTTCTACCACCAGTTTTGGTGATGGTCTCCAATGTACAATTTAGGTTCTTTTTAAAACAATGTGAACATGGTAGTGGGTTGGTTTCAAGGGCGTCACATTTAGTCTTGTGTTGTCGACATCTTGTACATGTTTTTAGTATCTTCCCACCTTTTGGAGCTGGGGGTATTATTAATTTCAAACGATTTTTAGAAGGGAAAGATGCCATGATCATAGTGGTGGTATAGATGATAAAGTGTATGGTATGAATCAAAGATCTAACAAAAAGAAAAAAAAAACACGGTAAGTAGTTCTAAGTAAAAATCTAACACAGACAAAATTTTAATTAATTGACAAAAATGGTCCTTTTTTAGTTTTATATTTATTCCCAATTCAATTAGCACCTGTACGCTGTACCTGCACCTTGCTGGTAATGATAATATATAAATATCAAATGTATCAAGAGTGTTGTGTGGTGTGACCCGTGAATTTTTTTTTTCTTTATTGTAAAGGCTTGTCTTTGAGTTTTCTTTTTTTTTGGTTGCCGCGTAATCAAAATTCTGTGCACGCTGATTGGTCAGGTGACCGGTCACCGAACATCGCACTTTGACCGAACTTCGATTTTTGCACCCAATTTTCCACATCCTACGGTTTATTGTTCAAAAATAAGCTTATGGCAGAATTCCTTTACCCAATCCCGTCGATTCCTTTAAGATTATCCTACGTTTCATAATATATTAGCACAATAGGCTCTTCTTTACTTGCATTATTTTTGACACGCATTTGAATTTTAACTCAGTCTCCATCGTTTGTATTATTCAATTTGAATCACCTTTTCATGAAGCTCATTGATTATTGGGGTTGAAGAAAACTATTGGACACCGCTATCCCAAGAAACTTGTACAAAAGATCTAGAACTAAGAAAAACGTCTATCCCCACTTCTAAGAACCGATAAGTTTCAGTGAGCTATACTTAAAAAAAAAAGAGAAAAATTTCTTGGGATATACCGAGACTGTAACCAAAAACTGAAGATGATACGATACATGATGAAACGCATATCGTTCCTTAAAATTCTTTGCATCGTCTTTCTCACTCTCCCCTTTTTTTTTATCCCAATTGTCAAATCAAAACCTTTCTAAAAATTTCTCTTTGTTGTATTTCGATCATTTCCAGATACGGACTGTAAGAATTGTTGAGTTGACTACGATAAGGAATCCCGACTTTGGCATTTGCTTTAAGCTTTTTTTTATTGTAAGCTGTTGTTTTATTTGTGTGAACTTTGTTGCAGATAAGTGGGATGGCTAGCCAATAATGACAGCTCCGAAATAATCAAATTTCATCTAAATCATTGTGCCACAATATTGAATATTTCCTAAATGGAACACTCACCCACAGTTAAAAATAGACAAAAAGAATACATTTGCGAACACGTTGACTTAAAATGTACAATATCGGCCATTTACAACTGTCCAATCAAACGTGCAGGAAGTGTACTTTAATTCACTACATCTGATGTTGTGTTCCTCCGATCTAATTTATAGAAGCTTGTATTCGTCCACTTCAAAACCCCGCAATTGGTGTTTTGATTTACCATTTATTCTGAGGTAGTGTGATGTTGTATCACGTGAGTGCTGGTATATTTCCGATGAGCTATCGCAGCAACAGAAAACTCCCAAATCAAAAAAAAAAAAAAAATCAAGGTACAGATTAACTTGACCCTAGGATATATACACCATCAAACATTATATATACTCATGTCCAGCCGAATAGGAACCCCTAGAAATGTCACTGAATCTCCAACTCCAGAGGACTCATCCAATCGTCAGTCTAATTCACTGAAACTACAAGGCAAGCAATTAAATCAGTCAGAGTTGAAATTGTTACATTATTATAATCTATCACACGCTGCTGCTGGGACTCCTATAGGGAAAATCTATTCATCTTTATTCCAAAAGGAACAAAAATTTAGTAAATATGCATTCCCACCAGTGCTATCGCAGAAGTTTTGTTTACAATGTGGTGATTTGTTCATACCTGGGGTGTCTGTCTTGATAAAAATAGTCGATGCTGAAGACGATAATAAGGTTCCATGTAAAAAACTAAGGTTTAGTTGTATGGCATGTGGAAACGAACAATTTGATGACGAGTTGATAAAAGAGAAGGAAGTGGTGAAACCAATTGCACAAGATAAATCAAAGGACAAACCTACAGATAAACCTGTCAATTCTAAAGCAAAGGAGAGAACAAAGAAAAGAAAGATGAATAACAATTTAAGCAATTTATTACATGAAAAGAAGAAACAGAAGGAAGAACAAACAAAATTGAATTCTTTGAATTTAATGGAATTCTTAAAGTGAGTTTTGCATGAAATAGATTATAACGGTAATAGATAAATACAAGCCCAATTGAGATTATGCCCAAGTTTGAAGTTGTTCATAGAAGTCAATCCTCTTGTTTTCGGCATTACCAATTTGCTGACAAGCATAGTAACGAATTTCATCAACCATAATTGGATGTCCGCACGTGACAAAAGCAACTGATCCACTTGATTCAGCAACTTCATCAGCAACTATACTTTCAATAGATGGACGACCTTCTCTAAACTCAACATGAGATAAATCGGATGTTATGGATTCACTTCCAGTATCATTATCATTTTCCTTTGATTCATACTTCTTATCATGCGAATCTCTATCAGATGTTGGTCTTGTCACATAAACTGTTGTTTGAATATTGGTGTTCTTTAATACCGCAAGTTCATCATGAAACCAAATCAACGAAGGATAATCTCTGATAACCCAAAATAACTTCATAGTTTTCTTGCAATCATTAGGAAATCTTCTTGCCATGTCCATTACTTCAGAATAAATACCAGGAATACCATTACCACCAGCAATAAAAACCGCAGAATCTGCATATCTAGCGGGAGTTGGCTCACCATATGGACCTTCAACGGTAACTCTGACCTTGGCTGTTTGTCCAGGTTTTGTAGCAAGCATTTGATACAATCCATGAGTTACACCACCTTTAACACGACAATACAAAACAATGTTTTCATCATCTGGGGTGTCAACGAAGGTAAAGGGATGGGATTGCCAACAATGAGAAGGTCTAATGAAATATATAAAAGCGTGGCCACCTGGAATAGATTTCCAATAGCGTGGTTTTGGAATAACAACTCTTAATGTTTCATTAGCTAATAAAGTAACTTGAGCTTGAGGAAATCCAAATGCAATTAAACGACCAATTCTTACCAACCGATCAAAACACCAAACGGCAACGGCTGGATAAACAAACCAAACATAACCCAAAATGTCAACATGAACCCAAGTGCCACCAACGAAGATAGCAGCCATGAGAATATGGATCAACAAGAATATCTCATACCAACGTCTTCTAAAAAAAAGCATTCCTTGAAACCAGATGATACCCCCAGCAACTGTGGCTAAAACCCCATTCCAAAAATATTCGTCTTTCGCTTCTCTAGCATAACGACCCTTTAACAATATAGTATATGCTATTGCGTGAACTAAAACCAACAATAACATTACTCTGGCGATATGACGATGGAAAGTTATAAAAGTAGCAAAATTAATTCCAGTTAACCATTGTAAGAAATTATTTCTCCCAGCAAAAAGAACAAGAAGTGGTACCATCATAGTTGCAACTATTCCAGTACGGTCAGCAATATAAGTCAACTTGGCGGCAGATTTGGATGGATAGACCGGGTCGTTTTCCACATATCCAGTTCTAATGGCATTGACAAGTATAGTGAGTCCATAAAAGAGAAAAACGATAATGGTTTCAAATCTAGATGGAATAATAAAATCAAAAATCTTCAAAAATTTTTGCTCTTGAGCTTTCTTCTTTCTGATTGTAGCAGGCATGAATATATACTTTCTCCAAGCATTAATAGGACCAAATGTCATTTTCTTTGTGAAATTGGGGAACAAAAACTTCATCCAATGGGAAATACCATAAATCATCATGACCAATAACCAGTAGCCTAAAACAGAAGCAGAATAATATAAGGAATCATCAAAATTTGCTAAATATTTTCCATATGCCTTTTGGTATAAATCCATTTGTTGTGGAGGAATCTTGAAAGGAACATTAATTGGTCTTGTTCTATTGAACCCTGGGATTTCTTTGGCAGTTTTTGCATTTTCAAGAAAATAATCATAATACTTTCCAAACCAATCATTAGGAAGAGTAACACTCCCTTTTTGCAAACAAGTATCAGAAAAAGTTTTAAGTGAACCAGTAGTATTTCTATTACCATAAGCCAAACAACCAGCATAAGTTGCCATTGCATTCTTGTCGGTACATAAACACCTGTAATCTGACCTTTTACAATAAGTAACAGATTTTCCAATTACAAAGTCACAAACGTAAAATCCCATAGCAGGACGGTAAAGAATATATGGAGCTCCTTTACCTTGTTTTCCAACAGCAACAACAGTTGCAGCAAAAAATGCCGTAACTAAATAGTAGTAGATGAATCTCATAGAATCTTTGATTTTAAATGAATGATTTTGAAAACTTGTTTAAATAAATAAATAGAAAAAAAAAATGGAATAGACTCTGGCTTTTTATAGTGACAAGGATTTGGGGGAACTATTATAAAGTGTACAATTCTTTTGCGGTAATTCACCAGTAACGAGAATGTCTTGTATCACGTTTTTTTTTGCTTAACTAGACTAATTCTGTCATCGGATATATCTGAAATAAGCTACATTACATGAAGTATGTTTTCATTAAAGATTTACAATTTTGTGACTTGGTGATTGATTATTCAATACTAGTTGTCTTAAGTTGAGATAAAGCCCGGATCGAGTTTTTTTCATGATTTTCAAGTAAACAAATACACATTGATAATAAATTAATTAACTCATTCTTCATTTCTATTTCTCACAACCATTCAATCTAAAAAATGCTGCAAAATTTATTGGTTTTACACTTTTTATGACTACTATTTCCGTGACATGTGTTTTTAACATATCCAACGTGTGCTTCTTGAAACAGAGCATTTAATTTTAATTTATACATCAAAGTAAGATCTCTTGGCTAGGGTCCTTATCAAAATAATGTGAAGTAAGACAATGGTTTATTGGGTTCTATTCTCGGCATCTGAAATTATCTTGGTATAGCAATTCAAGGTATTTGATTTTACAAAGACATCAATAAACTTTCGTAAAACTTTCAATAAATCAAAGGCGATGGGTTCTTAACTCTTAACAAAATCAGCCAATTGAAACCAAATCCGAATAATATAAGACACGTATAAATTAAATAGTGGTTATTGTTATTCTGCATTTAAACTTATGTTATCTAAACAATGACCATCAAGACGGAGAGAAAGAGGATTATTAGGTATTCCAAATTCTAAACTTTCTTAGTCAAATCAAAATCTAATTGGTTGACTAATTATTTTTGTAGTACGAAACAACGGCTGAAAAAAAAAAAGAGATAAATTTGCTCAGGTTATGATACTTTTAAAAGGATACGCCGGCATGAGTCGGATAGCGCTACCATCCGATGGTTGATTTTCTCGTGCCGGGATAATTACTAGTACATTTGTTTGCTTTTTCTTTCTTTTTATCATTTTTATCAGATCGATCAGTCGGCATTAATCTTGAAGCCTCCACTATTGTTCTTGGTATATACATTTTTTAGTGCTCTTGCGTTTTATTATAATTATAAAATCCAGCCAATAGTAAACGGCTCAATTTCGGAAATCCATCAAGGAGCAAAATTGAATAGTTATGTACTATTTATGAGTTCCCTCCCCCCCCCAAACCTTGTGAATACCAGCTACTTGAAAGCGCGGTTAAATGGTTATGGTTAATAAGGACAGAAAAGAGGTGTATGAAACTATTAGCGATCATTATTTCGTGAATCATCTGATGATTTAGATAGTAATTTGTTAATTTGTTCTAAATTAATCTTTTGATTGATTTAGAGACTACATTTAAATGTTCTTTGATTAATTGTCAAATATGGTAGATTTGTATCAGTAAAGATTACAATTGGGTAAGACATATCAATTATGGTAATTTGAATTTTGTGTTGAGCTTCTAGGTTATCGAAGTATACGAACTCCTTGGCAGGGATTGTGACCAAATCAAAAGAATTGTATACTGGTTACAAAACTAAAATGAAGCAATATTATGAAGCTAACAACAATCTACACACAACAACAGAAATCTATATTATAGTAATGAATTGGGCCTCAAATAGTTTAATGGTCAATTAGAGTATAACTAAAAATCAATTTGAGCTCATTTTGTTAAGTTTTGCGCGGAAAATGTTGGTGTCCTTGTATATTCTACAGTCCATAATATATATGTAAAATGTCTGCTATATTACTTGAAAATGATCTTTTAGGTATAATATTTGTTATAATCAAATCTCAGGTTGAATAAATGAATTTTTCAATGTTGGCTGTAGCTTTTCATTTAGACATGAGTTTTACATGAATTTTTTTGCCAATTTATGATAAAACTTGGAACCTGCCACATACTCCAAGTGAATCTCTTAAAATAATGCCCATCTTTCCATCTTTTAGTAAACAACACTCGGGGTGAATGATCCATGTGGTTGGGCTGCTCAATTGGTGCTGGTAGAAATGAAGTGATGCACCAAGGTAAGACACTTCTCTATTATGACGGGATTGGTATAACTGCACGACTTTGTCCCACCATTCATGCTTACATAATCAGACACTCAAAAAAGTTTTCCTCCTCGATGTTGCTGCCCATAGGAATATCGATAATTTTAACGACAGACACAGCGTTTACTAACTTTGGTGAATCCGAGTCAAAGGAGTCAATTATTAATACTAGTGTTACCATAATTACCAATGCCAGCATTAGTCAGCGAGCAGATTGCATTAAAGTTCACACAGCATTCCATTGCCAGCACCGAACGACTCGATCTGCTTTACGTGAGTCATTTCCTTGCAGTTCAGATCTACCAAATAAGCTACGAATCTAGATGATGGTGTAGTCTATTTTTGGCGTCCACGATAACACAGATCTACAAAGCAAGAAATGTAAAATTAAAATATAAATTGTACATTAAAAAGACAAAACAAAACAGTATAACTAAAGGCAAACTAACTGTGGCATTGACAAATCATGCCCATATTTGAAGTTGTTCATAGAAGTCAATCCTCTTGTTTTCGGCATTACCAATTTGCTGACAAGCATAGTAACGAATTTCATCAACCATAATTGGATGTCCGCACGTGACAAAAGCAACTGATCCACTTGATTCAGCAACTTCATCAGCAACTATACTTTCAATAGATGGACGACCTTCCTTAAACTCAATATGTGATAATCCTGATCTGATGGACTCCTTATCTTCGTCGTTACTCTCCTTGCCTTCCAATTTCTTATCGACATCACTTGATGATGACACTTCTGGTCTTGTAACATATAATGTGGTGTGAATGCTGGTGTTTTTCAAAGCTGCAAGCTCTTCGTGGAACCATGTCAAAGACGAGTAGTCTCTGATAACCCAGATCAATTTCAACACTTTACTAGAATCAGCAGGCAATCTTCTGGCAATGTCCATCACTTCAGAGTAAATACCAGGAATACCGTTACCACCAGCAATGAAGACAGCAGAGTCGGCATATTTGGCAGGAGTTGATTCACCATATGGACCTTCAACAGCAACAGTCATTCTAGTAGTTTGACCAGGTTGTTTGGCCAATAATTGGTATAAACTGTGTGTGACACCACCCTTGACCTTACAATACAAAACAATGTTCTTGTCGTCTGGAGTATCAACAAATGTGAAAGGATGGGACTGCCAGAAATAAGTTGGTTTGACAAAATGGATGAAAGCATGGCCACCTGGAATAGACTTCCAATAGCTTGGTTTTGGAACGACAACTTTTAAAGTATCATTAGCCAACAATGTAATTTCAGCTTTAGGGAAACCAAAAGCAATCAATCTTCCGATTCTAACCAAACGGTCAAAACACCAAACAGCAACAGCAGGATAAACAAACCAGACATACCCAAAAGGTTCGACATGAACCCAAGTGCCACCAACGAAGATAGCAGCCATGAGAATATGGATCAACAAGAATATCTCATACCAACGTCTTCTGAAGAAAAGCATAGCTTGAACCCAAATAATACCACCAGCAACCGTGGCAAGGATCCCCCAGTAGAACCAAGGTTCTACAACCTCGGCCCTATACCGGGGTCCTCCTAATGCTATAGTATAGCCAACGGAGTGAATAACAACCAACATGTACATAACCCTAGCAATGTGACGGTGGAAAGTCATAAACGTGGTGAAAGAGATACCAGTTAGCCATTGGAGGAAGTTGTTACGACCAGCAAGGAGAATTATTAATGGGATTTGCATGGTAGCAATTATACCTGTTCTATCTGACACGTACTTGATTTCAGCTTTGTACTTGGATGCGAATAACTTATCTCCCGGAACATATTGGATATCCAAAGCATTGACAAGAATAGTAAGTCCATAGAAAAGGGCAATAACAATGGTTTCAAATCTGGTTGGGATTAAATAGTCAAAAAGTTTCAAGCAGCCCTGTTCCTGTGCCTTCTTCTTTCTAAACGTAGCAGGCATGGAGATGTATTTTCTCCAGAGGTTGATTGGTCCACTAGTAAGCTTCTTGGTGAGTCCTGGGAACAAAAACTTCATCCAATGAGGAATGGCATAGAGAATGAAAACCAATAACCAATACCCCAAGGTGGCAGCACTGTAATATAAACTGTCATCGTAGTTGCCCAAATAGCGGTCGTATCCAGCCTGGTACAAATCCATTTGAGCAGGTGGGAGCTTGATGGGAACATCAATTGGAATTGATTTGTTGAACCCTGGAATTTCGGTGGCAGATTTGGAATTTTCCACAAAATACTGGTAAGATTCTTGGTACCAATCTTCAGCAAGTGTGACATTACCATTATCAAGGCAATACTCAGTGACGAAATCAATAACATTTGTGGAGTTTCTATTATTGTGGGCCAAACAACCAGCAAAGGAAGCCAAATAGTTCTTGTTGGCACATAAGCAACTGTAGAGTGGTTTTTCACAGTATGTCACAGATCCTCTGAGCTGCAAATTGCATGCATAAAATCTAGTGATTGATCCATAATAATGATAAGCAGTCTCATCCTCTTCTGCAGTTGCACGAACTACAAATAATGCAGCCACTAAGTAATAGTAGATAAAATTCATTGATTTTGTGTAGTAGTATGATTTGAATTAGTACTTCACGAGGCTTTTTCAAAACTTTGTAATACCACAAGAAGGAGGAATATGCATGTATTTTATATTTGTCCATTTAATACAATAAAAGGGATTATTTGGCTACATAATTCCGTCATTCCTAATGACCAACAATCTGTTTGAAAATTTTTCTCTTTACCTATTCTTGTTGCTAATACCTGCAATGTTTTTTTTTAAAAATCTAGTCCTTGATTGGCTGGAGTTATAAGGAGAGCAAAAGCAAGGTTGTTAATTTTATTTTATTTTGAACGATTACTTTTGTGCTTCTATTGTTTATTAAAATTGTACAATTTTATCTGATTGATCAGAGGCTACACTTAATGTATGGGGAAATAAAATAACATGAGTAAGGCAAATAGATTTTCTATTGTTGCATGTTAGAACTTGAAAATGTATATTATTTTTTTAGCAATCCGACTCCCTGTAAACAATCACAACATATATTGTTGTCTTTGTCAATAATGAAATTTGTTTCCCAACAAGCTATATATCCATGTAGAATGGGAGACGAAACAAAAAAAAAAAATGCTGCGAAATAACAATAATTCTTTGTCTTTGTATTCCACATGGGTCTGGGGAAGGGTGGCTTCTTCTCGTGTCTATCATGTCATCCAAGAAATTAGTTTTTCAAATCATGAGGAAGCAAACGTTATCTATTCAAAATTTGAAACCTTAAACAGGAAATAATAACAATAAGAAGAAGAACCACAATAATTGTTTGTGGGATCGTTAGTTCATGACTCTGGAACGGAGATTATCAAATGAATGAAATAAAATTGTACCGTTCCATTTTTTATTGTTCAAGTTTCACAATGTATTATTGATCTGTTGTTTTCTCGGCATTCATATGTTCTTCTTTTTTATTTTCATTTTCATTATCATTAGTCAAATGATTATGAGTGTAAGGCGATTGATGTAAGAACAATGACTGACGATTTGGGCAAATTGTAATGGTGAGAATAACACAATAACAAAGGCAATTAGAGTTTAATTTCATAAAGAACGTTTTAATTTAAAGTTATTCTCCTCCACCACTCTAGCATCTGTTTCAACCAATCAGATTCATTCCCGAAATGCATAAATAACAAGTCAATAATGTGCCAATCAATACGCAATGTATATGTGCTTAAATTTTGTGTTTATTTATTCAGTCAGAGAAAGTGAAAGTTCTATTGTCTTTTTTTGTATGTACTGAAAAACAATGCAATAAACATTCCAATCGAATATTCACAATTTCAAATATGAGCTGTTTAAAAGTAAGACCATTGATTGGATGATTGGAAGTCATAGACAAACGGCTGATACTTAAACCATAAAAATAAAGAATCTTTCCACTGGAAGGTGAAAATTCCTACCGACGGTTTTAAGCCACTGAAATAATGAATGCTTGAGCCCAGCAACAAGAGGCGAGTATAACAAAGTGCTCATACCCCTGCATGGAGTCTCTGTTATTTTCTTTTCCTAATGGGATTTCTTTAATTAATCAGATAAATCAGTTCCCCCCCCCTTTTCATTTGATTGTTGTTAAAGCCGCCTGGGTATAATTCTTGGGTTTACATAATGTAAAAAATCGAACTTATCCAATGAAACTCATTCACAAACTTAAATTAAGTCAACGGAGAAAGTCCTTGTTATGAACTTCGTCGGTGTTTTATTCCTACATAATGATCAATCATTTATCTTGATTAAACGTTGGTAAGAATAATTTTCGATTTTATTTGGCAAGACGTCATCATTTGTAAGAAGAAGATAAAAGTCATGAGTCAATTAATAAAGCTAATATAATATTTTAGTATCGATAAGTGCTAGGGGATTACATTCCAATTTATTGTTTTATGATTGGGTCTATGTAATTTTGGGAATCGGTTCGTCCAACATACTTTAACCGCCGACGGTAACTTAAAATTTACTAAGCACGTAGTAAAACGAACCAAGGGATGCATGTAGTGATTGTGTGCTCACAAGCATATATAGAATTTGATAAAAGACTATAAGGTGAATATATTAATGCAATAATACAGCGAACCATGCTGTTGTTGCTGACTGTTGGAGTACATATGTTGGCCCAGCATTGTCTATATGGCTATTAACGATTTTTGAAAACCACTATGGGTAGCAATGCAACATGGTAGAGATTAGAGATTAGAGAAATAGGAAACTACGACCCTTTATACATTGACGAAGATCTAAATATATGAAAGGCTGAATCTTGCAACCGTAAATCTAAATATTACTATCTGTAACTGTCTCACCCAGTCTCTTAACTGGGCAGATGTTCAATTAATGAAGGTGACTCGCTTGCACAATACATAACTCTGGAGTTCGAATTGATAGTAGTACTATTATTATGGTTTTTTCATTTAAAAAAAAATTGGACAAACTTTATAAATACAACTTCTTTTAAAGCACGGATATAGCCCATGGTCCTTGGTGACCAAAACTATTTTCTCGGATTATATAAGCACGATTGGTAACAAAGTCGTGCAGTTGTGCCAATATCTTCAGCATATAAACTCGTCAATGGTACATTCTTCTTTTATTACACCATCCACCTACCCAAGCGTCCAACGACATTACTAATACTGTCTATTTGCATTCCATTACAATATATTTTTAAAGGGTTCAGAATTTAAGCATGAATGAAAAGAGAAGAATTATTTAAGAGATTCACCTACACTACGAGGCAAACACCCACCAAATTGGGTTGCTACTCTAAATGAGCACATTCTGTACGTTCATGAATTTTTACCTTTCGAAATTAGATTGTAATTACAAGAATGATACTATTTAATGTCTACTAACTTTTATAAATACAGACAAACTATAAACATTTAGATAGTCCTAAGCCCAAATTTGAAGTTGCTCATAGAAGTCAACTCTTTTATTTTCAGCATTTCCAATTTGTTGACAAGCATAATAACGAATTTCGTCAACCATGACTGGATGACCACAAGTAACGAAAGCAACTGATCCACTTGATTCGGCAACTTTATCAGCAACTATACTTTCAATAGATGGACGACCTTCCTTAAACTCAATGTGTGATAATCCTGATCTAATTGATTCCTTATCTTCGTCGTTACTCTCCTTGCCTTCCAATTTCTTATCGACATCACTTGATGATGACACTTCTGGTCTTGTAACATATAATGTGGTGTGAATGTTGGTGTTCTTCAAAGCTGCAAGCTCTTCGTGGAACCATGTCAAGGACGAGTAGTCTCTGATAACCCAGATCAATTTCAACACTTTACTAGAATCAGCAGGCAATCTTCTGGCAATGTCCATCACTTCAGAGTAAATACCAGGAATACCGTTACCACCAGCAATGAAGACAGCAGAGTCGGCATATTTGGCAGGAGTTGATTCACCATATGGACCTTCAACAGCAACAGTCATTCTAGTAGTTTGACCAGGTTGTTTGGCCAATAATTGGTATAAACTGTGTGTGACACCACCCTTGACCTTACAATACAAAACAATGTTCTTGTCGTCTGGAGTATCAACAAATGTGAAAGGATGGGACTGCCAGAAATAAGTTGGTTTGACAAAATGGATGAAAGCATGGCCACCTGGAATAGACTTCCAATAGCTTGGTTTTGGAACGACAACTTTTAAAGTATCATTAGCCAACAATGTAATTTCAGCTTTAGGGAAACCAAAAGCAATCAATCTTCCGATTCTAACCAAACGGTCAAAACACCAAACAGCAACAGCTGGATAAACAAACCAGATATAACCCAATTCATCAACATGGATCCAAGTACCTGCAATAAATAATGCAGCCATCATTATATGGATCAATAAGAATATTTCATACCAACGTCTTCTAAAGAAAAGCATAGCTTGAATCCAAATAAGACCACCAGAAATAGTAGCAATAATACCCCAGAAGAAATAAGTTTCAGCTGCAATAGAAGCAAAACAATCCTTAACAAGAACTGTAAATCCAACTGAATGAATGACTACCAAAATAAACATAACTCTAGCAATATGTCTATGATAAACCATAAATGTACCATAATTAATACCTGTTAACCATTGTAAAAAGTTATTTCTACCACCGAGTAAAATAATAAGTGGAATCATCAAAGTGGCAATTATACCTGTTCTATCTGAAACATATCTCATTTGTGCATGATACTTATCAGCAAATACCGGGTCATTTTTCACATATTCGGTATTGATACAGTTGATAATAAGAATGAAAATATAAAAAATAACTATAACAATGGTTTCAAATCTGGATGGAATTAAAAAATCAAAGATTTTTAAAAAAACTTGTTCTTGAGTCTTCTTCTTTTTAAAAGTAGCTGGCATAGATATGTATTTTCTCCAAGCATTAATTGGCCCATTGGTAAGTTTTTTTGTAAGTCCTGGGAATAAAAATTTACTCCAATGTGAAATAGCACAGATGATAAAAATCAACAACCAATAACCTAAAGCAGATGATGCGTAGTAAAGAGAATCATCATAATTACCTAAAAATTGTTTGTATGCTTCTTTATATGCTTCCATTTGTGCATCTGGAAGTTTGAATGGGACTTCAATTGGGACGGATTTGTTGAAACCAGAGATTTCGTTAGCATATTTCCCATTTTCGAGGTAATATTGATAAGATTCTTCAAACCAGTTTTCAGAAATTGTGACATTACCATATTCTTCACAATATTCTGCCAAATAATTGACTGTAGCAGTATTATTTCTATTCCCGTATGCAAAACAACCTGCATATGTGGCTAAAGCATTTTTGCTGGAACATAAACAAGTATAATTCAATTTCTTACAAAAAGAAACTGATCTTCTGATTTCTAAATTACAAGCATAAAATCCCAAGATCGGGCCATAACGAGTATAAGGAGCACCAGGTCCTTCTTCTGCTGAAGCAACAGCTGCCAAAATAGCAGTGACTAAGTAATAATAGATGAAGTTCATTGACTTTTCTCTAATAGTGATGAATCTGATGATGGTAGTAGTAGTGGTAGTGATTAGTAATAAATTCTAAAGAGAAAAAGTAGACCTATTTATAGTACCAGCATGTCTCTCCCCCCCCCCAATGTATATTAATTAACAATACTAACTAACGGCTTCTTAGCAAGAATGTCAATAAGTGTATCCAATCATTGATTGGCTGTTGCAAGGAAAATCCAATGCAATGTATTGATTTGCTCCTATGGTAGGTTTTGTGATTATATTGTTTCATTTATTGCACCATTTAATCTAATTGATCAAAAAAAGGCTTTAAATTGGATAAACAATGAATAAATAAATTGGGAAAGGCGTTATTGTTAATTTTTACATTGTTTCAGTTACAAAACTTATGAATCATGAAATTTCTCGAAGATGTTCGGGCTTTCAATAACAACGGTAACAATATAAGATGGGGTTTCATGTAACTTTATATAATTTATTCCCCAAGATTAGTTTCTTAATCTGATAACCATATTTTTTAAAACCATCAATAACCCCTTGAAATATTTTTCTTTCCAACTGTCTTGGCTTTCAACCTGTCATTATTTCAAAACTGACATCGGAATTAATGAACTTGATAGTTTTTGTAATTTATCTGTGTCTCTTTTTTTTTCTAGGCATTTAAAATCACCAGTACAGGCTCAAATCTAGTGGCCGGCTCTGCATTATTTTAGTTCGTAAGTTTCAAACAAATAATAGAAAACAAAATTGTTACTAGTGATATTTGAAGTGGGGGGTCCCTCCTACAGTATAGTTTTCATGAATTGAACCAATAAAATTCAGAACCGAAGTGCACAAAATGCGCAATAATTGATGCAGCAAAATTTTTTTCGCATTATGTTCAAAAATGACACAAATGTTGCTAAACCGTCAGGCTCCGCGCAACGACTTTAGCAATGCAAGGCGAATCCCGTCATCAAAATTAAAGATATTCAAGCCATGTAACTGGTTGGATTGTTACACTTCGTTCCTATTCTGGAGAAACAGTAAAGAAGTATAATCTAGTAACAAGGACTAAAAAGTTAAAACAGTCTATTACTAAAAGGTGAACAATTTTTTAACTGAGGTTATGAACGGATAAAGTAGGTGGAAACCAAGATTCTTTTTTGATAGTAGCTTTTATTAACCACGGTTGTCCTCCCTCCCCCCTTTGGTTGATTTTTTGTTCATACTATGTAGGAGCTAATAACCAATACAAAAAAAAAGTAACACCATTTCCTGTATTGTTTGCGTATGCATGTCTCTGATTGTTATCAGATAAATCAGTAACACCAACAGCTGGAAAACAAAAAAGCACTCTTCAAACTAAAAAAAAGTTCTTGGCGTTATAAGTGGGTATTTTTATTTTGTTATTTTGCATCAGCCAATAATGGCTTTGATATAGCTACGCGGTTAGCAATGGTAACTCTATGAGTCATTAAAGTTAGTCAAACAATCAGTTTGGGATGCCGATAGTTAACCAGTAAAGAGTAGTTGAGAAATTATAGGCCATAGGAGATTGAAACAAGCTGAGTGCTCCATCGACGATGGCTGATTTCATAATTAGTAGTACAATGCTGTGTTCTTTCAGAAAACTACTCTACGCCAATGATATTATGAGTTAAAACAATTTGCATTAGACTCGACGATTGTCAGATCAATTAATACCAAGGTCGTCTATTCGTAGTGTTTGATTCTGTATCCAGTAGTTATTTTACTATTAACGGTTCTTTATATACAACTTATTTGTGGTAATAAAATAGAGGTACAATAATAATACCAAATGAATATAGAATTAAGTTAGAAAATTAGTTAGATAGTTAGTTATATAAAAGCAGCTCATAAAATGTGTAGAATAAAGGGGGAAGTCGTCCATTTAAATAGACGACGGTAATAACCAACGGAGTCACAACCAAATGTAAATTGGTCGTGTAATTACTAAACCTCCAGGATCAAACAGTAATACATCACGCTTTGATTGTTCACGTGACTTTTGTTCTCCTGCACATAGTGTACCTGAATTAGCTCCACGATACGATTAACCAAAAAAGAAAAAAAAACTGGGGGGACCAGAAAAAAAAAAAGAGATCTGGATTCCATCTGCCCGGACTTCTGATACGACATACATTTTCATGATTAAAGTATCAACGCAAATTGAACATATTTCAAATGATGATAAGAGTATTTTGTTGGGGGAAAGTCAGTCTTTCAATATTGATCATGTATAATGTAGGTTTTTTAATTTTAAAATTGAACTAAAAAAACATGAAAAGTAAAAATCATTCGTTAATTCTTTATAAAATCTTAAAAAAATCTCGTTATCAACAAAGACATGCATTTGAAGAACATAATTATGATTTACTATCGTTTATTGTTCTTTTTGACCTTTCATGTGAAATTACAGAATCCAAAAAATAAACGTTTTGACGTGATTGCAATTGTGATAAATCTACGTATCCTGAACCTAGATTATCTTTATAGAAGCGAAATTATCTATATTCTATACTAGTCCGTTTCTGTACCTACGAGGGTTGTAAGCCTAACGTTCATGATAACAGATAGTGGAATTATAAAAATACTGGCGCTATCGCGGAATTCCTTAAAAAGGCAATCAAATTATGACTTGCTGTTTTTCTTTCTTTTTTTTTTTCTCTCTCCTTTTCTACCTGCATTGTCTTACTTTTTTTTCTTAAAAAGCATCTCACATCTTTGCTTTCAATATCCCTTAAAAATGACTCCCTGTTAAACTATGACAAGTATTATCAGAAGAAGATCTCAACCATGACAAAAAAATATATGTGGAAAAGAAATAAATAAAAAATTGGTCAAGACACGTATTTTCCGAGAGTTCCTTTGAAACGAAAGATATGAACCGAGCAATTGAACGGCAGAGGTTTATTATACAAAGAAGAATTCATTTTCATATTTTGTTGGTTTTCAATCAGATGTGGGAGATATCCAACTTAAAATGATGAATAACGAGTAATGAAGCCAGGATTGAAAATCATACATTAGAATTATAGAAATGAAAAATAAAATAAAATAAAATAAAAAAAAAAAATTTTGTTGACCACACAAAATCCTACACACCACTTTAATTTCTCCGCCGATTAAACCAAAGAATTTATACTTTAACTAAGATTCAAGCAAGGGGTTGTCTTATTTTTTTTGTTTTTGGTATAATTTCCATGCGGTTTCATAAGGTGATTTCTTTCAATTGTATGATGTTTGATTTGCTTTATTATTATGTTTTGCATACGGTTGGAACTTTACCAACAAACGGGTGAAAATGAATAAGCATGCCCGTGTCCTGCATAGAGTACTTTTGTTAGCACTCAACAAAAGTTTTTTTTGGGTATTTGGCAGCAGCGTTAAAATTAAAAAAAAAAGAAATTTTCTTATTCTTCTATGTGAAAATCTCCTTTCATTATATTATTGGTAGCTGTAGTATAATTGTTAGATAATATATAAAGATTAAAGTAATTCTCTTAGATTTTTTTATTCTTATTTTATTGTATATTCTTTTTCCTTTCTTTATCTATTATCTCATTCTTTTTTTGTTAGATATATTTATATATATATATTCTTCTCCCCTTTACCTCAATAGATCAATTCAAGGAGTTATAGAAAGATGACTACTACAATCGAAGAACAAGTTGAGATCGTCGACATCACCAAATTGAACGCCATTGCCGCTGGGACAAACAAGAAAATCCCAAGAGTTGTGGCCGCAGGTTTGGGTGGTAAATTAATGGGTACTGCCGACTTGGTCAAGGTCTCTGCCGAAGATATCACTAAGGATTCCATGGAATCATTAGCCGAAAAGGATGCTAGAGAAAAGGCTAAATATGCCAACAAAAAACATATTTCAGAAGAACCTTGGACTTTGAGTAACTTCACCCAAAAAATCAATTGGCTTAATATGATTTTGGTTGTCTTCATTCCAGCTTATGGTTTGTACAATGCTTTCTACTACCCACCACCAATCAAGACTTTGGTTTTGGCTTTTGTCATGTATGTTTTTGCTGGTGTTTCTATCACCGCCGGTTACCATCGTTTATGGTCCCATAAATCTTATGATGCTGCTTTGCCAGCCAGATTATTCTTTGCCTTTTTCGGTGCCAGTGCCATTGAAGGTTCTATCAAATGGTGGGGTCACTCTCACAGAATCCACCACAGATACACCGATACTTCAAGAGACCCATACGATGCCAGAAGAGGTTTCTGGTTCTCCCACATGGGTTGGATGTTAACCAAGGCTCATCCAAAGAACAGAGCTAGAGCTGATATTTCTGATTTGGTTGCCGACTGGGTCGTTACTTTCCAACACAGACACTATTTGTTAATTATGGTTTTTGCTGCTTTTATCTTCCCATCATTGGTTGCTGGTTTATTCTGGGGTGATTACTGGGGTGGTTTCATCTACGCTGGTATCTTGAAATCTTTCTTTACCCAACAAGCTACTTTCTGTGTCAACTCCTTGGCCCATTGGATCGGTGTCCAACCATTTGATGACAGAAGAACTCCACGTGACCATGTCTTGACTGCTTTTGTTACTTTTGGTGAAGGTTACCACAATTTCCATCATGAATTCCCAAGTGATTACAGAAACGCTTTGAAATGGTACCAATACGACCCAACCAAAGTTACCATCTATATGATGTCTAAAGTTGGTTTGGCCTGGAACTTGAAGAAATTTTCTCAAAACGCCATTGAACAAGGTTTGTTGCAACAACAACAAAAGAAATTAGACAGAATGAGAAACAAGTTGAACTGGGGTTCTAAAGTTGATGAATTGCCAGTATGGACTAGAGAAGAATTCAATGAAAGAGCTAAACTGGAAGGTTTGATTATCATTTCCGGTATTATTCACAATGTCAAAGCATTCATCAAAGAACATCCAGGTGGTCAAGCCGTTGTTAGAGCTTCTTTAGGTAAAGATGCCACCAAGGCCTTCAGTGGTGCTGTCTATGCTCATTCCAATGCTGCTCATAACTTGCTTGCAACTATGAGAGTTGCTGTGGTGAAAGATGGTGACATTAACACCAACACTTTTGATGTTCAACAAGAATTGATGGCAAAGGAAAAACAATCATGATGGGTTTTTTGTTTATTATTATTTGGTTAAATTGATTTAGTTTCTTTTTTGATTCATTTTATTATATCATATATATATATATATTATTTATATTATTTATATTAGATTTGTATAGGGGAGTTTGTTTTTTATCATATAGTAAAAAAATTAGTATTATGTTTTATGTTTTAATTTTGACTATCGGAAAGTTTAGGATGGAGAACACGGTAGTTAACGGGGATTTTCATTTTTGATCACCTGACATGTCTCCAATGGAACACATTGTTAATTAGTGCGTGTCCCAAGTGTTGCCATGGACTTTGAAAAGAAGAAAAAAAAAGTGTGTGTCACAATTTTACACGAGATTTGACAAACCCCGAATATGTACAGAGAATAATTGAATCCAACAAGACTGCACCATCAATAAACGGTTAAAGTATTTTCGAACTCTCTCGCAGTATTCTACATAAACATGATCGACATGTGGGGTTGTCGAGAGAAAGAGGATAGGCTGTAGGGGCATTACAGACCAAAATAGAATTTTTCCTTTTTTCATTTTTTTGGAATTCAACAGACAATTCGAGAGAGAGAAAAAAAAAATCGTACCACATTTGCGTGAAATCAACCCATTAGACATGCGAAAACACATGTTCTCCCTTTTTTTTTTTTGCACCCACTCTCTCACACACATATTTTCTATGCAATTAACATTACAGAAATCTGCTGATTCACACAACAAGATGCAGAATAACTCCGTAAAGTCTCGGTGTCGAAGTTTTGAATTCATAGTCACATTTTATTTTTATTTTTTTTTTGCGACAAGAGATTGTCTTTATCCAATTAAATTTAATCTAAATAGTTATATGGAGGGGAGAGGGAGTTTGAAGTTTTTTGGGTTTTTCCTCTATTTACTTTAGTATAAATAGAGAGTAATAATATCGGATTTTCTATCTTTTATATTTAGATTTATATTTTTTTTAGATTGTTTCTCTTTTTATATCTATCATCTATCACATTTGCTTGTCTCGTTCACTTTATTATAACTATTCAATAATGACTCCAACTGCTATTAGATTATCACAACAATTCAAAATTGTTCCACAATACAAATATTTTGTTCGTCGTATCCCACATTTTGCTACTTGGGCCACTGGTATTGCAATTTTCTTTGGATGGCCACATGTTTGGGTTGAAAGTAGTAACAAATTAGCTAATGCTCCAGATACCAACCATCAATTCTTTACTTAAATTTGGATTTAATGTTTTGATTTATATTTGCATTGTGTTATCCTTCCATTCTATTTAATTCTTTATTCATTGCTCGAGCAAGAAAACTATATATATATATATATATATAATATAATATAAACACGGTTATTAGTTTGTCTTTTTAACAATTTATTATCATTTGACTTGTATGAAATATCTACGGGAATATGTCTATAAAACAAGACAAGCACCCATTTCATTCAAATAAAAACGTATCACTTCTCAATTTTATCCTTCTATTTGTCTCACAACTACAAGAGTATACTTCATAGAGGAGTATACTTACACGTACTATAGTTATCTGTTCTAGGACTTCTAGTATAAAATAAAAAAAGAGTCGTGCACATCATGACAATTTGATTCAATTTTTTTTTTTTTTTTTATGACCAGCATAATGAAAGTTTTACTATCAAGAGAGAGAGAGAGAGAGCGTGGTGGTTGATAAAATTTAAAATTTTCTGAATGATTATTAACCGATACCATCCGATATTAGATACTATCATTAGCATAACTTTCGTATCTTATACAAATGTCAAAACCATTTCAACCAATCAGTGATGTTATCAATACATCATCATCATCATCATCAAAACATAAAACACAATCATTTAATGAGATTTATGGAGAACCAGAAAATTTTCTTGAAATTGAAGTACGAAATCCTTTAACTCATGGATATGGACTGAATTTATTTACAGATTATGAGATTGTTTGTAGAACAAACATTCCAGCATTTAAAAAGAGAAATAGTAAAGTTAGAAGAAGATATAGTGATTTTGTTGCATTTAAAAAGATATTAGAAAATGAAACAACTCGTGTAATAATACCTTCATTGCCAGGAAAGATTTATTTAAATCTGAATAAATTTAATGATTTGAATATTGAAAAAAGAAGACAAGGATTAGAAAAATTTCTAGTGATTGTTAGTGGCCATCCTTTATTACAAACAGGTTCTAAATCTTTAATTGAATTTATTCAAAATGAAAAATGGGATCCAAAACAATTTGTATATTGATAATGGATTTGATTTTTTTTTTTTTTTTGCTTTTTTGTTTTTTAGTTCTCTCCTATTCTTTTATTTTTTTTTTCTTATTCAGGGACGTCAATATCCATACTGATTTTTACAGAGTATTCAAATCGGTAATTAGTTATGTAGGACATTGTTGTTAGATCCTTAATACACATCATACTGTTTTCTTCAGTATATTTATGTGGGGGAATTTAGTAATAATAATAAAAAATAGAGAGCGAGTTGGGACAATAGATATTTCAATGTCATGTCAGATGGATGTTGGGTTTGTCTTTTTCTCTCCACATTTCAAAAATTCAGTTAAACTCCGATGATGATGTTTCAAACCTATTCGGTATTCATTGATTCATCATATTCTTTTTGATCAATGATGTCTGGTTATAAGTTTCCATTTTGTGAGAAGTATTTTGTTGAAGAGTGGGGTATTCTCAACTGGATTCCAAGGAACTCAAGGGCTTTAAGAAACGGTTTGTGCACGCACGGTATTTAGAACACTTTAAGAGCGGTAGCAAGATCACCAAATACCGAACAGACAACAATAGGCGGACTTCACATTCTGGTTTCTCATTGGCTCATGATCGTCACAAATTAGTATTTGTTGAATAGGTGAAGTGATTTTTCTTTTTTTCTTTTTTCCAAAGTTCTAATCACCTGATTGGTTCTACCCAAAAATCAAAAAGGAAATGTAACGGAAATATTTCAACTTACGAGCAAATTTTTCTCCAGTGAAATTTTACGTTGATCACTACCCGCCCACACACACACACAAACTCATACCTACATACATACATACATACATACGTACACACTTTTATTTTTGGAACCCACATGTTTTTTGTCTGCAAAAAAAGTATAAAAAAATGAATTGTAACTATATCGTACTTGTACATCCCCTCTACCCTTATACAGCAGAAACTTCGGTGTCAATTAAACAAATTGTAACAATAATTCAATTGAGTTATTGAATGAAAAAGCTTACACGTTTCAATTCCTGCTTCTTCTTCTAAGATTAAGATTATGAGTATGATTATGAGTATGAGTATTATTATTTTATGCGGAGAAACAATTTTTAATAATTAACACTGCATAATACATTAAACACTAAATACATTAAACACTAAACACCTCAAAAAAACAATTCACAAATTACGCCCCACTTCATCGAATTACTCAAAAAAAAAATCCCCCTTTTTGCATCTAATTCCTTATGTGTATTTTTACTCTTCATTGTTTTGTTGAGTGGAAAATGGATTCGAATAAGAAACAATTTTATTATTTTATTTTTATTTTATTTTTTGACCGTCACTCTCTTGGCCTTCTATACTCCGAGAAAATTGTTTTGCTTATCACCCTAACAATAAAGAAGAGGAGACAATTGAAAATCCCATTGGAATATAAATAGCCCCCCTTAATCCTACTTCAACTGAATCTTTTTTATTTATTTATTTTTATTCTTTCTTTCTTTCTTTCTTTTATTATTACAAATCAACAAGATAGATCAATCCTTTCAGAGATTTATTTATTTATAACAAACAAACAACTTCGAATCCTCAATTAACTTCAAATCTTTTTTTTATTATTATTATTAAAAATGTCTATTCCAACTACTCAAAAAGCTGTTATCTTTGAAACCAACGGTGGTAAATTAGAATACAAAGATATTCCAGTTCCAAAGCCAAAACCAAATGAATTGTTAATCAATGTTAAATACTCTGGTGTTTGTCACACTGATTTACACGCCTGGAAAGGTGATTGGCCATTGGACACCAAATTACCATTGGTTGGTGGTCATGAAGGTGCTGGTGTTGTTGTTGCCATGGGTGACAATGTTAAAGGTTGGAAAGTTGGTGATTTTGCTGGTATTAAATGGTTGAATGGTTCTTGTATGAATTGTGAATATTGTCAACAAGGTGCTGAACCAAATTGTGCTGAAGCTGATTTGTCTGGTTACACCCATGATGGTTCTTTCCAACAATATGCTACTGCTGATGCTGTTCAAGCTGCTAGAATTCCAGCTGGTACTGATTTAGCTAATGTTGCTCCAATTTTATGTGCTGGTGTCACTGTTTATAAAGCTTTGAAAACCGCTGATTTACAACCAGGTCAATGGGTTGCTATTTCTGGTGCCGCTGGTGGTTTGGGTTCTTTGGCTGTTCAATACGCTAAAGCCATGGGTTACAGAGTTGTTGCCATTGATGGTGGTGATGATAAAGGTGAATTTGTTAAATCTTTGGGTGCTGAAGTTTTCATTGATTTCCTTAAAGATAAAGATATTGTTGCTGCTGTTAAAAAGGCTACTGATGGTGGTCCACATGGTGCTATCAATGTTTCTATCTCTGAAAAAGCCATTAATCAATCTGTTGATTACGTTAGAACTTTAGGTAAAGTTGTTTTGGTCGGGTTACCAGCTGGATCTAAAGTTTCTGCTCCAGTCTTTGATTCTGTTGTTAAATCTATCCAAATCAAAGGTTCTTATGTCGGTAACAGAAAAGATACCGCTGAAGCTGTTGATTTCTTCTCAAGAGGTTTGATCAAATGTCCAATCAAGATTGTTGGTTTGAGTGAATTACCAGAAGTCTACAAATTGATGGAAGAAGGTAAGATCTTGGGTAGATACGTCTTGGACAATTCTAAATAATTGTGCATACTTTTTAACAAAAGCAAAAGAGTTTGATACTTTTTGTTCTTAAAAAAAATTATAATTATTATTAACAGCAAAGCTTACTTGATATTTTTACATTTATTATTATCATTTTTTTTTTTTTATTTTATCTGTGTTTATTTTATTTTCAAGTAAGTAGAAGTCTATTGATATTTTTTGTTGATCAATGAATGATGAATTTAAGTGTTTCTTCTTTGTGACTGTTTAATTGAGGCGACATTGTGTCAAGATGTTGCATATAATCCAACTCTATTACATAAAATCAACTCTATTGCCTATAATTACATATATATATATATATTGAATGTGTATAAAAGTCAAGAAGTAGAAGTAGAAAAGTATAATCTATTGCACTATTTCTTTCCACAAGTATGGGGTAAATACGATAACGGCAGTAAATAATGCATCAAAAGCTTCAACTAATGCAATTGGAAATCCAGCCAATCCTCTGTTCACAAAATTAATATAAATTGCATAAAATGCAACACTAAAGAAATGGTTAAACAACAACATTGGGAATGGTAACATACCACATAATAACCCAATTGGTCCATTAACACATTCACCACCTCTTTCAAAATATCTGAAACAACCATTTTGTAAAATCTTTAATGATTTTTTATCAGCAGCAAATAATGAATATAATGCAATGGATAAAGTATTAATAACAGCATCCAAATTCTTTCTCTTTCTATGGAAAACCTTCATTCTTTGAGCAATTAATTGGTGATCACCCAAATCCGGAACATATTTAGGATGTAATAATTTGGCCAACAATACACTATCATTCAAACCAACAGTCATACCACCACCAGTCAAAGGATGTCTCATGTTCAAAGAGTCACCCAATAAGATAAACCCAAGATGGTTTTCACTGCCTTGTTTCATGGCAGAAAGGTATTGATTTGGCATGATTCTGAATTTTCTTTCTTCTAATGCAACTTTGAATGCTGGAAGTGTTTCCTTTGGAACAATTGGCAAGACTTGGTCTCTTAAATATGTGTAAACTTCATCATTAGCAGATGATGGTGGTTTTGTGGAAGCAAAAGCACACAAGACACGAGTTTCATTTGGAGAAACAGGATAAATCAAAACTGGGGAATGGTCTCCCAATAAGACATGACCTTTTCCTTCCATTGGTAAAACTGCATCTTTTAAATATAACCCAATGAAATAAGAACCAATAGTAGGAACATTATCTTGACTCAATTCTTTTCTGAATTTGGAATAGATACCATCACAACTGATGACTAATTTGGCATGGTATTCAACAACTTCGTCTTTTTCTTTAGCTTGAACACCAATAACAATATTTGGATCAAATGGATCACGCAAGACTTTAGTAACGGTTGCTTCAACAGCAGTAACATTTGGTTCATCACGACAAATTTGTCTCAAATTCATAAGGAAATCACCATGGTGGAAAGCAACACCACGAACTCTTTCATCTTTATCCCAAGCATCGATATCAAGGGTAGAATCACTATCAACTTTATCATTTTCTCCATCAACAACATCAGGAACTGGTTTCATAGGATTAGTGATGTTGGCATCTTTTTTCAATGGGTATGGGATAGTAACAGTTTCATTGTGATATTTAATATAATAACCAGTACAATTAACAGCTCTGATATTATTAATGGATTTAACCATACCTAATTCTCTCAAGGCTTTAATACCTGCTGGTTGCATCAATTCACCAACAATTCTATCTGGCTTGGACCAATCTCTTTCCAAAATCAATACTTTACGACCTTGTCTGGCTAAGGCAGTAGCGATGGTTGGACCGATGACACCGGCCCCAATAACAATAGCATCATAATGAGTGGAAGTTGTCATAGTGACTTGATTCTAATAATAAACTAGGAAAAGGGAATTACTTCTGTTGAACAAAAAATAAAAAAAAAAAGTCTAGTAATAACCAGGAACAGGGAAGGAGGGGGACTTGTTGAAAGTTGTGTTATTCTTTGTTTAAAATAATGAAAAATTCAAAAAAAAAAAAAAAAAAGAAAAAGCAATAAGGGAAATGATGATAGAAGAGGCTGGAAATAGGTCCCTATTTATATTCTTTAATGGTCTTAGATATCACCAAAATGAATATTCATATAATTAAAAGAGAAATTTTTTTTATTTTTTCAAATCACCTTATGAATAAACAAGATGGAAAGAAGAAAAAAAAAAAATCAGGTTGATTATGTATTGTATTATAGTGGGTGCATTATTTTTAACTTCATTGTGTGTGGTCGCATTAAACGTAACAAAACGATGCCATATTTCTTTTTTTTTTTTTTGCTCTCTCCGTAACACGCGCACGCGGACTCTCTGTCTCTTCGCTTCGTATAAACAGGGAACGACGAGACACGCACTTTAACAGAAAGACGTTGTTGTCAATATGGGTCCTTTCCTTTGCTGGTCTTTTAGTGTTTATCATGTACAGTAAAAGCATGTTTACCGTTGCATATACAATCAACAATCAGAGCCCTATTCGTACACAATTCCCATACGTTTCATTGGCTCAGAGAGAAATGGCTTCTACACACACACACTCACACATCATACCATCGTATACTTCCCAATTATGTACTTATTCAATTATACTTTAATCATGACCCATCCTCGCCCCTATTATCCTTCTGGTATGAAAGACAAACGATCGATCGATCAATCAATCAATCATGAGAACTGCGCCCATATCAACAGCAGATATCAAACACATGTATCATCATCATCAACATCATCAGCCTTACGATACGACAGTTGATTAATACATCCTTCTCTGTTTCTGTAGTAAAATTTGTGTTTAAATTTGCATGTGATTTTTTTTTTCGTCCTCATTACGTAATACGATTCTGCTAAACGATGAGGACCCGTATGTAAAAATTAAAACATAGAAAGCAAAAAATTAAAAAAATGGCGTGTGGCTGTAAAAGCCGTTTTTTTTAAAAATTGTGTTATTACAACCACAGAGAGAGACACATAATGACAGCTTGACAGTTACTTGTTATTTACTATTATTATTACTATTATTATTAAAGACATCTCCTATCTATTGATCTATTCACTATCGTCTTCATCATCGTCACTTTCCTCCTCATCAGCTTCCTCCAACCATGTGATAAATTTGGTTGTTAAAGTTCTAACTTCTGAATCTTCTCCTTGATTCCACCATGCCAAAATATTGTCTTCTTCAACCACATCCAAGTCGTACAAGGTCTTTACGGCAAGAAACAAAATGACTTGATTATACGACTTATCCAATACGCTGATCTTGCTTTCTAAAATGTTCAATAAATCAATTTCTTCTTCTGGACTGAAAACTTGTCTTTTAAACATGGATCCCCATCTGTTAAATATCTTGGTAGCTGCTTCTTGTGGTTTTAATGTATCAGTGGCTATGAAATCAACTATTTTATTTATCAAAGCTTCTGTGGTAACACTTCTAACTTCGTGGTAAGTGACATTCATCGACATTCTTAAAGTGTTCAATTCTAGCAATGCAGTATCTATATCATGATTGTTTTCAATTGCACGGTTAACAGTTGCGTAACCTTCTTTAGCAAAATCTTCTTCTTCATCTTCTTCAAATTCACTGTCAAATGGACCGGCTCCACTTTCACTAACCATTGAGTTGGTTGAATGTCTACGTTTATGTTTGCTCGACTTTGTTCTCTTGTTTGTAACTGAAGCAATGGATTCGTCTGAAAAGTTCAAGGTCTTCATTTGGTAAATTATACCTGAATAGTTATCACCACCGATAGATTCGTCTTCATAACTATCACTTTCAACATCTGATTCATAAACATATCCTTTACCATCTTCTCCAACCAAATCAACATCTTTAACGGCTAATGAAGGGATTTGCGATTTACCGGCAGTACCTTCTTCTTCGTCACTATCACTATCACTATCATCACCAAAATTGCCATCGAATGCATCACAAGCAACAATTGGATTCTCGGCTATTTTCACGTTGTTTGGAATGATCTTATCATCACCAATAACCACATTGAATCCAATAACGGATCCAGAAGATAATGTTACATTCTTTCCAATGATGGCATCAGCAGCAACAATGGTATAGTTCAAAACACAATTATCCTTAATAACAGCATTGTCCCAAATATATGAATTTTCAATAATCACATTATCTCCAATGGTACAATTTCTACCAACAACTGATTTTTTAATAGATGTAGCTTCACCAACCTTGGAGTTTCTACCAATTGAAGTTGAGTTACCAATCTTACAGGATTGTGCCAATACAATCTTGTCTTCTTTGTAGATGTTATTTAGTTCATAAGAGTATGAGCTTCCATCCACAAGATTTGAATCAAGAACCAATGGATAACACCATCTGGCTAAGATATCTTGAGAGACAGCATCATATGTACCCCAACTCTCGACTCTGGCTGCGTATTCAGAGCTTTCTTTGCTAATATATGCGTAAATTGTTTTCTTTAATAAATCAGAAGTCAAAACACCTTTAACAAAATCACTTCTTAAATATTGGTAATCAAAATTTTCCTGGAAAATTTGTGGAACATGAGGTGAACAAATATCAACGTGACAATCAATCAAATCGTTTCTAATCATAATATCACCGGTGATGTCTTCCAAAAGTTCTGGATCCATACTGATGCTAGTTTTCTTACCATCAACTGGTGGGATTCTTTGATAGTAGAAACATCTGTTGGTTTCTTTATCCAATACAAATGTTGCTGGGTCGACTTGTGATCTAGTTCTATGCAATGGAGATGCTTGATTTAAAACCATGGTGAGAATATGATCCTTATCTTGAGCCTTCTTTTGTTTATGGAATTGCATAACTTTGTTAAAATCTATATTTGTTACAACATCACCAGAAACTAATAAGAAATCTCCTGTAATTAATCCTCGATTATCCAAATCTCTCATGGCATCACCAACAGATCTTGATTCAACAGACATTACTGTAGTAACAGTGAATGGAGAATGAGAACTGACCCATTTAGAATTTTCAATATATTCTTGAACTTGGTCTGCATGTGCTGAACACATAAGAAATACTTCATTAACTCCTGAAGTGGCTAAAAATTCCAAAGTATATTCAATTAATGGTACATTTGCCAATGGTAAAAGACATCTTGGATGTACTGCAGTTAATGGCATGAATCTTGTTTCAAAAGAGTCAGTTAAGACAATTGCTTGAAATCTTTCATCAATTAAATCCTTCAGTTTCTTTGACTTGGACTGAGAAGCAGTCTGTTTCTTTGATTTAGGAGCCATGACTGCTATTAAGTTGTATTGAATAAAGAGAGAGTATGTGTAAAGAGTGTACAATGAAAAAAAAAGTAGAAAAAAATTTTTAAATTTTTTTTTTTTTCTTCCTTCTTCTTAATTCTACTGATTTGTTTGAACTACACGCACACCATAGTTAAATTCGTAGCATTAAAAATTTATGTATTTGTCATGAAATGAAGATAGTAATAATAAATACTATAGATGTAATATAAAGCGAGGGAATATATATATATATTTACAATTTTGAAATTATCAGTCTATTACAATTATTGGCTATGGGTGTTTTCTGAAATTTGGACAGGAGCAGCTTGTGCTTTTTCTTTGGCAAGTTTGACTTCTTCCAACAAACGCTTGTCTTCAGCTTCTTTTTCCATGATAATCTTTTTCCATTCTGGAATTGGCTTTGGTTTCTTTTTGTTAATTTCTTCTTCTTTCATGGCTAACAAAATAGTACCTAATAACAAGATGATAGTAATACCTTGGGCGTACATTCTTGCTTGAACAGCTTTTTGAGCAGTAGTCATGATTTTGTCTCTGTTGACCAAGACCCAAGAACCATACAAAGAACCAGCCCATGCACCAATGATGATCTTATATTTGTGGTCATTTAATACTGTGAAACATTTATCACTTAATGACAATTTATTCCATTCTCGATATTCTTCCAAGTATTTGGATTCGGTATAATCTGATTGATGCATTTTTCTATCGAATTCAACAGACCCTTGATCAGCATAGAAAGCTGCCACTGAAATGGTTGGCATAGCAATAATGGCAGCCTTAATACTTGGATTAAAAGTAGCAAATCTTGCTGGTTGTTTATGTTTCAAATATTGGAAAATACCAACGGAAAGAATACCACCGTAGACTAAACCTTTAGTACCTTCTGCAAGGATATGGGAAATATGAGCATCCTTTTCTTCTTTAGATAAAATCTTCATTTTTGAAATTAGAAGTATTGATAAGTTGTGGAGTTTAAATTAAGTATATTTAAAAAAAAAAAAAGAATCGGACTAGAAAGAAAGAAAGAAAAAAAAAAGGAGCCAATTGTGGGTTTTTATATATTATATGGAAGAAATCGGAATTTGAAAATGGATAATTGTCGCGCACACACTCATCTCAGATTTTCCAAAGCCCTTTCTCGCCTGTTGAACTACAGTTTTTTTATTTCGCGCGGGAATTGAATTGAGGACAATACAGTTCTTCCTTATTAAAAAAGAAACGCGGGAGGTTTATTATACAATGAGAGTGTATCATTCGATGAGTTATATGTTCCTACATTACCCTGTTCTATAGTCATGGATTATTTCCATTACTTTTAATCAGTTGTATTATTATTATTATATCAACTTTACACAGAGCAGTCATTTCTTTTTCTTAATCCATACCCATTGCAACTCAAACTCAAATCAAAAAAGAAATCACAGTATGTCATTCAGTGTGAGTCAGTGATTGGTCTTTAAGGTGCTAATACCCATGGACCATATGAAATATCTCAAACTGAATTAGTTTCTTATTCCCCGATCACCAAAACCATAAAATCTGGGGAAATCAAATTTGGGATTAAAATTTTACTTTTCTTTCTTTGTTTCTTTGTTGGATAAATCGTTTATAATGGGATTTTGTGAAAGTTAGTTGAGCAGGGTTTACTTCTAGACTATAAAGATCGAGATCAATTAACCATTGATAAATGCAAGGTTAGAATTTAATTATACAGTTTGTCAGGGGTATGAACTTCTTGTATCATCTTGTAACATTCATGCCTTTTTCTACACCCGTTTAGTCTATTTTTTTTTTGTTTTCTCCTTGATTCCATTGTGATTATAAAACATAAATGATTGTCCTGTAGAATATATCTACAATATGAGCAAATTTTCTTGAAGCTTATCTTTTAGAATCTAATATTGAGTTAATTTTGCCATAACTGTTTTAGGGTAGATCTATTCTGTCGTTAAAAAATCAAAAAGCTTTGTGTTCTACTTTTCTGTCCTCATACATAAAGGCGCGAAAAAGTCTTCCAAAAAAAATAATGAACAGATAATGAGATAAAAAAAAAACTACTATTAAAAGAACCACATACCTACAGACATATGGACCACTCTCAACACGCTGATATGCAAATCTCAATGTCTCACGAAGGCATGGACCACTCTATGCCAGGTATGGATGATGATAGATGTTCAATGAATGTATGTGGAAATCTTTTTTTTGTCTGTCTATAATCCCATAATAACAGCTCACGTACTAACGATCTAGATGATATTCACTTGGGATTGGAAAAATTCATGTATTGTTTTCAAATGGTGGCATGTTAAAACACCAACTGGATTTGTTGTCACTTTAATTGCCATTACTTTATTAGGTGCATTCTATGAATTATTCAAAGCTTGGTTCAGTCGTTGGGAACGAAATGAATTGGCAACATTGGCTGCTTCTAATTCTCCAACTGCAGTACAAGAACGTAAATTCAAATTGAAAAGAGGAGTATTCTATGGTTTTCAAGTACTTTATTCATTTTGGTTGATGTTGGTGTTTATGACTTACAATGGTTGGTACATGTTGGCCATAGCCGTGGGTGCGGGTTTAGGTAACTTTATTTGGGGAAATAGCGCATCTGGTGAAGCAGGATCAGCAAGAAATATGTCATGTCATTAGTTAGAGGTGGTTAGTATCATCATATCACATAAATATATACACCTTTTGGTCTTTGTCTACCCTGACTTTATTTTAACTTACGGGTACGGTGTTGGACATAATTTTTGTGCCATCTGTGCCGCATTTAGCTTTCTCTCTCTCTCTCTTTTTTTTTTCAATTTTCGTGTCGCCAAATTCAGTCAATTGAAAAAAAAAAAAAATTGAATATTCTCTTTACCAGTTAGAATAAGCAACACCATACCCTTCCCCAGCCAAATCATGAAGTTATCATACATTCAGTATACATTACTAGGTTTGAATGTACTATACAGATTATATTCTGGTCTTTTCATGATAATAGCAGATTGTGATGAAACTTTCAACTATTGGGAACCGTTAAATTTACTACTACGAGGATTTGGAAAACAAACCTGGGAGTATTCTCCTGAGTACAAGATTCGATCATATGCCTATCTATTCCCGTATTATATACTTGGAAGAATCCTTCAACTACTCAACTTGAGTCCAGTAATGATATTCTATTCCATCCGAGTTTTGGGAATTATTGGGTTTACATGTTATTGTGAATGGAAGTTATTCAGTTCTCTTCGTCGTTATTCTTCAACACTTGCCAATTGGTGGTTATTTTTTGATACCATTGCTCCAGGGATGAGTCATGCTGGAGTGGCTCTTTTACCTTCATCATTGGCAATGCAAACCGCTATGTTGGCAAATTCCTATCTTCTTCGTGCTGTTGGAACCAGTAAGGACGCTCAGAATCTTGGTAATAATATCACCAAAGCTATTTTCTGGTATTTTATTGGAGGAATCTTTGGTTGGCCATTTGCATTGGCTCTCGGAGTGCCTGTTGGTCTCTACACTATGTATCATACCGTCTTCACTGGAAGCCTCAAGTTTGGGATATATTTTAAAATCTTGGCAGTGTTACTGGGAATTGTTGGTTTGGTAGTACTTATAGATACTATTTATTATAAACAATTTATGTTTATACCTATCAATATTGTCTTGTATAACGTTTTTGGTGGTGAAGGAGAAGGACCAGAGATTTTTGGTGTTGAACCATTGAGTTACTATGTTTTAAATCTTGCCTTGAATTTCCATGTTATATTCCCCTTAGGTGTAGCAGGGATGGCATTGAACCCTATGATCTCACAGGGAAAGGAGTTTTCCACCCTTGTTTCCATGCAGTTGATAGTGTGGATGGGTATTTTTTTTAGCCAACCACATAAAGAAGAAAGATTTCTTTATCCGATCTACTCATTGATTTCATTACTGGCGGCTATTTTCCTCTCAAAGTTAGCCTTGGGAGTTAAACGCTTTATTTCCAAGAAAGTATTTACTATCTTACAAGCAGGTTTTATTTTGAGTTTAATTACCGTTTCGAATTTAAGAATATTGAATCTTGTGGAGAATTATGCTGCACCATTGAAAACATTCAATACTGTTGCTAGACTTGAAGAGGCTACTACCACATCTCCAGTCAATGTATGTATGGGTAAAGAATGGTACCATTTCCCTGCATCATTTTTCTTACCAGATTCATATAGATTGAGGTTTGTTGAATGTGGCTTTGATGGTTTGTTACCGGGTGATTTCTATGAACTGGATAATATTTTTGAATCCACTACACACATCCCAGCAAATATGAATAATAAGAACAAATTTGAGCTGGATAAAGTTGTCAGTTTAACAGAATGTGATTATTTTGTTGACAATTCGCAATTTGATAGCATTCCACAATTATTATACCCTAATTTGACGACTGCACCAGGTTGGGAGGTGATGGATTGCAACAAGATGTTGAATCCTAATGGACATCATAGTTTCATTGGTAAATTACTATATATTCCTTATTTCAGAGTAGAACGTATGGATTTTTGCGTTCTCAAAAAGGTTGTCGATGTTTAGGTGTTGGTTGAAATGACCGAATAATACTTATATAGCAGAAAGGAAACTAGCTAAATGTAAGATCAAAGTAAGTATATCCCCCCCCCCATTTATAGAGCTGAAAAATTTATGTCGTAATCACCATTTGTACATTAATTGAAAGACTATAAAAAAAAAACCAACCTCAATCTTAATAAGGTCAATTCATGTCTATCATCACTTGCACTATAAGAGTATACTTCTCTGCCATCCCCAGAATCGAATATTAAAGAAAAACAAACTAAAAAAAGGGTAAACGAATCATCAAAGGCAAAAAAATAGGGTAAACGATTCAAAGGCAAAAAAAAAATTATAACTATTTGTTGTACAAAGTACCTATCCCAACCTTTTAAAAACAAATATCAATCATAATATTCTTCTAATGCTTCTCTAGATTTAACAAAAAGATCTCTGGCTTTGGATAATGCATCTTGAATTAAAGCTATCCAAAAATCATCACTCGACTCGTCGGGTATGGTATCATTAGTTTTTTCATCATCATTGATCTCTGTATTGTTATTAGTAGAATCGTTATTAACTACTGTTTTATCATTGATTTCATTTCCATTATCAATACCTGATTTCGCCGTAGTATCTGAATTTGCACTCTGTGTATCCTTCAATTGGAAATTATCAAAATTGATTTTATGACCATAATTTTGAATTCTTTCACATTCATTTGCAATTTTAGCTAAACCTAAAGCAGCAGCTGAACCTTTCAAGAAATGACCCGACGATGATAATTTTTCTAAATTTTTTTCTTTCAAATATTGATCAATTTCTTCAAAAGTATCTTCAACTTGACTTACAAATGTTTCAAATAATGAATGAGAAAATCCTTCTTCATCTTCATCCATGGCTACTATCTCACTGAAAACTGACCATTCAACAAGACCTGAGTCTTGTAACTTTTGTAATTTTTCTTCTGGCATTATAAACTTTGTAATATCTCACACTAACACACTCACACTTTGTCTCTCTATCTCTCTATCTCTCTTTTCTCTCTGTCCCTTTCTTTGTAGGCAAATCAAACGAACAATGATATTCACACTGAGGTAATTGGCTATTTGATTTGAATTGATTTGATTTAATTCGATCGTCCTGATATCAGACTTCTTCCCACTTTTGTAATTCAACTTTGTATTTCAAAGGATGTTAAAGAAACAAACTAATAAAAAAAAAGAGAAAAAGAAGGAAAATAATGTTAACGAAATAAAAATTCTTAAATTTGGTGTTTTACCTCTCAATTGAGTTTTTTTTTTTTTTCCTTTTTCCTTTTTTTTTTTTTTCTCTGTTTGTTGATTTTTCTTCTCGTTCTCTCTCTGTCTCTGTCTCTGTCTCTGTGTCTTCTCTTTTTTTTCTTCTGCCCTTTGTCCCTCGTGTGGTGGTGGTGGTGGTGATGGTGATAAAACGTCAAAATTGCAAATTTTAATATGAAGAAATGCAGACCATTAGTGAAGGAATATTAGGATAAAGCAAATATCATAATTCTAGCAATTGTAATCTACTCCTTTATATATATATATGTGTGCATTTAATAATCCTATTGTATTTAATTGTGGGTATATGCAACTGATTCTTTTTTTGAACGCAAGATTCACTGGTCACATTACGTCATACGACAAAAATATATGAAAATAAAGAAAACAAAGCCTACTCTCTCTCCTCCTTCCCTCCCCCCCCCCTTTTGGATTCAAAGTAGGAAATTTAAAATATGTCACGTGACTGTTTGTATTATATTCTATGAAAAGTAATCTAAACAATAAAAGAAAAAAAAAAACCATCTATAATGTCTTTATATATATCTATTGATTGAATTCATAAAAGTCTCCCAATTTATTAATAAAGTAAGTCGGAGCTTCATTTGCATTTAATTGCTTAACATTTTCTTCTGTTTCAATACCAGTTAAAACCAACAAGGTGTCCAAGTTACCATCCCTGCCGAATTTCATATCAGTATTCAAACGATCACCAATCATCAAACCTCTTCTTGGATTTTCTCCCAATTTAGGGAAATCAGCTTTAATACTGTTCATCATAGATTGGTTTGGCTTACCACAGATGGCATCAGGCTGTCTACTACTGGCAAAACTAACAGTTTCAATAATAGAACCAGCACCAATCAATAATTTTCCATTAGTTGGGAAAGTAGAATCAATATTGGTTGCAATAAATGGAATTGTCTTATTATCTTTCAATAAATATTGTAAAGTTAAAGATAATTTCAAGTAGTTGACATCAAATAACAATCCACATAAAACACAACCAACATCATTATCCAAATTACTAAATCTTGGATCATTAAGATCAAATGGAGTTCCATTTGAAGTTAAATCTGGATCAGTACCACCAATTGTTGTATATCCTAATTCTTTAAGTTCTTGTTCAATACCTTTTTCTCCTAAAACCCAAATTTTCTTATCTTTAGGTAATTTCAAAATCTTTTCAATATAGATAGCAGAAGCATATGAAGATCCAAAAATTTCTTGCTTGGTAACATTATTTATACCAAGTTTTTCAAATTTTTTAAGATAATCATTTCTTGATTTAGTTGAATTATTAGTCACGAATATAACTTGCTTGTTTTTTTCTTTCAATAATGATAAAGTTTCTGGAATTGATGGTAATAAATGATCACCTAACCATAATACACCATCACAGTCAAATAAGAAATAATCATATTTATCAAGCAAGTCATTGACTTGTTCTTTGGAAGTGATTTTCACAGACATCGTTGATTGTAAGTAAGTATTAGTGTCGATTATACCGCGGTTCTGTTGATTTTGATTTTGATTTTGATATTGATTTTTTTTTTTTTTTTTTTGTTCTTTTTTCGTTGAGTTTTAAAGTGAATATTTTTCAAAACTTTCACTTCTTCTTTTATTCCGCACGGAATTTGAACCGTTTATTCCGCACATCAGCATATGCCACGTTTAGTGGTTGCAGGTCTACACCGATATAATTAAAATATTCGTCATAAAATTCATTAATACATTAAAAAAGAATCATTAAACACTATACATAATTACTACTCAATTACCATTTCAACACCTCCAAAATTTATGGATTTGAAATTAGGGTTGATTCTTTTGATTTCTTCTGTTAAATAATTTAAACAACTGTGTTTAAACAATTCCTGGAACCTGTTGAATAAATTCTCTTGTTTTCTGAAATACTTGACGTTCATTGAGTAGATTATTGGTTGGTTAAATTGTTTTGTTTGCAATTGATTGATAATATAAGACAAAAGCTTTGCATTACAATTCTTATTTAACCAAACAGTGGTGGTTTCTGTATTACTATCAACGTCATCATCAGTAGAAAAATCCTTAAAATTGTGGACATAATTATTAGCAGCATCATACTCTGCCATTGCATTGAAGATCTTTCTGGATTTGCAACATTCATGACATTTACAATCGTTTAGTAAATTGTCGTACAGAGCCATTGAAGGGAACCAATAATTGAAGAAATCATAGATTTCCAAACATTCCAATCTTGAATCCTTAAACGCGTTGAAAAAGCGTCTCAAATTTAACAGGGTGGAGTTGTTGGAAAATTCATTCAAGTTGATGTACAAGTAGTTCAATTTGGAAAATTTCTGGAGCACTTTTGTTAATTGGTTATTGATGATATTATCGTATTTAGACAGACACTTTGAGTTACGATTGATAATTGATAATCTTCGAAGTTCATTAAAATCATTAATTTGAGACAATTCTTGGTAAAAGTCACTGATGCAATCACAGTCTGGGTGATAACAATTTAACCTTAATTCTAAGTCATGCAATTTATTAAAGTTGATATTTGACAATTGACTCAACTTCAATTTATTTTCTCTGAAACTATGCGAGTATGTGATACCGAGTTTTTGTAAGTTATCACATTTAATTGATGATTCGATGAAAAACTTTGTTGATGTGGTAGTATTCAATTGTAGCACTCTCAAGTTTTCTAATTCAGTATTTATAGTTTTGCTAAATTTATTTTCAAAGAACAAATTCAAATTCTCAACTCTTCTATGGATCACATCATGTTCATTAAATATAGTCAAATTTTGTAAATTATTAAGAATGCAATTATCATCATCTTGTGTATCGATGTCAATCTCATCATTTTCTTGCATTATACGGGCAAAGTTCTTGTTTGCCAAATATTGGTTAATTGATTGTCTTTGTCTGATGTTTTCAATGTCAAAGTTAATAAACTCGATTGGATGGTCTAAATATTTCCAGTATGTATTGAATTTGGCGTAGATTAAATCATAATTGAACAGATTAAAATTTGATTTGCAATGTATGTGGAAAGTTCTAATGTGGCGGAAATTTCGAATAGATAAGGAGTTCATGAATGAATCTAATTTATCAATATGAATAAAAGTTTGTCTTTGGAGCAGACGCTGTTTCACAATAGCCTCATTATCATTGTCAAAAATTACTATGTTCTTGTATAATCTTTCATTAACCAAATAGTTGAATAATTTGCTAGTTTGTGATAAGGAATGGCTGTTCTCCGACAGATCAAGTATTAAACGGAGTATATCTATTGGTAAATCAGTTAATGACAACATTTCGAATATGTTATAAAATGGATGAATTAATTAGTTGAATGAATGAATGAATGAAAAAAAAAAATAAGAATAAGAATAAAAATAATAGAAATATTGATGGCTATTTATATAGGTTTCTTTACTCCCCTTTTTTTTATTGCTAGTCGGTATTAGTTACATTTGGATGACATCTTTTTCGGTGTACAAATAATTCTGCAGCAAGCAGCAAAAAGAAAAAGAAACCAAAACAAAACACACACGCACACACACACACACAAAAGCAAAAAAAATATGGGGTAAACGGAGGTTAACATCCGAGTGCACGAACCAGCCAAATGCCTCACAGTTTGGAAATGTTCCGCTGCGTTATATTTTTTATTGCTCTTAAAGTTGTTAGTTGTACTTCCGTGCTACCGCTGGCAAATTCTTACCAAGAAAAAAAAAATAAAACTAGAAACTGTATTGCCCAACACATCCACAGTACAGAGGTTACTTTGTCACGGCATTTGTTACATTTAGTTCCTGTAGAAACGTGGAGCTAATTACTCGTGCCATTCATCCATGAAGTAAAGTTAGTCATTTGAAAGCTCGTTGAGGCGTCCTTCTTTTGCACACAAGATGCTTTTCATTTCATTTCTTTTTTTGTTAGACGATTTTTCTTGTCATTGTTACTGTGGTGGTGGTAGAAGTGGTGGTGGTGGTGTTCACCAAGGGAATTGTTGTTGCATACATTTGTGTACAAACTGTGGTTATGTATTATTTTTAGAAAGTCCCATTTCGGACTTCGATTCTAGACAAGATCTTCCGCTAGTCCCTTAGCCCACGGCAATAGCATAGAGAAGTGTTGTGGATGAAATAAGGTTGCAAGGAGAAATAAAAAGGGGGGAATGTGTGTATCTATCTATGTGTGTGTGTGTAGACAGATGGCTATGTTCCCACCGAAAGTAAAAATAGAGTAAGCGCATTTCCTCTTTGATGACAGATTCCTGTTGCATTCACATATTTCCGGATGACCTTGACACGTGACTAACAGTAACAAAGTCAAGTTACTTCCGGGCATCCGTTTTTTTTTTATTATTATTTTGTTTCTCCTTACAGTTCCTCCTTCCCCTCCCTCTCTCTTTCGCCTTTGCTGCAGCTATTGTTAGCGGCATTCTCGCTAGGTATTACTCTTTACTCAACATAAATGCCGATGGCTAAGTCATTTATACACAAACTCTACAGATGAAACCTTAAATGAGTCAGAAGCTGGGATTATCTATTGAATCTACTATTTTGTGGTAAGCTCTACCAACTTGAATCAAAGAACAAAATATGTATTAATGGAACAGTCCCCATTCTCCTATTTGATCATACACAATGAAATTATTGCTTTGCAACCATTTTTGAATACCGTTGTCGATCTTCAGCACTATCAAACTTTATATCAATATCGTCATCGTCACTTTCGTCAGAATCTTCATTCGTGTGAATAACACGTCTCCGCTTGTCAACAAACACTGTTGTAGGCTGTTCTTTCTGTTCCAACTCATTTGACTTCCATTTCGAAATTCTTTGTTGTCTATCTTCTTTGGATCGAGTTAAAGATTTGCTGGATGAAGTGCTCAACTCACGCAACTCCTGGAGTATTGTTTTATCTTTATTCTTATCTGCCTTGGTATTCGACAAAGCTCCAGTTGGATCATACCCTATTTGCGATAACATTGAATTGGTAAACACCTTTTTTGCTCCTTCTTTCGAAGTTGAATGCGATTGTGATAATTGAAGATTTGAAAGTAACGATCTCGAACCTAAATTATTTAACTTCTTTTCCAATCTTTCATTTGCTTTCTCGTCAACTAATTTTCTTCGTTTAATCTGTGTTTGCAATATCTTGGGGTCTTGGTAGCGCTTGTTGTCAAAAGGCGAACTATTGCTCAAACCAACCACCGTAGTATCTTCATTAAATTGCTTAATATAACCAGATCCCCTATTGTCCATGTACATTTTGCTGTTTCCTTTCTTTGGAGACCTGATAGATACGCTCCCATTAAGCTCCATCCTTGTGCTAGATTTAAATTTCATATCCATGTGAATGTCACATAATTCTTGATTCTTGATATTGATCGCATTATTACAGCGTGAATTATCCAGTTTCCTAATGTATCTGCAAATTCCAAAGTCTCTAATGGACCCTACTTCTAAAATACTCGACAAGTTCATGTTATCTATTTTCAAATTGAACCCAGATCTATACTGACCTTTGCTTACCTGTATTTCATATCTATTGATCAATGGGTTTAAAATAAAGAGCAAATCTCCCTGTTGGACTTTGAAATATTTCTCAAACGCCTTATCAAATAACATTATTTCTATTGAGTTGACAAAACTTCCTATTCTCAACTTCATATATTTCTTGTTATTAGATGTGACCTGAATGGGTGATTTGAACAAAACAAAGCCCACAAGACACCAGTTAGAATAAGGTGGATCAGCATAGTTGTTTGATTTGTTTGTTTTTGCTAAAAACTTTTCAATCTTTAAAAACTTCATCTCACTGTCGATTTCTTCAACAGCTGCTTCAACTTGAGCTGAAGTGAGATACCTTTTCCGCAAATACATCTTAGATATAGGTTCTAGCTCATCATTTACCGTCACAGGATTAGATTTGTACTTATGTAGACGAAACTCTTGCATTCTTTTCGAATAATCAATTTTAGAATCACTACTATGACTATAATTTGCTTCGTATAGCTTTCTAACAAAGTTCGAAGGTTCTTTCATCACTGGAGCTTTGTGATCTTGCTCTGGCCGTCTAGTAACTACCTCTTCTATGACATCTTTATTCTTTTGTTTTTCTGGTGTCTGGGGAACTTCAGTCTGATTATCTCTATGTTCCTTTTGCTTTGTTTGTTGCTTTTGGGCTAATTTCTTAAGCTTCTTTTGTTTCTTCAATTGCTCATACTTCAATTCAAACTCTTTAACCAAATCCTTCAATTCATCTGATGAATCTTCTGTTAATACGGTATCTGAATCTATTGTTTCATCTCTGGGATCATTCATTTCGTTGTCTTGTTGATGACACTGACGAACGCGTCTATCATCGGGATGGTTATATAAAAAAAAAATTGCACTCAATTGTTCTGGATCTGATTCTATTTTTTCTTCGACGATTACGTGTGAACTAAGAATGAGAACCAAAAAAAAAATCAAAAACTTGAAAACTGAAAAATTGACCACGAACCAAAAATCAACTCACTCAAGCAATAGTATAACTTTTGCTATCTACATTTGGTAATTGACTCATTCGTACTTAATCATGCCTCGAGGTAGAAGCAAGTCCATTGTTCAAAAGATTGCCAATGATGTGCCGAATGATTCTATGGATGGAAATCGCTTGGACAATCTTTTAAAAGTTCACGGCACTCACGAGAATGTTACCAGTCCACCTAATCAACAAACCATCAAGCATACTAGAGCACAATCTGTTAGCTATCTATCTGGAGAAAATAGACCTCAATGTTTGACCAGCCACCTCCCTGAAGTTCATACAACCTACCCTTTAACAGAGGCAGAAACACAAAGTATCCAAGCTCGTTACCTCAATACTTATGACTACGACTTCATCTTGGATCCACACCATATTACCGTCATCAACGATTTCCAATTGGATACGATATTGAACTTCCAAAATATTGTTAAGAGGAACAAAACTCAAGTGAAGGAATTTGTCGATGATACAGATAATATATTGTCCAACGTTGAATCAATGTTGTCCAAATACAGAAAGATTTCCCATGATACGCTCGATTTTGACAAGGAAGCCAACGAATTATTGGATTTACAAACATCGTGCCAAAGCAAATACGAACAAATCAACGAATACTTGCAACACTTTGAATACTTGGATTTTGTTACCAAGAACTTGTCACGATCGGGTACTCATCTATTAAATTCTAGAAGAGAATTCTTTATTGATTCTATTTTGAAAAAGCTTGATTTGTCTTTAGCATTTGTTGAGGAGCACCCAGATTTCAGTCAGTCAGAGTTATATGCAAGCCGTTTCAGACAATGCATGACAAGGGCACTTTCGTTAATTCGAAATTATTTAGGTAAAGAATTAAAGTCTATTGCTGATTCTGTGACCAATAAGTTGCACAACGAGGCTCTGGATAAAAAGCAAATGCAATTGACAATTGATTTATTGTTATACCATGAATATAGTAATTACCTTAAAGAAAATCAGGACGCATTCAATGAGTTGATCCTTCAAATTCAAGAACAAGCTTCCACTCATCCTGAATACAATGGGTTGTTACACGATGTTTTGAATAGGTATTTTGCTGATAGGCTTGCATTTTTGAAATTATATATCGAGAAGACTTCTACAATCGACTCAATTTATACGAACAACACTCCTGAGTTGGTACAAACATGTCAAGACCAGATTTCCTATTTTGAGAAAGTTGTCGAGAAAGAGCTTGGTTTATTTAAGAGATTCTTTGTTCCTCGGAGTCTGGATGATTATGTTATGAACGAATGGTATCTGTTCTTGAAGAAAGTTTTGGAACCATTGTATGATGTGGTTCGCTTATTGGTTTTGCGTGAGCTGAACATTAGTCACTTGTGCCAGTTAACAACATTGTTACAAAAGTATTACGAATTTGACAACCAGGATCAAGATGGTTCCTTTATCAATGCAGGTGGTGCTAATGAAGGAATTCTGGTTGATCATGGTGTGCTTTTCCAACCTTTGCTTGATGAGGTTCAGAGCAGATTAGTTTTCCGAATCCAGAAATACGTTGATGAGAAATTGATTCGTTTCAAACCAAATGTAACAGATTTAAAGTGTGGATACCAAGTCAGTGGTGGTACTTCTAGTGAAAACAAAAGGAATGAATCATTGAATGCAGATTATAGCGAAAATTTATTCCCGGATATATACTTGCCGCTTGGGAAATCATTGACGTTGTTGTCTAATATTTATGAACTAATCAATTCTGTGGTGTTTGATGATCTAGCTCATTATATCGTTCATGCCTGTATTGAATTGCTTCGGGGTGAATTCTTATCCTTAGCAACTGCACATATGGGATCCATAGATGCCAAGTTGATCTATCTTAGAAACTTGTTGATTCTAAGACGTCAAATAAACACGTTTGACATCCAATATACCCGATCAGATTACCAGATTGATTTCACTAGCGGGTTGGTAGATATCTGGCAAATGATAAAAACCAGAAACTTTAAACTTAATAACAATGGCTTAATCGACTTGGCAAGTAAAGCAGTACCAAAAATTATCAGCAACATGATTGATGCAAACCAGGAAATTGAAATTGAACTTGGAAATGCCGTTACATCGTTGATAAATGAGTGTTCAAACACTATATGTCACCCATTGATGTTACCTGAATCCCAATCGGAAGTTTCTATATCTGTTATTTGTTCATTTAGAGATAATTTGATTTCGGAAATTCCTTCCTTTTATTCGAGAATTACCCTGTTCATTGACGATCCTGTTGTTAGTCATTTCTTGATGAATAATTTATCCAATGCAATAGTAGCAATCTATGAGAACTACTATAATAAACTAGCTGCCACTGTACAAACTATGAGTGATGAAGAAAAGGAGCAATTCAATGAAATAACTGAAGTGGACTCCATTTATGGCTACATTACGGAAATGATTAGTCAGTTGCATAACGAGAAGAAATTTGAGAACGAAAACATCGAATCGTTGCAGTTTGATGAAAATATATTGCAAGAGTTAAATCTTGATGATAAAGGTGCTTCCAAAATGGAGAAATCGCCATCTCCCCTAACTCAAATTGAATGATAGCTTTATTGTAACATCATATAGAACAATATACATAACCCCACGAATTCATATTAGTCTTTTCTTAAAAAAAAAAGTGTTGTAAGAAATAGTAATTACACATATAGAGTATATATCTCAGTTTGGCAGGAGTGCTGTACCTCAACATAATAACCAATTCTATAATCACGTCTATTCACTATTTATCTAAGTTTGGTTTCCAAGTCGCCGACAGGTGCCATCTGTTAACTGTCTCTATCGCAATTCTTGCCATTATTAAACCATTCATAAAATGACCCTTCCCCTGTAACGATCCCTTTGTAAACCAAATCAAAAACTCCCAGGGCGTCTCAATATCATATTTCCTTTATTCGTGTCGTCGTCATCTCCCAATAACTACCGCAAATGACCAAGGGGCAACCTACTGATGAAATAAAGACATCTATTACCTAATCCACTTTCAATAACTTTATTCTTCTTCAAAGGGGTTATAGATATTCTTCGATAACAAGCGGTTTAATTCTGCCTTAACAATATCAACCTTGTCATGTTGGATTAACAAATGGGTATCATCTAACTCCTCCAAAATTATCCCCGGACTTGTTGAATCAATTTGTATTATCAATGCTTTAATAGAAGGATCACATTGCACTAAGACACCTTTACTTGCCACTAACATGATCTAATGTAAATACAAGTTGATCGTATGAATTACTCCAAAGTCAGATCATTCAATGTTTATCTGTCAAAGAAAAATTTTTTTTTCTCCATGTACTATTTCGGCGTGGAAATTTCTTCGTACTAAATCCTCGGCCGACTTCATTCTAGAGCTACAGTGGTTTGTTCATATCACACGTGCTATATAACTACAGTGTCAAATGGAACATAGTATGTGGACTATATAGACGGTACACACATTAACCAGTAATAAAATGAAACCGCTCAAAACCAATAAATCAATTTGTTAAGCTATAAATACCTCACGACTTCTTAAAATAAAATAGCAAAACAGTGGATACATATGTCTTTTTTTTTTGCTCCGATTTCAATTTGTCAAGGATTGACAGGCACCAAACTGGATTCAAAACAAAAGAAAAGTGACGTTCTTAAGAAAAAGTCGCCTGAGAATGTTAGTCTGATAGTAATATCCTTGACTGAAGAGACAATTTTAGGTTCAGCAGATGTACTGCTAATGTCCGGCGTTGCCATATTTCTAATCACTTCTGTTGATATGATTTGTGGAGATAGAGATACCACTAGCTTATTAATCTATTTCAGTGTTGCATCTGGATATTTATGTGGAAGTTATGTATTTCAAGACTGACATATTCACAAATGTCAATCAATGGCAACGAGTAAGGAATCAGAATCCGTGTCGAAACCCAACCAGTCATCGATTACCTGTCTTGCTACAATACTATTTCTATTGGGCATTCAATATAATATTATGGCATTGATTTTAAAAAGGAATTCCGCCAAGTCTTCTGGACTTACTGGATTCTTCTTTAATGTATTACCTTACAGCTGTTCAGTGAAATTTCTAATTGCGACGGTAGTAGTACAGAATCTTGAAGACCGTCGCTACAGCCATTCAACTGAAACCGTGAAGGAGTACAATATCGTTAAGGCTAGATTTCTGCCATCTCCTTGGTGGCTCGTAATGGCATTTTTGGTGTTTGTGGTGGTATTAATTGTGAATAAGAGACTGGAATTCAAGGACTATCGAATTTCATTTATCAGTGTTGTTTTTTCTGTGATATCGTTTATTACTTTAGCAAGTTGGGGATGCTTCAATGTTGAGTTTAAGGAGAGTCTTTAAAAGAAACTGGACTTAAAATCAAAGAGCAGTCAATATCTTCTGACAGCCTATACTTGTAGTATCATTTTGGCATCATCTGGATTTCAATCTTTATTAACAATTCATGAAAGATGGGTAAGTGGAAATTCCACAATATCAACCATTTGTTTGATTCTTGCTAGGATTTTTAATTTTGTTGCAGTGATACAGAGAGCTGAAATTCGAAAATTTACTAATAAGCCTTAATGGACAGATCAAGGACGAGAAACAAGGTAACATGAAGTATGAAACGATTATTTTTTTATGAGGTACTAGTTCATCAATATTTCATCGTGTTTCACCCGCTCAGTGCCTTGTTCAATTGCTTCGGTAACTGTCACAATGAACTGCATTAGTCTCGGGGTAATTTGTTTGTCACCAATGTGTTGCAGCTATCAAAGAGACTTGTGATATCTAATTTCGGTGAACAAGTGGCTGGTAATGAAATGGAAGAATACCCTATTCTTTGGTAATAGTGTTGAATCCTATACGATTTGCTGGATTTAGTCTTTATCTTAAGTGAGTGCTCATTCTGGTTATGGGTATCAGTGGTTTTAATTGAGAACCCTAATGCATCAACTGGTTACTGCACAATTTGGGCTGCCTTGGGACCCCTTTGGCTGCTGTTATGCCCTGCATCACGTAACAGTTGAGGGGTCTTCTGTATGACAACTATGCTATGGAATCCCATTCACCATTGGCCGGATCTCACTTTCGGTTTGCCCATGTAATCACGTGGTGATTGGTTTTGTGTCATTTCTGACTAAGCTTTTCTTTTGATATGCCCCATACATTATTTTTTGGTATGCCACCGTATTCTTTGGTATGCTTCTTCGGGGGTTTTATGTTATGCTCGGATGCAGTTATATTGTAATGCTCGGCTAAAGTTATATTGTAATGCTCGGCCGAAATTAGTTTGTTATGCCCAGCTCCATGTTTATTTGATATGCTCGGGTAAAGCTAATTTGATATGCTCGGGTGAGTATATTTTTGGTATGCCTGGTGGTCCCTATTTGTTATGCCCGGTGGTCCCTCTTTGTTATGCTCGGGTGAATTTATATTGTTATGCCTCTCCGAATGTTTTTTGTTATGCCTCCTCGAATGTTGTTTGTTATGCCTCTTCCAACGTTTTATGGTATGCCGGGTGAACCCTGTATGTTATGCTGGGCTGGATCATATATGATATGCCCGGTGATTGTATCTAGAGTTTTGTGATTCACCGACCCTGAATGCGTCATCTTGTTGCAAGCTTTCCTAAAGCTCAATCATCAAGGGACCTGAGGCATGACCGGAACTATGTGTCGAAGGTCGGAAGTGCTTAGCATGTGTGGAAGCCAATGTTTGACAGAGGTGTCCACTTGATATCCTGGTAGTTGCTAAATCATTATAGGAGTATGGCTTTTCAATCTGAGTGAACAGGCATTCATGTTTGTGGGATAAGATCATGATTTCAAGGTGTCCATTTCCCGTTAATTATCAATGCATTATAGAGTTATCCACAAGTTCAATTGATGATTATCTAGGTAATAGATTGACCATAGCCAACATGTAGACTAATAGATATTGTAACAGGGCTAAAGCGTGAAATAAAGCCAAATATTCCACACATTAAATATGCCATTGGTGTACTTTATTAGCTACTTTCAAGACCCACAACCTGTAATACTAATTGAGTTGTCAGAAACTGTGATAGCAACAGTTGTAGCAGCTATACAAGCTGTAGCAACGGCTCTGTGATTAGTAGTAGACATAACAATTACCAAATCTATTTCTGTATAAGTTTACATGCAATACCATATGATAAAGCAGACATATATACAGCTGTCCACTATGTGATACTAGTGTGTCTACTTCCCTTTTGATAACCCACGTTCTACTATACTTCTAACTCACATACAACGTACAATGTCAGTGTTTCTTCATACATTATATCAAACTTTAATTCATTATATTGGTGGCAATGGCACAACTAACGTTCTTAAAAGTATCATAGATGGCAATTCACTACTCTTTATGCAATTCCATGGTGATTTCAACCATTTGGGTATTGTCACTGTTGGTGTCTATTGGACTATGAAATGTCGTTTGCACCCTTTGTCGCAAGTTCAATGTTGCATGTCGCATTTACCGTGTCGCATAAATCATGTCGCATCAGTCATGTCGGATGTACCATGTCGCGTATCTCGTGTCGCACCCACCATGTCGCATCAACCATGTCGCTGGTACCTACGACATGTGTATCCATGCGACACATATGACGGGCAACATTTTAAGGTTTATCCGATATAAGACATTTTTGACAGAAAAAAAGTTTGACACTCAGATAATGTCAGAGCACACATATTAGCTACCACGCGACATATGCGGAAAAGGAAAAGGAAAAGTAGAAACGGAGATATCATAATGTCGCACGACAGTCGCTTTTTTTCCATGTCGTAAAATTCTACAACTAATTGTACGTGTGGAAATTATTGCCAAACACAGCAAAGATATTTGTATAGTCATATGGAGACTGAATAAGACTTACAATGCTGTTATTCAAATATGAGAGGTATTACGTAGGATACCGGAACACTGCTGACCCGGAAGTGGGAAATTATCGGGTCATATTGTTGGAAAGGGTCTTACATATAGATCACAAAGCCTGGCTTCCTTTTCAAGGTGACGCATATCATTAACGAAGAATAACATAAAAGCGCTCAACTAATGGAATAACAAAAAATGAGTGGAGGCAGCTGCATAACAAAAAGATCTTTGTGTTCTATCATATCAAACTCCTGGCATAGCAAAGTTATTTTTGTTACGCTGATTATTTCGATATGCTAGCTATTTCGATATGCTAGCTACTTCGATATGCTGACTAGTTTGATACGCTGACTAGTTTGTTATGCTGATTATTTCGATATGTTGACTAGTTTGATATGCTGATTATTTTGATATGTTGTTTATTTGTTATGATAATTTATTGTTATGCTCTATATTTGTTATGTCATTTGTTTGTTATGCTCTATATTTGTTATGCTGTGTGTTTGTTATGCTCGATATTTGGTATGCTGATTTATTTGATATGGCATTTATTTGATATGGCATTTATTTGATATGGCATTTATTTGTTATGATATATATTTGTTATTCTCTATATATGTTATGCTCGATATTTGTTATGCTTGTTGTTCATTTTTTTTTGTTATGCTGCGAAACACTTTGATATGCACTAGTAAATTTATTTGTTATCCAACTAGTTGACGTGTTTTCTGGTATGCTGGTTCCATTTATGGTATGATCGTATCTCATGCTGTTTCTATACTCTATTCCTCAGTTCAGTTCGTGTTATATGAACGTAATTTACAAATGCACAAACTTTCAAAACACAAACTGATGGGAAATTTTGATGGTGTTTTGCTGCAAATTTATACAGAAAATGCACAACAAATAGAACACACACATATCTAGTAACTACAATGTAACACGTAGCAAAATTAACTCACACTAAGCTCAGCGTATACGTTTCCATTATCATTTCACGTTGTTTCCAGGCATCTGTGATCCTGTACTGTTTGCCGAAGACAACTCGGTGGCGCTACCAAAACACAAATCCACCACTTTGCACGACCACCGCGGAATTTCCTCTAAATGAACCAATTACAGATTAGCACCTGGTAACAGTTGTTGGTGGACAAAAGCAGACACAATGGACGTGTGTGTTTCTATTACGGTGTTGTAAGATGTTGTGTGTTGTCTAGCTGGAGTACTCACATGTGTGTTAGTGTCAATTGCAACACACAAGATCCTCTTAGTGGAGACCAACAATAGCAAATGCCAGCTCAGCAATTCGAAGTAGCTATTTATACTGCATCATTTTCCTTCACCCATCTCTTGCCTGAAATCAAATTCTGGGTACTTTCATGTGGTGGTTCCTTACACTTTTTCGGGTAATTTGCTCCTGTATTTTCGGCTGTTGCAAAAGTTTTTTTCTAAGGGTGTGGGATTGAAACACAGACACAGACGCAGGTATCAAACACAAAAAGGGGGTGAACTGACCATACATAAGGGAGTTTTCTGAACACGTTAATAATGGAATTGAACAAGATAGGACAGTTTTCAATGACGTCTGGATGACTTTAATGTTGATTTTTCTTACATTTTCGGGTCGATTTGGGTAGTTTGGAACGGTGATTCTGGTGACTTGTTTTTGTAATCTTAGTGCTGGTTGTAAAAAATTTGATAGCAAATACTGCTGGTTCCAATTCATTTACTAAATTCATTGTAACAATAGCTTTATTGTGCATTGCTAACCTTGATTCAAAGTATTGTAGTTATCTAGATGCAATTTGTTTGGGCTATTTTACAGAGTATGATAAATGACTTGATGAAGTTATTTGTAGGTAATAAATAAAAGTTTAAAAGAATATTCGACTTACACGAGCGCCTCATGGGTGGCAAGTACGGCGAAAAGATATCACTGTAGCAAGAAAATCTCAGGATAGCCCCGCCCTACTATTAGTTGCTCTGCTAAAATATATGCGTCTCGTGTTGCAAAAGTGCGACTCAGAAACACAAACAGAACAAAATGAATGACCTTATTTATCTTTCTCAGGTTGGTTTGGCCAAGCTTCGCGCGCATTTTTCTTCAATCTAATGGCCGAATTTCTATCAGTTTGAGTACACTTTCTGCTAAAGTTCTGAGGACCTAGACACCAGTTACCAGCACAATATGTACGCCCATGTTGTTGTACCTAGAGAACTAATCAGTATCATTGTATTTATTATTGAACAAGTATTTTAGACAAATATTGACCAGTGGCGAATGTCAATCAAGGTGGTAATAATGAACTTCAGTTGAACAGCAGATTGCAATATCGCTAAAATATTCTATGATGATTGGGGTCTTTCAGAAACGATAATGTAACCATTAATGCTTCGTAATCAGCATTCATTTCCAAATTTCTGAGCATTATTTAGGATCTTTCATAATTAGTTTGACTACTATGCACGAAAGCGACCAGATGTAATGGAATTAGTTATTGCGTCATAAGTGAATTACTATTATTCTCTAATGCTTATCCGTCTAAAATCTAACTCATTACTGCCGTTAGTCTGTTCATATTTGTATCTTCAACTTCTAAATAGTCAGACAAGGGCTACTGAATAGAGTGGACTGGCAATGAAGTCTCTAATAAATGTATGTCAGTTACTCCTAGTGGGCGTAAGCCGCTACTCTTGCTACCGTTTTAAGGCATTGAAGAACTGCCTCTGGACAATTAGTAGCAATAGTCCTTAATCTTTTCAACTTAGTATTTTACTATAATTTACCCTCCTTAAAGTCTTCTGTACTACGAAAATGTGCAGTCTAGTTTACCATTCATAATCTATGTTGCACATATAGTCAACTGCTCATAATACGAATAGACTAAGAAGATATCCGACATACAATGGTTCTTCAATCTTTTATGTTTCAATGCTTATGTCCTTGATATAAATTTCTACTATATTCAATTTTGATATATTTTGACTAACCTTAAGTAAAGGTGATGCAGAGGCCATTTGATGTAGAGGAATGTTCACAAAACGATTGAATTAGAAGTGATGGACTGAGTGGGTCAAAGCTTTAGTCATCAACCTTAATTTTAAAGCGAAGCTTTTGCTAATCCCTACATGTTTATTGTCCCAGACATTCCATTTAAAAGATGAAATTGTTCCCTGATGAAAACAATTTACCCTAGGGACACTTTTGCCAAATAAAGTACTATGGTTTCAAATTATTGCCGCTGATATTACTAGGAACAAAGGAATCGAAGGCTATAGCTGTCAGAGAATGAAACATGAAATGTTCACACAGAAGTATCCCCAACACGACAAAGATGTGCTAGAAATAGGTTTGGCAATGTACTGTTCTACATGAATCACCGGCCGCTAGTACCATTAGATAATGATTGTAATCAACGCGATTAGGAACGAATGAGGCACCCAGAATTGATCAACATCTGAAAGTGATATGTATCATACCTAAGGAGAATCAGTATTGTTCTATAGAATTCAGCAAAATGTATTGTCTTTGCGATTGGACACTATACCCAGGAGTTAATTGCGAAGACACCAAACATAATGTCTGGTCCGCACAATTTCTCCTATACTTTTGCCTACCCTTCATAAATATATTGCGATAAAATTGTACCCAAAGTTGCCTATACCCATTCAGAATGTAGTTAAAATTGATTCCTATTACCGCGTTAACGTTCTAACTTTACTCAGCGTATTGCCATTTCTACTTCAGTTCACCCATGGACTGCTCCTACATTAAGATTTAGTGGTGGCTATATTATCTAGAATATAATCCCAATTGCTGTATTGACTAGCATTAATGGGTGGTCTGGATTCGACTATCCGCCCAACCCCTCGCACAAGGATTCTCCCACATCAAAATGTAGTAAGAAAATGCTCGTGACGGGTAAAAGAGGTCGCACTGGCCACCGTGAAATTTTGTGTCCTACGCCCGAAGGAGTCTCTGAGTTTACAGCAAAGCTGATTGAAAATGTAGTAGAAGTTTCCAAACTTTTCAACATCAATAAGTTTTCCATTACTGGAAGAATAATGAAGTTTCCCGTTTTTTGATACATAGTGAGTTGCCACTTTTTGCATCGCAGTGAAGTTACCACTTTCTGGCGATATCATGAAGTTTTCCACCAGAGAATTAACTACAATATATCCTAGAAGAGCAATTACTCGACACAAAGAGGAATGCAACTTATACTTCTGTTGCTGCTAAATAATACAAAACAATATCCAGATTATATCCTTTATCTTTTGAAAAACTAATTGTTCACAAGCACAGACAAGAAATGCATAGATCTACTTCATCTACAATTACCATATCCAGCTAGATTTGCTGTTAAATTTTTTACAACCACCACTGAGATTACAAAAACAAGGCATCAGAGACACCATTCTAAACTACCCAAATCGGCCTAAAATTGTGAGAAAAATCAACATTAAAACCATCCAGAAGTCATTGAAAACTGTCCTATCTTGTTCAATTCCATTATTAACGTGTTCAGAAAACTCCCTTATGTATGGTCAGTTCACCCCCTTTTTGTGTTTGATACCTGCGTCTGTGTCTGTGTTTCAATCCCACACCCTTAGAAAAAACTTTTGCAATAGCCGAAAATACAGGAGCAAATTACCCGAAAAAGTGTAGGGAACCACCACAAGAAAGTACCCAGAATTTGATTTCAGGCAAGAGATTGGTGAAGGAAAATGATGCAGTATAAATAGCTCCTTCCAATTGCTGAGCTGGCATTTGCTATTGTTGGTCTCCACTAAGAGGATCTTGTGTGTTGCAATTGACACTAACACACATGTGAGTACTCCAGCTAGACAACACACAACATCTTACAACACCATAATAGAGACACACACGTCCATTGTGTCTGCTTTTGTCCACCAACACCTGTAACCAGGTGCTAATCTGTAATTGGTTCATTTAGAGGAAATTCCGCGATGGTCGTGCAAAGTGGTGAATTTGTGTTTTGGTAGCACCACTAAGTTGTCTACTGCTAACAGTACAGGACCACAGATGCCTGGAGACAACGTGAAATGATAATGGAAACGTATACGCTGAACTTAGTGTGAGTTAATTTTGCTACGTGTTACATTGTAGTTACTAGATATGTGTGTGTTCTATTTGTTGTGTATTTTCTGTATAAATTTGCAGCAAAACACCATCAAAATTTCCCATCAGTTTATATTTTGAAAATTAGTGTACTTGCAAATTACGTTCATATAATACGAACTGAAGTGAGGAATAGAGTATAGAAACAGTGTGAGATACGATCATACCATAAATAGAACCAGCATACCAGAAAACACGTCAACTAGCTGGATAACAAATAAATTTACTAGTGCATATCAAAGTGTTTCGCAGTGTAACAAAAAAAATGAACAACAAGCATAACAAATATCGAGCATAACAAATAAATGCCATATCAAATAAATCAGCATACCAAATATCGGGCATAACAAACACACAGCATAACAAATATAGAGCATGACAAACAAATGACATATCAAATAAATAGCATAACAAATAAATGTCATATCAAATAATATACATAACAAATAAGACACATATCAAACAAATGACATATCAAACTAGTCAACATAACAAATAAACAACATATCAAATAATCAGCATATCAAATAATCAGCATATCGAAATAACTAGCATATCGAAATAGCTAGCATATCGAAATAATCAGCATAACAAAAACACCTTTGCTATGCCAGGAGTTTGATATGATAGAACACAAAGATCATTTTGTTATGCAGCTGCCTCCACTCTTTTTTTTTGTTATCCCATTAGTTGAGCGCTTTTATGTTATTCTTCGTTAGTAATATGCTGCATCTTGAAGGGGAAACCAGGCTTTGTGATCTATATGTAAGACCCTTTCTAACGATATGACCCGATAATCGCCCAGTTCCGGGTCAGCAGTGTTCCGGTATCCTACGTAATACCTCTCATATTTGAATAACAGCATTGTAAGTCTTATTCAGTCTCCATATGACTATACAAATATCTTTGCTGTGTTTGGCAATAATTTCCACACGTACAATTAGTTGTAGAATTTTACGACATGGAAAAAAAGCGACTGTCGTGCGACATTATGATATCTCCGTTTCTACTTTTCCTTTTCCTTTTCCGCATATGTCGCGTGGTAGCTAATATGTGTGCTCTGACATTATCTGAGTGTCAAACTTTTTTTCTGTCAAAAATGTCTTATATCGGATAAACCTTAAAATGTCGCCCGTCATATGTGTCGCATGGATACACATGTCGTAGGTACCAGCGACATGGTTGATGCGACATGGTGGGTGCGACACGAGATACGCGACATGGTACATCCGACATGACTGATGCGACATGATTTATGCAACACGGTAAATGCGACATGCAACATTGAACTTGCGACAAAGGGTGCAAACGACATTTCATAGTCCAATAGACACCAACAGTGACAATACCCAAATGGTTGAAATCACCATGGAATTGCATAAAGAGTAGTGAATTGCCATCTATGATACTTTTAAGAACGTTAGTTGTGCCATTGCCACCAATATAATGAATTAAAGTTTGATATAATGTATGAAGAAACACTGACATTGTACGTTGTATGTGAGTTAGAAGTATAGTAGAACGTGGGTTATCAAAAGGGAAGTAGACACACTAGTATCACATAGTGGACAGCTGTATATATGTCTGCTTTATCATATGGTATTGCATGTAAACTTATACAGAAATAGATTTGGTAATTATTATGCCTACTACTAATCACAGAGCCGTTGCTACAGTTTGTGTAGCTGCTACAACTGTTGCTATCACAGGTTCTGACAACTCCATTAGTATTATAGGTTGTGGATCTTGAAATACAGCTAATAAAGTACACCAATGGCATATTTAATGTGTGGAATATTTGTCTTTATTTCACGCTTTAGTCCTGGTATTCTATCTATTAGTCTACATGTTGGCTATAGTCAATCTATTATCCTACTATCCATCAATTGAAGCCGTGGATGACTTGATAATGCATTGATAATTAAAGGGAAATGGACACCTTGAATTCATGATCTTATCCTATAAATATGACTGCCTGTTCACTCAGATCGAGGAGCTATACTCCTATAATGATTTAGCAACTACCAGGATATCAAGTGGACACCTCTGTCAAACATTGGCTTCCACACATGCTAAGCACTTCCGACCTTCAACACATAGTTCCGGTCATGCCTCAGGTCCCTTGATGATTGAGCTTTAGGAAAGCTTGCAACAAGATGACGCATTCAGGGTCGGTGAATCACAAAACTCTAGATACAATCACCGGGCATATCATATATGATCCAGCCCAGCATAACATACAGGGTTCACCCGGCATACCATAAAACGTTGGAAGAGGCATAACAAACAACATTCGAGGAGGCATATCAAATTAGTTTCGGCCGAGCATAACAATATAAACTCACCCGAGCATAACAAAGAGGGACCACCAGGCATAACAAATAGGGGCCACCAGGCATACCAAAAATATACTCACCCGAGCATATCAAATTAGCTTTACCCGAGCATATCAAATAAACATGGAGCCGGGCATTACAATATAACTTTAGCCGAGCATTACAATATAACTGCATCCGAGCATAACATAAAACCCCCGAAGAAGCATACCAAAGAATACGGTGGCATACCAAAAAATAATGTATGGGGCATATCAAAAGAAAAGCTTAGTCAGAAATGACACAAAACCAATCACCACGTGATTACATGGGCAAACCGAAAGTGAGATCCGGCCAATGGTGAATGGGATTCCATAGCATAGTTGTCATACAGAAGACCCCTCAACTGTTACGTGATGCAGGGCATAACAGCAGCCAAAGGGGTCCCAATGCAGCCCAAATTGTGCAATAACCAGTTGATGCATTAGGGTTCTCAATTAAAACCACTGATATCCATAACCAGAATGAGCACTCACTTAAGATAAAGACTAAATCCAGCAAATCGTATAGGATTCAACACTATTACCAAAGAATAGGGTATTCTTCCATTTCATTACCAGCCACTTGTTCACCGAAATTAGATATCACAAGTCTCTTTGATAGCTGCAACACATTGGTGACAACGATTGGAACAAAGTAAGACAATAATGAAAAAAGTTGAAAATAGGTAACGTGCTTCAGATTACCAAATTTAGTTAGTCACCATTTGACGTAAGCAATACTAGAATCCATGAAGACTTATAGAATAATTTTGTACATTTTGAAATATATCCCCTTCTTCTGAGAATCCTTGTATTCTAATTTTGGCAATACTTGCTTTTTCCATTCAAAATTATATGATAATGACTGCACTAGACAGTTTGGTTGGTTTTTATTAGTCATATGAAACCGATTTCAGGTAAGTAATGTGTAAAATATTGCCGGGGAAATCAATTTTCAAAAGAACAGGGGTTTTTCCAATATACTGATTAATTTTAATCAACACATATCCGTACTCTCTATTAATGATTGTTGAATGCTTGGTTTATTTCCAGTTTTCAGCAAATTCCCCCTATGATCAAAGCCACAACATCAATAAAAGGGATGTATGCTTTAACCAAAGACGCAATTATAAAACTAAAAATGCCAATTTCTATTACTAATGACGTACAATGTGACAAAAAAGGGATGTCATTAATAATTATATATCTCAAAATCATCATTATTACATCAGTTTGATGTAATGATTAACAAAGCAATATATTATTACTATGCTAAAAATATACCGCAACTCTATTACTTCTTTGAACTCATGCGTGGCTTATGTAAAACCATAATACGTCATAACAAATCCAGTTCAGATTCACCTATTATACAGCCACTTCCTCTTCACCGATAACCATTATATGTTTTCTTAATATTGCTTTAATTTCAATTATCAAGTAGTATTGATGTTGCGTGAAGATCACAGTTCAAGTGGTACACATTTCTACTTTTTTATTCTTTTTTTGCACCCACATACTCTAAGATCACGGGTTTGAGGTATAACCGGGTTGACTAACTATGATAGGAACCTCCGGTCCAATTTAAACTTCCCTAATTTATGCTTCAAAGCCAAGAACGGAAGGAGAAGGGACACGGGATGAACACCCGAGTGGGGATATTTGGAATTGAACAAACCTATATGAAATAGGTAGTTCTTCTGTAGTTCATAAAGGATAATGGTTCAAGTATAACATACAATTATGAGCTCTTGGGTTCTTCTTTTCTTTTGAATATTCAAGTATTGGCGGGATTTACGGTTACGAATTCTTCAACCATGATTGGACACGAGAAAATACCAAAAAGTCATCACCATCCCAATATGGCCGGCTTAGTGCTTTGTACTACTCCTTCCTGCTTCTCCTCAAAAGAAACTTGGAAATATAAATTATTAATAATTTATTAAATGTTCATAATAATGAAATGGATCTAAATGTATTAGGAGGCTGAAAAATTAGACATTATTGTTTGTATTGCAATTTTCGATTGTGAGCGATGAAAAAGTGATAAACCCGATCATATTTGAGTAGCACACGAACCTTGTGGTTGCGGCAATTAAACTGGGTGTTTACCTTAAGTATGAATAAACTCAAGCACAGGGTGCATTAACTTTGCAAATACGAAATCATACACAAAGTATTCTATTGCATAGTCAAATTCAAGATATTGAACAATTATACTAGAAATATAATAATAAATTATCAACAAAAATAAGCATCTAACCAATTGATTTCAAATAATAATAAATTAGTAAAAATTGAACTCCTCATAAAATATAAACATGGTATGTTAGAGATAATTTATGACTACCAACATATAAAAGGGTAGATTTGTCTACCATTTACAAAAACCCAATTAGTTATAAATAGTAAATATATTTTTTTTTTGATCATTATATATCACTCTTTCTACCTATCAATATATGCAAAGATGGTTCAAGACGATCAAAGCTCCAATTCCTATTCCATTGAAGAATATGGCGCTGACTATTTTGGGCAACAAGGTTCATCCGGGTTACATGATGAATCCACTAATATTGATGAGGAAACAAGACGTGCGAGTTTGGTAAGAACTATTACTGCTATTGAAGCTAATGAATATCAGCAAAAATTTGATTCAATTTCTAGAGAAATTTCAAGACAAATCACAAACAAGGAAGGAGAATTTCAATTGAAATTAGAGGAGTTTAATCTAGTTAAAATATTGGCCAACTTTGTCTATTTTGCTAAGAAGCAAGGCATAAATTTGAGAAAAAGTGGGGTAACTTTCAAAGATCTTTCAGTATTTGGTGTTGATGACTCAGTTGCTGTTGTACCTACTGTTTTGGATGTGTTGAAAGGACCTGTTTATGGTATCCAAGAATTGATCCGTAAAATTAAAACACCGAAAAGAGAAATATTGAAAAGTTTCAATGGTCTTGCAAAACCTGGTGATATGGTTTTAGTTTTAGGTAGACCAGGGGCTGGGTGTACTACTTTTTTGAAAGCATTAAGTGGAACGGATTTTGATTTATACAAAGGTATTGAAGGTGATATTAGATATGACGGATTACCTCAGAATGAAATGATCAAAATGTTCAGAAATGATTTGATCTATAATCCAGAGTTGGATATCCATTTCCCACATTTAACTGTTGACCAGACATTGAGTTTTGCTATTGCTTGTAAAACACCTAATATTAGAATCAATGGAGTTACTAGAGAACAATTCATCAATGCCAAGAAGGAAGTATTAGCCACAGTGTTTGGGTTACGTCATACTTACCACACCAAAGTTGGTAATGATTATGTGAGAGGTGTGTCTGGTGGTGAAAGAAAGAGAGTTTCCATTGCTGAAGCGTTGGCTTGTCATGGATCTATTTATTGTTGGGATAATGCTACCAGAGGATTAGACTCTTCCACGGCATTGGAATTTGCCCAGGCTATTAGAACTTCGACCAAGTTATTAGGCACCACCGCCTTTGTTACAATCTACCAAGCGGGTGAAAATATATACGAAAAGTTTGATAAGGTAACTATTCTCTATGATGGACATCAGATATACTATGGACCTGCTAACAAAGCTAAGAAGTATTTTGAGAACATGGGCTGGGAGTGTCCACCAAGACAATCTACTGCTGAATTTTTGACTGCAGTGACTGATCCTATTGGTAGATTTCCAAAGAAAGGATGGGAAGATAAAGTCCCCCGTACCGCTGAAGATTTTGAATCCCGTTGGTTAAACTCACCACAATATAACGAATTGTTGAATGAAATTGACGAGTACAATTCCCAGATTGATGAAGACCAAGTTAGACGTGATTACTATGATTCTGTTATTCAAGAAAAGATGAAAGGTGCTAGAAAGAAATCACCATTTACTGTTTCTTATATGCAACAATTGAAATTGTGTTTCATTAGAAGTTTCTACAGAATCAAAGGAGACAATGCTTATACAATCACACTTGTTGGTGCTGCTGTTTGTCAAGCATTTATAGCTGGTTCCTTATATTACAACACTCCAAATGATGTGTCTGGTGCATTTTCCAGAGGGGGAGTTATCTTCTTTGCGGTGTTGTTCATGTCATTGATGGGGTTAGCAGAAATTTCTGCATCGTTCAGAAATAGATTGATTTTAAACAAACAAAAGAACTATTCAATGTACCATCCATCTGCTGATGCTCTCTCACAGTTTGTCATGGCTATTCCAATCAGTTTATTTGTTAATGCCCTTTTTGTTGTTATTTTGTACTTCTTATCCAATTTAGCAGTTGATGCTGGTAAGTTTTTTACTTGCTATTTGTTTGTTTTTATGTTACATTTGACAATGGGTGCTATGTTCCAGGCAGTTGCTGCTCTTCATAAAACCATTGCTGGAGCTAATGCTGTAGGTGGAATTTTGGTTTTAGCAACTTTGCTGTATTCCTCTTATATGATTCAACGTCCTACAATGCATGGATATTCAAGATGGATCTCTTACATTAATCCAGTGCTTTATGCATTTGAAGCTATTATTGCATCAGAGTTCCACCACAGAAAAATGGAATGTACATCAGAATATCTTACTCCATCTGGTCCTGGATATGAAAATGTCGGGGAAGGAGAACAAGTATGTGCCTTTACTGGATCTATTCCTGGTACTAAATGGGTTTCTGGTGAAAAATACTTGTCGGTTTCTTATACATATAAATTCATTCATGTTTGGAGAAATTTTGCCATTTTAGTTGGATTTTTGGCATTCTTCTTAGCGGTGAATGCGTTAGGTACAGAGTTTATTAAACCGATTACTGGTGGTGGTGATAAGTTGTTATACTTACGAGGTAAAGTTCCAGATCACGTAGCATTACCAGAAGAGAAACAAAATGGGGATATTGAATCGGCTGGGCAAAGAAGCGGAAGCACCCAGTTGGAAAAACCTTTTTCTTCAAAAGAAGATACACTTGGACAGTGTGAAAAGAAAGATGCTACATTGGCTACAAATGATATCTACGTCTGGAAAGATGTTGATTATATCATTCCATACGAAGGTAAACAGCGTCAATTATTGAATTGTGTCAGTGGATTCTGTATCCCGGGAACCATGACGGCTTTGATGGGTGAATCTGGTGCTGGTAAAACAACCTTGTTGAATGTTTTAGCTCAGCGTATTGACTTTGGCACTATCACGGGTGACATGTTGGTTAATGGAAGACCATTGGATTCGTCGTTCAGCCGCCGTACAGGGTATGTTCAACAACAAGATATCCATTGTGAAGAAGTTACCGTCCGTGAATCTTTGCAATTTGCTGCTAGATTAAGAAGATCCAATGATGTTAGTGATGAAGAAAAATTAGACTATGTTGAAAAGATCATTGATGTTTTAGACATGAAACCTTACGCTGATGCTATTGTTGGAAGGTTGGGTAATGGTTTGAATGTTGAACAACGTAAGAAGTTGTCCATTGGTGTTGAGTTAGTTGCCAAACCATCGTTATTGTTATTCTTGGATGAACCTACTTCTGGTTTGGATTCACAGAGTGCCTGGGCAATTGTTAAATTATTGAGAACATTGGCCAACTCAGGACAATCCATTTTGTGTACCATTCATCAACCATCAGCTACGTTGTTTGAAGAATTTGATAGATTGCTTTTGTTAAAGAAAGGTGGTATCGTTACATACTTTGGAGATATTGGCCCAAGGTCCCACATTCTTTTGAATTATTTTGAATCTAACGGCGCTCGTCATTGTGGTGATGATGAAAACCCTGCTGAATACATTTTGGAAGCAATTGGCGCTGGTGCTACAGCTTCTAGTAACTTTGACTGGGGTGAAATTTGGGCAGCTTCTCCACAAAAAATGGATACAGAAAAGAAACGTGATGAACTTATTGAAGAATCCAGCAAAAAACCAGTGGGTACTGGTTCAGAGAAAGAAGACAAGAAGTTGCATCAAAAGTATGCTACTCCGTATTGGTACCAATTCCGTATCACTCTTCAAAGATCTAACACTGTTCTTTGGAGAATACCTGGATATTGTGTGTCTAAGATCTTGGTGATGACGCTTTCTGGATTATTCATCGGTTTAGTTACATTCTTTAGTCTTCAACAAACCTATGCTGGTAGTAGAAATGGTATGTTTTGTGGTTTCCTTTCTGTTGTTGTTGTTGCACCAATTGCAAATATGCTTATGGAAAGATATAGTTATGCTCGTGCTATATTCGAGGCAAGAGAGCTGTTATCAAACACGTATCATTGGTCGTTACTTGTTATTTCCAGCATGATTCCCGAAATTCCATATTTGATTGTAGGTGGTACCTTTTTCTTTATCACTGTTTACTTTCCTGCTACTAGATCAGCCGGCTCACAAGCAGGGATATTTTATTTCACTCAAGGTGTATTTTTACAATTTTTCACTATTACTTTTGCTGCTATGATCTTGTTCATTGCTCCAGATTTGGAGAGTGCTTCGGTTATTTTCTCCTTTTTGTATACGTTTATTGTTGCATTTTCTGGAATTGTGCAACCAACAAACCTTATGCCAGGATTTTGGACTTTTATGTATAAGGCATCTCCATATACTTATTTTATCCTGAATTTAGTTTCATCATTCTTACATGGAAGAAAAATCAGATGCACTGAAGAGGAATTGGCAGTCTTTAATCCCCCTGCTGGTCAGACCTGTCAAGAGTATACTGCTGCTTTCCTTTCACGCAAACCAGGTTACTTGGTAGATGGTAGTGCAACTTCAAATTGTTCCTATTGTCCTTACAGCACTGCTGATGAATACTTGGCTAGTATCAAGGCGAAATACCACTATAGATGGAGAAATATCGGGTTCTTCTGTGCGTATATCTTGTTCAATATTGGATTCTGTTTGTTTCTTTACTATTTTATTCGTTATAAGAGAATCTTTAAAGGAGTTCCAGCACTTTTCCATAATATTTTAAGAATGTTCAAAAAGAAGAAGGCTTGATGGTCATAGACAGTAAGTCTGGCTGTGTGGATTGAATTCTTGGATGAATTTACATTTTGTTTTTGATTTCTAGTTCTGTTTGGTTTAGGTTTCTATATTATATACACTTTTTCTTATACTAAAATCTTCCATCCATTATCGGTTTAGTTGATAGAAGAGTAACATAACTACATTTACAAGTTATGAAAATGATAATAAACATAAAGATTTAAACAATAAACTATAAAATAAAGTGAAATACAGAAAACTATGAAATAATAATAAAAAAAAAAAATATAAGAAAGCTAAAAAAAAAATTACCTATCAAGGAAATTGTAGAAAGAATCATCATAACATCATTAATTATGATAATAGTAACATATAAAACAAGCATAAACAAAATACAGCTAATGGATAAACAGAAAGTAAGTAGAGATTATTCTCTCATTTAATTTGGTTTGATTAATTCAAATGAACAATACAATGTCTTGTCAACACTCATGATAGCTCCAAAATTATTGAACTCTCCACAATAATTAGGAGCACTGAAAACAGTAACCAATTTTCTTTTATTGAAGAATTCGTACCCATCTTCAACGACCATATGACCCCTAACGATTAAATCTAATTTAAATTTGGAGCAGAAATAATCGACGTGCTTCTTACCGAAACAATATGATACACCACGATCATTCTTGGGCCAATTAGTCAATGAAAAGTTCTTAACCAGAGCATCGGGATCCGACCATAACAAATCAGCAAGTAATCCTTTATCGGGAACATCAGTTGGACGTTTGATATCTTCAATTTGACGGAAATTTTCTAGTTGAGGAGAAAGACCACCATGAACACAAAATATCTTTTCGTTAATGACAGCTGCAATAGGTAAAGTGTTAAACACGTCAATAAAGCTTCTCCATAACTTGTTATTACCTAATCGCCTTTTACATTCATCGTAGAACCCATAGATTTTGGTAATGTTGGCTGATTCATGGTTTCCTCTCAACATAAAGAAATTTTCTGGATACTTGATCTTGTAACAAAGTAATAGCAAGATAGTCTCTAACGATTTTTCTCCTCTATCGACATAATCCCCTAAAAACAAATAATTAGAATGCGGTGGATAACCACAACAGTTGAAAATTCTAATTAAATCGTGAAACTGTCCATGAATATCACCAACAATTTTCACGGGAGGAGATAGTTTCAATAAAGTCGGCTGTTCCAAAAAGATCAGTCTGCTCTTGCTCAAAATATATTTAATTTCACTAGTTTCAACTGGTAAATGGGACTTTGATTTACGGGAAGTAGACTTCTTTTTGGTTGCCAACAACCTCTCGATGACAGCATCAATATCAATATCTAACTTGTGGGTTGTTCCAACTAAGGGAGGTGAGTCCAATAAACTGGAGGTACTACTTGGGTTCTTCTTTGTCAATTGTTTTGCCACCGACTTGTCGTGCTTCTTCAAGTTCTTTTTGGAAAGCTTACTTGTAGTGGTCTTTGGAGTAGGGGACGATTCTAAAGAATGGATTTCGGCAATGACGTCTAATTTATTCAACGGGGCAACATTGTCAATGTACTGTTTGTTGCTTTTCGGATCTCTTGGACTTGAGTTTGTTGACAGAAACAGCAGATCTTCATCATTGCTGATGGTGGTGAACACCGGGGAAGCTTTCAGTGAACCCAGGGAAGTCAGCTCCTGGTTCTTCAACAACTTTGCCATCGACATTCCGATTTCTAAGTCAAAGTCGTACGACTCTTGCGACGCGTACAGTTTTCTCTTGGTAGACGGGATTCTTTGCGGGGCAGTTGCAGTAGTGGTTATCATACTTGTTGACAACATTGAAGTTTCTTGTTTTAAACCATTGTTTGTATTTCTTGTTTGTCTGTTATTATTATTATTACTACTATCAGTATCTACTGTTGAATTCGTAGTAAGGTGAGAATTTATTATTAATTGAGATAGCGCTGGGGCCATCTCATCAGGATCTAGGTCAGTACCGCTAGCAGTGGTAGAAGAAGAAGCAGTACCATTTGATGATTTGTTACTTGATGACGACTTCGGTAGGGGATCATTTTTGGACGGACTATTTCCCATGATAGGTACTATACGGAGGGCAGAAAAAGAAGCTTGGTATGTTGACTAATTATGACAAGTCAGTCAACAGATTTTTTTTTTTTTGCTTTTTCTTTTTTCGTTTGGTTCTTTTGTAATTTGTTGTCTTGTGGATTTTTTTGGGTTCTATCGCACGCCGATAATACTCCGGGTCGTGTGAAACAGGTCACTTATGCAATCAGGATCGGCTTAATTCTCGGGTTTAAAACCATTGTCTTTTATTGATAAACCAACCAATGTGAGGACAGTCCTGCGTCCATGATTAATGATATCTAAAAAATGGACATGGGTGTTCTATATACCATACACCCTTTATCTATCCCCACACAAATAATTGAAGGTAAAGCTTAAGAGTAACAAATACAACACTGTTGGTGAACATCTGTTCTTGTGGTACAAAGAAAAAAAAATAATTGGACCTATTCTGGGCTTTTTCCGCGTCGTGCGGTGGACGGAGATTCCTCTCCTATTTTCGGACTGATTAAAGGGGGGAGATTCGTTGTATTCTTTTTTTTTCTTATCCTGGTTTGATCAATGGTCTGTCGGGATTTAGTGCCAAATACAACGATGTAATTCAGATATTGGTTGAATATAGCTCATACGTTATTTACGACTTCAGTCACGCTTTTGTAGTTTAGATGGCTATAAATATCTTATGGTGCTGCTCTGGAACCGTGCTACCGTATCTATCATTTGTGAACGAACCCATTGTAGTCGTCGTTTATAAGTATATTGACTTTCACACATGCTAGTCATTATTAGCGATCTAGGCGACGAAACATAGAAATGGCAAGGTTGGAGAGTTCAAATATTGAAAAGGTTTGGCATTTATATTCTCAACTATTTAACCATGGGGACGACGCCTCAATTAATTTAAAGTAAGAGACTTGGATTTTGCAATCGGGTAGTATCTACTTAAACGCGATCTATTCAGCTAATAATGACATCGGGAATAATCGCAAACCATCAATATGGCATAAAACGACGAAATTATTGTATTGGTTCAATAGAAATTTGTTTTTGTGAAGACAAGTCAGATTAGACTAAGAAAGTTTATACTCTTCGAATACGTACCGTTATTCAAAAAATTGTATTCCTACGGCCTAGTTCAAAAATATGTTTTCAAAGAGTTGAACTACTGTGGTTGACAACAATTCAAAACTTGAACTTGAATTATATTATAGTTTAGACACACAGAGATTAGAAAATGAATATCATAACTTGTAATCAGCAACAATGGATCCCTCTTCATACATTGAATCAATTTGGGCCCTGAAAAATTTAGCAGCAAAATGTCTCTTAAGCTTCATAGTTGGTGTAACAACATTTCTTTCAAGAGTCAATGGCTCAATATCAATGAAAATGTTGTGCAATTTCTCAAACCCTTGTAGTTTTCCATTCACCTTCCCGTTCAAATCCAGCAATATTTGTTTTCTCAACTCTGGTTTGTTTAATTCTTGAACCACCTTATCACCCGACGAAAGATCAACATACTTACTGGCAACATCAGGTTGCAAACCAACCACCCCAACTAAATATGATTTAGTGGAGTCACCATGAACAAAAAGTTGCAGAATTGTCGAGTTCAATGATAAATACAAACTCTCAATCTTCTCTGGTGAAACATATTCTCCCTGTGCCAATTTGTAAAAGTTTTTGACTCTATCAATTATTCTGAAATAGCCATCTTTTGCACCAATCTCAGCTACATCCCCAGTACTGAACCAACCATCTTCATCAATAGACTTGGCAGTTTCTTCATCATTCTTGAAATACTTTGTAAATAATTGGGCACCACGAATTTGAAGTTCGCCTCTTGGTCCATTGGCATCGTCCAACATATATCCCATGTCTGGTAATTCACGCAATCTGGCTTCCATGGTTGGAGCAATGACACCACAAGTTCCAACACTCGAGGTCTTGAATGGTAAAGCAAATAACATTCCTGCAAATGATTCACTACTACCATATCCTTGGGCAAAACCAATTCCTAAACTGGCTTTCAAAAACTTGATTGTTTCCGGCGCAATAGGTGCACTTCCGGTGACACAGAATTCCAATTTATCATAACCAATGGCATTTCTCAACTTTTGGATCAACAATTTATCATATATAAAATGATCTCCACTATCATCATTCTTGATTTGTTTGACACGCTTAGCTTCAATTGCTCGACCATACAACGATCTTGTAAGCCCTGAAGTTGAATCAATGGTTGATGCTTTAATTCCTGCTTCAATCTTGGTGAATATACGAGGAACATTGGCCATAAAGTTTGGCTTCCACAATTTCAAGTCTTCTACCAAGGTCAATGGTGTACCTCCTAATCTTGGAAATGCCGAAGATCCTCCAAACAAAAACATTGAAGCTACCATTTGTCTTTCAAAAATGTGAGCCAACGGCAAAAATGCAAACTCTCTGGTACCCCTGTGGTGTGGCATCAAAAGACTATATGCCAACATGGCTGATGCGGCACATCTTTGTGGTAGAACAACACCTTTAGGATTGGCACCGGTAGTTCCTGAAGTGAAAGTAATTGTGAATACAGTTTCACTGTTTGGTGGATTTGTTTCATGGGGGAAAATGGCACCAGTTCTTTCCACTTGTGAAAAATCATACAACTTAATATTGGACTTCTCTGCTAATTGAACCAAACCAACGTCGGACTTTGTTAATGGATCCATGGAGATAATTAGGATAATGGATTCCAAGGCTTCGGGATATTTTCTTTTCAATTCAATCAAACCCCTGATATGATCCTTTGAACTGATAATCACAGGAGATTGGGTTGTTTCCAAAATATACTTTGACGTTTCAGGACCCAAAGTATCATACAATGCAGTTGATGTGATGGAGTTTGATGAGCATGCCAAATCAGACAAGATCCACTCAACCCTGTTTCCCGCGTAGAATGTCGCAATAAAAGACATGTCATCACTGTTGTACAGTTTGTAATTTGCTTCATGGTTATCAATTTTCTGATGTGACTCTAATGAGTTGTTCTTGAATGGATTAGATTTTAAAAGGAAGAACAAACCAGCTGCAAAATCGTCTTTTCTTTGACGGACTTCCTTGTATGAAATTGTAGCATACCTTTCCAAATGCTGTGAGTTCTCATAATCATATTCATGGAATGCAAGACATGGTTCATCGGCATAGCAATCAGCGGATCTTTCAAATATGTCATGATATGTATCTAATCCCTTGATAAGACTTGCTTTAATACCATTGGGAGTAGCGGCATTCCTGTAAATCTCGGAAAATCCTTCAACAGCAGTACCAGGAATTTTGATAGATTCACCAGCAACTTCCTGTGGAAATGGTAAAATGTGGTTCACAAGTGTCTCAACAGGTAAGTCATTTGGGTTTTCAAAAACATATGGTTTATCATCTGTAGCATAAACAATGTCGGTTTCAGATATGGAAGGTAAAGTAGTCATAGTACTTTGATGTGATTGTCACTGATAGGAAACAAAAACAAAAAAAATTATATCACTAGATCAACCTAGCCAGAGTTGAATACAATACTATTTATATTGACTGTAAGTTGTATTATCATGGTTTTGGATTAAACGCCTGGTCCCCACTTTTCGGTTCACATTTGACTTGAGTTCCCAAACTACCCCGTCTCCCCCGTCTCCCCCACCTATCCGCTCATTGTTAGTGCGAACCTTCCTGCCGGGGCCTAAAACTGTAGTGGTTGGTGGGAATCTGGCCCTGTCGCACTAACTGTTGGTGTGGGGAAAATTTTTTGTCTATGAACCGTCGGCACTTTCCTAAAAGAGACGCCCTTGGCGGGTTAAGCTCAACTATGTTGGTAGAAACTGTGTAAAGAATCTGTTTTGATAGCCACCTATGTATATATTCAATGTATTAAGCTACCATAAACTCTAAACAAATTATCAATTAGTGAGAAGTCATTGATCCTATTGGTATTCCCATACAAACAATCATGCTTGGGTGAAATATTGAATTAATATTTCAGCAATATCTATTCAGTAATTAGCACCTTTAACATTATATCACTAATAGAGAGTGATTTCAATTTCATATTGCTGTATTTTTCTTTAAGATCAATTGCAACTTTATGTGTCTTTCATTTCATTTTATTATTTTTAGCAAAATTTCGCAACTAAATTTAAACAAAATTGCAAGCTATGCTTTTTCTTAAATATCGATTCTTCAATGCTGAATTCAAAGGAAATGGATCTATTGAAGTAGGAATTACCTATGTTCTGGTGCCAAAGTGGACTGTTTATGATAATTCTACTTCTAAAGCATATATTACCTCTTCCGCGGATACTTGATTGGATTTGCTAAAATAGAGACATACATAAGTCGTTTAAGTAGTACTAGTAGCAAACGATTTGTACCACATTTGTTACATTTTGTAAGACAACAGTTTCTCGTGCACAGGGTTCGATTAATGGTGTAGGAATCCCTCATCTTCATTCATAAAGTTTCAACTATGTGATTTGTTTCAAGTTTGATTCATCGCACAACAAACGTTTTGGGACATGTTATTATATTTGAATCGAATTCAATGACCAATCAATAGTTAGGGATTATTACATCACTGGATATTGTGTTAACGGAAACCATCAGATTAACGGTTTTACGATTAGTTTTGTGGTAATGATGGATTGAATAAAGCAAAGCAAAGCAAAGCAAAGCAAGTCTTACTCAAACTCGTTTGGCTTAGAAAAAAATTTGTCAACTTTAAAAAATGCTAAACGACGACGACGCAGTGAGTGAGAGAGCAAAACAACAATAAACAAAAGCTTTGTTTTTATTCTTCAATTTGTCACTTTTTCATTTCTTTAGATTCCCCTTTCTATTTTCAACATCATTATCTTTCTAATAACATTCAAATATCAGCATCAACCGTATAGAGATGGCGGCAGCAAAACGAGTAGAACAAGATACCCCTGACGAGGAAACACCATTGGTTCAACAAGACCCACGTTACATTCCAAAGGATAAGATTGAATACGAATTTGGTGGTCCTGTTGGTGCTTTGGGTATGATGGTTGGGTTCCCATTATTGATGTGGTATATGTGGATCTGTGCTAGATTCAATAATGGTAAATTTGCTTACCCAACCGATGGACAATCATGGAAAGATTTTATAATTGATGATTTGTATAGCAATTGGTATGAATATGGTATTCCAACTTTTGGAAATTGGGCATATTTCACTGGATTCATGATCATTCAAGCACTTTTTTACGTCACCTTACCTGGTGTGTGGACTAAAGGTCAACCATTGACTCATTTGAACAATAAACAATTGCCTTATTTCTGTAATGCTATTTGGTCATTCTATACCACTATTGGAGTTTTGTTGGCATTGCATTTCACTGGGATTTTACCAGTTTATTACATGTTGGATAATGTCGGTGCTATTATGACCACTGCCATTGTTTATGGTATTCTGTTGTCAATCATCTTGTATGTTATTTGTCTTAAAGTAACTGGTGATTACCATCGTATGACTGGTAACCACATCTATGACATGTTTATGGGAGCACCATTGAATCCAAGAATTGGTAAATATTTGGATTTGAAAATGTTCTTTGAAGTTAGAATTCCTTGGTTTATTTTATTCATGTTATCCTTCGGTTTATGTTTTAAACAATACGAAACTTATGGATACGTCAGCCCACAAGCAGCATTTATGCTTTATGCCCACTGGTTATATGCCAATGCTTGTGCCAAAGGTGAAGAATTAATTGTTCCAACTTGGGATATGGCCTATGAAAAGTTTGGTTTTATGTTATTGTTCTGGAATATTGCCGGTGTTCCTTTCAGTTATTGTCAATGTATTTTATTTATTGCTTATCAAGATCCAGAAACTTATCGCTGGTCAACTGGCTACAATGTATTTTTGTTTGTGTTGATTTCAGTAGCTTATTATTTCTTTGATACTGGTAATCGTCAAAAGAACAGTTTTAGAAGAACCATGGCTGGTAACTCACAATTGCGTAAGACTTTCCCATACTTGCCATATTCTGATTTGGTAAATCCAAAATACATCAAATGTGCCAATGGATCTCTTTTATTAACTGATGGATGGTATGTTTATGCCAGAAAGATGCATTACACTGCTGATTATATTCAAACTTTGACTTGGGCATTGATGTGTGGATTTGCTTCTCCATTCCCTTGGTTCTTCCCAATTTTCTTCTTCATTGTTTTAGTTCATAGAGCTTACAGAGATCAAAGAAAATGTGCTAAGAAATACGGTGCTGATTGGGACAGATACTTAGAAGCTTGTCCTTATATGTTCATTCCTTATGTTTGGTAAATGCAAACAACTAAAAGAAGGTGTCATTACTCCTCCTCAGTTTGTAAAAAAAAAAAAATAAAGAAAATCATGTCTTTTTCTTTTTAGAGAATCGAGTCAAATCTTTAATGCTTTGATTATATATATATATGTATATAGGCTATATTTCTTTTAATACACCTAGTCTTGCTCAGCAATTGAAATCAATCGTTCATCTATTTCTTCTGGACTCAATATTCTAAACTCACCTTCTGTAGCAACACCAATTTCAATATCATTCTTTCTGAATTCAGTACCAACGACCGAACTTAATGCAATGATAGCAAATTCAACAGTTGCTTTCCAATCACCTTTCACAGCATCGATTTTTTTGAATTTCTTTTCCAAATAAGTAGTTGCTTCTTGTTGTTTTGGACCAGTTGCTACGGCTTTAACACCAGTAAAATAACCTGCTGGATCACATTTAAAAACTTGAGGACCTCTTCCTTCATCTTCAAAATCAACTTGAATAAAAGTCAATGCAACACCCAATGGTCTCATATAAGCTCTTTGTGTATATAATTGAGATAAATTAGCCATTCTTCTACTTAAACTTTCCACTGGCATTTCATATCCATATTTATATCTAAATTCACTAGCTTCAGATCTAGCTCTCATTGCTTGTGCTCTAGCATCAGCAATTGAACCAGTTGCCACCATACCTATACTTGGAGTAATTTTGAAAATATATGATACTGTTTTTGGATCCAACAATTTATCTGGGATTTTCTTTTGGGATATGATAACTGCTGAATCTTCACCTGTAATACCTAAACTAGTGATGTTTGCGGAATTGATTGCTTTAAATGCATATTCTACTTGATACAATCTACCTTCTGGTGAAAAAATAGTGATATGTCTATCGAATCCTGCTGAACTTGACATGATGTTTGGATTGGTATAGTTTCTTGAATAAAGTAAAATGATAGTGGCGAAAGATTTTCTTAGTTCACCGCTTTGGCTGTTTTTTTTTTTTTCTTCCAACATGCTTTGGTGTGAACATTCTCATTTGCACGACATTATCACATGCACGACATTTTTCATATTTTATTTTATTTGTTTAGTTGATTATTCACCATCGCCATGTCGTCAAAACCAATGGTAATGTTTTTCTTCACTTTTCACTTTTTACTTTTCACTTTTTTGTCCATTTCTAACTATAACATTACCCACGAGTATTTACACGGCAGTGGTCATAATTGAAGATCGACCATCACATTATAACATGACTATTCCGACATCAGAGACAGAGACTTTCACTGCAGATACGAAAACACAAGAGCATTCGCCTCTTTATAACCCAAACTCCATCTCAAATACCAATGTATCTTATCATTATAATCCAGCAGTAAGTCATTTCCATTATGGTGCATTACATCCAATGAAACCTTTCAGATTGATGTTGACTGATCATCTAGTGATATCTTATAAATTATACGAGAAGATGGATTTATACACACCCAGAGAAGCAACAGAAGAAGAATTATTAGAATTTCATTCTGAGGATTATATAAATTTCTTACAAACCATTACACCCGACAAGGTCAAAAATTTGAGTAATGACACACTTATTAAGTTTAATATTGGTGATGATTGTCCTATATTTGATGGAATGTATGATTATAGTGCGATATATGCTGGTGCTTCATTAGATGCCACAAGAAAACTAATGAGTGGGATGTCAGATATTGCCATTAATTGGTCTGGTGGTTTACATCATGCAAAAAAGTCAGAACCATCTGGGTTTTGTTATGTTAATGATATTGTATTGAGCATTATAAATTTATTAAGAAAACATCCAAGAGTAATGTATATTGATATTGATTTGCATCATGGGGATGGGGTTCAAGAAGCATTTTATAATACTGATAGAGTAATGACGGTTAGTTTTCATAAATACAATGGGGAATTTTTCCCAGCAACAGGTTCTGTGGATGAAGTAGGTGTTGGTAAAGGAGAAAATTTTGCCATTAATGTACCACTACGAGATGGAATTGATGATGAATCATATATTAGATTATTTAAACTGATAATGGAACCACTAATATCAAAATTTCAACCAACATGTATAGTACAACAATGTGGGGCCGATTCTTTGGGATACGATAGATTAGGTTGTTTTAATTTAAACATACGAGCTCATGGAGAATGTGTGAAATTCATCAAATCATTTGGAATACCAATGTTGGTAGTGGGAGGTGGTGGATATACTCCGAGAAATGTTAGTAGATTATGGTGTTATGAGACTAGTGTATTGAATGATGTTACTTTGGATCACAAGATACCCAATTATTTACCAACTTATGATTGGTTTGGTCCAGATTATTCTCTCCATCCACAATTAGATGGTAGAATTGATAATAAGAATTCTAAAAAATACTTGCAAAGTGTTCAAACTAAAATTATGGAACAAATACGTTATTTGAACCAAGCCCCAAGTGTACAAATGTATGAGATACCACCGGATTTTACAGGTTTAACAGATGAAGAGGATAAAGCTATTGCTGAGATGAACCAAGATGCAGAAAGAGAAGAAAGAATGATGAAAGATGACGTTAGAACTGGTGAGCTAATGACGTAAGTAACATTGAGAATGCAATTTATGTACCGTAGAAGTGAGTGGTAGAAATTTGTAATATTAATAATATCGTAATACTTTTAGTTGGAATGGAACAGGAATGTTTTCTGGTGCCTTTTTTTGGGAAACAACGCACGACAGTTTTCGTGAGAATGACAAAAATAAACCAAACAAGACACCAAACAAGAAACCAAAGTGGTTAGTCTAGTTTGTACCTCTTTTCAAGCGTGTTTATCAAAAGAAAGAACTCCCTACTGATAGATATTATTATTATTATTATTATTATTATTATTATTATTATTAAAGGTCCTACTCGAATGATACAATTATGGACTCGGAGAAATTATCAATAGTGCTAGATCCAAAATCTAACAAGAAGATCATTAATCGAAGATATAAGATAATTAAAAAGATAGGAGAAGGTCAATATGGAAAAGTATTACTTGGAGAAGATATACAGACACGTAAATCCACCAGTACATTGGCGAGTCCAGCATATGTTGCGATTAAAACAATTAATCGTGTTGATAAATCCCGTTTTTTACTTGGGAAATCATATATGAATCTAGCGATGAAAATAAATCGAGAAATTAAAATAATGAAAGAATGTAATCATCCTAATGTTGTTAAACTAAAACAAGTTATAAATGATTTGAAATTTGATAAAATTTTACTTATTCTAGAATATTGTAAATTTGGAGAAATTGATTGGAAGAATTATAATCATTATTATGAGAAATATAATCATCATAAATCAAGGAGTTCATTAGTTTTGAATAAAGTATTACGAGATGTTTTAAATGGACTAGAATATTTACACGAGTACAAACATATAATTCATCGAGATTTAAAACCATCGAATTTATTAATTGATCATGATAACACTATTAAGATTTCAGATTTTGGAGTGAGTTTAATTATGGAGAATAATGCTAATGACGATAAAGAATTGTCAAAGATTATGGGGACACCAGCATTTTATGCACCAGAATTATGTCAGTTTGTGAATAATCGATATTCAATGATCACAAATGAGAATCACGAGGGAAACAAGATTAAGATTGATTATATGATTGATATTTGGAGTTTAGGAGTTACTTTATATTGTATGATGTTTAATAATTTACCATTTACGGGAAATAACGAATTTGAAATGTGTAAAAATATTGTTAAACTGGAGTTGAAATTTCCAATGATTAAACATACTTCGAAAGTAACAGAAGATGATATTAATGAGTTGAAAGAGTTTAAAGATTTAATAAAGAAAATACTTGTGAAAGACCCTAAAGATAGAATTTCATTACAAGATATCAAACAACACAAGTTCACCACTTTTGATTTAAACGACAAGGAGAAGAGGAAGTTTTTAAATTTTAACAAAGCCATTTTCAGAGCTGAGGATTGCAAGAAGGATATTGTTAATCAGGTCGAGGAACCAACTATATCGTCAAGAATCAAGAAGTTTTTCAGCAGTAATAGTAACAATAATAATAGTAGTAATAGTGGAAATGGCAATGGTAGTGGTAAGAGCTCCAAATCAATGCTGACTGGTTCTAGTCTTGCTTCAAAGACTACACATCAACCAAGTAATTTAAAATACAGCAATTTGTCACTTAAAGATCTAGAACACGTGGATGAGTTGTTAGATTCATATTTGGATGATTCTGATTCTTCATCATCCATGGGTAGCATTGAAGTTGAAGAGATTGATACCAAAAATATACTAAGTGATTTAGATGATGAATTACATTTTAAGCATCGACCTAAACCACTTGATTTGAATCAATCCAATTTAGTATTATCTCCACCTGCTAGTTTATCATCGTCGCCTCCACTAGCACCTACGCCAGCTAATACAGTTGTTCCAGGAAGTTCTCAACCATTGTCAGATCCTTCTACACCTACAAATAATACAGTGATGGTTATTGGTGAAAGTTCACCAGGTTACAATAGTAGCAATACTGGTAATATTTTCAGTCCGTCTAGAAGGTTTTTTGAAAAACAAATGAATAGCAAGACGGCAATTCAGGATAATCCAACAATAAGTTCATTATCATCATCACTGTGGAATGATAAATCAAAAAATCATGCCAATGGCAGTTTGGGTATGTTTGAGCCACCACTGGTATTTAGAGATACAATGGCCTCCCAACAGCAACAACAACCACAACAACAACAGATATCTCTGGATGGGAAAAGCTCTGGTAGTGGAGATATTACAGCATCTGGTGTAGGTATTTCAAGTCGTAGGGATTCGAATAGCTCACAATTTGGATACGGGTTATCTAGAATTACTAGTTCGTCTTCCAGCTTGAATTTAAATGCTTACTTGACGGATGATTCCGATCATTCAATACATTCAAACGTTTCAAATTTTTCGACCAGATACAATTTAAAAAATAAGGGTAATAATCAACCACATAATGCAGCAGAAGAGGAAGAAGGCGATGATGATGATCAAGAATGTGAAGGGGATTCTACTATCATAGCCAAAGATTATGCTACTTATCATACCATGAGTGATTATTTAGATGATTTAGATTGATTATTATACATGGACTTAGACATTAGAGATAATAAACCAGAAGCTCGTAGAGAATATGTATAGAGTTGTAATGCTAATAGAGTCATGAGTTATTCTCTGGTTAAATAATTTCTGTAGATATATTTTAATGAATGGTATTCATAGAAAATAATAACAATCTAGGAGTGTAACATGACAACTGTAATTTATACGTTGAAAGAAATAAATTGATGGTATATATCTACAATGCAATATTGTAATGATATTAATAATAACAGCAAATGGTAACGATGATGCTCATGCTGCTGCTGCTCATCATCATCATCATCATCATCATCATCATGGGGATGAATGAATGAAGTTTAAATCAAATGCAATGATAAACAACCAATCAAGAGGAATTTCATGTTGAACCAATTGCATCACGTGCACGACGCGAAAAAGAAAAAGAAAAAGAAAAGAAATGAAATAAGCTTCGTGCAATTTGGTCACATAAACACGACATCATATACACAAATGTAAACAATACACTAAATTGGGAAAAGGTACACGCACAGCGGAAAACGAAACAAAACGAAACTAAAGCAAAACTAAACTAAACTGAACTAAAGCAAAGCAAAGTAAAGTAACCCATTCTAATCTAATCTACCCTAACCTATCCTGAATTGAATTGAATTGAATTGAATTGAGTTGAGTTGAGCTGAATTGAATTGAATATACAAAAACAAACACACAAAATGGCAAACACGAAGAAAGGGAAAAAGCAACCAGCAAATAAATCAATGAAGTAATGCAATTATGCTGGGATCAATTGTAGTTTTTAATCATTGATAAAACAAAACGACTAATCCGTAAAATTGAGTTGTTAATGGTGAGATGTGTTTGTTGTTTGGATTTTAGTATTTTACAGGTGTAGCATAAGAGAATGATCTGGGAATGTGAATCTAGATGCAAGCGTTGGATGCCACCCAATCAAACTGTTTAATACCAATACGGCATGATAATGAGCACACACACACACACACACACACATACAAATGTGTACCACGTACATTACTGCTGTTGTTATTGGTGGTGATACTGTACTAGCTTAGTGTATTCTACTGTATACCCTGTAGAATTGCAATTGCATTAACAGTCTGTGGATTTGGTGGGTTACAAAATTTCAGGATTTAAAAACTAATAAAAAAAAAAAAGAGTAACAAAACACACGACCCGTTGGACATCGAACATGCGATGATGGCTTAAAATGTTTAAAACCAAAACAATATTGGTTGGATTTTTAGTAAAGCCTTATTCTTCTTATTCTTGCTGTTTCATCCTTTCTGTTATTATGTATTAAGAGTGAACAAGATGCAGTATCTTTTTATACTTTAATAGGCGGGCAGGTTTATAAAATCTATAATTTTCTTCTACTTCTACTTCTACTTCTACTTCTTCCTATTCTTCTTGCTACTCTTTCTCTTTCTCTTTCGTGATTGATCTTATTTTCATAGTATCAACCAGATCATTACTTGACTTGTTTCGTTATTCGTTGATTCACTTATCTTGTTACTTTCGTCAATTGTTCACTTCTTTCTTTTTCAGTCTTTCGTTTTTCGTTTTTTTTTATTTTTGTATTTTTTTGTATTTTTCTTTACATGGCATATTAATCCTTATTCATTCCATCCATTCATCCATCCAATCATTCCCACCTAACTACCTACTATACATTCCTACCATTCCTACCATTCATCTACTGTTGGAGTTATCATTATTGGGTTTTCTTTTTTCATTTAAAATTTTGACATAATTATTGTTAGCATTTGAATTTTAGTTTTATTTTAATTTAATTTTACTTTATTTTATTTTAATTATTTTCAACTTCATTACAACATCAATATTGATAATACTTCATTTCATTTAATACTATTACTATTATCCATTCACACAATTCGTTAATCAGTTAGCCAGTCAGCCAGCCAGCCAACCAACCAACCAACCAACTACTCATTCACTCGTTCACTTACTCCTTCGATCAATCTATCAGTTTACCGTACTTTTTTTTATTTATTTTCTTCTATACTTCTTTAGTTATTTATTCATACTGGTTTACATTGTCCTTGTTCATTACATTTCAGATCAAATAAAGAATTCATAAAGAAATTACAACTCGAAGTTGAAATATCAAGAAATCAAAAAAAGTCCATTTTCTTTGTTCGTGATTCATCATAATTTTCTATTCTTTTGTTATTTATCATGATACATAATGACAATATTATTCAGACACTATTGAATGAAACTACCAGTTCCCAAGACGACTCATCTTCTATTACGAATAACAACCACCACCACGATCACAATCACAACCAAAGCTCATCATTACGCGTTAAGCGAGATAGACCAAGTAGTCCATTTATTGATGGGATGAGTTCCGAAATAACATCCTATTCTTCAAATCAACAATCAGTTCCAGATTCATCTCCTATTCATTCATCATTATCATTATCATCATCAACATCAACGTCTACATCGATGGAAAATGAGTTTCCAAGATTAACTTCAAAATCACAATCAATGAATTTTCCACGTAGTCCATTGAAAAATTTATCAAATTTAGTTATTCCATCATCGGTAAAATCAAAAACTAAACAATTAACAAATAGTTTTAGCAGATCCATGTCTGAAGTTGTTTCAAAATCTTCTCATAGTTTTTTCAATACTCCAAAGATTGAATTTAATTCTATTGATGAAAATGATGACATACCCACCAATTACGACTCAGAAGAAGACGACGACGACGATGATGTTGTTGGTGTTGGTGTGGCTACAAATAACAATAATAACAACGATGATGATGATGAGGAAGAAGAAGATGATGATGAAGACGGTGAAGATACATTTGATACTATTAATATTGGATCTCCAATCCGTCGAAACAACAGTAATAGTACTCAAAATAGCATACAAACAAATAATCAACCATCAAAAATTAGAAGATTTCATTCAATGTATCAAACTAATAAAGAAATTTCATCCTACCAGATTCATGAAGATAATTCAATTTTAAAATTTACAAATATTGAATATTCACATCTGGATAGTGATTTATTACCAAGAATAACTGTTGATCAATTATTTAAAATTCTTTGTGGTGAACATAATCATGAATTTGATGAGTTTATTATCATTGATTGTCGTTTTGATTATGAATATGAAGGAGGTCATATAATTAATGCAATTAATATATCTTCAAAAGAGGAACTTGAATCTAATTTTATTAACAATCAACAACCACAACAATCCCAAGATGAAGAGAATAAATCTAAAAAATTGATTATTTTCCATTGTGAATTTAGTGTATTTAGAGGACCAATGATGGCTAAACATTTACGAAGATGTGATCGTATGTTGAATTATGATAATTATCCAAAATTGACATATCCAGATGTGGTTATTTTAGAAGGAGGATATAAACGATTCTATGAAAATTATTCTCAATGGTGTAATCCTCAAGGTTATATTGAAATGAAACAACATGAAAAGTTATGTGAATCCAATCTAGATAAAATAAGAAGGGAGAATAAATTGACTAGACATAAATCTTATCAATTTGGTAGTAATAATCTTTATACTAATCGTAATAACTCGTCAAAGGATCAATTATTTTGGGGACTGAGTACATTACATTGTCGATCTCAATCTTATACTACCATCACCAATGAAAAGATTATTAAACGTCAAAGATCAATTCCAAAAGTTAAAGAATCATCATCACCAACTCCTCCTTCATCATCAACATCAACAACAACAACACATTCAATTCATAGACTTACTAGAGCCAATACAATTTCATTAGATCAACCAATGTTTACCAATAAATTAATTTCATCACCAGTAACATCACCAACTACAAGTACATTTGAATTGAATAATAATTTTTCAAATTCTTCACTTTTCACAACCCAAGATTTTCAACCACCAAGTGCATCATTTAGAAATTCATCATATCGTAATCATCGTAGATCAATATCATCAAATTTTTCATCAACTTCAATTAATTCAATTAATTCAACAACTTCATCAAATGGTTGTTCTGATTCAGGTTCAATTGAATCAACTTTAACCGATCCTTATATTTCATCTTCATCTTCTCCAGTTTTAGAATCTTCAGATTATTTTGATACAAGAAAACCAACTCGTCCTCAATTTAATAGAAAACAAGGATCAAGAAATATTCAACAATCTCAATCTCAAGGTCAATCTCAACAACAATTACAATTTCAATTTCCTAAATCTCGTTCATCAAATAAATTATTTTCAACTCCATCTAACTTTTTCACATCTCCAATTACAAATCATTCCTTTAATAATAGCACTACTACTACTACTACTACTACTACTAATACTAATACTAATAATAATACGACTATAAGTAGTAATAATAGTGGTCCAATTCATTCTCCATTTTTAACTCCTGCAACAACATCTTGTGATGATAATACAAATAGTTCAATTATTGATCCTATAAATGATACCCCAGTTGATTTTCTGGTTCCTATTTCAACTCATAAGTATTCAAAGATAAAACTTCATAAACGTTCAGGATCTTTACTTTCTTCAACTATATCTGAAAATAAAGAATTGTATAGTTTTGCAGTTGATGAAGATGAAGAAGAATAACAAGACCACACATTTGATAATCTTTCTTTTAATAATATATACACACAATCTTGCATTTAATTTTAATAATCTAATATATATAAATCTTTTATTCAAAAGTTATATATTTAATAATAATAATAATAATAATGATATAAATAGAGAAAAATAGAAAAACTTCATTAAATCTTAGCTTTATCACCAACTAATTTAATAGCAGCATTGTTAATGGCAATAGTACCTCTATCAACAACATGAGTTTGGAAAACAACAGTATCATCACTTTCTTTCCAGGCCAAAACTCTCAATGTTTCACCTGGGAAAACAATACCAGTAAATCTAGCTTTAATTTCATCAAACATACCAAATTTATCAATCAATGCTTTAGCACTTAAACCATAAGTACACATACCATGTAAAATTGGTTTAGGGAATTTAGCACCTTTAGCGAAATTAGGATCAATATGTAATGGGTTTCTATCACCAGACAAACGGTACAAAGCAGCCAAATCTTCACTAACTGGAACATCAACTTGATAATCTGGAGCTCTCTTTGGTGCCAAGAATTGGTTAGTGGCAAATGCTGGACGATCAGAATAAACCTTGTTATCAGCTTGACAATCTCTAATGAAATATGTGGCTTCATTAGAATAAATCAATTCACCAGAATTGTTATCAACAGACTTGGATCCATGAACAATAACAACATTTTTACCCTTTGGAGTAGTAGCAATTGGTTCAAAAGTAGTCTTAATTTCACCTTCAGTTGGTGGTGGCCAACTATGAACCTTCAAATAATGTTCACCATGCAACAACAACATTGGGTTGAAATTACGCAACAATTTAGCAAATGAATTTTGTGATTTTCCAGAATTAAAAGTAATCAAATGTCCAAAAGTTGGAATAACTTGGAAATCAGAATCATTTTCATAAACATATTGCAATTGTTTAGTGGTGGCACCAAGAGCAATATTGTACAAGATAACATCTCTGTCATTGAATTTCCAAACTGGATCATCTTCTTCATCGTCTTCTTCATCTTCTTCTTCATCACCTTCATCTTGTTCTTCTTCATCTTCATCATCATCATCATCATCGTCACCACCAACAGCCGACAAAATAGCCATAGAAGATTCAGTGGTAGATTTTGGATTTTCAGTGTCGGTAGTGAAATCAACAATATCCTTCAAGTTATCTCTAATGAATTCAACAGAAGTGTATTCATCATGAGAAACAGCACCTTTAGCTCTTTGCCATCTGGTGTTACCGATCCAACCACCACCAATTTCGAAAGTTTCACCAGTAACTGGAACTTCTTCAGTACCCAAGTAAACCAATAATGGAGCAACTTGATCAGCATGGTACAAGTTCTTGTCTTCTTCTCTGAAAATAGTCAAAGTCATGGCAGTTTCAGCATGTGGAGCAACAATATTAACCTTGATATTGTTTCTAGCACCTTCAACAGCCAAAGTTTTAGACAAACCCAAGATACCAGCTTTAGCAGAAGAATAATTGGCTTGACCAAAGTTACCATAAATACCACTGGTGGAAGTAATATTAATAATTCTACCAAATTGTTTTTCGGCAAAATATGGCCAGGCTAATCTACATAAATTAAAAGTACCAATCAAATGAACTTGTTGAACTTGGTCCCATTCTTGTTGAGACATCTTGGCAAAGGATTTATCTCTCAAGATACCAGCATTGTTAACCAAGATATCAATAGTACCATATTTATCAATGACATTCTTGATAATAGCTTCGGAATCTTTGGCAACATCATGTTGATCTGGCCAAGCTTCACCGCCAGCAGCTTTGATTTCATCAACAGTTTTGGTGGCATCCTTGAAATCATTAACAACAACCTTGGCACCATACTTGGCAAACCATTTGGCGTATTCTTTACCTAAACCAGCACCAGCACCGGTAATTAAAACAACTTTATCTTTCAAAGAAACTTTTGGAGCACCAGAGGCATCATTAGCTGGCAACTTTCTGGCTTCTTTGGTCAAAGTAGGATAATCATTCAACATAAATGGATATTGGTTCTTTAAATATTCTGGTTTATTGGAATCATCAAAGTTAAGGATTTCAGAGAATCTCTTGGCAACAACTTCAGCAGTAAAAGATTGGTCTGGTTTAACCAAGATACCACCAGATCTTTCCCATCTAATTTGAGCATAAAAACCAGCAGCAACTTCAAAGAATTGACCAGTCAATTCATTTTCTGCTGAGGATAAGTACAAGACCAATGGAGCAACTTTTTCAGGACCCAATTTTTCTAAAATTGGTGGAGGCAAGATAGATTCAGTCATTCTTGATCTAGCCAAAGGAGCAATGGCATTGGCTTTAATGTTATATTTGGCACCTTCTTTGGCCAAAGTTTCAGCAAAACCCAATAAAGCAGATTTAGCAGAAGAATAGTTAGTTTGACCAAAGTTACCATATAAACCAGCTGGAGAAGATGTATTGACAATTCTACCATATTTTTGTTTTTGGAAATATGGCCAAGCAGCTTTGGTGACGGCATAAGCACCATTTAAATGAACATCAATGACCAATTTGAAATCTTTTTCAGTCATTTTTTTAATAGATGCATCTCTCAAGATACCAGCATTATTAATAACAATATGAACGGTACCGAAATTCTTAACTGCAGTTTCGACAATTTTATCACCATCTAAAACGTTATTGTAATCAGCAACTGCAACACCTCCGTTTTTAACAATTTCATCAACAACAACATCGGCGGCCTTTGAGTTTCCACCTTGACCGTTCAATGCACCACCCAAATCATTGACAACGACTTTGGCGCCTAATTTTGCAAATTCAAGGGAATAGTATTTACCTAAACCACCACCTGCACCGGTGATGATGACAACTTTATCTTTAAAATCTACTGGAGACATGATTGATTTTTATTTCTTCTTCTTCTTATTCTTCTTCTTCTTCTAGTAGTAGTAAGTAGTAATAGTGATCTAAGAACAAGAAGATATTAAATCAGAAATTAATGTGTATTTCAAAAGAAAAAGATAGCAAGAAGAGGAGGAGGAAGTACAACAAGGGATATCAAAGTAGTTTATATATAAAGTTGAAAATTGTCTGTTTGTTGTATGAGGAAATTCTTGCGCGGGGGAAATGTGATCAGGTCGTGTGCACGTGGATAAAAACGCTTGTGCTTTTCAACACATTTTTCACATTAACCGAGGATTACTATTCCACTACAATCTGTGTGTGTGTGTGATTAATACTTACCAGTGATATATCTGACAACAGAGGTGTAGACACATGATGATCAGCTCAGTAGTAGTAGAGATCAACAATTGAAATAAGAGAGATGTTACTCTGTAGACTAATAGAAGTCGAATAGGGGGGGGGGGAGATGGAAGATTTCGGTATCTCAATTGTGTATATTGTATATTATTTACCCCATAAAACGGTTAATCAAGGATAATTATCCACACATTCAATACGAGACACTCCTGCTCCTGCTCCTCTCTCCTCCCCCCCACAGAAATCTATTTTCATTTTCCGTGGGTTTTGATTTAACCATTGTATCTGTACCTACATGGTTAAACACACTAGTGACAGCGTTTATAATCATCTATAACGTGTGGGTAACTTCTTTCTTTCTTTCTGATTATACTATTATTAGCGGCTGAGTCGTGCACCCATCACCAAGAGATAGCCAGATAAAAATTTTTGCCTTCCTCCTCCTCCTCCTCCTCCTCTTCTCGCAATTTTAATTCCGAAATAATGTGACCGAGGGACAAATTTGAAATTTCCCCAGATTTTCACATTTGATTATTCTGTTATATACTCTTTTTTACTTTCACTTTCATTTCCAATCATATGACATGAATATATACATTTACAACCTCTATTTAAACTCTATGTAATCTCTTCTTACCACTAATACTAGTGACTACTCGATGTTTTGTACAAGACTTTGTTTCAATTTGATATCTTTATCCAAATGTAGAAAGTTACTGGCTAATACAACATCAGCTAGAAGCACACAAATTGAATTGATTAAAAAACCCAAGTATAATTTATCCACGCTGGCAAGTTTACCAGTTATTATAGGCCCAACACAACGTGCCAAAGTTTTACCAATATTAACTATACCCATAACTTTTGTAATATCTCTTTTTGGCATGATTGAAGTTAATAATATTTGTCTTGGAACAACATCCATTGTACTTGTAGTATAATATAACACCAATAATCCAGCAACAGGTATATAACTATTACAAAAAGTAATCAATCCCATGAAAATAGCTGATGGGACTTGGGTGAACAAGATAGCTTTGACAGGACCTAAAAATTTCGAGAAAAATGCTGATGGTAATGAAGATACTGAATCAACCATATTAGTAATGAAAAATAATGTACCTAATGCCATAGCAGTTAACTTAAAAGTAATTTTCAAATAGTAAATTATCCATGCACTTGGCATAAATCCATATCCTAATGAATCCAACATGAATACACATAATAATCTTGGTAAATAATATTTTGCAGTTTTTGACAAATCAAACCATGAAGTAGAATCTTTTGCAACATTATTATTTTCATCATCATCATTATCACCACCATTTTCTGGTGTAGAATGTTGATGATCATTTAATAATTCAGTATGTTCATCAATAAAATTTTCAACTCCAACTTCTACTTTACCAGATACTAAACACATTAAGCAAAATTTAGCAAATGCAATAACTGCATAAACAAGAAATACATATTTATAACAAACCACTAAAGGTATATTTAAATTTTCATGCCAATAATCAATTAAACCACCACAAATCAATGAACCTAAAGCAGCACCAAAAGTAGCAAATAATCCATAAAATGCAAATATTTCAGGTCTATGATTATGAGGAGTTAAATGAGCAATACTTGCTTCTTCAACACTTTTAAATGGACCAGTTTCATCCCCACTTGGTGATATTACACCAAATATAGCAGCAATTAATAATATATAAAAATTAGAAGCAAAATAAAATACTAAACCTGATAAAAACATCATTATTGTTCCAATAATCATAACTAATTTTCTGCCAATTTTATCGGCATTCCATGTTAAATAATATGATATAAGAGTATCACCAATTAAAGTTAATGTCATAAATAATCCTATATTTGATTCATCAATATTTAAAGATTTTAAATATAGGGTTAAAACTTGATTAGTTAATCCATAACTGGCCATACGTAGAAAAACAGAACTCCATAAGATTCTAATATCAGCATTTGACTGCTTTAAAGATTTGATCAAATGCATAGTTGTTATTAATGAAAACTGGGGTTGGGTTGATATTACAACGACTTTGAAAAATCTGAAAGAAAAAAAAAGTCAATCCTTTATTTTTTCTACTACAGTACATCTCCTTAGACAATTCTGGTTTTTTGACACAAATCACGTGACAATCATCAAATTTAAGAATAATCCTTTTTGCAACATTTCCAATAATGATGTTGCAATGATAAGCTTAACCGAAGTTTCCTAAAAGTTTAAAATGAACATATTGATCAAGCAATATATATAAAGTGGTTATATATTGATCAGAAAAAACTATCGTCTGTGATTATATATGATTTGAAAGAACAATTGTTGTTGAACAACAATACTAAGCTCGTTAGACGAATTCGAGTCTATTTGAGATATTATGCATGGAACATAGGTGAAGAATGTATATATATATATATACATATTGTGATTCACTTGCATGGTTGAGATATTCCACAAGATATTGACTGGGGGGAAGGGGGAAGGACTTTTTAATCTACGATCTCTCATTGATTGTGTATAGTTATATGTAGAAGTTATTGTAATGTATCATGTGGTGAATACCACGTGACCAAGCAAAGACGTGCACAACGCCCAAATAATTTTTCTATGTGGGCAGCAAAAGGAGGAGGAAGAAGAGAAAAAAAAAAAGATTCGCGTCTCTGTTTTGGTTGTCAAAAAAACAACTGCCAGAAAAAGTAAACAGTTACACAAAGCAACCTCACTTTTTAATTTATTTATTTACTTATTTAGACGAACAAGAAGAACAATAAAATTTACACAAGGACACGACCAAACACAACATTGCAAAAAATACCGTGAACAGATTTCCTCTCTCTTCCCCCTTTCACCAAAGGATTGACTTGATTACAATCAGACATGATCCTGTTGTTGTTGTTGTTGTTGAAGAAGAAGAAGAAGAAGATGATGATAAGGGATTTACAAATGACTAATCCAAAGATAGACACTAAAAACCTTCCCAATGGATATGCGTAGAACAAAATGTATGTACAAGTTGTAGAAATGAAACTCATCTCATCAACTTGCCTCGTTTAATATTATGTTGTTGCTGTTGTGGTGTGTTTTCACATTTTCCTATTGAGGTTAAATCATTACCTTAAACAACAGCAACTACAGTCAATTAATCAATTAGTCAAATTTCGATGAAACATCATTATCTTGCTGTTCAACATACTAAACTAAAACCTCATTTATTCTTTTGGTTACACAACACGACACGACATAACACGACACGACATAACACGACACGACACGATAACTAAGAATACAATTCACCGTGGACCGTGGACCGTGGACCGTGGACCGTGGTGCGTCGCCCTTCCACAGATGAAATTGTTATTGTTATTGTTGTTGTTGTATTAAGAGTTTCCTTAAAATATTCTTCATGCATTAAATGTATTATGCGCCACGAGTACACGACTTTTATTGAGTTTTTTTGGTTTTTGGTTTTTGCGTACATTAACCAATTTTGTTTCATTCATTCATTGATTGTTACTGTTACTGTTACGTGAAAGTTATATTCTCTGATTAAATTAAAATTTCCCTTTTTCTTTCTTTTCTTCTTTCCTTCCTTGAAAAATAAAATAAAATAAATTTCAACAACTACTATTCTTCTTCTTCTTCTTCTTCTTCTACTACTACTACTACTATCATTCTTTTGTGAAAGTATAACTTACCAAAGGGCTTTCTTGTTGTTCCATTCTTATTTGTCAATATCAAAACTATATTCCTAACCAACGCGAAATAAAGTCAAGTCAGGGTCATAGAAGAAATAGTTATCGACAGAAATCCAGTCCATCTATTAACCCTTTAAGCAGTCAAGTATATACCCTACCATCAAAGGTGTCATTCGTTTATATCTAGTCATCATTAGCATTCTCCCCCATTGTGTCACTCGTTTCAATATCACTTTGCCATAGAATTCATATTTTGATAATATATATTTAATAGAGAAAGAAGAAGAAACTACCAGAATCAATTCATACTTCATTATCTTATATTCCAACTAATTTGCTTTTTTACACTCCTTAAGCTTATTTTAGACTAATATCCATTCACATAGAGTTGTCAAGAGGATATCATATTTCAACAAGCAAATAAAAAGTCTCCCACTTGTATTTTTTTAAAAAATCTACACATTTGTCTTTGTCTGATAACACCATCAACACCACTTCTGTTTTTTAATTAATTAATAATAATACACCAATTGGAAATCATGATTCACCAACGTACATTCTCAAATACTTCGATAGATTCATTTAATTTCAATCATAATAAACTTCATCAAATAGAGGAAGAAAAGAATCTCCGAGAATCAAGAATTAATGAAGCCAATTTTGAAGAAATTTCAATTCATTCTAAAACTCATTATAGTAAATTGAATTCAAAACAGCAACCTGTTGTACCATCTCCTTTACAAAGACAAATTACTAGAAATTCAATTCATAGTAATAATTCCATGAATACAATAATTCAATCCCAACAACAACAACAACAACAACAAGTTAAACGTACAAGTATGATTTCTCCTTCACAATTCATTATCAATGTTAATCGTACCCCTGGGAATTTAACACCTTCTCAACGATTGAATTTACGTAAATCAAATATCAATAGTTCAATTTCACAGTATAAATATGATGATACTAATATTGTTAAACATAAACAATCTCAAATTATTGATGATAGAGATGAAATTATTGATGATAATGTTTTATTTAATGTTCCATTTTCACAATCGATTGAATCATTGAATCAACATGAGAAATTTTTATTTGATAATCAATCAAGAAATCTTTCATTTGTCACTGATGATTCAACAAGAACAAGTTCAATTATTTCTCATGTTAGTATTAATGATAGTTTATCATCTGTTGAAGAAGATGAACATGATATCACATCAAGTACCATTAAACCAACACAACCAGTACCACCACCACCACCACCACCTCCTCCTCCTCAACAACAACATGCAAGATCTCAATCAATGGCTATAATTACTGATAAAGAATTTAATAGTATTTCAAAAGATGCTCAAGAATTGACAGTATTGTGTAATAAAGATGAATTTTCCCAAATTTATGATGAAAGTTTTCAAAAACGTAGAATGTTGTCAAATTTTAAAAGAATTCTGTCAATACTACCTAATAAATTAACTACTAGTTCAAATAATAATAATGGTAGTAGTAGTAGTAATTCAACAAGGAATATTGATCCAAAATATCATACTTTTACAAGACCAATTTGGTTACCACCAAAATCATCATATGAAAAATTGAAACATCAAAAAGAATCTGAAAATATTTTATATAATGCATTATATCAAGAATCACAACTTCAACAAAAGAGATTAATTGAATTGGATCATGTATTGAAACAACGTCAAGATGATGTTAAAACATGGGAAAGATCATTATTGAATATTAAAAGTTTTGATGAATTATCATTTAAAGATATAACTGAATTATATTGGAGAGGTATTGCTTCTGATATTCGTAGTAATGTTTGGTGGAAGATTAATTTATTGAAGAAACCAAAAGAATTTGATGAATCATTTTGTGAATATTATTTTGATAAATATCTTATAATTCATTCAAAATTATTACATTTAAACAAGATTCAGAATAAGAATAAGAATAAGAATAAGAATAAGAATAGTCATACTAACACGCATGTTAATGTTAATGATGAAGAACAATTACAAACCTTGCTTAATACAAAAGTGTTTGATGTTTCATTATTACAATGGTGTAAATTATACAATCAAATTTATAAAGATTTAATGTTGAATGTTTATCCAGATTTGAATTATTTTCAAGATCAAGAAGTTATTTCCAAAATTACTAAAATTATATTTAGTATTATTCTTTATTTTAAAGATCAACAAGGTGGAGAATTAGAATTAAGTGAAGATTTTAATATAATGAATTTTTACCTTTCTGGAATGATTAATTTAACATCAATTTTTTATTATAATTATAAAAATACTTATAAAAGTTTTATATCAATTTGTCAATTTTATAGATTAAGATTACCAAGTATGATGTTTACTTTTATTAATGGATCAAAAGAAATGAAATCAATTTTGAAAAATTCATTAAACAGTTATATGATTTATAAATTTGAAAAAATTTTAAAAATTAAACTTAATAGAATTTCAGTTCATTTTAAAATTCATAATGTTTCATCATTTGATTATTTACCTAAATTAATCTTAAGTTTAGGTTTAAATTTATTTAATTTTGAAATATCTTCAAGAATTATTGATTTGATTTTATTTGATTTAAATCCTGATGAAATTATCATGAATTTAATTCTTAATTATATGATTAAAATTCAACATAAATTATTTGGTAATAAACAAGAAATTCTTGATGCTTTATTTGGTGAAAATTTAATCAATTCTAATTCTAATTCTAATTCAAATACTCAAAAATATGTTAATGTCGGTTATGAAATTGAATTTATAAATTCTTTAAAAGAATTGTGCAAATAGATATACATATATATATATTCTTATATATATATTCTTATATATATATATATATATATACGTACTTACTTACTTTAATTCATTGATTGTTTTTAAAAGTTCAGATCCATTTTCAGCTGTTTTAACTTTAACAACATATGTAATAATCTTTGAAGCATCATTAGGATCAATAGTTGGAATTCTAATTAATGATCCATTACCAATAGATTCATAATTTATACTTTTCAAAATTAAAGTATTTAATAAAATTCTTAAACTACCATCTGATCTAATTAATATTCTTGATTTTGCAGTTTTTTCATTATATAAAATTTTCAATTCTCCTAATCCTTTATTAATATATGGATTTTCTTTATTATTTGAATCAAATTCCATTAATTTAGAACGAATTGTAAATTTAACAATTTCATTTTCTTCTCCATTTGTTTGTTCAATTTTTTCATTTGATAATTTAGCAATTGGAGTAAAATTACCTCCTGTTTCTTCTTCTTTTTCTTCTTGTTGAGGTTGTTCACTTGCTGCCGTGGCAGTTTCTTTAGATTCTGGTTTTTTATCATCTGTTTTACCAAATGAAAATCCAAAAGTTGGTTTATTCAGTCCAAATGTACTTGTTGCTGTTGATGATGAAGTATTGAAATTAAATGCTGGTGTTGGTGTAGATTCAGTTTTTTGTTCAGAATTTGAAGGGGTACCAAAAGTAAATGGTTTAGATGCACCACTATTGAAAGAAAATGCTGGTTTATCAGAACTTACAGCTCCAAACAAAGATGTTGTTGGTGCTGATGAAGCTTTATCTCCTTCAGCTTTAGCTGATGCATCAGTTGCAGTTGCAGTTGCAGTTGGTTGTGGTTTAAAATTAAAAGACGGAGTGCTGGTACTACTAGTAGTGGATGGTGCACCAAATTTAAACATTGGTGTGGTAGTATTAGTAGAAGACTCTTTTGTATCTGGTTTGTTTTCGGTTGTGGTAGCAGCTGGAGTTCCAAATGAAAATGCAGGTTTGGCATCAGTTGATTTTGATGCTGATCCAAATGTAAAAGCAGGTTTTGCAGCTTCTTCAACTGGTTTACCAAAAGTAAACAGTGGTTTTGCAGCTTCTTCGACTGGTTTACCAAAAGTAAACAGTGGTTTTGCAACTTCAGGTTTATCTTCAGGTTTACTTAAACCAAATAAAGGTTTTGGTTCTTCCTTTTTGTCTGATGTAGAAGGTAATGAGAATGCATTTTGTGGTTTCTTTGTATCATTATCATTATTATTATCTTCTTTCTTTTCTCCAAAAGTAAATGGTTTAGATGAATCTGTAGTAGGTAATTTGAAAACACTGTCTTTAATAGGTTTATTAAATTGAAAAGTAGGACCTTTAATTTCAATTTCATCTTCCAGATCATCTGAATCAGGGGCATTCTTTTTAGCTAATTTCTTAGGATCAAAAGTAAATGGTGATGACTTAACTGTTGGTTTAGTGGCAAGGGTGAATTTTGGTCCTTCAACTTTAATATCCTTCTTTTCTTCTACCTCATCATCATCATCGGAATCAGATTCAGAATCAGATTTATCCTTCTTTATAGTATTGGATTCAACTGATGGTGCTGGTTTTGATGAAAATAATGGAACATTTGCTGTTGTAGAAGCACTTGAGTTTTCTGTTGTTGTTGTTGTTGTAGATGATGCAGATGCTGGAGGGTTGAAAGAAAACATTGGTTTTGATGGTGCATTCACAGCAGTAGAAGAAGGAACTGCTGGTTTTGATTCTTGAACAGGTGGTTTAAATGAAAACATCGGAGTTGATGAAGTGGTAGTAGTAGTAGAAGGAACACTTGGTTTGAATTGAAATGTACTTGTAGTTGCTGTTGGAGGTTGTTGTTGTTGTTGTGGTTTTACTGGTAATGGTTGTTTTACATTTGATATACTTTTATAATAATCAATATATTTTTGAGCAATTGTTGTAAAATCAGCAATAGTATTAGGAACATTCAATTTATTAACTGCTTTAACAAAATTCTCATTCAATGCTCTAATTTTATTATTCTTTTCTTCTTCATCATTAGATACAATAGTTGTTGAACCTTGTTGTTTTAAAGAACCAAAAGGATTAGATGCTGGAGCAGTAGTAGTATTTCCATTTCCATTTCCAAATGAAAACAGAGATGATTGTGGCATTTGAACATTAGAAAATCCATTAAATCCACTTGATCCACTTGGTTGAGTTCCTAATCTACCACGTGGTTTTAGAATCTTTCTTTTTGATAAAACATCATTAGATGCTTGTACTGGACCTTGTGGGGCATCATCTCCATCAGAAGACCCTTCAAATCCATCTTTTGTTATCTGTTCATCTGCAACTCTCTTAGCCATTGTGCGTATATCTGACGGGTGTGCTTATGGATATAAACCTGTTTTATATGGGTTGTTGTTGTTGTTGTTGTTGTTGATTTGGAGTAATGCACTTGTTGATTGTAAATCACAACATTATGAAACCACCAATGGATGGAACTTTGAAATCCTTCAAACAGCAGAAAAAAGAGAAAATTACCACCGCAAATGTAAGAGCAGGAGAAGCCCTAATAGCCCTAATCAAATGCACGTGACCCTTTAAGATAAATGAGAATTGTGAGAAGAGGAAGGAAAAAATTTTTTCTCTTTTTCATTTCCGCCAATGAATTCCTCATTTTCTCGCCATCGCACACTACCATACAAAAAAAGTATGCACCGAAAAATTAACTAAGATAATTTTAGTATTGATTATACTTTTTTCAGGATTTTCTTCTCTCTTGTTTGGATAGTATAGAATCGTCAGTAAACGTATGTGATACAACAGCTACATCAACATCAAAGTCAACGGGGGGAGGATACAGATAGATCATAGAGATGTTTAGTATTATCATTATTGTCATCAAATAACTGAAATAAAAGTCATGAAAACTACATGGGAATATTGTAAGATTTTAAAAAAAGATGGACATACATTAAAATGGAATAGTACTCATATTGATGGTAAACAGCAATAAAAGTCATGGAATATCATAATAGAGAGAGAGAGAGAGAGAGAGATGATATTGGATTAATAGTAGCATTATTGGATTGTTCTTATTACCACCCCGTTGATATGATAAATATTTGCATGAATTACTAACTTTTTTTTTTCTTATTTTAGAATGGCTCCAAAGGTTCAACAAACTAAAGCTGCTAAAGCTGCTGCCGCTTTAGCTGGTGGTAAAAAAGGTAAAAAGAAGTGGAACAAAGGTAAAGTTAAGGACAAGGCTCAACACGTTGTCATTTTGGACCAAGAAAAATACGACAGAATCTTGAAGGATGTTCCAACTTACAAATACGTTTCTGTTTCTGTCTTAGTTGATAGATTAAAGATTGGTGGTTCTTTAGCTAGAGTTGCTTTGAGACAATTGGAAGATGATGGTATCATTACCCCAGTCTTGAAACACTCTAAACAACAAATCTACACTCGTGCTCAATAAATTAATTGAAAAAGGAAGGAAGATATATCTACTTGATTATTATGTTATTTTTTTCTTTATTGAATTTATGACTTATTAGAGGAAAGGATTATTTTGTATATTTTGTATATTACTTTTTTTTTATTTTTGTTAATTATTGCTAGTCACGAAAAACACACCCAAATCACAACAACACCTTTATGAATACTATCTTTTGATTGCATTGTCTTAGAGAGGTGTAATTGGAGAGTATTTATTATAATACATGTTAAAAATATTGTTAAATGATTAATAACAACCTGTAAGATATCGATTCGATAAACGATGAGAGGGAGCTGACTGAACTGATCTGTAGGTTTCGTAGTGGGAATATCTTGAGTTCAATAAAAAAAATTCAGAGTTCGAAAAAAGTGAAAAAAATCGGTATATACCTCGCAAGGCATCCATACATATATCTCCACACACAGACATTTAGACACATTGAGAAACATATACAATGATTACTAGAGTACGACCTTGTTATAACACCACCAGAACTACGATTCGAACATTTTTCGGTTCTTCAAAACCACAATCATATGAACTTTCCAAGATCTTACATGGATCACCAGAACAAGTTTATAACATTGTTAGTCAAGTTGATAAATATAAACAATTTGTTCCATTTGTTGAAGAATCATTTATCTCAGATAAAGAACAAGAAACAAATATACCTACAAAAGCAGGATTAGTTGTTGGATGGAAAGATATTGTTGAAAGATTTGAATGTGATTTAAAATGTATTAAAAATTGTAAAGTTAATGCTAAAAGTATTCAATTAGATCTTTTTGAAAATTTAGAAACTGAATGGAATTTTAAAGAATTTAGTAAAGATAAATGTCAAGTTGATTTTAAATTATTATATAAATTTAAAAATCCACTTTATGATAAAGTAAGTTTTATGTTTGCTCCACAAGTAACAGAAATCATGATTGGTGCTTTTGAAAAAAGGTTGAAAAAATTAAGAATCGAAGAAAACATGCATAAGAAACATATGAAAAGTAAATTGTAAATAGGACCATATGAAGTGTGTGTGTATTCCTCTTCCTCTTCCTCCTCCTCCCCCCAAATAGATGTACAGTTGTTCCCCCGGCTGTAATATAATTATAGATCAATGATATAAAACCAAAAAATTCATAAAAACACGCTACATGTACATGCACAATAAGGCTTTTTTTTGTTTTATCTTAGTTATAGGGGTAGTTTATACTTGCAGAATAATCATCCAATAATTTTGGATTCAAAGACTCGAGATCATAATTAGAATGGTAGTAATACTGATCTAAGATTATCCACGGTGAATAATATCATTGTCAAGAGCACCCATCTTATTTGAAGGGACAACCAACGAAAATGAATCCAATTCCGAGGTAAATTTATTTTAATTTCCTCAATTTACGAATGGTCCGGAACCGCCAATGACAAATAACCGTTTATTACTGTACTGTTCTTTTCCAATCTTAATAAATGTCACATTATATATTTCTTGTAATTGCAAAAATAACTCGGCAATGTCATGAAATTTTTTCTTTTTTCTTTTTGTTTAATTTCTATACTTTCCACAGAATTATCAACCTAGAATCCCTGTCAATAATCACATAAAAGGCTAAAGTTTATTATCGGCCAGGAAAGGATAAGTAGGCGATGGTGAAATTTGTTAGAGTTCTCTTTTGTAACTATGCTAATAATATGGACTCAAAACCGTTCACATGACACTACCCTGTGATAACCAGAGATGAGATGTGATATTTCTTGATTTTGATTTGTAATCATTGGTTGACGTAAGAAGAATAAATGAAGTCTATAATACAGTTAACTACTTTGTTTAATCAATGTCTACGTATGATTCTTATCTTTTGGTTTTAATATGATACGGAAATAAACCCAATATGCTACAAACTAAAACATGACCAAAAAAAAAAAAAAGCAACCGTAGGGCGATTAGATTGATATTGTTTAAATATATATATATATAAGAGCAATGTAACCAATTATCTTGTGAATAATTGGCAGAAGAGCACTTAGATCCGATAACGAAATGCCCCTCCTCTTAAAGATCCTTTTATCCACTGATGAAACAAAGAGAAGTTGAAAATACAAACAACCTATTAGGCATATCGTTCATGTGGCTCAATAATAATTATTTCAAATGAAATAGAAAACAGCAATTGCTTGTTCTTTGTCAAGTATGAACACGAACATGAGTATGAACATGAACAATGTGAAAAATAGGGGCTATAGAGGTGGAGGAGGAGAAGAAGAAGAAGTTAAAAAAAAGGAGGGCATGAAGGCAGGACACAACAGGACACCAACAAGGGGCCGACGGTCCGAGCGAGAAATCAGTCGAATTGGCCGACGTAGCGCGAATCCCGCTTAGGGTGTCTGTCTGCCTCTCCTCTTTTTCCTTCCTCTCCTTTTTTTTTTGTCACTACTTTGATTTACTGCGAAAAGAATAATATTAGGGGGTGAAGATGTGGATACGGATTAGGATGAGGAAGGTGACATCATCACGTAATGATTTGTAAATCTCTGTCACGAAACAGGACTAGCCTAGAACATACCTGTTTGTTCATCCACCAAATCGGATCGTGAGGCAATACAAACAATAGATTTGGAGAAGAGTAGATGATACTCGAAGATGGAGGGGAGAGTAGAAAATATTAACAACAACAACAACAGTAATCATGTTATTGACTCGTATTTACGTGGTATTTTAAAGTAGCAAAATAGAAAAGTCTATGGATTTGTCATCAGAAGAAATCATCATCGATATTTTACTTGATGAAAGCAAACATAACCACACATGGACGTGTGAATAGATAGACACACCCACCCACACACACACACACATGCATACACATAGATACTGTTAGACACAATCAACTCTATTTGCTATTCTACAGTATATTCTGGAAATTTCATCTGAAATACAGTAGAACCGGAACTGAGATGAGGGAAATTCAAAGATATACTGTATGTAAATTTAGACCGGTATACATTTTTTTTTTCTTTACAATGTCGTTGAACATTTCACAATAGGGGTAACACTAAACCAAACCAAACTGAGCTGAACTAAACTAAACTGAACTAAATATAAAAAAAAGAAATAATAAAACTGAATGCCAACCGTAGCGTTCCTATCTTTGTAAACCAATCGAGATATAAATCTTATTGATTTCCCTCGTTATCACAAGATGTCACTGTTTTTTTTTTATATATATTTATATAAAATTGTTTATATTTTATATTTAACATTTAATAACTAACATTCAATCATTTCCAAGCTGTTGTTTTTCTCTCTTGTTTTCTTGCCAGTTTATGTGTTCCAACTTATGACAAGATGAATTTCGAATCACCATTCTCACCATCCCATATGGTATTACCTCCTACAATACATGTACAACCTTTAACTCCAACTGTTATCAACAACAGTAAACTACAATTTGAAGACGAACCCAGACCACAGACAAATCGTACATTGAGTCTACCCTCTAGTTCCGAAGAAGAAGAAGAAGAAGAAGAGGACGATGAGGAAGATGATAACTTATCCTTGGATAATGTCAGCGAGAGTTCAACTACACCACCACCAACTCCTTGTTTGCCAGAATCTCATGACAACAACAACAACAACAATAAGATCTATACAAGTAATTCTACTGATACTTATCTTCATTTCATTGAACCTAGACCAGTTCCACCTCCATCTTATGATACTTTACCACCGGGAGGTTGTCCGAGATTTCCTGTATCTGCACCACCGATTTTTTCCTTTTCCACGGACATGAATACTGATGCAACCGATTATTCTCGCCCGCCTGCATACAAACCGGCTATCTACAAAATAGGAGTAGTTGCAAGAAAGATTGAATGGATCAATAGTCAGGAGTTGTCTCCTAATAGATCATGGAAGTATTATATCATTGAGTTGAACTCGACTCAACTTAATTTCTACAATATCCCAAGTCGTCATGAATTACAAGTTGTCAACTTTCGCTCTAGCCCCTTGTTGAGACAACAACCGATCGATAATTTGGATTCTATTTTCACCGATCATGAAGATTATCAATTTTATAGAATGGTTAAATCATTAGGGTTGTTGGATTCAAAAAATATAACCAGAAATAGAAATAGAAAACAACACAAGGCGTTGGATAAATCTTATTCTTTACAAAATGCTAAAATCGGTTTAGCTAGTGATTATAAAAAACGTACTAATGTGTTGCGTATGAAGGTTGAAGATGAACAAATATTGCTTAACTTTTCCACCGTCCAGGATGTCATCAACTGGCACTTGCTGCTTTGTGTTGGTAAAGATGTCTCTGTTGATTTGACAGAGAGAGAGTTGCCAAAGTATAGAACCGTTCCTAGAAGAAGACGCAGAAGAAGTAGAGACCATGGTAATAATAATAATACCAATAATCATCATCATCATCATCATCATCATAATACTAGTGGTAGCAGTAATAGTAGTAGTGTTGTTACCTCCACTAGTAGTAGCAGTGGAAGTCATAGCAATGGGTCATTACTCAATACAATCCATCATAATGGTTCATTTGCAAGACTTCGGTCCGCTTCGGATCCAAACAAATTTAAAGGAAGATTCTCAAGATTGAAATCAAAAATATCTGGATATAATAAAACACTTGCTGAACCTGCTCCTATTTCCGTTTCATCATCTAACATGTCGATTGGTTATACATCTCGTGGTACTTCTCCAATTAGAAGTACATCAGCATTCCAATCTATTTCTCCAGTACAAAGACCTCCTTCTCCTGTATTTATTACTCCACCTGCTGCCAGTGTGGAAAGATCATATTCTGCTCCAAACTTGAGAAATGTACTTGCACAAGAATCGCTGCAACATGAATCATCACATGCTGAAGATGAAGAAGAAGAGGAAGAAGATGACGACGATTTTGATCAGGCATCAATAAGTTCAGTTGATAATTCTCATGAGGATCAATTTAATTCTTACACTTATAAATGGGACCCAGTTCCAAAGAAGTTTGACTTGCGTAAATATCATCGTGATTGTTTAAGATGTATCAAACCTCTTTATTATAGTTAAAAAAAAGTATACGGCATATTATATAGAAATCTGATGTTGTTGTTTTTTGTTTTTTACAAATAGTATAGTAGTGACTCACGTCTCATGATTATGCATATGAACCCTTAGGTAACGTGGTTTCATATATGTTTTTGATTATGTAAGTTTTAAAACAAAAGAAATTCCCTACTCTTCCGCCTCCACATCCTCTGGTCATGTAAATGAATGCACACCACGTACATGCATGTCGATTTCAAGATTCAGGAAATTCGAAGCTCATAATTACAAGTTGCAAAATTAATATAAAGAAAAATCATTAAAGCGTTCTATTAGTCATGACAAATAATCTATATACTGTATTTATACACTTAATTTATAAAAATCAATGTTTGTCTATGTGTAAGTGTATGTGTGTGTGGAATCAACACCAGAAACGGTACATTTTGATATACCATGGTTTTGATCTCAACAATTCTTTTTCTTCTTCAAGTTCTTGTCTAAGAAGTTCAACATCCAAATCTCTTCTACCAGTATCAAGATCAATATCTTTAGCAGTAATCAAAAAGATCCAATTTCTGGTCCATACTTTATGAACAAGATAAGTTGCTAAAACAATAACAGCAGCTAAATAAGTTTTGAAAAAATATGTAGCATCTGGTTTTTCACCAATAGGGAATAAAGCAAGCCAAAATTGTAAACCTAAAACAACAATATTCATAATTAAACCATAATAAGCACCCCAAACACCAGTATTTGCTTTATATGGAATTTCATCCAATGATCTTCCTTGAACGTACATGGCTCTTCTATATCTAATATAAGCTCCATTAATACTACCCCATGTGAAAAATGTAGATAAACCAGATAAAGCAACCAACCAAGCAAAAACTTCATCTTGTTTTGATGAAGCAGATACAAATGCCAATAAACCAATAAAAGCTGCAAATGCAATACCAACAGTTGGTCTACCTCTTCTATCAACATATTTAAACCAAGATGGAGCAACACCTTGTTCAGCCAAACCCAAAATGGTTCTAGAAAATCCATAAACGGCAGAATTGGCAATGGCTAAAAGGGCAACAAGAACAACAACATTGAAAACAGATGGTAATCCTTTAATACCACCTTGTCTAATAGCAATGACAAATGGAGATGCAGAAGCACCATTACCATTACCAGCCAATTCTGGATCATTTGCAGAAACCAAGAAACCAACCAAAGTTAAAGTCAACAAATAGAAAATTAAAATTCTCCATAAAACTTGTTTAATAGCTTTTGGTAAAGTTTTACGAGCATTTGCAGCTTCACCAGAAGCCATACCAATAAGTTCGGTACCTGCAAGAGAATAAGTAGCAGTTAAAAGACAATTAATAAAACCTTTAAATCCAGTGACAAAAACAGTTGATGAAGTCCAATTCTTACCACCAATATAACCTTGATCACCACCACCACAAATTAAAACAATAGCTAAAATATTAAACCCAACAATACCCAATAATTTAATGATTGAAGCAACAAATTCAGTTTCACCAAATGCTCTAGTACCACCAAATAAATTTGAACCAATAATTAAAACATAAAAAACCGCAACCCAAACGGCAGTATTAATATCCGAAGGCCAAAATTTAATAGTCATTGAACTTGCAACCAATTCTAAAGGCATGACAATAACCCAAAACATAGCATAATTATAACCCATGGCAACACCCCAACTACGATCAATAAATTGAATAGAATAAACTGCAAATGAACCAGAAACTGGATAAACTGAAGACATTTCTGCAAGACATTGCATTGTACAATATAAAAATGTTGAAACAACAAACCATGCAACTAAAACACTTGCTGGACCATTTTGTAATGCTAAACCTGATGCAACTAATAAACCAGAACCAACACATCCACCTAATGCAATCATTTGTAATTGACGTTTACTTAAAGTTTGTTGTAAATGTCCATTTTCTTCTTCTCCTTCTAATTTACTACTAGATTCTAAATCATGTGTTTTATGTACTGGTGGTTTAAATGAATCAATAAAATTATTCCATACTCCTGTTCTTTGTTGTTGTTGTTGCGTTACTTCAGATGTGGTTGAACTTGTGAATACTTGGGATGAGGACTTTGTCTCTCTTGATACTTCAATTGAACTCTTATTACTCATATTTGTCTAAGAGTGTATATATATATATATATGTAGTAGATAAATAAATAAATAAAAATTTGAATAATTGATAAATAAGAAAATGAAAAAAAAAAGTGAATAAAAGAAATTAGTAATTATATACTTTTGAGGAAGTACAACAGGTTTTATAAAAAAAAAGGAATCAGTCATTTTCTCTTATTCATCTTATTGCATCACAAGAAGCTTGGGTTAGACTGCTGTTGTTCTTGTTCTTGTTGTAGTAGTTGTAGTAGTAGTATTATGTGACTCTTGCCATCTCCGTACCATTTTAGTTTCTTTTTTTCTTTAGTATTTCTTTTTCCACTTTGTGATGTTCCGTAAATAGGAACACAAATTTTTCTTTCGCGGCAATTTGAACTTTGCGTTGTTCCAATGATGGGATGGGATGGGATGAAAATGGGTGATTTGTTTAACGGCACTATGGTAACTTCACGGCAAATATACTTTTCTTGTACTTTCCCTATTCAGAAATATGCTTAAAAAAACGCTCATTCTTTACATTATTACTATTATTATTATTATTACAGCCCTAGCTGTTTCTCTCAAGCCTTTAACGGCGGCAAAACGCATATGATTCCTTTGTATTTCCCTAGTGACCTGCCTCCCGTGAATATCTGTGTTTGGCTGAATAACTTTATTGATTGCAATCTGGGATCCTTTTGTTGTTTAAGTTTATCTAATTTTCAGGTTATCCCATTGTTATTTTCTCCATCTAAAATGTATACCCCATTTATAAGTATCACTTAGATTGTGGATTAAACCGTTTTTTTTTTTTTTAATTATTATTATTCTTAATTCATTTACACTTAATCGTATCACAAGACTTTCAACTTATTGTTGATTTCCCCATACTTGAAAATTTTTTACTAAACTATTTCTTCTGTCAGAATTGCTTAGCCAAGAAGAACACATACACACACATTCACAAAGCGTATGAATGAATGAATGAAGAAGAAGAAAAACGAATGATTCAAGGCATCTCATGATGGGCATATTTCAAGGACATGGCTTTTCTTTCTTTTTTTTTTCAATTTGACGGCATCTGTAGTGAAGGAATGTGACAAAAGCAATTTGCGTTCCTCTTGATTATCGGCGGCGGCAAAAATAAAAATAAAAATCGGTCGTGACTGGTCGCGACTGGTGGCGATTGTTCGTGGTAGAACTGGCACACGGCTTCCCTTGGTGCGGTACTTTACGGTGCGGTGCGGTGCGGTGTCGTTGAGTCGTGGGGCGTTTTGTTTCACTTCGGGGGACTTTTTTATTTTTCTCGGCCTGACTATAAATTTTTATTGGCTAGATAACATGCATGGAAATAATCAAGTAGTCACCCCCCGAATGACTACTTACTCCTTGTGTTTAATAAAATATACCACCATTCTAAAATGTCGAAGTCACGTGGAGGGTGGATAAATCCGTATGTACCTCCGTGTAGCAATGATCGGAAATGTAGTTTATCAGATCTCGGAATTGACAAAGGTCGATTTGAAAAAGAAAGAAAACCACGGCGGCGGTTAGTAACTTTCATTTATCAGGAGCCCTCCCCTGGTTGGATCAACTCTTCTCATCTCATCTCTTTTTCAAATATTGATCCAAAGATAATAGCAATCGACTTTGACTTATGTTTTTACTTGCTTCGATGCATTACATCATAGAGAATTAGCTTTAAAAAGGATTGCGGGGTGGGGGAGAGGTCGGAGAGATACAAAAAAATAAAAAGCATTAATCTCCCACTTTTGGTGGCATGGAGAAATGAACATTCGTCGTCGAAAGCAATCAATCAACCAAAAAAAAATTGAACAATTGGAAATATATAAACTTATATACATATTAGAATTGTTAGTTTCTATATATTAGACAGTTGCTATACTATACTATAAGGACCAAGAATGACTTCTAATATTGAATTTAAAACAACTGAGAATCCTGCAGTGATTAGAAAATTGTATTTGCTTTGTGGCACTGAATGGAGCGGTTTATTAACCCCAGAAAAGTTTGCTGATAAAGTAACTAAAACTCATATTGAATATGTTAAAAATGGAGGTAAGATAATTTCTTATTATCTTGAAGATACAACTACTGAAGAAATTGTTGCTTGTACTTTTGTTAGATATTCAAAAGCTTTTTATAAACCTGCTGATAAGTCAAGTGCAATTTCTTCTATTCCTGATCCTTCCCTTTTTGGAGTTCATAATATCACGGGATTATTAGTCAGTTTTGTATTTGTTCATCCTGATTATAGAAAAAAAGGACTCGCTGAATTATGTGTTTCAAAAGCAATTGAAACTACCGAGGAGGCAATAATTAAAGAGAAATTAGATAGTAGTGATGATGCCGTTGTTGATAATTTCAAGAAAATGTCAATTATTGATGGTAGTGAAGAAGTTGATAAACAATTGGCAAATTATTATTTAAGTAAAGAATATATTTGGTATTTATATTCTGGTGTCAATACTTATTATGAAAGATTTGGTTTTAAATCTTATCCATTGGATTTTTATGAAATTCCAAAATCATTACTTACAGAACATACTGAGAGTGTTCTTAACAAATTGATTGAAAATCTGAATCAAGGAAAAACTGGTCTGCATCACCCTGAACATACAGGTAAGAAATTGAAATTCTTATATGGAGATAATGAGGCCGATCAAGAGATTATTCAATTTATTTTACAAAATAAAGAATTGAATATTGTTACTGAAATCAACAAATTGGTTTTCCATCTGGAATTACAAAGTGATCGTAAATCATCTACTTCGTTAACTAATATGTCTAGTATTTTAGCCATGTCTAAATTAGGATCCAATACTGCATTGTCATCCATTACTGAATCAACCACTACCCAACAACCAAATTCACCAGTAGGTGGTGGTGGTAGTAGTTTAGGTTTGGGTAGAAGAAAATCTAGTGTCCATAATCAAACTACTCCTAAATTTGCCATCAAACCAACTTATCTTGATTATCAATGGAACACTTTATTTGAAAACAATTATTTTGAAGATGCTGATGAAACCGTCAAGAAGAATATCAACATTCAAGGTGCTATAGTTACTAATGAATTACAACAAAGATCATATTATATTTTGTGGGGATTCTTAAAAGGACAATTTTATATTATTGGTATGGGAGAAATTCAATTCCAAGGAATTCCAAGTGTTTCCAATGGTGGAAGTCGTAGAAGAGCATCTTCATTAAGTGGTATAAATGAATTAGGTGGATTTAATTTCCAAGATTTGGAAATTTTAATTTATGTTGCTATTCAAAATGCTAAAAATCGTAATTCAAAAATTGAAAAAATTTATGTTTCAGTAAATGATTTACCTGAAGAAATTCCTGATCCTGTTATGTTTGATTTTTTCACAAATTATCTTCCTGCTTCATCACAAGCTTCCATTGAAACTCCTTCAGATGAATCAATTACCAAGATTGAATCCCTGGTATTCAAAGTGGAATTAAATACCAATGCCGCTAAAAGAGATATTGGTGTTTTACCTATGGTGAAGAAATTTGGTAGTAAAAAAATCGACTTTGATTTAGACTGGGAATCCAACGGTATGTGGTGCTGGGGTTAACCTAGAAAATTGGTTGGTTTCATATATATATATATACTTTTTGTTTGTTTTGTATAGTTCCTCCCAATATAGAATTCAATTTATAAAGTGTGACTTTTACTCACGTGTCTGTCCTGCATGTTAACCACAGCGAAAAATCCAAAAATCCAAAAATCCGAAAAAAAAAAAAAAACTTAAAGAACGAGAAAGAAAATTGCCACTACGTGAATATCCCCAACACCTTGGTAAAGAAATAATTGTTCATTCAATTGATTTGAATAAAACATATACTTATTGTTAGGAATACTATATAATAAAAAAAAAAAAATGAATCACGATCCATATTATTGGGGTAGACCATCTAATGAAACCTATGGTGCTTATAACCATAAAATTGCCAATGCTGGACAATATTCTCATGAATCTAATACTAGTAATTTCCCAAAGATGAATACACAACAACCTATAGTTACTGGTACTTCAGTAGTTGCGCTGAAATTCAAGAATGGTATTATAATGGCAGCTGATCATGTTGGATCTTATGGTTCATTATTAAGATTTAATAATATTGAAAGATTAATTAAAGTTGGTAAAGAAACTGTTGTTGGTATATCGGGAGATATATCTGATTTACAATATATTCAAAGATTATTAGATGAATTGGAAATTGAAGAAGAAGTTTATGATAATGATGGAGGAGATTATTTACGTGCTCCAAATGTTCATGAATATTTATCAAGAGTATTATATAATAGAAGATCAAAGATGAATCCTTTATGGAATGCTATAATTGTTGGTGGATTTGAAAAAGATCGTACTCCATTTTTGAAATATGTTGATTTATTAGGTGTTACTTATCATTCAAGTACTATTGCTACTGGATTTGGTGCACATATGGCACTTCCATTATTAAGAAATTTGATTCCTGAAGATAAAGATTTTGTTAAAGTTAATGAAGAACAAATAAGTAAAGCTGTTGAAGATTCAATGAGAGTATTGTATTATCGTGATGCTAGATCTGGTGATCAATATTCAGTTGTTATTATCAAGATTGATGAAAGTACAGGAGAATTGGATTTTAAATTTATTAAAGATGCCAAGGTTGAGAACCAAAACTGGGAATTTGCTAGGGATTTAAGAGGTTATGGTAGTAAACAGCAATAGGTGTAGCTAACTAGCTAACTAACTAACAAAATATAATGAATATACACCATAGATAGTTAAAAATTAATTTTGCAATATGATTTCAAATAAAAAATTAAAAAAAAAAAGAAGGAAAAAAAGCAATTACTGCGAAAACATATTAAACTGATGGAGGGAAGATACCTGTGCCTCTGTATCCTAGACTGAAGTGTCTATTTCATGTTCATATTTCTCGCAAATATCATTCCTATGACTTGGTGACGTCAACAAGTATACCCGTTTTCGCTTTCAATTTAACCACTTTTACTGAATGTCAAATGTTATTTTTTTTTTCTTCTTCTTTTACATTTGATACTTTAATTCATAACCATGTACGCCTTTTATGTAGACGATGTAATTGTTACATACAAGAAATGGTTTGAGAAGTAGTAATGTCTACTAACTTGTTGCTGGGATTTTCTTTTTCAATTAGAATTTGTACAAATATTAGGTGAAAAAAATGATTGATTATGAGTTTATTGAAGCGACAATTATTGCTATATCTACAAATGAAGCAATTTGAAACGGGATGAAGAGTTGCAAGATGACGGAATGATAACTATACTCAAGATTAACAATCAAAAAGAACAACTCGTAATTATCACCTTTATAGTAGTAGTAGTAATAATAGTAGTAATTTATTCTTTTTTTGCAACTTGTAGCCACATGTTTATAAAATCCCCCGACTAAAAAGTATCTAACTGCCAAAACATAAACTTCAAGAAACTCAAACCTTAATATCTGGAAAGAAAAAGAAAGAGGCTATATGAATTACATCAACTTATCGACATATTGATTCTAATTCACGATGAGTAAAGTTTATTCCATGGTGATAGATAAATTTTGTGTAACACGCCTCTTCAACTCTTTAATATTGTCAAACGTTTACCTTTCAAAAAAGGTTAGGTAAAATGTCTAAATATGAAACATTCAGAGTTTGTGATGATTAGAAATATAAAAAAAAGATACTGATTTGCAAAGCAATTATGTCATCACAAGTGAATCTTTTTCTCGTTACTGTTCACATGAATCAATTATCGTGTACAGCAATCATTAACAATAAATTGTACATTTATTATTATTCTAACAATTTTTTTTTTCAGTTGCTACAAAATCAATACAATCTCATATGGCTAAAAGAAAAAGAAAATACATCACAAATGCAGATATCCTTGCAAAAATCTTCAAATTTGTACATATATCCATATTTAAGAATGAAAAAGAAAGTATTGATTTCTTTTTAACCACAGAAGCAAAATGCTTATATTGCAGTTGATATGGGTGTTTATTTCTCTCTCTTGGAATTACCATTGTATAAAAAGTTTTCTTTGGACACTTAGTATGTGTATCATGGATTATTTGTCTTTTCAATTGAACAATAGTAGATATTGATAGATGGTGTTTTGATTAAGATGCTCGGAACATTAATAATCCACCGTGCGCACTTTCTCCGAAGGGAAGGGGGGGGGGACAAGGGGATAAGGAACGATAGAGGGTGCTGGAGATAAGAACCAACCGAAAAATAATAATACAACGGAGAGGCTTCACGGGAAAATTGATTTCTTCATATTCCAGTCAAGTGACTATAAATTGATTTTTGGATTTTAAGTGGAATTGAATAAAGTTTTGTTGAATAATTCAATGAAATAGATGGGATGTATACACAAAACATACTTGTACATACCAGGAATCATACGTTCACTTGCACGAAAAAGAACAAAGGAGCTGTGATCAAAAAAAGCCATGTTTTATTCATTCAATGTTCTGTATGTTTTCTGCGCCATAAAAGTACCCGCAAGATATTTATTCAAAAAATCATCTCGGAATAGCAGGGGATGATGTCCGGGATTGTGTATTTTACAAATTGAAATGGCTGTATCACGATATTAAAAGCAAAAAACAAAAGAACAAAAGAACAGAAAGACAATCCATATAATGCAACTCCACTTAAAGTTTTACTTGTGGTTTATATGAATGTGGTGAATTCAAGAACCAAAGAAAAAAAAGGGGGCGAGTCGGTGAAAGGTGCTTCATTGTATTTACAGTATGCTTGTGTGTATGAGTATGTGTGTCTATAGATTTTGTGATTTGTAATGCAGTTTAGTTTTGTTTGATTAATTTTCTATACTGTGCATATACGCTGTTCTTAGTTTGTGCCTAATTACAATATGACGGAATGATAGCTTTAGCATTTCTAAAACAAGGACGACAATATTAAAAACACACAGAAGGATCCCACCGATCCGTGAATGTTAAGGTTGAGTTTAATTAATTCGTAAAGTATGAATATCTACAAAAGTACAAAAAACGGAAAAAAAATCCAGACAAAATAAGGCAATAAGGTATCATTATTGATTCTGGTATCTAGGTTTTCTTTCTCTCAAAGTTGCTCGGGATTTCAAGGTTATAAAATAATAATATTATAATAATAATAATAATTTTTTTGTTCCTGTAACGGTATATATTTCTGAAACAGGAAGGCTATTACTGTTATCATCGTTCGTTTCTTTTCTTATTTGTACAAATGTAGACACAAAAATTATTTCAACTCTGGATACCACAAAGTATATCCTTGTAGATTTTACTAATTTTGTTCTTTTTACAATAGACCAAAGCTTTCTTCTATTTCTTTCAACTTTTTATGACAATTTGCATGTAAAATTAAACCTGGAATTCTTTTTCAGATTGTGATATCGGATGTTTTTTTTTTCTACAGGTGTCTATTAGTGACGGATTTTAGTGTGCATCGTATGTATCAAAGTATTGGATTGACCACTATAACGAAACAAGTATAATTTTTTTTTCAATAATGATGAATAATTTCTTTGCAAGATCGGGGATTGATCAATATTTGATATTAGACCACAAAAGAGATAGTTGGACAATAACCTTACGTTAACTGAAACTTTCAAAAGTCAAGCCCAAGGCCTTTTTTGTAATACTTGTTGTTGAATGAATGATGAACAAAAAATTGGTTACTCAATTATAATGGGCATGAAAATTTTAATTCGTTGCTTCGACAATGGGGGTAGGTTAACCTACTCAGTTACAATGACTACTTTTGAAAGTGTCTTAAAATAAAGCAAACTAGACACTGGCCATTTTTTTTTAGCGGGAGAAGAAACAGAACTAAAGAACTTCAGATGCATGAAATATTTGTTCGTAGGCATGAAATAGGAAACTAATAGATTCGGCACAACCAATAATAGTCAAGTTACAAGCATGTCACTCTTTCTTTTACACCTCTCATTGTTAACCTTACAGACATTTTGCGTTCTCTTTTAAATTGAAGTTTGCTTCATTTGAATTGCAAAACGAAAAATCACACACATGCACACGCTGTGCCAATAAGGTTATTGTCTGTACGTTCATATTTCTTTTATTTGTGGGTTTTAATTTGCAAAAGTAAGATCTCTTTTGGTTTCTCTATTTCTCCTCCTCCTCCTCCTCCTCTTGTTCAACCTCTTCTCCAAATTTAAGTAATTATACGTGATAAACACAATACCTGTATACAAACACCGGAATTGGAAAAGTGCTTTGGGTTTCCGGAACCAGAGTTGTTTATGTTTTGGTTCGGTTGTAGGTGCTGATTTGGTAGTTCAGCATCTGCGGCTTATATTTGAAAAAGAAAGAAATAAAGAAATGTCGCAAATGTCGCAATTAGACATTTTGATTGTGATGGGGTTTTTTTTTTTTTTGGTTCATGCTCATAACGATAGCAATCGAATGAGATGTAGCTAGTGGGCATAGTTCCTGAAATTATGTTTGGGAAGGAGGAGGGGGGAGGGACAACAATATTCAATACTGTAGGATGTTGACAGAGTATTAAAGGGGGGGGGGGGAAAGAGGATCTTATCGAAATAACTATTATGCTCAACACCTGGCAGGATCGGAAACGAAGTGCAGTTCTCCTCTGTTATTGAACATTTGAAATTAGACTACAGAATACTAAGATAAGATGACTGCATGCGGTATACTTCTAGTATGCATCAATATAAATAATATTATCAAGATACAGTATGTTCTTTCTTTTATCTATTTTGTTTTTAATTGCTGTGCAGTTGAGTTTTTATTACAGGTTTTACTTGAGAAGAAAGTATTGACATATATCCGATAATTTCTCCCATATTAACAACAAGAAAGATAAAAAGAAAAATGCCTTGGGTAAATAAATTAACCTGCTGTACATCTAACGGAGTGTTCTGGAAGCAAAAGAAGAAGTAGAAAAAGAAGAAACTCCTGTGATTTTTAGCATGAAATTATTATTATTATTACTATTGTAATGTAATAAATGCCAATCTCACTAAATTAACCAAAAACATAAACCACAAAGAGTATGCGTTTGTGATGGTATTCCGTCCGGATTGTGGACTCGACTCCTACCAAGTGGGATTCCTAAATCCAACTTAAGAAATCAAGCATGATTCAAGTAACATCAACAATGATCGACGGACACTCGCATTTCTTTACTCATATGTAAGTGATTATTTTATTTCATTTTAATTTCTTCATTTCATCGCCTTATTTTTATTTTTATTCTTTTTATAGTTATCTCTTTCGTCGGAATTACTGAATCTAAGGCAAAGGCGGATTGTTCGTTATCACCGTTCCCTGATTCAGTCTGGCGTTAGCGGGAAGAACACTGATATTCTCAGTTATGAACCCTTGTTTATTGAAAGACAGCTTTAATTCTCGGGTAATTGAATATGAATTCCAGTAGGTATTTGTAATGATGCATTTCTAGAATATACACCACGTTCACCACTATTGCTATTACCATAATCGTTAAGAACAACAGCAATAAGAAACTGGGATCAGTTACGATCAAAGTAAATTAAGCTCAACAAAAATAATTCTGCAGTATTCCAATAACCAGGAGAGAATCTTCAGCCCCCTAAAAGACACAGTAGTAAACGAACACGTTTAATTTCATTTCGTATAGTTAAAACATATCCGCAAGAGAAACCCAGACCGGGATTGGAGTTTGTGATTTGTGATTCCTGTTTTAGTTTGAAATTTAGGTTTTATTATTCGTCTTTGTTTTCCATTTCGCAATGATTATCGCAAAATCTGCAATAAAAATAGACAAATTTTTTTAAGATGAGTTTATGATGTAAGAGCTAATCTAACAATGCATAAGGACAAAATTCAAGTATTTAGACAATAATCCTAGGTGTGTGGGACAAGACTGTTCTTGATAAAAAAAAAAAATGACTTTAATTTGGAAATTTCATTCACCTAGTTACTGAGCTTTTCCATTCATTTTACACAATTGTTTTAAACGCCGAAATTGAATCAATTTGTTTTAGATGATTTTTTTTTATTTATTTATTTTGTTCAGATTTGCGTTTTTTTTATACGTTAATTAAGACGAACCAACTATTGCTTGCTTTCTTAAATTCATGCCATCGGCTAACTTATCCCACCGTTGATTGCGTGAGTTATGTGTGGAAGTAGAGAGATGATCTTCATTTGATTGCGAAAAATATTGAAAAAAGCAAAAAGGCAAGACGTCACGAAGTAGAGGATTGGAGGGAGAAGAAGGATGGGACAGAGGAGGGTTTTGGGTAGCAAAGTAGTTCAAGTAATACGATGAGAATAAGAATAAGATTAAGATTAAGGATAAGAAAGTGGAGGAGGAGCAGGAGGAGGAGGACAACAAACTCCAAGTGACCTGTAGAAGTAAGATTATCTAAATAAATTATGCATAATTATTGATACCGCAAAATTGAGGTTATTAGGATTTGATACATATTAACCAAGATACATATTGAGACAATGTTTAGTTTTACAAAAAATGTCGAATTACTTATAGTTTATTGTATTCTTAGGTAATTCAGGCTAAACTCATAGAAGAAGTTAAACAAGAAGAGCAAAATTAAGATTAAAGTCAACAATTTCCTTAATCCAAAAAGAAAATTTTGTTTGTGGTTTTCTTTTTTTGTTCGTTCTTTCCCTGTTTTTTTTGAATCTATTATTATACTACTTTTCTTTTATTTATTTTAGAAAAAGGATTAACGTTGGTTTGGATTATAAATATCAACTAAAAGTTTCATTAAACTCAAATTTCATTTTTTTGTTTTTTAAATATTTCTTCTTTCTATTTTTTATTTTAATCTTTGGAGTTTATATATATATATATCCTTTCAATTATTATACTTTATTGTATATCGTTGTTGCACGTTAAAACCGTTTCCTATTATTATTACTATATTAAAATGTTGATTATATCAGAGTTTAATCCACAATTAATGCAATCCGATGATTCGGAAGAAGAAGTTGATTACCAATTTAATGACGCAACCAATTTGAATCAAGTAGTTACCTATCGTGGTAAGATCAAGTCGCTTTATGATGCTTTGTTGATTATTGAATCATGTAGATTGCAAATTTTTCCAATTATTACCAGAAGATTAACTGGTATTGAAAGAACTAAATTCATTCGCCCAAATACTATTTTTGTATGGAATGAAACTCAATGTGGTATGAAGAGATGGACTGATGGTAAATTATGGTCTGCTTCTAAAGTTTACAATGGGAATTTTTTAATTTACAAACAATTGAATAAGAAAACAAAGAAGGAAGAACCAAATGGTTTAATTAAACAATCCTTTTCATTGGTTACTAAAGATAATCAAAGATACCATTTAATTAGTTATTATGAAAATGATCCACGTATGTTTAACAAGAGTCCTAGTAGTAACAGTAACAATACCAGCATTACTTCCATGAGACGAATAGAAAGTTCTGAATCTGAAGGTGATCAATCCAAAAACCTGCTTAATGATGAAGAAGTTCAAATTCCAAGCCAGGATCCTAAATTATCTCAATTGAGACTTTCAAACACCATATATCCAGATAGTTTATTAAACAGTGTATTTAAGAGAAAGAATCAACATCACCATCACCACCACCACCACCATCATCAAAGACAACAACAAACATCACTGTTGAATATTCCACTGCCAGCTTCAAGTTCTAGCGCTTACTCACCAATTGAAAGAAACTCATATTCTCCAAGCATGGATAGTACTTATTCAACCAGTACTGTTTCAACTACATCGGTGTCTACTCCAAAATCATCACTTTTAACTCCATTGACTACATTTCCAAAGAATATCGAATCTAAGAATTTCAATGAATCATCATTACTTCCTCCACCATCTGTCTCGAATTTTAACCTGAGTTTGATGAAGGATTATGATTTAAATACAGTTAGAGTTTTGAATAAAGGTGGTTGGTTGAAATAATAATAAAGAAAAGTACACCATTTATCACAAAGGATTTAGTTATGTTTTCGTTTATGTCTTTTTTATTTTGTTTATTATTATCATTATTAGTTTTTATTATCTTGGGGGTATTTCTTTTGTCTTTCATTTCTTATATATATATATCTAAAACAAAAATTTACATTTATTTATTAGTTTTCTTAATCCAGTTGAATATGGGGGGGTAAGCCCTTACGAAATCTCTATGAAGTTTTCATCTTTGCTTGAGAACATATTGTAACTGAAGAGCAAATACTCCCTTGATCCCGCTTATTGTTTCTTATCTCAGCCATCTTTACATATAAAAAGAACAATAATAGCAATTATAGTAAATGAAAAGATGATTGCTAAAAATCAAAACCCAAAAAAGTTTAAAGTCATAAGCACGAATGAATATACAAAGAAAAAACAAAAATAGATGCAAAATTCTAATATGGAAAACCAGTAACTACAACAGAGTAAGTATACACGATAAAGCAATCATTAACATGTAGAATTTAAGGGATGAAACATTAGAAAAATAACACCAAACTCATACGGTGCACTTAGAACTAGAATTGCATTGAATTAGCGATAAAACTAAATTGTTGGGTAACAATGTATAATTCCTACAGTTACGTTGCATAGTTAAACAAAAATAAAAAAACCCACTGCGGAAGCGGACTATTCGAAAGGACTAATAAAGTGAAAATTCCATTTGTTTTTATCTCAATTGGGTATTAAACATTGGTTGTTGGTTTGCATTGTACAGATTCTTTATTCAACCTTAAATATTACAATAGAGATAAATTATGCAGGTTATGATACATTTCTGTTCTTTATTTATTTCACAACTGGAGACATTCCATGACACATAAGCCTTTTACCACCACATGTTCAGTCTAAATTGATAAATAATAACCAAAAAAATATACATATATATGCAATGCACAATAAAAACCATCCCACCTCTCTTACTCCTACTCCTGTTTCTTTAGTCCTCCCCCCGAGTAATTCAGTTCCGGCAATTTTTTTGTGGAGCGGATAATATTTTTGTTTTTCCATTGTTTAAATTCCGCAGCAATGCACTTTTTGTTAGAGGGCGTGTCTGCATCGACAAGTTTTAGATTTCACAGTTTTTAATTTGTACGAATCAACATGTCGGTATTAAGCTCCTAGTTAATATTACAGCAGAAGAAGAAGAAGAAAAAGGAGTAACGAAAAGAAGTAAGTAAGGAAGTGCTAAATTGAATTAAATTAGTTTAAGCATGCTTTTATTTTTTGCTAATAAAAGAGATACTATACCAAAAAAAACCACAATTAACCATCGAACCAAAAATGGTTGATCCCAGACTATTGTTTAACCCGCCCATTCCAAGGAATTTGCTGTTAAATTTCATGTAATTAGATCCATTAGCGCAAAGACATTGTCTGACCTTTCTCAGTTTAGTGTTAGTATTGCTATTTGAGCTTGAGTGTGTGACTATGACTGTGTGTGTGACTATGACTGTGTGTGTGTGTACAACAAACAAGATGCCCAAGAGTGAAATAAAGTTTATTATTATTAAAGATCAATAAGAAAAGGGGGAAGTGGTGGGATGGAAATATGGACAATGTAAAATTGATTAAATATAAGGTTGGAATTGCATAAAAGTGCACATAACCTATATTCTCCGCGGGATTATAATTTAAGGTGGATAAGTATTCCCGGAAATCTTGCCGTATTACTTTAATTCTATTTATTCAAATTGTATTTCACCGAATACTCTACAGCAATATCAAACTGAGATATACCTGCTAGATGATTTCTCCGAATTTACTGAGCCAAAAAAAAAAAATCAATACATACTTGTACATACTTAAACGATCCACATCATTTACGTATAGGAAAGACAGATACGATTGTAAAAAGGAGGAGAGTAGGGAATCGATAGTAAGATCCAAAATCGTGGGTCGAATTGGACTTGCGTTATTGCATTCAAACTTTAATCTCTTACCCACCACCGTAAATGGCGTCCATAGTAAGAGTTTATTTCATTTCGTATGCAAGAAAATAGTCAATACTGACGATGTTATTCTACTTAAAAAAAAAAATAAATCACTCAACAGAAACTAAAAGGAGGTCGAAGAACAAAGGAACAAGACTGGTCTAAATAAACCATGAACCAATTACGACGACGACGACGAGAGTAGGTCGAATTTGAGATCATAGAAAAGTAAAAGGGGGGCGCAGTTGTTATGCACAATCAGTAATATAGAATAAATATATATCGTGCATTGATAACAGATAGAAATAGCGGTTGGCTTAAAACAGATCCTTTTACTTGCTTTTCCAATACTTCAATTGTTTTGCAATTGCATATTTAATTGAATTCCATAATCCAGCAGTTAAAAATCCTCTTATGCCTTGTTTGATAGAACTTATTATAATTGTTCTACTTATGATTTTCGTCAAATTCATTGCCAATTTGTCATCTTTAACAATTTCTTTGATTGACTTCTCATAATATCTTCCATATAATTGTTGTCTGAATTTCAATGGTAGACAGCTAATCAACCTTATTCTACTATTTGGATTCAAATTGGTTTTGAATGTACGATTCACTGAATCATTATCTAAAATTATCAAGTAATTCTTATGAATAAAATGCTTCAATATGGGCTCGTATAATTTCTTAAAATGATGAAATTGTTTAGATACAATATTTTTGGCTTTATTCGGATTTTCGCCTCCAATATACATTCGAAAATCTCCAAGATATGACAATTTTGTTATTTGTTCATACAATTCACGTTCAGTAAATTGGGGAGAATTAATTAAAAAAATTGCAATTGTCATAGCATTTTTTAAATTATATTGATTTAAAAATTTCATCATTGGATCATTATCAATTATAAAATTAACAGGTTTTTGCAATCTTCCTGCAAAATATAAAGAATGCCATTCACTCAAATCTAACAATGCAGATTTTTTAGAAACCACCCCATATTTAATTAATTTCTCATTAACTTTTACAAATGGATTGAAATAAATCCCATCTTTACCCTGTATTTGCTTAATTATACTCAATGATTTGCTTGAATAATGCTTTGGATTTTGATGAACATTCTCTTTATGAAATTGTGTTGTATTCTCCACTACAAATATAAAGTCCAACTGTTTTGAAGTATTCTCTTGTTTTTCTTGCTGTTCATATCCATCTTGAGGTAATATTCCTGATCCATAACCAATTGATACATCTATTGGTGCCGTAAATGATTTAACAATACCTTGTAATTGCTCTTGATTAACTGACACTTCATCCTCTTTAGAAAGTTCTTGATTATGTGCCTGGAAATCTTTCGGTATAATTAATTTGTCAAATCCTTTAGCACCTTGAGTAATTATAGGTTGATAATACTTGTCGGAATATGGAGTAGTGGAATGAGCAAAAAATGTACTATCATTCTCATGAATTCGTGGTTCTTGTAGATTATCATATAATGAAAAAGACGAAACTGATTTAGGAAATACCCCTTCTCCAGTCGATGATGATGATGTTGTTGTTGACGAAGAAGAAGTACTCTGGGTATGTAACCAATTGATCAGCAAAATCGAACCCCGGGAGTAATTGACAGTTCTATATTGATAAATTTGAACAGAACATCTTTTGATCATGTTTTCCGCCCCAGTTTTATGTCAAAAAATTACTGATGTTCTTATCCAGATTGTGATGTAGAATAGGTAATAATGAATAGGATTTTTACAAACCTGTATCCTAACTATGTTTGGTGGTCGAGGATTTATTTGTCGTGTGTATTGGAATTAAAATTCTTTTTCCACCACCAAAAGCAAAATTTTCCCCTTTTTAGCACACATACACGCCCTCATAACTAATACCAGATGCGACAGTACATGACTTCCCAATTAGGAAGTCTAGATTTGCATCATGAGATCTGACTAATATTTTTTCTTTTGCTGTTTTGCTGTACAGCCTGTACCGGGTTTTGACAACACGCTTTTTCTACCCTGTTGCCAAAAATGACCGACCAAAGAGAAAATTTTTTTTTTTTTTTTTCAACTATTTCAACAAAAGAGTCAGCCTTGTTGATCAACTTCTACGTTAAAAAAACTTCCCTGTTCATTGATTAAAACAAGATGTCTTCTCAAGTGTATAGATCTACTCGTTCTTCTAAACCAGAAGAATTATCCTTTGAAGATGTCGTTATGACTGGTTTGGCCCCAGATGGCGGTTTATATTTACCATCAGCTATCCCACAATTACCAAGTGATTTTTTAACCAAATGGGCCGATTTATCATTTAATGAATTAGCTTTTGAAATCTTGAGATTATACATTAACCAATCAGAAATTCCAGATGAAGATTTGAAAAGTTTGATTTCTAGATCTTACTCCACTTTTAGATCATCTGAAGTTACTCCTTTAAAGAAAATCGATGATAATTTGTACATTTTGGAATTATTCCATGGTCCAACTTATGCATTCAAAGATGTTGCTTTACAATTTGTTGGTAATCTTTTTGAATATTTCTTAACTAGACGTAATGCTGCCAAAAAGGAAAATGAACCAAAAGATATCATCACTGTTGTTGGTGCTACTTCTGGTGATACTGGATCTGCAGCAATTTATGGTTTAAGAGGTAAGAAAGATGTTTCTGTCTTTATTTTATATCCAACTGGTAGAATCAGTCCTATTCAAGAAGAACAAATGACTACTGTTGAAGATGCCAATGTCCATACTTTATCTGTCAATGGTACTTTTGATGACTGTCAAGATATTGTTAAACAAATCTTTGGTGACAAAGAATTTAATGATAAATACCATGTCGGTGCTGTCAACTCTATCAACTGGGCAAGAATCTTGGCTCAACAAACTTATTATTTCTATTCCTATTTCCAATTGAAAAAACAAACCAAGAATGATAAGGTTAGATTTGTTGTTCCATCAGGTAATTTCGGTGATATTTTGGCTGGTTATTATGCTTATAGAATGGGATTACCAGTTGATAAATTAATCATTGCCACTAATGAAAACGATATCTTGGATAGATTTATTAAATCTGGTGAATATGCCAAAGAACAAGAAACTGGTGTTAAATCCACTTATTCTCCAGCTATGGATATTTTAATTTCTTCAAATTTTGAAAGATTATTATGGTATTTGGTTAGAGACAATTCTACTCATAATGATGAAAAAGCTGGTGAAGTATTGAATGGTTGGATGCAAGATTTGAAACAACAAGGTAAATTCAAAGTTCCTCAAGAAGTTATTGAAGGTGCCAGAAAGATTTTTGATTCTCAAAGAGTTGATAATGAAACCACTGTTGAAACCATCAAACAAGTTTATGGTAAAACTTCTGATAAATATGTTATTGATCCTCATACTGCTGTTGGTGTCAACACTTCTTACACTTTCATCAAACAAGACAATGAACCAGTAGAGTACATCTCCCTTTCCACTGCTCATCCTGCTAAATTCTCCGAAGTTGTTAACAAAGCCCTTAGTTCATTCGATGGATACTCATTTGAAAAAGATGTTTTACCAGCTGAATTGAAAGCTTTGAGTACTAAAGAAAAGAGAATCAAGTTGATTGATGAAGCCAGTGTTCCAAAGGTTAAACAAGCTATCAGTGATATCTTACAATTTTAATTTTAATTTTGAATAGTTCCAAATAATACAAAAAAATAATTAATGTCGTTTATTAATCCTTTTTCTTGACTGTAACTTTCCCATCAACTACTTCTACTTGATACCCAACATCTTGTAAAACATCATCATCAACTGTTTTTTTAGCTTCTAATTCAGCGACAACTTGTTGATTCTTTGGGTTTTTATTTAATAAATATTTCAAACATACGATTGCTTGTTCTTTAATAAAAGGATTATTATTATCAATTATACAATTGGATAATACTAATGCAAGACCACCCAATTCACGAATTTTCTCTTGATTATCAAATGATTCAAAGGCAAGGTAGGATAATATTACAATTATATATGATTTAACTGATGGAAATTTAGTTATTTCTTCAATTTTAGCAGTTTTAATAGTTATAGGTTTAATATTATCATGAATAAATTTGAAAACATCAATCAAACGTGGTAAGAAATCTGAATAATGTTCAATGAATTGTTTAGTAGCATTAAATTTACTTAATTCAGCAATAATATGTAAACATCCCAGAATAATTTCTTCAGTTTTTTCATCATCTAAATTAATCTCCAATTTTGAATAATTCATAAATAATGTATAATTCCAAGATAATAAAGCAGTTAATTGATAATTATTCCAATCATCTTTAGTTTGTATAATTATTGATGATAAATCTATCCATTTTTCAAGAAGAGATTCTTGAATAATTATCCAATTTCCAAAACTTTCATGAGTTATTATATCATATAATAAATGAATGAATAATTTATTATCATGACTGAGTTCTGTATCAAATTTAATCTTGTTAAATAATTCAAAAATCATATCCATAGTATAAGTATTTTTCAATTTTAATAATTTTAATAAATTTTCATTAGTTATTTCTGGATCTAATGTATTAAACTGACGAAATAAAAAATGAATAACTGGGATATCCTCACAAACTGTCCTTGCCCATTGAAACATTTCATTTATTTCAGATATATAATCACATCGTTTAAAATTTGCAAGTATTTGCCAATAAATAGTAATTGTTTTAATTATCCATTCATTTTTATTCAATTGTATAAATGAATGGAAACTTGAAATAACAGATGGTAATAATGAAGTGTCTAATAAAGGTGCCATATTTCTTACTAATAATAATAATCCACGATATAAACGTAAATTTGGAATACTATTCCCATCGGGTTTATAATTTAATATTCTCAATATTTGATCAGATGAAGTTGGAACATCTTGTTGTGAAATCTGTGTTAAAGCTTGTGAGATTTCGTTTAGTTGAAAATCAAATTGGGTATAATCCGAATTTCCAAGTGACTCTAATGTAGTATCTATAACGGTGTCTATAGTAGTCATTGCAGAGTTGAATCAAAGCATTTCCCCAGGGCAGGCAAGATGAGATTCAATAATTTTTTTTTTTTTTTTTTGGTTCATCATAATCGCTCATTGATTGTTGATAATGCCCCCAGTACACAAAGGTTGTCACTTTTGGATATTAAAACATTGTATATATACCATGGAGGTGTTCAGGAGATACATAAACTAAGGCAATGTCATGGGGATAATGGGAATGGTTAGAAATTGAATCATTTCAATACCAATCACGTGATTCGTAAATGCAATTTCTTGATTAGTAATCTGAACTTATTTTAGTGACTGACAAACATTCAAAATTGATACGAATAACCAAATTTGAAGAGACACGAGAGGATTAGAGAAAAATGGCAGTTCATTCTTCCAATGGCATTGCCTTCATGTTTGTATTAATTTATTTTTTATGTAGACGAATAATAGTTAATACACATACAATGTGTTACTCAAAAAGAGGAGATGTACAAGTCAAAGGTTATCACAAAAGATCTTATAATGCACGGAAGAAAGGGAATTAATTTATTGCGTTATGTACAGAACATGTGTCTGTGTGTGTGTTTGAAAATAATCAAACTGTAGTTATCACGACACGCCGACAGATTTGAATGTTGAAAAGAAAGAAATGCATTACTAAGACATATTTTGTGCTTACTCAGTACAGAAGAGGTTTGGATCTGTGTGATTTCAGATGAATTCTATGGATTTCCGAAGGGTTGGTTATGATACTTGAGATTACTCTTTCTTTTCTTTCACTTTGGTTGATGATTTCCTCGAGGGGACACGTAGTCATACGCAAGCAAGACGATCACTTGGAAGAACAAGCTTTGTCGTTATCGTTATCGTTTGAAGTTAATTTACTTTTTTTAAATTAAGTCCATGCAGACACTTTTATAGGTTTTGGTAACAATTGTTATTGTTATTATATCTCGACCAATTTATGCACATTTTGCATTGAAACAAGCGATACTTCACCAACAAACAAACCAAATAATTAGCAGGGTAGCTATTGTTTGGTTGGTTACGGGCGGCAGAAGTGTGTGAGTTGTCATCTTCCATGAATATGCTTCTGGAATGCGCTGGAAGAGTTTGTGTAATTTCTGGAAAGGAGAAAATAAAAGGAGAAGGAAGGTTTCTTTTGCATGATTCTAGAAGAATGACCACCATGCAGGAGCTCTTGTTTTTTTCCCGTAGTGACGAATAAATTAAAACAAATTAATGAAAAGCAATCAACAGAAACTTTGAAAATTGTATTGGAATTGTCAGTGGTATTGTTCTTTTTTTTAAGTTATACAAAGTCATATATATATATAATTACCTTCTCCCCAATCTAGATTATTCTATTGAACAAGAAAGCAAAACTAACTGACAGGTAAATTTCATATTCTTTTAATCCTATTTACTATTTTTTTTTTGGGTATTACTGATTTAACTTAATTAATCGGAGTTAGGAATTTGATTAACTCCAAAGTTATATAGTGTTACAACAACAACAACAACAACAACAACAACAACAAGAGTAAAAGAAAATTGGTTCAATTTCCCTTTTCTTTTTTTAGAACTAGAAATTTGAATTTAAATCAAAGTCTTTGACTTGAAAATTTATTGAATAGGTGAAATTTATTCCAAATAAACACACAACAGTCAAACAGAGTCAATCCCAGCAGATCTTACGTTCCATACATTTGACATATTTGTTTCTGTTTTCTGGAATTTCGCAAAAGGATCGATTGCTATATCTATACTTGGGCTAATTTAAATTTCGTCAGTAACTGTTATAAAAAAAAAACAGAAAAATTGGAAGAAAAAAAAAAAAAATTATCATCACTTTTTTCGGGAATCTACGAAAAGCCGTTCGAAAAGATATTCATAATTCTACCAACACCAACACCATTACTACCACAAGAAGAAATATCATTGATTAACTATTAGTTGATTCTAATTTCCCTCCAATTACATACTATGTCTTTTGAAATTACATTTTTGGGTGCATCTGGAGGTCCAATAGAAGGAAACACTTGTTCAGTACTATTAAAACCAGCAAATTTAAGTTATGAAAATATTCTTGAAGATAATTTAAATAAGGATTTAATTTGTATTGATGCAGGTTGTGGAATGGGTAAATTAACTGAAATAATTTATCAAGAATCAAAATTTAAAAAGCCAAATTGTGATTTATTAAATTATTATCCTGATTGTGAATCAATTGATTATTATTATCATGAAAATATTCAAATAACTACACCTTTTGAAAAATTCAATCCTTATAGATCAATTCTACATACTCAACAAATATTCAATCATATGGAGAATTATCTTATAACTCATTCTCATTTAGATCATGTTTCAGGATTAATTATTAATTCTGCAGGATTCAATAATAAATTACTGAATAAATTCATTTATGGATCTCATTGTACTATAAATTCAATACAAAAACATTTATTCAATGGGACAATATGGCCAAATATGCCTAGTTTCAACATTGTGAATTTAAGATATATGGATAGCAGTCTTAAATATTCAACAAGAATAGGTAATTATGATGTTAGAATATTTGATTTAAGTCATGGAGAATTTAACAAATTAGTCGAAGAAGAAAAAGAACCACCATCATCACATCGACATCATCGTAATAATTCATTATCACCAAGTCAACAACAGTCTAATAATAATTTACTTAGTGTTCCATCATTTGGAATGTCTGATCATCCACGACGACGTTCATCAATAACTACAATTCCACCTAATTCTAATGGTATAATAATGAAAAATTCCGAAGCTTTAAATCATCATTATATATCATCTGCATTTCTTATTAAACATCAATTACAATCAAAATCAATACTTTTATTTGGTGATTTTGAAAGTGATTTAACTAGCAAATTATCAAAAAATTTATTAATTTGGAAAAATATTTCAAATTTAATATTAAATAATCAATTATCTGGTATTATTTTAGAATGTTCAAATTCAATTGAAATTAATTCTGATCAATTATATGGTCATCTTACTCCAAAGTTATTAATTCATGAATTAAAACAATTAGAAAATGAATGTAAAAAATTAAATCCAAAAATTGAAAAACCTTTATCTGGATTAAATATAATTATTAATCATGTTAAGGAACCAATATTAGAATTCGATGATGGTATTGATAATGCAGATGAAATAGAATTACAAGATCCTAGAAAGAAAATTTTAATTGAATTGAATAAAATGAATGATATTGATTGTCAATTTTCAATTGCCCTTGGTGGAACTTCAATTATTATTTAGCTATTCTAAATCATATTTACATTAGAGGGTATATCCTCCACCCCTCCTCTTTAATTTTCAGTTCTTCTTTTATAATATATATATATATATTACTTGTAGTATTCACTAGAAACAGATTTTACATATTCTTGTTTTTGCTTTTTGTAATTGTAAATGTTGATCACCCATTCTTGATTTTCCCTCCTTTTCATTATTGAATGAAATAACCTTCTGAAGTGATATTTGAATGTAAATCAAATGGTAAGGATTCTTCATCTTCAGTATTGGAAACAACATCAATTATAGAAACTCCTCCTAAAGAAACATCACTTTCAACAACTTCTTGATTAGTAATTTCAAATTGTGCTTGCATTGGGAATAATGATTCTTCATCAGAAACTGGTACAGTAAATTCAAATGAACCTTGTGGATCATCGATTGAAATACTTCCAATATTGAAAACAATACCTTGATCTTCATAAACATCATATGAAACTGTATCATTACCACCTTCTTGTAAATGAACATCTTGTGTAACAACTGGAACCAAGATCTTTAAATTCTCAATATTTGGATGATTTGGATGATTATCAATAAATTCACTAGTCAATTCATATTCTAAAGTAACTTGAACTTGACCATCATCAAGAGCATTAACCCAGATTGTAAAAATAAATGGAACTAATGAGTTATCATCTTGTTTACCTACACTTCTCCATCTTAAAACTCCCAATGGGTGATCATTAGATGGGAAAGTCTTGGACTTATCTTTAACAGTAATAACATTTTCTTGTTGGAACAAATTACGATCAACGTTTGGATGGGTTTTAAATTGTTTCTTATCACCAGCAATCTTCAACAATATCTTGGCATTGGCCAATTCAGCTTGATTTATTCTCAATTGTAAATCACCTTTAATTTCTGATGATGATATTGAACCTTCTCGACTAATTTCAGCATTGACTTTTTCATTAACAGTAATTAAGATACCATTATTTGGAACTCTACTAATACTTGGAGCTGGTGAAGCTTCTGTGTTACTGACAGTAGCTGCAGCTGCAGCAGGTGAAGGACCAGAGGTTGATTTATGGGCAAATAATGGCTGATTGGTGTTACCAGTAAGCAATGGTTCACTGGCACCTCCAGTTGGTAAACTTCTACCAGTTGGTTTCTTAGATCCCAATTGTAAACCACCACCTCTTGGTTTAGATAACAATGAATGACCAGAATAACCACCTTCGTTATTATTATTAGTAGTAGTGGTTTCAACAACTGGAGTTGGTTGATATGTTGGTTGATTACTTTGATAACTATCATAGCCAAATGATGAAGAACCCATACCGGAACTACTTCCACCACCAATTGGTAATTGCTCCATATTTTTTCTTGCCAATTCTTTTCTTTGAATCTCCTTAGCTCTTCTCTTTCTTTCTTCAGCAGCTTCCAATTCTTTATTTCTTTCAATAATTTCTTGAATTTTTTCTTCATGAGAATCCATTTCCAAGAATGTTTGAACTTGAGTTAATGTCAAGTTTTCTTTATATCCCAAATTGATAATTTCATCAAAGGCATCAATGATTTCAAATGATGATTCAAAAATTTCTCTTTCATCAATATTTCTCAACAAGTTACTTATAGTTGAAGCAAAAAGATGTAATGTATCAATATCTTGCAAAATATTAGATGTTTTATTAGTGATCAAAACAATATAAAATTCTTCTAATGGTTGATAAACATATCTAACATTGTCATCTTCAACACTAGTATGTTGACCTGAAGAATTGGAAATCAAACTTGGAAAATTGGCTAGCAAAGCAGTAATTCTATCCCTTGAGATATCTCTAAATTGTCTTGACAAAAGAGGTTTACCACCACGTGTACATATAGAACCTGATAAAACAACCATTTTAGATATAAAATTGAGTAGTCAATGATTCAAGAAATTAAAAAAGGTAAATCAACGATAGTGTTGTTATTAACTGTTGATGTTGTTCGTTGAATCGCTTTGAAAAATTCCTTTGGGAATCGAGCGACAGAAAAAAAAAAAAAAAAAAAATCAGAAAAAAAATTTACTGCGTGTCAACTAGACCAGGTCGTGCGAATGTTCAATAAAGTTCACTTTCATAGACATTATTCAAATGATGCTAATGTGATATAATTAGTTAGTAATAGAAGGAAACTGGTGAGTGATAATCATATCATATACATACGAGTAGTTCCGATGGTATGATGTTTGAAAACCTATCCAACTTGACTTGGATATTACTGGTGATGAATTCATGAAATCCAAATTCTTCAATGATTCGAATACTTTGGAAATATGATAATCCACATTCACATAAAAACGAACACTCTTGGCTTGTCTGATCAATAAAGTTGTTCACAACTTCAGGTCCTTCAAGGTTGATTAAGTCAATTATATACTGGAATAATTCTTCTTTAATGACAAGAACAATTTTGATGTCAAATCCCAACGCAAGAATTTGCAATTTCTGGAAGTTTTCTCCACAATGTTCAAGAAACCAAGGATTGGATATTGTTGCAACTACATATACCTCCAGAAGATACATTTTACAATGAATCAACTCTTTTAAAATTAGGAAGTTGTTGTCTGAATCAACTTGAATGAGATATTCTGATGAAGTTATTACAATTCCAATGCTTGCATTAATTATTATATCTATTGGATAAGAAAGTTTAGATTCAATGATTTGAATTGTATCATTTAATCTATTTGCTAGTTGGTAATCCATATCCCATAATGTTTGATTTATGATTATGTATTGCGTGGAAGAAAAGTTATAGTTGATTGTTTCCTTTTCCTCCTTAGATATCTCACTTGGTTCTGGTATTGAAAAAGACTCTTCTTCAGTAAGTGTATTATTATGATGAACAAACAGTAAAGTGGAGATTTCAGGTGGTAATATAATGCTTGAATCAACACCAATTCTTCTTTTCTTGCGAAGTGATGCTAATTTTTCAATTTCGGCAGTATCGTTTTGATAAGTGGCCATATTTGTTTGAAATTGGGTTTGCACCGAATGAGTTGGTGGCGGTTCTTTTGGTGGCTCTTCGTGTATACTGTCATAAGGATCATTAACCAAATCTTCTTTTGTTGGGATATATTTCAACTTGGGTTCCCTCCAGACAGTTATTTTTGATAATTGGTTTATTTGACCCACATCAACAACTTCCTCAACATGTCTGTCAATAAACCATTCAAGATCAAAACCAAATGGATTCCAAGACATTTCTTCAATCAATATATGTTTCGGTAATTGCCACAACTCATCATCATGAAAATGTTTCATGAAAAATTCACGAAGTCGATGTATTGATCTCTTTTTAGTATGATCATGATCGAATCTTGTCACAGGGTACACAAAATATTTACTACTTTCAGTTATTCTATTTTGATCAATAATGAATTGTATGAATGATTTGATATTTGGATAATGATACTCATAATTGAGCGACCATTTTGCTAACTTCCAATGTGGTATATTCTGTTTAGACTGATTTTGGATAATACACGGATCTAGTTGATATTTTGCGATTGAATTCATTTCATAATCGATTATCTTTGGAATCACGTCAGATATAAACTTATCCGGAATTTGGATCGCCTCGGGCTCAATATCAAAAACATTTAATGAATCTGATGTATTCCATTCTGGCAAATCGTATATAACCGTAGATTTTGGTACATGGAGCAATTTGGGAATCTCAATTAAGAAACTGGATTCATGTTTCAAATCGCTGGTTTTTAGTTCAACGGTGGTGAAATCTGTACATTCTATTTGTTCATTAATACAATAATTGATATTCACGGAATCATCACAATTAACTGTAGGACAAGAACGAAATTTAACAACACGATTCAAGGTATCAAGTGTTCTGTCACTATGGTTTTGCGGTTCTTCTTGAGGAGATACAAAATATTTTGAAGATATAATTTCATATTCAAAAGCAGGATGTGGTTCTACTGGAATACTTGACGCAAGTATTTCATCATGTAACAATATTGAAGAATCTTTGTTCACACGAAGCTTTTCATTGGCGAAATCTTTTGGTGTACTACATGACAAATCTGGAGTTGGGAATCTTTGTTCTAATAACTTTTGAAGATAAGAATTAATCATTGGTTGTCGTAACTGATTTGGAGTTTCCTATTAAAATTTGACAACCAATTGTTGCAAAAATAAAAAAAAAAGGTTGAAGGAAAAAAAAAATACACACAGCAGCCAGGTTCTGATTAACAGTAACAGAGTAAGAGAAAGCATAACGAACAGAATAGGTTGCAGTAGCTCACATTCATTTGGTTTCTTCAACTATCCAGTTACACTTTAAAACAGAAACGATGGTAATAACTGACATAGAAGTGTTGAGTTGAATCCATGGGGCAATTATCGTCCAGTGACACCCACACCTCGGGCTTACTTAAAATTGCTTAAAAACCCAATCAAACATCTGCTACAACATTCTTCAGTACATCTGTGACTATTTAGTTACTTATATATATCTCATAAACTCTATCAGAACCATTTCTCACACCTTCACCAGCACAAACCGGCGTTTTCGGCAAGATCAGATGGTGCAAACATTCATTATGGAGTTGTTCCCAGTGTTGATTGATATTTTTAATGTAGGTCGTGTAGCAAGACCAATTTCATATTTAGTGCATGAAGACTAAAAAGGAAAATTCAATTTTGTGGATAAAACCGGAGTCCGTTTCAGAATTTAGTGTGTGTGTTCTCTCCATCATCTTAGAATATTAAGCCTTACTTTGTGGGACAACTAGATCCTTTGATGATTAATTAGAAATTGAACGCAAAGATAGAGAGACGGAAATTATCACCATAATGTTAAATTAGGTTTGAATAAGCGCGGATATCTGTTGAAGGCGGTGAAGGTAAGAGCAAAGGGTTGACTATTTCAAGAGAGAGACATCTACAATGTAGTTTGGTTCAGTATCATAACCAAATGTACATATTTCCACAGCAATTGGTCAATTGTCTTTTGAAGTTATATTAGTAATTATGAATTAATAAATAGACGGACTAGCATAAGATAAACAGTTTCATAACGCTAGATATTGTAAAAATAGTGTGCAAAATTGAAGTTAATTGTGGCAAATCACATTGATTCATTCGTAACAAATAAAAATATTCTTACTAATATGGAAAGAAATTTCAAATAATAATAATATTATTATTAATAATAATACAGATATCGATAATGTTCATCATTATTGTTCTTAAAATGTAGCGTAGAACCGTAATTGATCACGTTTTTGCACCTAGATTTGATTAAATGTTGCGAAAAACCTTCCGTCCAAGTGGGTGATCTCGTCATAGTTATACTTAGCAATTATACAACTGATCGGATGGTTGTTGTTGTTTGTTGTTTTATGAGTAATATCAATATTGCCGAAAGTCAAATATGAAATGATGCATATAAAACCATTGTGATGAATGAACGACATTTTCCATTTTCCATTTTGTTGAATTGTTAAGGTTGCTGTTTATCATTGTTAATGTGCATGGTGAATGGCAGGAGGAAGAGGAAAAGCAAGAGAAGGTCGAATGGCCGGGACGCGGATGGTGAAGCGAAGGAGCGAAATAGAAAAAGAAATGTCGTCGTGGATTGTGGGCGGAGACAGAGACAGAGACAGAGAGGAGGAGGGGGGTTGGAGACAAAAAGAGTTCCAAAGAAAAAGAATCACACATAAACTTTTTCTCTCTATCTTTTATTCTACATATTCTATTTTTTTCTTCATTGCTTATTAAAAAATATAATAAAGGGAAAGAAAAAAATTTTTAGGATTAAAGTTTTCAATTTCATTTTTCATCTTCACGTTGATTGATTGAACAAAACTCCTCATTATCCGTCATTTGTGGATTTATATTATTTATCAGTCCAGTGTTGGGTTCTTTTAATTTTCACTTTACTATTTCTTATTAGGATTTGGTGATAAGAAACTGTGGAAAGATTAAGCTAACTGTAACTTCATCAGTTATTCTACAACTATTCAATATAACTTTTTTTTATTTTGGGAGGAGGATCACGGAAGTTTTCAAACCAATAACGGATAAAGAAATCATTAGGCATGTCATCTACTATACATTCAGAATCTAGAAAAACTCCTAGGAAGAGAATCAGAAGAATCCCGGATGATCAAAGACAAAAAGTATCCAGTGCTTGTGATAACTGTAAAAAGAGGAAATTCAAATGTTCGGGCCAAACACCTTGTCTTGAATGTCTGAAGAAAGGTATTGACTGTTTATACACCATTATTGACAAACGTTCATTAAGAGGTGAACGTATGGCTAAAATGAAACAACAAAAGGAAGCAGACGCCGAAAGGCAACAACAACAACATCAACAACAACAGCATTACCAACCACCTCCACAACAACTGTTACAACATACCCAATCACCACCACAAGATTATCCACAGCACCATACCTATGTTTCTCCAGATCCATCAGTTTATCCTTCTTCGTTGCCAGTTCCAGGAAATCAGATTCAGCCACCTCCACCTCAAGTACAAGGATATTCCAATCATTGTTCTGCGTTCAATAGTTCACATCAATTACCACCACCTCAGTACCAACAACAACCGCAACCTATGCCGCAAATTTTATTACCATTCCCTACATACCATCAGCCAACTCAGTATCAACCAATAGCACCACTCTCATCTACCCCGTCAAATAGTAGTAGTAGAAATGGCAGCATGGGTATTCCAACCCCAGGTACAACTCCGAACGCGTCGGAAGTCAATAATAACAATAATAACAACAACACTTCATGTATCCCAAAATCTTTACAACCATTATTATCATTTCCTTTACAAAGTAATGAACGGAATATGAAACCGGAAGAACCACCAATAGATGACAATACTTCAAAACTGACCGTCGACAAAGATGGCGTCTCCAATCAGAATGGTAAAAGTGCCATTTTACTTATGGATAAATCAGGTACTTTCAGATATATGGGTGAGACTAGTCCCTTGTCGGTATTGTATGAAACTAGAAATATATTCTATGATTATGTGGGATCGACCAAATTAACGGAAGATCTTCGTGGATGCCCTGTTAGTGATAGACCACTGAAACTCACGATTAGAGAAGTGGCACCTCTACCGCCACTGGAAGAAAGAGACACCTACATTCGAAGCTTTAAAAGAAACATCAACGATATGTATTTCACTTTTGAAATGAACAAGTTTTATGATGATATCGTCAATCCTGTGTATCTGAATCCAACTAGTGAACAAGTACAAGAAAAACGGGTTCAATTATATCTTGTGTTGGCCATTGGGTCCACTTATGAAGATTTTAGTAACAAGATTCCGCAGGCGGAGAAGGGTGTTATGTATCATGATAGTGCTAGATTCTTGATTCGCGATATGGTTGAAGATTCTGCCTTGTGGTGTGTGATTTGTCATTATTTACACTACCATTATTATCAATCTATTTTGAAAAAGTCGACTGCATTGGTACATCTTAATCTTGCCATAACTTATGCTCAATCATTGGGGTTGCATAGGAATTTTGTTAATGAACAGTTTTCCAAATTCACTTCAGAATGTGAATATAGAAAGAGGTTATTCAGAAGTTTGTACATATCTGATCGTATTTCTCCTGTATTTATTGGAAGACCATTGATCATTAATGACTATGACTGGGATGATTCAACTAGATTCAAACCATCAAATTTATTGGTTTCTTCTTTGGATTTCAATGCCAAATGTCAAGTTGAATTGACTAAAATTTGTACATTGATTGGAAGAATAGTGGCAAACTTTTATCAAGATAAAGTTATTGACATGGAAAGAACTAAAAATCTTGCGATCCAGTTAAAATTATGGTCTAAAAATCTTGATCCTCAATTGGCTTTTGATAATATTTTGAATCCTATGGAAATTGCTGATAATGAAGATCATGGAAATACATGCATACTATTAATGATGCATTTGTTACAATTATGGGCGATTATGTTATTGAGTCAACCATTTTTCATGTTTGAAGCTGTTCGTAACATTAACCCAGGAATGCAGAAATCACCAGCAGAAGATGATGATGCCAAGTTGAGAAAACAATTTTGTCAAGCAGCTACTAAAGCGTCAATTTTGGCTATTAAAATAATGAATCATTATATCAACACTGCGTTTAAAGAATTTAAGCGTATGGAATGTTATGTGATTATTACATGTTGTTTTTATTCCTCAATCATATTGGGTATTACTATTCTTAATGGATCATATGAAGAAGAAGGCTATACTGAAAGTGAATTGCTTAATCTTTTGAAGAATGCTGAGTATATTTTATTACATTTTGCTGTGTGTAATGAAGGAGCCAAAAGATATGCTGAGATTAGTGCTGATTTGATTTCTGCATTGATTCAAAGACATGAAAGTAAGAGCACTCAAACTGAATTAGGATTGAATGATTTTGCTTATCGTTTATTGAATGATTTCAGTTTCACTGATGATCCAAATAATACTGATGTTCAAAATTTGATGGATTTCCAACAATTTTTTGTTTCTCTGGATCTTTTAACAATGGACAGTGGTAATGTGAATAATACAACGACTAGTACACTACCATTTGATTACAATAATTACAATTTATTCTTTGGTGACAAGTATTAGGCATGTGTATGTGTGTGTGGAGGTTGGGGTATATAGGTTTTTTGATTTTAGTATTAGTTTATTTAAATGTATTGTTATTGTATTTATACACGTGACTTGCGTCAGTATGGAACCCATTTCTTATTTTGGCAGTCAATTGTTTAAAAATGCATGTGAAAATTTCAACAACTTCTCCAATTTTTTTTTGTTTTGCATTGATGATGATGCCGTGGGTTAATTATGAAATACATTTTTGGGGAAGTTTCAAACAGGACTGGACAGATTTAGTACGATTACTATCATGATTGGATTTGTAGATTAGGATACCACTACCATCGGTGTGGAATAGCTCACAAGAGTTGTCTTTTCTCCTCTTCCTCTTCCTCCTCCTCATCCGTCATCATCATCATCGCCAAAAAAAAGGGTTTTACTTGACAGGGGTCGGCATGAGAGAAGTAGAAAAAAAAAATCATACCGTAAGTATCGGAACCCCCGCCAATCCAAAAAGTATATAAACTTTGTAGATGCTCCTGCCATTAGTCAAGTGGTAGTATTAGAAGCTCCCACTTTTTCTTATATTATTGACTATATTATTAACTATTCATTACGTATCAGTATGCTTTCATTTAAAGGGTTTAGAATTCTTCTTAGTATTCCAATCAAATTATTATTAGTATTATTGAAATATCCATTTTTTGGAGGAATAAATGAAAAATTCAAAAATGATTTAATTAATTCACTTAAACTTATTATATATAGAACAGCATTATATATGCCAGTTAGAGAAAGTGCTGTGTTATCAATTATGTCAAATAGATTTATTCTTAATAATTTGATAAGAAAATTATATCCTAAATTAACGAATTTACCTAATTATGGTAAAAAATATGATAATCAAAGTTATTGGATTGTTAAACCATTTGAAAGATCAAATAATGATCCAATTTTAATTTTTTTACATGGTGGTGGATATTTTTTTGAAACTATGCCTTCTCAAATTGAATCAATAATTAGTATTTATCATTTATTAGATAAATCAAAAAGAGAAAAATTATCTATAATGATTTTAGATTATAAATTGGCAAGTAGAGGTTACCCCGTTCCTTATCAATTAGGTGAGTTAGTTGACACTTATTCAAATTTGGTTAAAGAAGGTAATAATAATTTTATATTTATGGGTGATTCAGCAGGTGGTAATTTAGCTATTATTTTCTTACAATATTTGAAATTAAATAATGTTGAACATTTACCATATCCAAAAAGTGTTTTATTGATTAGTCCATGGGTTAAAATTGCTCCAGAAGAACATCAGGATACACCTGGTCATTCATATTATGATAATTCACATCGTGATATGTTACAAATTGATCATTTTCGAGATGTTGATAAACAAATTCATATATTAGCCGATACTAAACATGTTTCATTGACTGTTTCTCCAGGAAATTGTGATTATAAACATACTGATTGGGAAGATATTCCAACTTTGAATGATTCAGGATATTCAGTATTTGTTATTCTTGGTGAACACGAATGTTTCCGTGACGATGTACTTACATGGTGTAAATATGCACTTAAATCTCCATTAACTCCTCAAAAGAAAGATTCAAATGGTATTTGGGATCCAAAGGTTCATCAATACATTAAAGATCAATTCAATTCAGCATATATTGAAGTCGATGTTGAACCTCATGGTGTCCATGATTCTGTTTTATATTTTGAGAATAACATCATTTCTAAAGTAAAGAAGCATCCTTATACCTCAATTAGCACCATTGATCCACATAAATATTTTGGGATTGTCAAAGTGGTGACATTTTTAAACAGAATATTGCCTTCTGAAAAAGTCGAAGATCTTGTGTGAAATTTAAGTAGATTCGGTAGGTATTTATTTAGAAAATAACAACATCTAGTTTCTTCTGTTTTTGATTTCTCGAAGGATAAACCAATACCAAGGAGGTAATAACAACCATGACAAAACTTCTTTAACAACATCTATTTTGTAAACACCTGATTTATTCAATGCTTGCCTTTTCAATTTTCTTCTTCTTTCATTATTATCATAATGATGAACCGCTGGCAATAAAAGATCTCTGGTACTCCACCAAAAATGCCCCACTGTAAAAATCAATAAATAAAACCACACCATAAGACTACGAGGAATGATATAAGTCCCATTCACGAAGTTTGAAAATTCTTCATCTAATCCACCTTTTAAAGAAATGGTTAAAATAGCTTCAATCCATGGATAATATGCTTTTTTAAATGTGAAAAATCCCATAATATTAATCAATTCATCAGGACTATTTTGGGCATCAATATAAATTAAAACACGACACATTACTGCTCCTAATGAAGCAATTGTTAAACCCAATTTATAATGGATTAAGCTTGCTCCAATTATTATAGAAACACCTAATTGAACAAAATAATACAAGAAATCAATGGCACGGTTTCGTTCAATATATACATTTAATACTTCCCGTTGATTATCATTGAAATTATCAATTATTCGTTCTGGTATTAATGCAGGATTTGTAGAAAATGATTCTTCTACTTTACCACAAGAATCACTTACCAAGAATAATTCAAATAATAATTGCATTGATAATTCATCAAATGTACAAAATGAAGTAATTAATCTCCATGTTTGATTACTGAAAGCTTTATCCGGAAGGAAAATCAAATTCATAAGTTTAAACCTGTTAGTTGACATAAGTGCACTTGTAGTTGCTATTGAAACACACCATGATTTGGTAATAGGTGGTAAATTTCTCCAAATTTGATCCATTTTTTCAATCAAGTAACTCAGTTGCTGTAGTTGTAGTTGACTTTATATATACGAATAGAAATAAATGAAAAATAGTAACCAGAAAGAAAAAAGACGTGTTAACTTATCCAAAAGATCCCGAACAGACTGTGCGTGTACCCGCGGTGAAAAATCCCAAGGTTCCAACACGAGGAACAAGATAGATTATTGATTGTAGAATAATGACAAGTCCGTCCTACTGGATTGAAAAATGAATATATAGTAGTCATTTCATTAATTTAACACATGCATATATCCAATTCAATCAACAGAATAGTGTTGGTATAGTGACTTTCCTCCAGTACCATACGAACGATCTCTCCTGCCAAGTGTTGGCCCAGAGAAAAAGCATCAAGCGCAGTTCCACGCGGACGGAACGAGACGAGACGAGACGAGGCAAAGAAAAAAAAAATTGATCTTTCCAAACTATCCAATCATCCCACTCCCAATTTTCAATTATTAAAACAACTTTTACCTCCCTTACCCCACGTAATCCCATGAATAACATACTTATTGGTTTTCTAATTTGGTTGATACCAATTGTATTAGCATCTCCTGGTGATGACTTGTATGCTTTCCTGGATTGTATTTATCAATGTGAACAAATCACTTGTCGAAATAATCCGTACCATGTTATACAACATGAATTTTATGAAGAACTAAGCTCTAACCCATCTTATGAATTTAAGTATTATAATGGAGATTGGCATTTTGATAAAATGCCATTACCATTGCATCTTAGATTGTTGGGATGGACATGTGAACTGAATTGTGATTATCAATGTCAACGAGTCATCACTCAAGAAAGAAAGAAACATCATGAAGAAATTTATCAATTCCATGGTAAATGGCCATTTTGGAGAATATTTGGTATCCAAGAGGTATTTAGTGTTTTAATGTCATTAGGTAATTTATATGTCAACTATAAGGGACTTAAACAAGTATGGTGGATAATCAAGAATAAAGATACCCCATTTAATTTGAAGTATCAATTCACTAATTTAATTGTCACTCAAGTAATAACCAATCTTGCATGGATTTTTTCAGCAATTTTCCATACTAGAGATTATTTGGTTACTGAACATTTGGATTATTATTTTGCTGGATTAACCGTATTATCACTGTTTCATGGGGTAGCATCAAGATATTTCAAATTATATCGTCATGAAAGAATAATTGCCCGTTGGATTTTCACCCTTACATGTATATCAGCATATGTTTATCATGTTCATAGATTATACACTGATTGGTCATATACTTACAACATGAGAGCTAATATTGCCGTGGGACTCAGTCAGAATGTCTTTTATGGATTATTATGTTTTGCATTATATTCCAAATATTATAATTTAGAACAATCAGAAAACAAGATTCAATTGGCTCATTTAAATTATATCGATGTTAAAAAAACTATATTACCTTCATTTTTCGCTAGAAGTTCAAAATTATTTTCATTATATCCATTACTTTTGTGTTTTATTGTACTTTGTGGAATGTCATTGGAAATATTTGATTTTGCTCCTATTTTCTTTGATCTTGTTGATGCTCATAGTTTATGGCATTTGGTCACTATTGTCCCGGTATACATGGGATGGTATGATTGGTGGATTTGGGATGTATATGAAAATATCTGGCCAGATATCAAAGCTGCTGAAAAGAAAAAGAAAGAATAGAATATAGTAAATGTAGATCTATTTTGTTAATATAAATATACATAGTAATATTTGCCTTGATCATCCCAAACATGTAAGTATTCAAGTGCTTGTTAAGCTTTATACAAGTTAATACCAACTTGGTATTACAACTGAAATCAACAATAGTCTTATCAAACTTTACTGCAAGAATCATCATCACCATCGTTATTGTCATCTTCAAGGCAATAACTAATAATAACCTGATGAAATTCATTGAAATGACAATACAATTTTTCAAACACTGGTTTTGGTAATGCTAACCCCCATACTCAGTAGGACAGTGCTAGAACTGATATGATTGTTGTCATTACTGACACCGGTAACATTCTAAAAAACACCCATATTGAATCTGATATTTCCTCCTAGAAAACATAAAAGTAAAAAAAAACAAGCAGTTCTACTAAAAAGTGAAAATTTGTCTGACGCCTGTAATCTTTTATTTGTAGTAGAGGAGAATACATGTCGCTTCTATTTATATCACTCCTGACATAGAAAAATAATATCAGGGGTAATATGCCAAGAATACTACAATTACTGTCAAAAATTCCACGTCTAACGTACACTAGATATATATGACTTACTCACTATCGTCTTCTTCTGGAGGAACATATGGCGGTGGTTTGAAAAACTCTTGGTCTTGCTCCACCATTTGCTTGAACTTCTCCTTGTCGTCAACAAATTGGTACAAGTATTCCAACTCCAAGTCATGAACTTGTCTTCCAAGCATAACCAATGAATACAACGGTTCGCCGGAGTCATACTCACTGAGCTCTTGTAAAGTACCCGCCTTGAATGTTTGTGTTGGTGATCCCAATCTTGAAATAGCCACACACGGGGTGTTTGGTGTGTATGCTTGTTCTTGTCTGGCCTCTTCAATCTCCAACAATTGTTGACAGGCGGTGGCAATGTCCATGTATCTTGGTGGTTCGTAGATCAATCTTCCACGAGCCATGTTTTCAATACTCTGCTCCTTGACCTTGATGTCCAACAACAACAATGTGTGCAATCCGATTTTCCTGTTCTCCATGATCTTCGGGTAGAACGAGTCTGGCTTCCAGGAGTCGGTGAAGAACACCAACGACACGGTTTGTCCGAAATTGTACAATTGCAATCCACAGGCACCAACTGCATTCATGACAGAGGCATTGTGGATGGTCTCGACCTGGATGCCAAGCTCACGGGCTCTGATCACCAAGTCGGTATGGGTGGTGGCACCGAACGGATCACCAACAACCAAAAATGCAATGTCCTCGGTGTCGGCATCCTTTAAGATATCATCAGACCCGGTTTCAACTAACTCTCTGTCGGCAAGAATAACTTCTCTTCCGTAGAATGACTCAAGGGATTCCTTGTTGGCAGCCATCAAAATGGATGTGTAGGCTTCAAGGTAGACTCTTTTACATTTCTTCACGGTTTCCAATCCTCTGACAGTGATGTCGCTTTCGTACGACAATCCCAATCCAATAAGATATAACATGGTGGTGGTGGTGGTAGTAGTGGTGGCGGTGGAGGTGGTTGTATGATAAGGAAAATGAGCGATGGATGAAATTTTTCAGCTCTGGATATTTTTTTTTGTCCCTCGACTTCATCTCATCAGCAACACCACATCATGAAGACGAAACATGATACCCAACGAAGAACCCAACAGACCAAAGAAAGACTAAAGAAGAAGGAACTAGAATACCAGCGGGACCTTCAACGATACAATGAAATACTAGCAAAAGGGGTTGAAAATGATATACCTCCCAAGAGAGCGAAATGCAAGAGAAGATCACGCCGGCGTGTGGTAAAGAAGATCCAGCCTCCTCCGAATCACCCCAAACGTCCCCAGTATAGCTCTTTGGGCAGTTCGGAAAAGACCCCTAAACAGTCGTATTCTCCATCGACAGACCTCCCGCCACATTTGCAAGAAACTACAACAAAATCATTTGAAAACAAAGTACAATTAAAACATACTTACCCTGAACTATTAAAAATTATAAACCAAAACTTGTCCCTGAATACCATTGATATACCGTTGATCCATAACTTGGCACCCAAAAACTTAGAATACGAACTGAAGAGATTTTCCATCCCAGCTGATTTTTATAACAGCACCGCTGAATTACCAAATTATTCCGATGCCAACGAAATTGACTTTTTCTTTGCTGAAACATTGAAGAGCGACTTGTCGTTAGTTTAGAGATCACACAAGCGATCGATGATCTTCATCAACGCTGAGTTTTCCAGGTTGGGGTACTTCTCCAACATCGTCTTAATCTTGGATTCGAAATTCTTGATCAAGTCCAACGTGTACTGTAATGACCTCGAGTTGGTCTTCATGAATTTCAAACATTGGTCAATCAAGACTGTTTGTTTGGTGCGTTCACTGCTTGTATGATGATTGTATAGGATTTCGTGAATTGGAGAATTCTTTGTAGTTCTTAAACAATGCAAGATAGGTAACGACAACTTGCCTTCAATTAAATCTTCACATGTAACACCCTTCATGGCGGAGTACTTGATGTCAACCAAATTCAAATAATCGTCTCTGACCTGATAAATTATACCCAACAAGTTTGCAATTGCAACCAATTCATCATTATCTCCCACACCTGCATGTAACAGTAATAACTTAATTGCCAATCTGAATAAACTTCCGGTCTTGTCCTTTACCATGCCCAAATAATCCTCTATTTCTGGCAATTTTTCAAGTTTTTTCAAATAATCTCTCCAGTAGATGTCCAAACCTTGTCCATGATGGATATTTAACATTTCATCGATCAAATATTTGTGAAGTCTCAAACTTTAGTTGAGCAGAACCTGAATTACCATTTAGATCAATAGCTTTTTGCACGGCAACAAAATACATCATATTACCACAATTGATAGTTAAAGGAATACCATATTCAATATGTGCTACTGGTAATCCACGTCTCATCTGTGAATCATCCTCTATATCATCAATCAACAACGATGAATTATGAAAAACTGAAATTATATCACTGATTTTATGAAGTAACTCCTCATCTTCGACTTGGTAGAACAATTCATTGAATGCAAGTAAAAACCTGGTCCTTACATTCTGGTTGTTGCTTGGGACTTCTGATATGTATTTATAAGGTTGCAAGATAGGATCTGTAAGCTCTGGATTATAAGCATCGGTAGGTTGAATTAACTTATTAATATCTAAAGGCATGACTAGTTAAATGTAAATAAATAAATAAATAATTGTAAAACTTTTTTGGTGGTGGTGGTGGCAAATAATAGGTTTATTTGTTTGAAGGATCTATAAGCAAACAGCTTGAAGTAGATGGAAAATGACGCTTAATTTATATTGAGCTATATTAATGAATAACAGCAAGTCTTTTAATATAGTACTACCAAATAGGATTTGCTTAGAGAATAAAATAAAGTTGGCAATCAAATCATTCTCCTTATACGGTGTAGGAACGAAAAAAAAAAAATTCTTTAGTTCACGAACTTACGTGTTCCTGGCTTACGTAATCACATATATAATCGTTGTCACGTCAACAGCAACTAAAAGCTAACAAGTTCTATGTAATAAATGTGACGATTAATAATCAATAATAATACTGTCACAACGAATCATCAGATTCGGGGGTCGAGTTTGTCGTAACTAACTTGACGTGAGCTTCGTTTATTTCTCGTGTGACTATCAATACTGACCAAATATCTGAATTCGTAAAAACAATACCACTACAACAGTAATAAGAACAATCAACGACCCGTACTATCGTAAGAGACTAAAACTTATTACTGTCTAAAATCGTTTATTGCAACAACAACCAAAAGAACGATTATATAATCCATGCAACCTATACACATCTAAAAATCCGGTGGGATCTTGAACAAGTCGCATGCATGGGGGTTCATGATGCAATATTTGGGAGCTAAGGGCGAAGCATCATAGCCCATTTTGACTATATATTCTCGGAAATTAAATATTCTTTGAGTGAATTCGTATGTTCTATGGTTTCCTTTTGCATCTTTATTGCCACTCCATAAAGATTCTGCAAGTGCAGCAACTCTTGGCCAAATTTTTGAGGTTATAACAGTCGAATCAACTTGTTCTGACCACAATGGTGCTTCTGCTCCTAAGACATGTTTCTGTTCTGATTCCGTCAAGTTTGCCAAGATATCAAAAACATATATTCTTTGATATGACTTGTATGGGCCACACCAACTACCAGCTTGACCATTGTTGAACTCGATGTTACCGTCGGATTCAGCATACCTAGGGTCGTTGGTCACAAACCCAGCATATCCACAATCAAGATATAAAAAATCATACAGTGAAACAATCACATCATATCCTCTTGATGTCAAATTCTTAATTCCAGTTGGTTCGTGCCAAACTTGTAGTGTGATATTGGGAGGAAGTTTCGGAACAGAAACAGTAGATAGAAGGATATCATCCCACATAATAAGTTTTCTCCCAGGGATGTTAAAGAATATAGGTAAAGCTTCATCCAAATAATGTGACAATAGTTGAACAACAGTTGAGTTTTGGAGCTCCAGTTGGGGAAAACATTTCACTTGTAATTCATCATTCCCGACATGAAAGAAGTTGTCAATAAACAACTCGGATAACTCATTGTATAAATTTGTTATTACTTCATAGGTTCTTTTTGACGTAATATTGAGTTGGCCAGGAGGCGGTTCAACAGCAGCATCAGTCCAAAATGGATCAGCACATTCAACTATGGATGGGTCTACTTTCCTCCATCCTGCTCTCGCATGACCCGGCATATCAATCTCAGGAATTATTCTTACACCTCTGGAACGGGCATAGTCTATAACATATTTGATATCTGATTTGGAATATACTTCTTCGGGGCTATATGCATCTTGGATCATTTCAGGGTAACTTTCTAGTGCCAATGGCCAACTTTGAGTATCAACTAAATGCCAATGTAATGAATTCATCTTTACAAGGGCCATTATATCTATCTGATCGAGAATTGATTTTACAGTTAGAAAATTCCGGGCAGAATCAATCATAACTCCTCGATGTGGGAAATTAGGTTTATCAACAATTTCAACCGACAGTAGAATAAGAAACCGACCATCTTGAGAATACACCACCAATTGTTGTAAGGTAGTTAAGCTGTGTAATGCTCCCCATGTTGTAGCTGCGTGGATAGTAATATTTTTTGGAGTTATTGTCAAATTGTATGATTCATCAACACCCAATTGCAAATCTGCGTCAGCATCGTCTACTTGTATGGTTACTCTTGATGACTCTATCATTGGGCCTGTGGCATAATCGGAAATACTATGTGGATAGGGAGACCACATTAATTTCTCAATTGTTGAAATTGCTCTAATGAATGCCAGTTGAACAACAGGCGAAGGGCAATCTGTTATTAGTAGATTCGTGTTGATTTCAATGACCGTGTCATTATACCAAGTTATATGCTGAACCGCTGGTAATGGGTCTACTTTAAAACAAGTAGCTAAGGATATCAAGAATAGAAAGTAAGCAGTCAGCATTGTTTGTGACTATGTGATAATGGCGGAGCGAAACAGGAAAACTCAAAAAAAAAAACAGAAAAATGTTGCTCTAAGATAACGTGCAATTGTAATTTGGAGCCAGAAAATAAGGGGGCAATTCGATAAGAAGAGATCTTCCGATATTTATAGTTATTCCAGGACAAATAAACTGATGATTCCTCCTTTTTTTGGCACGTTCAATGACATTAATTATCTCCTTGACAACTATTGATCAATTGTGATACCACAGGGTTGCAATCAAATACCCCACATATCATAAATCCCCTTTTTCTAATTCTCAACAATTATTATGTACATTTTAATCAAAAACATCAAATATATTATAAAAACACAAAATATACACAATAAATAGTATTTACAAGCGTCTCATGCAATTGTGTTTCTTTTTTTTTTCTTTCTCAAACTATTTACAGCAACTTTGGCATTTTCGTTTAGATTTGGTGGGTAGCAAGCACTACTTCTTGCAGCCTTTATCGTCATTTTGCTCAAGGTTGAAGAACTTGCCTAAAACTTTTCCAATTCTTTTTAATTTAGAAGGATGCAAATCATTCTCATCAAATGTTTCATTTACTTTTCCATCCTTGTCATCTTCAATGTCTAAGCTCCAATCGGAGTCTGTTCTTCTTGCATTCTTATCATTAAAAGTATCAGCCAAAGCCTCTAATAAAGCCTTTTGTGTTGGAGTTTCAGGAATTAAGGTCTTGACATTCAACACAACTTCCAAATTACCTCTGTTATTCATGTTTCTGTTTATTGGAACACCCTTTTCTGGAATAGTTAATTTTCTTCCATTTTGAACACCTGGTCTAATCTTCAATTTGATTTGTTGACCATCTAATGTTGGAACAACAATCTCACCACCCAAAGCTGCAGTAGTCATCATAATTTCTTTGGTAATAACTAAATCATTCTTGTTACGGGTGAAAACTGGATCTTTTTGAACATTGATTCTGATAATCAAATCACCATTGACCAATTGATTATAAGCATCCTTGGTAACCAATGGAGAATCACCGGCTCCTGGGATTCTAATTCTACTACCATCGCTAACTCCCGGTGGGATTTCAACAGTTTGAGATTTAGGAATTTCTTGAACCCCATGACCATGACAAGTACCACATTCATCTTCCTTGGCAATATTGACACCACTTCCTTGACAAGAAGGACAAGTAGAGGACATGTGGAAACCACCCATAATATGTGTAGTTTGACCAGTACCATGACATGTAGGACAAGTTTTCTTCTTAGCACCACTCTTCAAACCACTTCCCGAACATGATGTACATGAATCAACAGCCTTGTAGTTAATGGTTAATTTGGTTCCAAATATAGAATCTTTAAATGGGATAGACTTCAAAACTTCAATGTTATCACCAACATGTTCTGTTACATAAGTTCTTCCACCACCTCTTCCACCAGATGATCCTCGACCACCAGCAAATGCTTCTCTAAATAAATCTTCAAAGTCAAACCCCATACCTGAAAATGGATTTCCTTGTGCAGAGCCTCCAAATCCACCAAAAGGATTGCCACCTTGTCCAGCAAATGGATTTCCACCTTGTCCAGCATAAGGATTAGCATTACCATTGGCATCAAATGCTGCTGCACCAAATCTATCATATTGAGCACGTTTCTCCTTATCTCTTAATAATTCATAACTCTCTTGAATCTTATGAAACCTCTTTTCTGCATCTTTCTCTTTGTTGACATCAGGATGATACTTCTTAACTAAATCATAATATGCTTTTTTAATTTGCTTATCATCGGCAGATTTTTCAACCCCTAATGTCTTATAAGGATCAAAATCAATTGCTATCACTCTAGATGAATGAAATGATCTTGTGATAGGTTTTTGAAATTTGCAAGAACGTGATACCAATGTTCTTGGTTTAAATACATGCAAGTTGGTTCTAATGAATGCAGTTGAAGGTATTCTCATTATCTCTTGTTATCTCTTCTCAAAGGGTGATCAATTCTTTTATCTATTATTCACTCTAATAATCTGTTTCTAACTTTTCAGTTCTGTTGAATTAAATCCTAATTAATAGTGGTCCCAATATATAATATATGCTTATGTATATATCAATAGTTTGTTCGGAATGTTCTTGTAATGATAAGCTCAAGTGAATTGGAACTGATGAAAAGAAATTCTGATATATTACTTAATGTAATGAAAAATTGTGTAGAATTTCTATCGCATTCTATGGGTGTTGTGCGTTGTACACGACCCAATGACTAAATACAAAAAAAAAAGCATGTAAAATAAAACAGAATAAATAAGCGAGAGCGCTTAGGACACGACTTCAATCTTATATTGCTGCAAAATAAATCATACACACACTTCTACTTACCATTCTCCATTTCATTAATAGTCTTTTGCCAAGTTTCAAAAACCTCCTTAAAGAATCTAACACCGATTCCTGGATCTTTATATCCTGCTATTCCTCTAATTGAATGCATACTTAAAATGGGTAAACCAACATCAATTATCAATTTAGCCCCGTTGATTCCTCTTAGTGAGTCAGACATTATAGGGCCAATAGTACCACCAGAACGTGAATCATTTCTTATATGGAAATGTTGTAATTTAATCCCCGATAGGTTATCAATAATACGGGTAAGAAATTCGTTACCTAACGAATCGCTTAAAACATGACAGTTAGAATCAAACTTGATAGAAGGACCAGTGTTTGGTAATGGAAAGTTCTTATCCAAGTAGATATTTTTAAAATTAGGATTCAATGCATGGGTAACATCGGTCGATAAAAACACGGTATTGGTTGTTAAGTTTGCTATAGACTCCATTGTGTTGTATCTGACTTTATCACTAACTATTGATTTCAAAACGTCAATCAAAAAACCACCTTTAGCACCTGTTCTAGTTCCACTTCCAATCTCTTCATTATTTGCCAAATATATCCCAGTCAATCCATCATATGATTCAATATCTTTGTCCAAATAAAATCTCTGAGTAAACTCAATCAAACCATATACTGAAGAAAATGCACAGAGTCTATCATCTAAACGACTCAGATAGATGAATTCATTACTCAACCCACCACGATGACTTGGTTGAACATCCATAAGCTCTAAGTCAAAATCCAAAATTGAAGAAAGTGGCACTTTGGCTAAATTTGTAATGTATCTTAATAAAGACAATGAATGACGTTTATAGAATTTACTGTTTTTCTCTTCTTCGGTAGCAGATAATTCTTCTTCTTCTTCTTCTTCACTAGTTGAAAATCCACAAATCGGAACCATTTGAGTCTGTGGGTTGTATTTCTTATCACCCAACCCAAAATGTGGGGCTAATTGTGGTATGAAAGCAATTGGGTCTGTAGAGTTTATCAATTTTCTAGAAATTTTTCCAGTTTTTTCATCACGAATTAATACTGAACCAGAAATACCCAAATCTCTATTCAACCACTGATTATTGAACGGTCCAGAATATGGAGCAACGCCCAAAAGTTCATACCCGTTGACCTTTTCACGGTTCAGACCTCGGGGATTAAGTTTAAGGGTAATTGCATCACAGTGACTTCCTATGAAACATGACCCATTCTGTGGTTTCCAGTTACCCCCAATGGCAAAAGCAATCAAACATTGATCATCTTTGCTAGTGAAATAAAGCCCAGGGCCCAAGTCTCTGATTGGTTTATTATCTGGTAAATAACTAAAGCCGTTATTTGATAAGACAGACTTGAAATGAGTTATTGTGTGGTTAGTTGTTGGTTGGCCATTCATAAATTTGATGTACTCCGAGGAGTAAGTTTCATAATAATCATCAAAAGAACTCTCTGGTTGTGGTTCTGCTGGTGGAGGTGACAATCTAGAAATGGTACCGGACATATCTGGGAATTGAAGGTTATAATTCAGTTCTAATAAGTTATATTGGTTTGTTTCATTGTTCTCTTCGTCAGAAGTTTCTTCTTCAAACTCTGTTTCATCGACGGTTGATATATCTGGGGTAGATAAATTGTCTGCTTCCTCGTAGTCTGAAGTGTCTGGAGTAGTTGACATGATACTACCTCCTCTACTTCTTGTTAATAAAGTAAATCCGTCTTGTTGATCAATTGAATTGGGTTCTGTGTTCATCTTGATTGTAGATTGGTCTGGCATTGATAAGAACTAAGATTTGGCATGGTTCCTTTTTTTTTTTTGTTGTCGTTATTGTAGGAGTTCCAATTTCGCCCTCATTCGTCGGATGTCGCTGGTTCCCCTGCTTATCCTGTTCGCACCAGCCATTCTTCGAAACGGCACGAGTAACTGGAGTGGGCTCGGGTTTAAGACGCTGTTGCAATACTTGTGTAAAATGTCAACTAGAAGCTGTTGCTCAATTCACATAAACATCTCATGGCATCTTCCAACTTGACTAGTTGTTTTGTATTAGCCATTTATGACAGAAACCTGTAGTAATCTTAATCACTAGGCCTGTTAGTTGTCTTCCAGCAACACCAACGCGTATGCAATTTTTTTTTTTGCTTCTTACGATTTATTCCATTCTGAAAAATTCAAAACAACAACGACAAAAAAAAACCTTGTTAAAGAGTCATTGCTTGTCCCATTACAAATCACATATAGCTTAAAACCATGGAGGCAACAACATTGACTGTTCATTGGCATAATGATAATCTGCCCATCTATTCTGTTGATTTTCAACCAAACGATCTGTCAACAACAACATCATCTCAATCGCAACGTTTGGCTACTGCTGGAGGTGACAATAATATCAGAATTTGGACCTTGGGAAGTTCCAATACCATTGATTTTTTGAGTACTCTACATAAACATAGTCAGGCTGTTAATGTTGTTCGATTCAGTCCCAATGGTGATATCTTAGCCTCTGCTGGAGATGACGGAACAGTTCTATTGTGGAAGAAAAGCGATACTATTATTACCAATTTAGAAACTGAAGATGAAGAGGATATAAAAGAAAGTTGGAAAGTTGTGGGTACCATAAGATCAAGCACTTCAGAAATTATGGATCTTGCGTGGTCACCCAATGGAAATTATATAACGACTGGTTCTATGGATAATGTTTTAAGAGTTTATCAATTAATCTCACAGAATGATAAAATCAATGGGACATTAGTTCAAAATTTATCAAATCACACTCATTATATTCAAGGTGTGTATTGGGATCCATTGGATGAATACATTGTCAGTCAGTCGGCTGACAGATGTTTGAATGTTTATCAAATAACACACCCTGCTTCCTCTACTTTAGAGGTTCAGTTCCGTCATAAATTCTTCAAGTTTGGTAATGTTTATTTATACTACCCTGAGACATTGCAGTCGTTTTTTAGAAGACCTTGTTTCTCCCCAGATGGATCTATACTAGTCACACCTGCTGGTTTGGAAGAATCTGCAACTAATGAATCGATCAATAATGTGCTATACATTTACTCCCGAACTAGTTTATTTACTTCCCCTATTTTCAAAATTACCGGATTGACTAAACCTGCAATTGCTGTTTCATTCAATCCTATTAAATACAAGATTAATGATGGGGTGTCGATGTTAAAGTTGCCATATAAGTTGGTATTCGCCGTGGCGACCCAAGACGGGATTGTCATCTATTCTACACAAGATAATTTCAAGCCACTAGGGCTAGTGTCGAATTTACATTATAGTTCAGTGACAGATTTGAAATGGGATCTTGATGGGTCAAGAATAATAGTTAGTTCCACTGATGGTTTTTGCTCAGTGATCAAGTTTCAACCCGGGGTGTTTGGTGAAGTTTACAAGGAACAAGAGGTATCGCAACCATCATCTGTGCAGCAAAACATTACCGATATGAAACAGGAAAGTCAAGAAGTTCCAGAAAACAACCCAACACCGAAAGAAGATACATCTCCTGTCAAAGAGAAACCGAGTGGTCACACACCTTCGATTGATCAGTTTTTCGGTAAGGAACAAAAAGTAAAAAAAAAGAATAACTCCAACGTTGATACAGTAGGTATGATATATAGTTGAGTCGCATATACAAATATTAATCAATACAATCAAATCAGCTAGGAAATGAACCAAGAAACAAAATCATATAGCCATACATCAAACCTAAATCTATAAATCATTTCTTAATTGTGCAGCCAATCTTCTTCTTGCATTAAGAATCATTTCTTCTCTTTTTTGTTGTAATGAATTATCATTACTGGTATTTGGATTATCGATATCAATGTGATATTTTTCCAATAAATTTATCGATCTCTTTCCAAGCAAAATTTCCTTTCTAAGTTCATGTTCTGTTGTTTGAGGAGGTGGTGGTGGAGGTGGTGCAACATAACCAGGTGGGAATGGCAAGTCACCTAATTCCATGAATCTATTTACAGTAGCTTCGACATTTCCAGTATTTTCTAAATCATATCTTATTTGTTCAACAGTCAACATTGGGGCTATAGATTGGACAACCTCAATCATGGAATCGGTAACTGGTCTTCTTCCTCTACGTTGATGTGTTGCTGTTGTTGTTGTTGTTGTTGACGATGATGATGAAGACGAAGATGATGGAGTTGACCCTTCTCTAGCAGAACGTGTGTTGCTTCCTGTTGCAGAGCCCCTGGCTGACTGATCTTGATCAAAGGTCGCAGAATTATTTGTAAATTCATGTGGTTGTGGTATTGGGGAAATCATCCATTTTAAAAACACGAAGACAACTAGGGCTGTGCCGACAAATGCTATAGTTGAAGAATCCATTATCATACACTAAGGGTCCAAAATATACTTAAAATACAGAATGAATAAAGCTTTCTTAGCTTATCAGAACTAAAACTAAAAACAAAACAAAAAAAACTTCAACAAGAAAGGAAAAAGGGAAAAAAAGAAAAAGTTACCAGAAATCCGAAATATTATTTCTTTTTACCTTTTTTTTTGCCTTTGGAGGGGCCAACAATTATCGACGGGGCGCGTGATACTGAAAAATCTCCCAAGCGAGCTCTTAACTTTGCTACACATCGTCAGTATCAGTCAAAATATGGCATTCAAATAACTACTGGGAAACGTTTTGTTTATTCAAATGCTAATATACAATAATACACGGAAATGAAGAAAACTATATATGCCTTCTATTGAAATGTTAACTTGAACTCTTTATCTTGATGTTTTACTTTATACAAGAATCCAGTGATTATATCATTTTCTTTAGCAGGTAATCCAGCAAAATGGTTCTTGATATGACTGGCAACTTCTGTCTTGGTTATTCTTCCATTATCTCTTTGTCTTTTCTTACTTCTTTTACTGAATGTCTTCTTCCCAATCTCACTATTTAATATATCGGAGTTTAAGGAGTCGATTCGGGAAAAGTTGTGAAATCCATATCGTTCTGAATATTTCAATAAAGCCTCATCTTTATATGTAGCAAAATCCAATGGAGTAGGTTTTGGTCTATCTTGAGGACCATTAGAATTAATATGTTTAGCTAGGTATTGTTGTTGTTGTTGAAGGGCTAATTGATTTCTTGCTTTTTGTGATGTTTTGCTAGTCGACGACGAAGCAGTTGTGTGTCTTGTATGTGAATTCGTATTAGATTCTGATTCTGAAGCAGAATCCTTATGACTATTTCTTGGGGCCATGGTTTAGGAAGAATGGTGGTATTTAATATTTGATATGAATTAGTAGTGGGGGAGTGTGGTGTGGGATTCACATCATTTTTTTTTTTTTTTTGCTTCGCACAGGAATGGTTTTTTTGGCCCACAATTTTTTTTTTGCTTTCACTCTTCTTTATCTGAATCCGCTCATTTTGTATGAGAAACTAATCACAGCAAACTGTATAAACACTCTATGGGGGTTTAACATTATATATTGGGTTGTAAGGCATTCTTCGGTTTGAGCTGACTTTGTAGGTTGTTATTTTTGTATTGCAGTTGTCATTCCCGTCTACCAAAACCTTTTTGGCCATTTTCCAGTCATACCGAACTGCGGAAATTGGATAACTTACTGCTTTCTTAATGACAACATGTTTCTCAACTTTGAGTTTGATAGAAGAATTTGCTAATCATACTTCCAAAACTAGAATCATAATGGGATGAGATTACTCATTTATAGTAAGTACGGTAACCGTATAAGTATCATCAAAGCAGGTAATTAACCGATTTATGTTTCACCACGGCACATGCTCAAACACCATGTATAATTGAAACTTGATTACAGTCATTTGTTGTTCACAATTCATATGTAGAGTATCATAGTAGAATCATTTCAATTTGTGTATGCATATTAATTAAATAATTTTCTCGTATTAATTTGCCAATTCTATATCAAATTCCTGAGGCATGTTCTTGAACAATTTTTACAATAAGAAATCTCATCGGTACAAGTAACTAAACATCAGACCATAACTTTCCCATTGTTTTTGCTTCATACTACAACTCTGCTATCTCTTCATCGCTGCCTTGAATAATTGATGATTTGCTCTACGCATCAAACTTGAAACGTAAATCAACAAAAAGTACTAAAAAAAGTAGCTGAGGATCATCGAGCACACAAAACTCTACAAAACAACAAACCTAACGCGTCTATGTGATTGACAATTATTGGTTCTAACTCATTTTTTACTACTTATGCCATATCTTCAAACCATGGATTGGTATCGTTCTTTTAAGAAAACATATCCATTGATTTGTAAAGAGAAGAAAATATCGTTCCCTATATATGCAACATCGCGCCAAAAGTCTCATACAAATGCCAAACCCTGCAGTTTTTTCGCGATAGTTTTTATTTGAAACATTCCAACTTGAAACATCTATAATAATTCTTCAATAACAATATAATCTAAAGATCGCAGATGCTTATAAACTAAAAGAATTAATTAAGAAAATACTCTATATTAATGTACTATGTATGTGTGATACAAAGAGAACAATACAAGATCAAGACCGCAAAAACAAAACAAAAAACATAAAGCCCATTAAACACACCTCGTGGTAATAGTATATCTTTCTTATATCCCAACCTCTGTAATTCCTCTGTAATTGAATTGAATTAAATGAAACATGCGTCGTAATTAGAAAAAATAATATTAATAAAAAAAGTAAATCCCCAAAACATAAATATCAATAATAATAAACAGGTATCTCAAAAATGAATCTTTTATGAAACTTTTTTAGTGACTATATTGTGCATACAAAGGATAAAATAGTCAATCCAGACAATATTATACCGAATTTGGCTTTTCTCATATCAACATTATTATCTGCTGCATTGGCACTTTCTGAAGCTGTGGCAACTGAGGAACCAGACGAGGATGAAGCAAGAGTTAATGTCCCTACGTCAGAAAGTGCAGAAAATGTACCAGTGGCATTATTCAATTGTGATGATTCACTAGCAGCTACTATGCCAGAAGTCAATGATGTGCTAATAGTTAAGATGGAATCGCCCGCGAGGGTAACACTGTTATCATTCTTGCGTGCATCTGTGGCAATGTGTAAATCAGTTAAGGAAGGTGTGACAGTAGCTGTTGTGCTGATGGCATCATCTAAAAGTAATTGTACTGGTAAGGAAGACATTTGTAATGGATCTTGAGAATGAATTTTGGAAACAAAGAATTATAAGTATGTTGTGGGGTGGGGGAGAATAACGATAATAGTAATTTATAAGTAAAAGAATGCTTACCGCAAAGATAGAGATTCAGGAACAAGATTTTTTTTTTAAATTACAAGAAGGGAATTAGTTCTAATTTATATAATTTTTCATCTCTAGCAAGTGTGTACCTTTTGTTGTTGTTGTGGTTGTTGTTGTACTTTCTATTGTTTTACCCCTTGACACAATACCAATGTTGGATACCAATTTTGAATACAAAAAAAAAAAAGAAAAGCATAACATGCCTGGATGTACATTTGGGAATTTACTATGGCAAGTTTCAAACATTTTTGTCATATTGTTTCAATCTCAAATGGAAAACAATTACACAAAGAGGGTTCTTCAAACAATGCAAGGTACTAAAACGGTATTGTCGATGATCCTAATTATTTGGGTGGTATTCTTTTGAACATTCTCCCTCGTCATAATTTACATGGATACATTCTAATCAACGGGATCACTGGGATTAATAATAGTATATTTATAAGAAAAAAAAAAAGCATAAGCTTAGTTGAACTGTCAGTTAAACGGAGGGCATATGAAATTTGTGTGTCGTAGCCAGGTACTGACGAAACTAGGTACTTCTCAGGGGACAAATTTCGACAAGGAAAAATTTTTTTTTACCCCTGTTTATTTTTCACTAGTCTCCCCTTTCGTTCTGTGAAATAATATGAATGATGGGATTGCATCTTGAGTGCATCATAGAGAAAAAGAAAGAGAAGGATTCTAAGGAACAAATAACTAACTAACCCATAATTATAATCAGTGTTTTAAATCTATATTTCGTGTTCCCCTTTTTTTTTCATGAACTTTCATAACTATACTGTAGTAATAGTTTAATAAACTGGGACAAAAGTATTGTTTAAGGAACCATGTTTGTGGTAATCAAGCAGAACAATGCCCATAGTAAATATGAAAGGTAAAAAAGCAACTAAAATCTCAAAGAAAAACTTTTCGTGTCAGAAAATGACATCATGGATGAGCCTTGGTAGTTTTACTCAGGTACCAACTTTAAAGATAGACAAAAATATATATCTACCCCTCCAGAAATGAATAAACAGAAAGTGTTCTTCAAATTATCATTCTCAAATGTTGAGTTTCGTTATACCAAGAGTGTAGATCGCATTACCTTCAGGAATTTGTTCATCCCGTATTCATTATTCACATGAACTTGTTGCATTTGTTATTTTCTTTTTAAAGTTTCACAACAGAGAGTTAACCAGACGCGGGCTCAAGACATGGTGTGAATGCTTTTTTTTATACTGATATTTTGTGCCTTATTTTCTATTGTTGGTAACTTAATTTCATGGAGGGATTTTTTTTTTTTGATTTTAATTTCGTCGTTAAATCTCGTTAATAATGTTTTATAAATTGAATGCAATATCATACCTCCCCTCTCTGTCTCCTCACATAAGGTTCCAGTCAACTGAGAGTCATGACACACCACTTGTTGTATTTTTCAAGGCGTTGATGCAAGCGTTTGTTTCAAAAGTTTGGTGCCTGAAAATGGCGTTTTCTTCGTCGCGTTCTTTTTTTTTAGACGAGTGAAGGTTTGGCAATATGTAATACTTCGACTTTGAACCACATGTGAATAAACGACTTGGATCTGATACAGGGGCAAAAGAATAGGGGAAATTCTTCTCTAAACTAAATAATGGATTTTTTTTTTGAAGTTGGTGTTCCCCTTACTAAAGTTTTAGATTGTTTATACTTTCATTATTTTGTCTTTTTTTTATTGCAATAGATTCTATTTTGTTTACATTTTCATTGGCATGTTTGATCTTTCCGTTGATTTGCCGATCATTTACCCCATTTGTACTATTGTCGATCTTGAATAGAGTCAATATTTACGGATCGTTCTTTTGGTATTGTTATCTTTATGATCTGCCTCTTGTTGACCAATAGCGTTCCAGTTCAAGCCAGACCACTGGAATCAATAAATGCCAAAAGAGGTCGATCAAGGAACTACAATGACTATTGGACAAGTCAACTAGAGATATACTATATTTACTGTAGCTATTTAATGAATATTTATACATATATATTGGAGAGAGTTTTCTTAGCATCTTTGGTAATAACATCACCATGAACCATTATTATGTTTTCATAATCCCATTGATTTATCAATGCAATGATTTCTTTTGTCTTTTCTGGATGATTTTTAGTCTTTTGTAATCTATTCATAAGATATCTTCCTACTTTACTTTCAGGTTGTAAATATCTGGAAAAGAATGACCAACCTCCATGAGGATTAAAACCTTTTGGGAATCCCAATTCTGGGGAATATTGTTCCAAAACATGTTCACCACTAGTTGTACCCGGAACACCCAAATTAAAGATAAAATCAGCCAAAAGGATAGATTTAGTGGATTTTTCATATACCACCAATTCTCTATTTTTGTGGTACGAATTGTAAATCAACTCAAAGTTATCAACAATAGATGCATCAGTGATTCCTAATGAATCCCAACCAGAGCTTTTGATAATTTTCATAGCATTTTCATTAGTTAATGGGAAATCAATTGCACATCTCAGGGTATTCTCTGGTCCAATCAATTTCACATCTGGATAAGCTTCTCTGTATGATTCAGCAGATAAGTTATGCTCGATATTGATGACGAATATATACTTGACTGTATATGGTTCACTAGTCAATTTAGCAATAGAACTTTCAAAGACTTCTTTGTTGTAAGGAATTGGAGACCAAATGATAATATCACCTTGGAAATGGAAAATCACCATTCTTGCACCAACATTCAATTTATCAAAAATTGAAAATGGACATGATACTGTCAAAACATTTGGTGAGATTTTCTTGGTAACAACTCTCAAAGGAACTGGATAACCCATTTTGATTTATTGTTGTTCTGTAGTTATTGAATAAAAAGAAGAACTAAAAGTCATCTTGAATCCAAATTCTGAAAAAAAAAAATAGTCATGATGATGACGGTGATGATCAAGATGATTTTAACACGATGTTCGCGGAGATATGCCCTATCTCCGATATACTTTGGCCTGATCAATTTTTTTTTTCTTCGTTTTCTTGGCCGTGAAATTTCAGTTGACTATACACGAAAAACATACAACTATTTCAAACATAACCAGTAAATAATTTCTTCCAGCTTGCTTGTGCATCCTTTTCAACAACATTACCGTGATTCATGACGAGGGTTTGGAAGTCCCAATTGTTGTCAATACTTTTGATTACATTCTTACCTTGTTCAGTTTTAGTGCCAGCCATGTAATTGGCAAGATAGCGACAAACACAAGAATCTGGTTGACAATATCTAGTAATGAAAGAACCCCATCCATGTGGATTATATCCTTTTGGGAAACCAGTTTCAGGTGAATATTGTTCTAAAGTGACTTTTCCAGTAGTTGTTCCAGGAACTCCTAAATTCATAAACAAATCACCAACAAACATTGTCTTGGAAGTATTATCAAGCAACAATACATCATGAACCATGTGTTTACCCATGTATATCAATTCCAAATTTTTCATAAATGGATCAGGAATATTCAATTCATCTTGCCACATCGAACCTTTAATTATTTGGTCTTCAATTCTAGCAGTTAATGGATAATCGATTTTGCAATTATTCTTTAATTTGCAATTCTCTCCAGCAATAACTTTACATCCAAATTTTTCTTTATATTCATGAGAATATAAATTGTGTTCATCATTGGAGGCAATTAAATATTTGAGTTCGTATTCAGGAACGGTGTCCTTGTTGAATAGTAACATCAATGCTTGATTAAACACATCTTCGTCATATGGTATTGGTGAATAAAGCACCACGTTATTATTGAAATTGATTAATGACATCCTTGCTCCAAGATTAAAGCAACGCATAATCTTATACGGAATACTAACAGTGACAGTATTGTCATTTAACTTTCTAATTGACGCCTTCATTGGGTTAGGAAATAGTCGATAGAAAGAAAAGAGGAAAAGAAAAAATTGTGAAATTTACCAATGAATATTTCAACAGAAAGTGGCAATAAATACTTGTAGTAAATTTCAAGGGGTTTCGTAATAAAGCGGAGTATTCAAAACAAAATAGAATGTAAATAAAAGAACAAATCAGTCATTAAATTGCGTTGAAAAATAATATCGACAAGGGTTGTGGATATGCAATTTCATGCATATTTGTTTCAGATAATCTTGTTCCCTAGAAGGATTCACTTTACTATGACAGGGGACTAGTTGCCCGTTGTATGAATATACTCTCGCCATCCAATGCTGTGAAGTTTGAGCGTGTTGAGTTTGGCATTGCAAGTGGACGAAACGTACCTTACGTTTAGCATCCGTTCCGTTTTTACTCTGTTATCTCCGTATTATGTAATATATATATAGAACAGCGATAAACAGATAAAGAAGATTTTTTAAGAAAATAGTTGCAAATGTAACATGCTTACAAGTCGCTTGTAATCAAGGGAGCTTTTGCAGTAGACCCCACAATAATATCTAGCCTTCTACATAGTATGAATCTCCTTGCCGAGATAGAACGGAGTTCGTAATCAATTAAGGTTGCATTGGGTTCAAAGCTGTTACATTCTCACATACATTTTTGTTCGCTTGTTATCAGTTAATTATTTTTTCATTTCACCCACCAGATCCCCCACAAGTATGGTTTATGAAATATAAATAAACAAGAAATCACCCAAAACTTGTTGGAGAATTGTTTCCTGTACAACAACTTTACCATTCATTATGCCTACTCCTATTAGTCACAAGTACCACGACGACATTGAAGAAAATGGGTTCGTTGTTATCAGAAATCTTCTTTCCCCAGAAGAGATTGAAAAATATCTTGAAGCTTCTGAAAAGTTGGTAGAATATGCTCGAGCTGGTCACTGGTCTGCCGTTAGAACTACTGATAAACAATTTCCACCTTGGCCAAAGAATTTCAGTCCAAACATTTGGGGCATTTCTGGATTATTGCATCCTGATTTAGGTGAATTATCTACTCCATTTCACGACTTTTATGGCGATGAGAAATTATTAGCAATTGTTTGTGATATCTTACAAGTTGACAAATCCCAATTATCAATGGAATTATTAAACATGTTGATTAACCCATTGACTGATTTTGAATTGGATTGGCATAGAGATACTATAAAACCAGAAGCTACTCCTGAAGAAGAAGCCAATGATCTTTTGAAATTTCCTTATGCTGGTGCTCAATTTAACTTGGCTTTAACGGAAGATAGTTGTTTGATTGCTATTCCAGGCTCCCATAATCGTTTACGTACTCAAGAAGAAAGAGAAAAGACTGTTGATGCAACTAAGCGTAAAGAATACATTACCGGTCAAACAGTAGTTGATTTACATCCTGGTGATATTGTTTTTTACAATAATAATATTTTGCATCGTGCTAAATACTCTTGCAAGCAAAAGAGATTAACGTTACATGGATCATATGGTAATGCTGAGCAAGGTAAATCAAGAGCCAAGGGTATATTGCAACATGGTGTCGCTGAATGGTTGCCAAGATTGGATACCGAAGGTAATGAAAACCTAACCATGATGAAAGAAAAACTCTCCTCTTTAGTTAAAGAATTTGAAGGTGTTGAGTTAGGTTACGCTTTAGATGGTTGAATATATTAGTTGAAGTTTATTGTCTCTATTTCAATGATATTGAATTTTGTCTGAGATTAATAGGTAGTATTTCTGATTACCAAATTATAACAGGAACATTAAATAAAATAACATCTCTTTCATAAGATAAAAATCAATGTTTCTATTGTTGTTCTCATAAATTCAATCTTTGGGGTTAAAACATTTTGTACTAATTTGTAGATCACACAAGAAATTGAAACAAATGGTGGGGGCAAGATCAGAAGGTATATCAAACCACAACCCGATGTTCCTCGAGAAGACGAAAAAGATTTGGATAGTGAGTAAGCAATATATATATAGTGTACATTATATGATTAATTTTTGACAGCTATTGCAGTATTCTTGGCATAATACCCCTGAAAAGTTCATAGAAATATTATTTTGTTACCTTTTTACCCCTGTGTCACTGAAAAACATTTTCCTCTTGAAAGTGAACAAAGTGCACTACCAATCATTCGTCTTGAATAGCGCTTAAAACATACAATTCTTGAAACTACTGTTTGAGCAGAAACCTAACCTATGATTAGATTAATTCACCGTAAATGCCCATAGATAACATATCACAAATGACAATGTTAAGCAGCATTCACAAGATTACACTTGTGATGAGTAATAGTCTGGAGACATTCACTTAGAACAAGCGAATATATAAGGATAGAGGATAAAACCTCAATTCACAATAAAACACTAATTTATATTCTAATTTGCCTAATTCTCCATAAACTGAAATTTCCCATGATTGGGGGAAATTCAATCCTTTATAAACTTATTCAAATATAGTATAACCGAAATAAAATCAAACAGAACAGGGAATTCCGCTATGTCGTGTATAAGTTCCAAAACAACAGAAAACATTTTCTGGCACGACACCCTGATTTTTTCTTTTTTGGGTAAGGAGAGATGTAAATAGAAGCGACGTGTATTCTCCTCCATCACAAAAGAAAGAATGCCAGCTTCAGACAAATTTTCACTTTTTGTTAGATCTATCTCTTTTTTACTTTTTGCTTTTCTGTTTGCTAAGGGCTAATATCAAAGTCAAAATGAGTTTCTTCAGAAGTTTACCATTGTTTGTGATGACACCGATCATGGCAGTTGTATCGGTGCCATATGTCTGGGCCTGGGGGTTAGTATTGCCAAAGCCAGTATATGAGAAATTTTATTATCATTTTAATGAAAGTCAAGAGGTTATTATTCGCTATTACCTCGATGATGACAGTGACTATGGTGGTGATGATTCTGACAGCAAAGTATGATATGGTTGATGGCAATAGACCATTAAGTTTATCCGAGACAATAACAACTGGTTTTGAGAGGTACAAAGGTAATACAGCACATTTTATGTGGTTGCTATGGACAAGCATAGAAATTCATTACCAATAACTGTTTCTATTCTAATATTATATCATTTCTTGAAGTTTCATATATTTTCTTCAACTTTTTTTAAAAAAGCATGGAAATAATTCATGGTTTGAGTGATTTATCCCGGTATGTAAGATGCAAATTCACTTTGATAATGTTTAAATGTTAAAACTCAAGTACTCCGCCATGAAGGGTGTTACATGTGAAGATTTAATTGAAGGCAAGTTGTCGTTACCTATCTTGCATTGTTTAAGAACTACAAAGAATTCTCCAGTTCACGAAATCCTATACAATCATCATACAAGCAGTGAGCGCACCAAACAAACAGTCTTGATTGACCAATGTTTGAAATTCATGAAGACCAACTCGAGGTCATTACAGTACACGTTGGACTTGATCAAGAATTTCGAATCCAAGATTAAGACGATGTTGGAGAAGTACCCCAACCTGGAAAACTCAGCGTTGATGAAGATCATCGATCGCTTGTGTGATCTCTAAACTAACGACAAGTCGCTCTTCAATGTTTCAGCAAAGAAAAAGTCAATTTCGTTGGCATCGGAATAATTTGGTAATTCAACGGTGCTGTTATAAAAATCAGCTGGGATGGAAAATCTCTTCAGTTCGTATTCTAAGTTTTTGGGTGCCAAGTTATGGATCAACGGTATATCAATGGTATTCAGGGACAAGTTTTGGTTTATAATTTTTAATAGTTCAGGGTAAGTATGTTTTAATTGTACTTTGTTTTCAAATGATTTTGTTGTAGTTTCTTGCAAATGTGGCGGGAGGTCTGTCGATGGAGAATACGACTGTTTAGGGGTCTTTTCCGAACTGCCCAAAGAGCTATACTGGGGACGTTTGGGGTGATTCGGAGGAGGCTGGATCTTCTTTACCACACGCCGGCGTGATCTTCTCTTGCATTTCGCTCTCTTGGGAGGTATATCATTTTCAACCCCTTTTGCTAGTATTTCATTGTATCGTTGAAGGTCCCGCTGGTATTCTAGTTCCTTCTTCTTTAGTCTTTCTTTGGTCTGTTGGGTTCTTCGTTGGGTATCATGTTTCGTCTTCATGATGTGGTGTTGCTGATGAGATGAAGTCGAGGGACAAAAAAAAATATCCAGAGCTGAAAAATTTCATCCATCGCTCATTTTCCTTATCATACAACCACCTCCACCGCCACCACTACTACCACCACCACCACCATGTTATATCTTATTGGATTGGGATTGTCGTACGAAAGCGACATCACTGTCAGAGGATTGGAAACCGTGAAGAAATGTAAAAGAGTCTACCTTGAAGCCTACACATCCATTTTGATGGCTGCCAACAAGGAATCCCTTGAGTCATTTTACGGAAGAGAAGTTATTCTTGCCGACAGAGAGTTAGTTGAAACCGGGTCTGATGATATCTTAAAGGATGCCGACACCGAGGACATTGCATTTTTGGTTGTTGGTGATCCGTTCGGTGCCACCACCCATACCGACTTGGTGATCAGAGCCCGTGAGCTTGGCATCCAGGTCGAGACCATCCACAATGCCTCTGTCATGAATGCAGTTGGTGCCTGTGGATTGCAATTGTACAATTTCGGACAAACCGTGTCGTTGGTGTTCTTCACCGACTCCTGGAAGCCAGACTCGTTCTACCCGAAGATCATGGAGAACAGGAAAATCGGATTGCACACATTGTTGTTGTTGGACATCAAGGTCAAGGAGCAGAGTATTGAAAACATGGCTCGTGGAAGATTGATCTACGAACCACCAAGATACATGGACATTGCCACCGCCTGTCAACAATTGTTGGAGATTGAAGAGGCCAGACAAGAACAAGCATACACACCAAACACCCCGTGTGTGGCTATTTCAAGATTGGGATCACCAACACAAACATTCAAGGCGGGTACTTTACAAGAGCTCAGTGAGTATGACTCCGGCGAACCGTTGCATTCATTGGTTATGCTTGGAAGACAAGTTCATGACTTGGAGTTGGAATACTTGTACCAATTTGTTGACGACAAGGAGAAGTTCAAGCAAATGGTGGAGCAAGACCAAGAGTTTTTCAAACCACCGCCATATGTTCCTCCAGAAGAAGACGATAGTGAGTAAGTCATATATATCTAGTGTACGTTAGACGTGGAATTTTGTCTGTATATTTTCAGGTCTGTATATAATACAAAGCATTAGAGAAAAGTTACCATTAATTGTTGTCTATTGTGCTTATTTAAATATATATCACTTGGTTAAGTTTTTTTAGAATCATTTTAATGGGTTAACTTGGTATATTGTCGAGAAATGGTAATTTCATTTATCTGATAATATATCTAGGTTTCGTCGAGCTTTTATAAATTTAATAAAGTCTAAGAATAGTATATTTCCACTAATAGTAAAATTCTAGATTTCCAGCAATATGAAATCCTGAATAGGTTTTGTCAACCTGGTTCAATTTGAAATATCAATAGTGAAACACCTTAACCATCTTGGCCACGTTACTATGGGTTGACTCGAAACAAATGAATATGTATTGAGCATATTTATTTTATAGATCTTCTTAAGGTTTTACAAGTCTAAAAAGTCCCCGTTCAAATAAATTTCCATTTCATAATCTGGTTGAAACTCGGTATATAACGTCTCTGGATCAGCGGCTTTATATTCACAATATGCAGCTTCTTCGTCTCCAATAAGTTTCAACTTTTCACCCGGCAACAAAGCGGCCTGTGCTGCTAATTGTACCTGACAAGACTTTTCCATCAAAGTGAACAAATAAGTAGCTTCGTCAACTGTGCTTCCCACAGTCAACAAACCATGATTTTGCAATATGGCACCTTTTCCATTTCCAATTGCTTCGGCAATTCTAAACCCTTCCTCAGCTTCCAAAGCAACTCCACCAAAATCTTGGTATACAGAATGACTCTTATAGAATGTACATACGTCTTGGTTAATCATATCCAATGGTTTACCAATCGCAGACCAAGCTTTACCATAAGTAGAATGGGTATGGCAAGCAGCGTGAACATCTGGTCTGGCTGCATGTAAGGCACTATGAATAACAAAACCAGCAGCATTAATAGCAGTTTGTGCACCATCTGGTAAAATGTTGCCAGCATGATCAACATGAACTAAGTCACTTGCCTTAATTAAACCGAAATGTTTACCTAATGGATTTATCCAAAAAGTATTTGGGTCCACTGGATCACGTATAGAAATATGACCTGCAGTTCCTTCGGTATATCCTTTTCTTGCAAACACTCTGAATGCTCCTGCCATGTGTTCCAAAGCCCATTTACGTTCTTGATATTTATCAGTGAATGTAGGTTTTTGGTAAGCATGATCCATTCCTTTAGCAATGTTCTGGGTTCCTCTTTCTCCAAAATCATACCCTCTGGCAGTCGAGATAGTAGAGCTTTCTTCTTTAGTACTAGCTGGTGACATGATGAATAATTATTGATTGTGATTTGTAGTTGATAATATGGTTTATAACAAATGAAGAATGGGTGCAACTTATATACTTCCCTCTGCAATTTTTCATTGTTCATGTGGTGAACCACAAATTGCTTTTTTTTTTAGTTTGGACAAATTTGCGACACATATTTCCAGTTTGGGAAATATTAAGCGACAGACAATTCCAATAGCGTTCATCCAATTTGCCGAAGCGACAAAAAAAAAGATGCAGTGCAAATGTGGCGGGAAGTAATTTAAAAGTTTGCTAAGGCGGTAGATCCAGAAATCAGGGCCAAATGGAGTACTAAAAAAAATTAAATTGAATCACTCTTATCTTTACGGTATTCCTAATCAAAAAACTATTACCAATAGAACTTCGATTACATTCTAATGAGTCTAAAAATTGAAAAAAAAAAAATTAACAAAAGGTGTATCCTATTTTAATTTGTAGATGATAAAAGTGATTTGCAGATTTGGTCCCAAGTTGTGAAAATTTCAAGGGATAGTCCTTGAAAGACCATCTTTCGACGTAGATAGGTCGACAAGCCTACAATTTTACACGAGAATTATGGCGAAAAAATTTCAAAATCCTAAAATGAGCATCAAATAATGAAAATACTATGAAATATACAATTGGCCAAGCCAAGTACCATATTCCACAAAACCTGTGTTGGAAACAATGATAGAAGACTATATTGGACCAATAATAACCACTCAAATATTCTACAGTGAAAATATATGGTTAATTCAAATCCTAAACAACTAGAAACAGACTATTTGTTACATTTTGTATGGCGAAAAGAGATTTAAGTGATTTTTGGAGATTTTTCGTGCGAGAGCCGATATTAATTTCACGGGAATAAAACACTTGAGATCCTGATGAACCCCTTTGGAAAGACTGGATGCTCTAAAAACAATAAAACCAAAATGAAAATAATATAGACATGGTTATATGTACATTAATATTTCAATTAAACCATTTTCAACGAGGTCAGACTCATATTTATTGACTTATTTAGCAAAATGATAATTCCCGATAAAAAAAAGATTGTTTGATTTTTGAAGAGTAAGGTTTGATAGATAACTCCACCAGTTTTCATTGTATTGGCTCAGAAGTTAGTGTGACAGTAATAAATACTGATACAAATAACATCATGTTGTTCAAACAACGAGAATCGAGCCAGAATTGGTAGTTCTAGAGAAACATATGCAACTTCATGAAGTATCTTTAGTTTGCAAAATAAGCAAATTAATTCCCTGTCGTCGCATTTTTGGAAATTTCCATAAAATTAATGAAGTTTCTTATTTTCCACCTTTTGGCAACCTTTGGGCAACCTTATGACGTTGCCACTTTTCAGCAACATAATGAAGTTTTCAACAAACTTAAAAGACTACCGCGATTTCTCAATTTTGGTTATTTTCAAAAGACTCTCGCAACTTTATAAATACACCAATTTTTCCAAAATCTTGCAACAACAATTGGCTAGTAATAACTTTCATCATATTTTTGTTATTTGAAAACACGAAAAAGCGGCAAATACAATAATATCGATAAATAATATATTGGAATACCATGAACACTCGGATAGACTATCATTATATATAAAATAGTGACAAATATACATCAGCGGCAATTAATGAGACTATACTGTATCGGTATAAAAATCCAGTATATACTTCATTCTTCAAAGAAGTGAACTATAAGTGGATTTGAAAGAAAAAATTTACCATTTGAATAAGCTATCAGTAGTCAATGGTTTGAAATGAATCAACATTACAAATACTTGCAGATTAAAATTTGTTATTAGTTATGCTCAAAATATAGTTCATTATCGACGTACAGATATCGCGGATTTGTAAATTTAGGTCCATGGTTCATACGGAAGAAACTGCAGAAGAAAAAAGAAGAAAGAATTCAAATATCACAAGGAATGAAAGATATAATATATAAATCAGCTGCTGTTCCATTGTCTACCCATATTAATACTTAATATCATCATCTATTGTGTTATTCTTCTATTATATAATCGAGTTGAATGCATAAAACCCACAATGGATCATGTTTCCAACAAATACAACTGAAAACAAACGAATTGCTATATTTTGTATGGGAAAAGAGATTCAAGCGATTTTTGGAGATTTTTTCGTGCGTCAATCAATTTGAAAATCACGGGAATAAACCACTTGAGTTGCTGATGAACCCCTTTGGAAGCACTAGATAGTCTAAAACCTGGAAATTGAATATAATAATAGTATATACGTGATGAAATTTACATTAACATTCCAATGAATACAATTTCAACGGTCTGGATAGTGCAATTAGTGACTTATTTAGAAAAATTATAATTCCCGATAAAAAAAAGATACTTTCAAATTCCAAGAGTAAGATTGATAGATAACTCCTCCAATACTTAGTCGATCAATTCAGAATGAACTTATATAGGATAAATTACCACCCCAAATCATATACCATTTTCAAAATTGCAAAAATCCCGCTAGAAGAGACAAATGTTTCAAATCGTGGAACATTTGCATGTCGCACTGTGACGACCATAGGAAACAGAAATATGAATGCTACTTTTTCCAAGAACATCCAAATGTTCCTCAAATTTGGAACATACAGATCTATGGATCTATGGAAAGGACATTTATGTCTATGGATGTATGGACGGAATATTCGAATATACGGATATATGGAGGGAAAATTTGTACATACAAATGCGCACCAAATCAGGAACATACAAATCAATGGTTTAATGGATGGAACATTGTGATGCACAGATATATGGCGCAATCACTAGAACATATAGATGTACAACAAAAAGTGACATTGAAAAATATGGTTTCAAGGATGGAATATTTGAATATACATATATATGGTTTCACTTTTTGGAATGTAGATTTATAAGTTACCGCCATCAAATTCATGGATATAATCTACTGTTATATGTCTTTCCTTATTCAGAATTCTGTCAAATAGATTATCTTGATTGATTTGGATTAAATTCAAATGGATTATAAAATATATGTCAAAAGGAAATGTTCAAGAGTGTCTAAAATGCATTTATTTTTTCTGTATCATTGCAAAAATATGAACTATACTCGCAACATAACAAATTTACTAATCCGATTCACTCAATAGAGGAGTTTCATCTGATCATAATTCTAAGTAGAAAACTTTATTTGCTTCGATTAATTGTTTTAGAATGTTCATATTTATAGTGATTTCTATCATTATTCACTTCTATTTAATCTAACTTATCAAAACTATAACAGTTGTTACATTTTGTATGAAGAAATAAGATTCAAGTCAACTTTCATGTCTGAACTAAAATCAAAATCACGGAAATAAGTCAATTGAAATCACAGTGAATTCATTTGGAAACACTATATACACCAATATTGTGAATGATCAATATTTAAGTTCCTTAAAATAATGGTAAACATATGAATATAATGAAGATATAATTTTTAACAGGTTTAATAGAACAATTATTAATAAATTTATACAAATCATACTTCCCGATAAATAAAAAAGGTGTGGTAGCACTGAGCATACAAAAGCAAAACAATAATATCTACACAAATATATAAAAAAAATCAACTATAAAAGGACAAAAAAACAGTTTGCAAATAAAAAATCTTTTTATAATACTTTCTTTTCTTTTCCTTTCTTCTCTTCTTTCATCAACAATTAGTATCAATCACTTTATATATGATATCAGTTTTAGCAAGTAAGTATCAATTGATGTGTTTTATTCATGGCAGCAAATACTAACTCCAATATAAGAAACCACAGCCCATTGCCCATTACAAGTTTACCAAGAATCAAAGGCTATATCTTTTCCATCCCTTGTTCTTATATGTTCCCTCAATAGTTGTTATTTGTGCTACTTGGTTAAGTCATTGTAAACAAAGTCACCAACTGGTAGCTCTTTTAGTATGATGCACAAACATAAGAAGAACCTTCCAAATAAGATAGCAAATTGGGAACACATGTTATCTTGAACCTTATAAGAGGGATCAACATATACAAAAAAGGGACGATGTTGATTAGTGAAGGTTCTTCAAAAGATAGTGACTGGTCATCACTATTTTTCAAAGCTACTTATTGCGATAGGCTAGTTCTCTATCCCGATGATTAGTAGTGGTGGTTTAGTACCAACCACACACTTGTAGAGGACCAGGTAATTGGGGGCCAAAATTGATCAGTCCCTTTCCCTCCTGGTTCATCCTCTATCTATTCTCCCTTGGGCCAGTAGGGGGACGCGATATGGCAACTCAAGAAGAGGGCCATGGTCGGGCTGGGTCGGCCCCACACATACACACGTGGGCCCAGTTCGACCCTCTCCTTTAATTAGGAGAGGTAGTACGTGGGGAGAGGGGAGGAGCCAACCCTTCATCATTTGGTTCTTTCCACCACTTCCATATTTGTCATGTCGTCGAACAGGGACATGGGAGAAAACTGAATGCTTCCTAAAGAAACCCTAATAATGGTCCAAATTGAGCGTAAATATCTATAATTAGCAAAAGAACCATGTTTAAAAATGAATATGTTAATAATTATTCAACTGTTGAAAGAATTGTCAGGAATTAAGCAATAAAGCCCATGAGTTAAAAGTAAACCCAACACATATGAGACCATAAACGAGATTAGAAGCTTTAAATGGACATAATCGTTATTAAAATAAGGTAAATTCAACTGAAAGTCAGCAAAAACAATGTAATAAAGTTTGTAAACAGCTCTAAAATAATGGAAATCGATAAAATAAATATACCCCAGATAAATTAAACCACTACATGGTGTTAAAAATTCATTAAACCAATGAAACTACTGTAACTTGTTGTACATACTTAAGTTCGTAGACGCTTCACCAGACGATTATATGGATAAATTATTTAATCTTGAAACGGAAACAAGGACCATTCATTTATAATATGCAGAACGACGAATATTGCAGATTTATAGAACGAAATAACTCTTATAAAAATGCAGATAATGAAATATACACTTGACTTTACCCGTTTAGGAAAGTGGCTCAAGAAAATGTGTGGTTTTAATCGTTTCTCTATCACACGACGGCCACGAAAACAACAAAAAAAATCAGTGTAAGAGTATAACACACTGTCCTTGCAAAGTGAAGAGGTACTATAATGACACTGAAGAAGAATAAGTTAATCCTGAAAAAGTAGTATCAACTTTTGATGATTGTGATGCTGTTCTTACCACTAGAATCTTTCATTGTTCTTGAACCTCATGGATAATAGACTTTCCCCAATGTGTGATTCATCTTACCACTTGACAGTCACAGTAACAGGAACTGCAGGTCTAGAATATTACCAAACCCCATAGACAACTCATAAGTATACTGTGTACTGGATTTTGCTAAATTTTTGAATGGGAGAACTTGATGTGTTGTAGTGGAAATTGAATCACTAATTGACACAATGGTCGAATTCAAATACAAGGTCATTCAAGAAGCTATACTTACTTTTAGGGTCACTTTTTGCTTCCAATGCATCGTTCCAGAGACGTATCAAAATTAAAGATACGCTATGATGAATATTAATAACCATTACATCTGGATTTGTGTTTCCTATATTTTTTGTATTGGGATGAATAATTGCTTGTGATGGTACAATCTGGTAGTCAAGCGATGATTTCCAATGTGTTTACGAAGTTTTATGCAATAAGGTAATCTACAAATTCTTCTTTTAGATACTTCATTGTGAAATCTCGATATTCCATCCATAAGGAAGGTAGATATATTCAGTTACTGGAAGCTATTGAACTATTGGGTAACTGGCTTCAAGAGACAAGTTAGGAGCTTTTACACATATCTAGGGAATCCCCTTCCTCCCTGGTGAATAATTAGTCGTTTTGTAACATTGGAGAGATGCTCCAGATTAGATATTGTTGGATGAGCGTTAAAAATTAATCGTGAATAAAGAAGAGAAGAATAATGAAGAGAGGAATAATAAGGATAAATTCATGTTTATTTATTGCAAATATATAAAGCATTATGCAAATAATTTAGCGTCATCATTGATTTAGCATCATCATTAATTTGACAATTATTGATTACCATTTTTGGATTTATTAGCAATTTTTACATATTTCTCACATGCTTCTTTAGTTTTATCATCACTTTGTGCAACACCATCTTCAATATACTTTACTACTCTTGGAATAACCTCATCAAGTTTTCTGACTAACTCTAAATCACTTTTTCTTTGAGCCCAGATTCGTTTAGCTTTATTTCTTTTTGATCTTTGAACTTTATATTTTTTAAGATCTTTTTGTACTGACTTTAATTTCAATTGAGTGAGATTATGAATCTTTTGATGGATTCGGGAATATGCAACTGGGTGCTTATATTTATATTGATCTTTGAAATTATTAGAATGTTCCCCTTTCAACTTTAAGTTTATTTCATAGAAACTAAAATTCGTACTTTTCCTGAACATGTGAGACACTTTTAGGCAACAGTAGGGAACCTCATGGGAGTAACAGCACCTAAAAAAGATGCTGCTACAAAGTGTAGTTTCAGTTTCATGAACTGCTTCCTCCCTCACTGTTAAGCCAAGTGACTCGCAAACCAAAAGCACGAATTTTATAACGTCATCCACATTTTCGCTAGTGATTGAAATACATTGGGAAATTAATTCTAAGCCAAAAAAAGACAAGATCAATTGTTTGATGTAGTTTGATGTTGTTGGTTCTACTTGGTTCAGTTCTTGTTCTTTAATTGGGGTGGATTCATTATCATTATTATCATCATCATCAATGGATTCATTGGCGCCATTTTGCAAATCATTTAAATCATTGGTTTTATTGACTATACGATGATAATCTTTATTGGTTTCATCATCGCCAAAAGTAATCTTGCTGCAATTTTGCAACTCAACCAAATCACTGGTATTTTCAATGGTGTCATCATTTCCAGATTGGGATGATTGAATATTAGCTGTGATATCCATTGATTGACTGTCGTCGTTATCAGAACTGAGCCCGTTAGATGACATTGTTTGATGATTTTAATCAATTTAAGGGTTGAATCACAGAAAATACCCGCCAACAAATTACTGCGAATAATCTTTTTATCTTTGGAAGTTCTCATTGTAGTGAAGATTAGTACCAAATCCGAAGTCGTGTATTGTTGCCCAAAATGGTAAACGGATTAATGGCTGCCTCTTCATCCCTCTTCATCCCTCTACACCTGATCCTCTCCACTAGGACTTCTGTATCCTTTACGTAGATTATGTCCTATACAGTATGTTGATAATTGAGTCGTTGATTTACTGATAAAATAGCGCAGATAAGCAGAAACCACGTGATTTATGTTTCGTGCTTCTGCTCACGTGGCAATGTCACAGAACCGACTTCAGTTCTCAACTTCAATCTTTTATTTGGGAAATGACTCCAATATTTCAATGTGAATTTATATATCAATACTGATCTAATTTGGATATAATCCACTGATTTATTTTATGTAAGTTTTATTCCAAAACAGATCTCTAGTGTAGATAATTGAGCATGGGTTAGTAGGAGTCTTATAATTAAACAAGTATCCAAAGAGTTTTGCAACCAAAATTAGAACCAAAATTCCCATTCATTCTTGAGGTATATTCTACGCTGGTGGTAATTTATTAGAGATTGTAGAACTACATTATGGTTTATAGTTGAAATGATATATAAAATAAAAATAAAAATAATACATATATTAATCAAATTAAAATGCTAGAAATTGTGGAAACAAAGGTTAGTAGTTAGGTAAAAACCGTTAGGGCACAAACTGCACATTATTAAATCAAAGATGTCATATTCCAAAAAACACAACAGTTGCATAAATAAATGCCAAACAAAAAATTATTAATCTCTGGTTCGTTGTACAATTATTCAAAAAGAAGAAAAAGGAAAAAGTGAATGATAATTTTTTTATTTTTTGTTGGTTGTCTGCTCTATTTATAGTTGACTAATTTGGCTGCAGAAAAAAACAGAACTCCCCCCCCCCCCCCCTTGTCAATCTGGGTTGCAACTTTTAATGTTATTCTTTTATAGAAAAAGAGTACAAATATCTATATCCCTCTGAATATGTTACTGATTAATACTTATGATTGGCAATCAATTCTAGTAAACATGTAGCAAGTTGAAAGTTATAATATCTGATGTGGCAGGGATCAATTAAAGCTTGATTTACTACTGATAAATGCTAGCTTTCAATTGTGGTTGAATGGTTATATATAAATGCACCAGAGAATATTGTTCACCTCTCTAATAATATATCTAACTTCTTAAATAATAATGGAGTACAATGTTTAAGTATAGTAAATTATGTTGGCTGATGTTATTGAAGAACCTAGAGGGGGGATACATAGTAAAACCACCGGTTCTCCCATAGATCATCAACTATATAACTGTATGGTCATACAATCCATCAGTGAAAGCAAAACCTTCCATCATTAAATATGATTCCTAATTGAAACAAGAATAGTAAAGTTGAGCTGTTATCAGTAGTTTTTAATTTACTCCACACTTCTGTTTTGTTTTTTTTTTTTTCGAAAAAAAACAGAGCCCCCACGTGAACACAAGCACACTCATTATCAAATCATGAAAATTTTTTCTTTCAATCTAATATACTCATTCTAGATACCATTACAATCATACTCTATCTATTCAAATCAATATGTCTGCTCCATGTCATTGTAAGCATGCTGAAGAATTAACTGATACATTTTCATCATCATCATTATCTTATACTAATGGCAAACTTTCAGTTTTGTCACCTGAATTACAAGCTGAATTCCAAGATCCCAATCATCCTGCAAATTTGATTTGTGAATTATGTCGTTTATTTTATGATAATAATTGGGTTACTGGTACTGGAGGTGGTATTTCCATAAGAGATGTTGATGGACCAAATCCAAATTTAGTTTATATTGCTCCTTCTGGAGTTCAAAAGGAAAGAATTCAACCTTGGGAAATGTTCTTAGTTGAATTACCTGATGAGAGAATAATTCGTACTCCCAATGACATTCCTAAGGAATTAACTAAATCTTATAAATATAAGCCCAGTGCATGTACTCCATTATTTATTAGTTGTTATACAATGAGAGATGCTGGTGCATGTATTCATACCCATTCACAACATGCTGTAATGATGACTTTATTTTTGGAAAATGAAAAAGAATTCTCCATTAGTCACATTGAACAAATTAAAGCATTACCTAAATTAAAATATAATGAAGAAACTAAAAAAATTGAAAAAATCGGTAGTATGGAGTATTATGATAAATTAGTTATTCCGATTATTGAAAATACTCCACATGAAGAAGATTTAACTGATTCTTTACAGGAAGCAATCAAAAATTATCCTGGTGCCAGTGCTGTTTTAGTTAGAAGACATGGGATTTATGTTTGGGGTGAAACTGTTTGGAAAGCTAAAGTTTATAATGAAGCTATTGATTATTTATTGGAATTAGCTGTGAAAATGAAGCTTGCAGGTATTCCTTTAGTTAAAGAATAAAATGAAATTCTATTTTAGTGGATTTTTTGTAGTTTTCAATGGTTGACCTTTTAACGTCATCCAATTGATTGTTTTATACAACTCATCACTGATTTCTCCAATACATACAACTTCATTACCACGCATTATATACACACCTAATGGAATTTCCTGGTTGTCTTCTTCCTCCTCTTCATCCTCCGGGGAATTTATTATTCGTTCGATACAATTGCTTAGTATAATATTTGTTGATTTATCATACCCTTCTAGTATGCCTTCAAAAAATCTTGCATCAGTTGTTATCACGTGTACTTTTTCTAAACCCATGAATTGTTAGTAATCAATCATTAAATTTAGTTAAAATATATCTATAGCAATACATACTATCCATGAATTCCTTAAGTTCAGACATTGTTGATAAGATCTAATGGTGTTTGCCAGCCCAAGGTATTTGTTTCTCCGTGTTTGTAGTGGTTTTTTATTTTTTTTTTTCCCAATAGATTTTTTTTGTCCCTAAGACAGCACGATAGACAGACTCAGATCGACAACCAATATAAAAACATGCGGGAAAGAAAAAGTGTGCTGCAAAAATAACATTATTGAGACAGCAAAACTATACAACCATGACATTGGAACAAGATACTGATTTGTCTAGTGAAGGTGAATCATTTTCTACGACTTTTACCACTGGACAGAAGTATAATAATCAAGATAAATCAAATATATTAATTCTGCGTGCTGCAAGGTTAGAACTTGAATCAATTACTTTGAAACAAGCCATGGATGATGCTGTTAAAAAACTTCAAGAATTATCTGTTGCAAATATCACTACGCTTGTTGAACAAGTATCCCAAATTCAAAAAGATGTAACAATATTGAAAACTGCTAATAAACCTGATCAAACTACTATTGACAGTGCTACCACAGAATTTGCAAATATAAGAAATGCTATTACAATGTACTGTTCAAGTTATAATAACCAATCTAACAATGTACTTGATGAAATGAGAGGAATGAGACTATCTACTGAGGACCAATTGAATAAAATGTTTAATATAATAGGAAACACCCAGCTGTTGTTAAATCATTTCTGTTTAAATCAACAATTACTAGAAGAAAAAATAGATCAACAACGGCTGAATTATGAAAATCTAAAATATCAAATCATGGCACAGAATAAAGATATTCTGGAGATTAGACAATTCTTACAATTATTAGTTCCTAGAATCATCAGCATAGAAGCTTTCAATAAATCGTTAGTTGATAGAACAACTCCTGCTACGGCTGATGTTGTTTCTCCGATTAAAAATGTTCCGAAAAAGGCATGCAAAAGAAGGAAAATTATTTAAGGCTGGTATATGTTATACTCCATAAACGGAAATCATGACCGATGAGATGGTGCGTTTCTTTTTTTTTTTTTTTTTTTCTTTTTTGCTTCCAATTTTGGTACCACCGAGTACCGGAGAAAGCGACTTTGGCGAGTGAGAGAATGAGCGGGACTTGGAAGTGCGTCGCGGAGTGCGAAGCATTTCTTTTCTTTTTTTTTTTTTTTTGGCTTGGCTGCTCTTTCAATTTTGCGCTTCACGGCAAACTGGTTGCTATTTTTTGCCGTCAACTGAGACATGCTAAAAAAATTCACCATCTCAAGGCATTCAGTTGTTTCCTTAGAAATGAAATGTAACACTAAGTTCCAAGGTAAGGTATCCACGTGACAAATGGATTTCAAAGGGCTTCTGGAGAGAAAATTTATGACTCATATTTCAACTTTGCCTTTTCGCAACATTATAAAAATCTTTTAGTTGCCCTTTATGACAGAATATTTACTTGAAAAGAAACTGCAAGGTGTAACAAAATGCTTTAGAAGCCGAATCCATATGGAGTGATCATCACATTATGGAGATTCATTTCTCTACAATATGTATATATACCTAACGAAATAATCCCATTTGAAAAATCCCACTTCTCTCTTTCCTTTTTCTTTTAGGCTTGTATTTCATCTTTCATCAACTCATCTTATATCATCATGTCGTCATCATCGCGAACACTTAAAAAAGAGAATGAAGAATCTTATCTTCAACTCCGTGCAACTACTTCAGGTGATAATAATCAAGAAACTTCTCGTAAAGGAGCATGGCATTCTATAATTGATTCATTCAAAAGAGCAGAACCTAATGAATCCCTTCAAGAAATAAATGCAGAAGGTAGAGAACTTACAGATATTGAAAAAATCAATATTAATACAGCAAATACACAATTAAAAAAAGGATTAGCTGATCGTCATTTACAAATGATTGCCTTGGGTTCATCTATTGGTACTGGTTTATTTGTTGGATCAGGTGGTGCTTTAGCTAATAGTGGACCTGGTGGTTTAATTATTTCTTATGGTATTTCTGCCATTGCTGTTTTTTTAACTATGCAAGGTTTGGGTGAAATGGCTTCTTCATTCCCAATGTCTGGTGGGTTCCTGACATATTGTAGTAAATTTATACATCCATCTGTTGGTTTTGCAATTGGTTGGAATTATTTCATGCAATTTTTTGTTCTTTTACCGTTGGAATTAGTTGCTGGTGCAATTACTATTAAATATTGGAATTCTGATATCAATTCAGATGTGTTTGTTATTATTTTCTGGTTTGTTGTTTTACTTATTACTTTATTAGGTGTCAAATGGTATGGTGAAGCGGAACTTATATTTTGTCTTGTTAAAATTGTTGCAGTTGTTGGATTTATCATTTTGGGAATTGTTTTAATCTGTGGTGGAGGTCCAACCCATGAATTTATTGGAGGAAAATACTGGAATACACCAGGTCCTTTTAATAACGGAGCTCAAGGTACATTTTCAACTTTAGTTACTGCAGCTTTCAGTTTTGGTGGTACTGAAATGATTGCCTTAACTGCTAGTGAAGCTGCTTCAATTAGAGCATTACCAAAAGCTATCAAACAAGTTTTCTGGAGAATTGTTATTTTCTATTTTGGTTCAATTATCATGATTGCCACTTTGGTTCCTTATAATGATAAAAGATTATTGGGTAGTTCAAGTGTCGATGTCACTGCATCTCCATTCACTATTGCTATTGTCAATGGTGGTATTAAAGGATTACCAAGTGTTATCAATGCCGTTATTTTAATTTCTGTCTTGTCTGTTGGTAATGCTTCTGTTTATGCTACTTCCAGAACATTGAACTCCTTGGCTGAACAAGGTATGGCTCCTAAATGGACAGGTTATATTGATAGAGCCGGTAGACCATTATTTGCTATTCTTATTACTAATATTTTTGGTTTGTTTGCATTAATTGCCACTGATAATGATAAACAAGTTGAAGCATTTAATTGGTTATTGGCTCTTTCTGGTCTTTCTTCAGTGTTTACTTGGTTGAGTATCAATGTTTCTCATCTTAGATTTAGAAGAGCTATGCGTGTTCAAAATAGATCATTGGATGAATTGCCATTTATTGCTCAAAGTGGTGAATGGGGTTCATATGTTGGTTCAGCTATTAATGTTTTCTTTTTGGGTGCACAATTTTATGTTTCTTTATTCCCAGTTGGATCTTCACCAAATGCTTATGATTTCTTTTTGGGTTATTTGGGATTCCCAGTTATTGTTCTTTCATGGATTGGTTATAATATTTGGAAAAATGATTGGTCATTATATATTAAAGCTAAAGATATTGATGTTGATACTGGTAGAGTTAATATTGACATTGATGTCTTACAACAAGAAAAAGCTGAAGAGAAAGCTAGACTTGCTGAAAGTCCATTTTATATTAGATTTTACAAATTCTGGTGTTAAAAAAAGATTTTTCATGAGTATAGGTTTATGCATTTAGTATGATTTTTTTTTAGAGTTTTTTATTTAGTTAATTTGTTTTATTATGTACATTAATTATAGATGATGATTATCATGAGTATTTCTACTTTGGGAAGAATTGGTTGAGGTATAGGTCTTGTTGTAATGACAAATGTAAGAAGATAATTAGAAATCCGCCACAATCTGACCTACAGATTTATTTCCCACCTATAAATTCACAAAATACGATATGGGTTAAAAAAAAAAACAGTAACATCCATGCAAGATGACATACATCACCTAAACCAATAACCATTTACATTTAGAAAAAGTGGGCTGGTTGAAAAATAACAAAGTTTCAAACCACATGGTGATAATTAACTACCCGTGAGTTAATTATTATTATTATTCATAAGTTAAATCACCCTTAGACCAATAATTGCTTATTATTGTTTATAAATTCGGCTATTGTTTATCAACTAATTAAATGAAAAAGCAAGGGAAAGTTTTTTTTTTCTTTGGAGGGAACATGCATAAGGAATTAAAACATGAACCCTTTTTTTTGGTTTCTTGTTCTTGCTCTTGGATGCTATTAGCAATAATTCTCTTGACGATAAGATAATTCTTCTATTCATATTATTCTCTAAATAATTGACACATATTCATTAATTCTGTGCATTTACTAATCACCGTTTGACCCATTGTTGATTACCAAAAGTGTGTTTAAATTAAGCCATGGCTCGGTGGTCAGGCCAAGTCAACTGTAGACAATAAAAGCTGGAAGATGTGATTAACTTTTATTAACTTTCTGTACAAATTGAGTTCTCCTTATTGAATTTCATATGTAAATTACAAACCACATGCATTGATTATTATTTATCAACTGGCGGTATAATGCTGGTCATAATGGTGGTGCTAGTGGTACAAGTACCGGCTGCCATAGGAGGAAAGGAGAGAGAGACAAGACCAAATTTAGTGTTACTGGCGTTTAGTTTCTGATTTAGTGCTACAATCTAAAAATGGGTGTAAAAAAACGGATTACCCAATTTGGACAGAACATAAACAGAATTAAGTTTGTGCTGAATTCTCTGTTTATTTTTAGACGATGATTTCATACGCACTGGTGGTAATCGTAGTCTTAGTAGTAGTACTGGTCGTGGTGGTGGTGGTATTGGATCTGCTAGGATGCCAATAAAGTGGATAACAATACAAAACACACAAGAGGGAATGTTTAAACTTTTTGAACATTCTCTTTAGGGAAAGCCATGTGTTTGTCTGTGTGGTGAATTTCATCCCCCAAGTACGATAAACTCAGATGCATTTGGTTAATTTCCAATTAAACTAAAAATCTAATAACACTAAACAAAAAAATTTTTGTTGAAAATTCATTTCAGTAGGATTTTTTTTTATATATATATAAATATAAATCAAGCAGAAATTGTTGATGAGTGGGAAATCAAATAAATAAACAATTTTAAAAAAAAATTATATACACCTTACTTTCTTTTGGTTCTGCTTTTCCTATTCGATTATTATCTTTTTATATTTATATTTTTTTCAGTATCATGAGTTTAAACAAAATACCAATTCCTGATTTACAGTCGATTCAATCAATGTCAAATCCACAATCTCCTCAAATTACAGAATCTTCTGAAATTTCACAACATCCAACCTCACATTCAAAAGATTCAATATTACCTCCAAGTAATTTAACAGATATAGAATCTATTGATGATTATAATGCAAGTTTAAAACCAAATCGTAATACTTCTGTATCATCCAATAATCACCATTCCCAAATGACTAGTTCATCAGCTTATGATTCAAATTCAGAAATTAATCATTATCCTTCAGATCAAGAAAATCATCCATTATTATTATCAAATTCAAATAATTCAAGTAGAGAAGCTATTCCTGTGAAAATTAAATTATCTCAATTACCAAATACTTCATCTTCATCATTATTAATTAGTAGAAATGCTCCAAGACAGAAGAGTGTTCAACTGTCACCAGTTTCAACTAAACTGATTAATGTCTTGGGACGTGATAAATCTAATAATGAACCAGAAATTGAAGTAACTGCAGAACCAATATCTTCGTCTTCTTCTTCTGCTGTTGGTCAAGTGCCTTCTAGTTTTCCACACAAGAGAAATAAATCATTGACTACCCCACAAGCCTTCACACCTCCACCAATTCCTAATTTTGAATCGCCAAACTTTTCCCATAAGAAAAGAGAAAGCACCATGTCTAATTTTTCTCATTACTCCGGTATGATTGCAGAATATGATGCGGTTCCAATGACAGTGAAAAGATCAAGCATTTCAAATATTAAATACATTGATGGTAATAGCAAATCAAGATCTGCTGATACTACACGAAGTTCAGAAAGAGAATTAATTGATTCTAGTCGAGAATTAGGCAATAGTACACATGACGATGATATTACTGATGAAGAAGATCAAAGTTCAATAGTGTTAGGTAAGTTACCAACTACTTCAATTCATAGTAGTGATGATAGTGACGCTCATAAGAAAATAACTAATCCTGATAAAAGTTTTACCACTAATATTGAAGGAAGTATACCTGCAAGATCACCAAGAAGACCTACTTCAATGGTTGCTTCAAATTTCAATATTGATGATATATATCAGCAGCAACAACAACAACATCAAGAAGAAGAACAAGATCGAGAGCATCAAAAAGCAAGATCACTACCAGAACATAATGAAGGAATTCGAGATGTTTCTGGTGTTCAAGATGGTAGAAGACAAAGTTTTGTTGATGACAATAAAAGAAGATCAATTCAGATCAATGATGGATTAGAGAAATTAATGTTGGATGCATCAAGTTTAAATAGCGAACCTGATTTACCAAATCATCAACAAGATGAAGAAGATCCAAGAGGTATTGCAAGTCCAGGTAGCACATATATTGGAAAAGCATATGGTATAACTTATACAGATACTAATAGTGAAGAAGTTACTCCAAAATATGATCCAATTACAAATGATCCATTAGATAAAATTTCAAGTCATGATAATGATACAAAATCATTACGTTCAAGTAGTAGTGTTAGAACGACACAGTCAAACTTACCACCAAGACCAAAACCAGATGACATTATTAAAGCAAGAAAAATATCAAGTAATTTACAACAACAAGAACAACTTAAACGACAACAACGTCAATATTCAGGTAATCTGGATCATGAATCTTCTAAATTACGTGAAATTCAAGCACCTAATAATGATAATAGAAATCATTCAATACAGGATTATAAATCTCATGATGTAAATATTTATAATGATCAAAATGATGATTCAAGAATAATTAGTGAAAATATTAGAACTAGAGAAGTGCCTAGAGGTAAAGTACAAGATTTTAAAAATAAACATCGTACTGGAATAATAGGAGATATTGATTCTGATTTTAATACATCTCCACAAAATCCTCAATTTCCACTTCATCATCATCAGAGTCAATCAGGACATTTAGAAAACAATACATCATTTCAACAAGAACATCAACCACAACATCAGAAGAATATTATAGTTGATGATGAAGGTTATTATGATATTGATGAACCTATATTGATGAAACAACCTTCTAGTAGAGCTAAATCAGTTAAAAAATCAATTAAAAGACCATCTGGTTCAACAAGAAGGAAAAAGAAAACTACAAAAGGCACTAAGAATAGTAATAGTGATTTACGTCCATTTAATTATTCAACTTTGATTTCTTTATTAGAATCAATGAATGGAACTATAATTGGTGAAGAATTTAACAACTTGGATATTCCTATAAAGGAAAAACAATTGATTGAAAAAATTATTGATAGTTTGAGTAGGTTAACAAGTGATATGATTATTGATCAAACTAGATATGATGTTGGCATTGAAAGATTAGAAAAATGCCTTAGAGCTTTAGAAGGATTCTTATAAATAATTACTATATGTAAATAATAATATATTAGAATAATACAATATTGTTGTGTGTATGTATTTTTTTTTTCTTTCTACTTTTTATTTTTGCATTTTTAATTTGACGATTTTAGTTCCTTGTTACCTTTATCAATTCGAACACAAATTACATTGATATGTTATTCTTGTAAATATTGAATAAAACTTTTTGTGATTTCATTCATTATTGGTCCAAAATTATCCTTAGTGATTAAATAATCATAATTCAATTTAATGAAAACCAGCTGTTGTTGTTCTTCCTCTTTATCACTTGCATCATTTGGTTTTTCTTTTTCTTTTTCGTTATCGTCATCTTCAGAATCATTGGCATCAAAATTGATCAAATCATCTTCAATACTTGTAGTAGTCGTAATTGGATGAATATTGATTGTTGGATTCTTTTTATTGGTACTATTCTTGTTAACAATTAATTCATTTATATTCTTAAACATAATTTCAAACAATTTCTTGAATTTCATATTCTTAGGATTTAAATTATCCTTCAAAGAGATCTTAATCAATTCTCTCTTTTTTTGGTCAAATTTCAAGCTCTTGAAACTGATATTAATGAGGATTTTATCCTTTTGAATTTTCTTCATGTTTGAAATGGTTGAATTGATAAAATAAATAAATTGCAAATGATTCAAGTTGAAAAATACCAAATCAAAATTCAACTTACTTAATCCATTAGCTAATTTCATAGTGGATTTACTCATCTTTTCAATTTGTTCAGCAATTACATTCTTCGAATTGATAATTGGATTGATCTCATGAAGATACTTGATTATACCCAATATATTGCTTGACTTGTGTTCATGTAAATATTGATTCAAATATTTCAATATTAATTGAATTTCCCAAGAAGTTTCCTCTTTTGCAACTAACTGAATTGAATGATCGGCTTGTTCTGGAAGCTTAATGACTAAATTGTTGATGTCGTCACTAACCTTGATGGTAATATTGTCCATGGAATTATCCAATATAGTAATCTTATTCCTGCTTAACTGGTCCAAAATCTTGATTAATTCATTAAGTTTGTTTAATGTGTTAAAAATCAAATCTAACAAGTTCTGTTTTGATTCATTGATAACACTAAGTAAATCAACAGTATTGTCAACTTGAAAGAAATTATTCACTTCATCAATTTTCAAATTCAACTTCAACTCATATTCTTTTGAACTTTTGATTTTCAAGTTTCTTAAATTACCAAACAATTTCAAATACATTTCATTCTTTCCCACTAATTGTACTTTTAAAAACAAACTACTTGAAGAATTATAAATTGGTAGTAAATCATCATTATGGATTAACAACATTGATTCATAATGTACTCCTCCCAATGAGGAATCAACATTTGTCTGTAAACTGTTGGTACCAGTTTCGTCGGGAAGTTTAAGATTAAATCTATCAAGAACTTCCTTTTCACTCTTTTTAATTTTCAAAAATCTGACCTTTCTCAAGTTCAATTCTTCCAATACCATATGGTCAATAATCATGTTGGATGAGAATGTAGATAATTCACTAAAGAATTTATAATTTAATTCTTCCAGATTAACTCCAACAAGGTTCACGTTTTCTTCTCCCTTTTGGTCTTCCTTAAACTTGATGATTTGCACCCATTGTATCTTCCAATCTCCGTTGATGGATTTAATTCTTGCTACCCACCAGTACGATCTTGTATTCAATCCACTAACCATATTGATTAAAAACCAAGAACTTGGCCAATTCTTCCTACGGTAGAATTGAACCTTGGACACTCCAATAACAACTTCATCGTTTTCCATCAAGAAATTTGTCATTTTACTCATCTCGTACTCTCCAAGTTTGATAATTCCATTATTGATCCATTCAGTAGTGGCCAACTTGTTATTGATTTCTTTGTTGAATACTTCTACTCTCAACTGGATAATTTGATCTATTATATGACCCACCATGTCTATTTCTGTAATTAATGGCTTGACTATTGGAGGCGGGAGATTGATTTTCTTGGTGATTTGATTCTGTATTGGGGTTGGATCAATGAAATAAAAGAACCCCAGTTAATGGGTTGATTGCAAATACAGTTGACTTGTTTGGAGATATTTGTAACAATAATTGATGTGGAGTAACCATGGATACCTCATCTTCACCAAATTTATCCAACAATTGTTCATAAATCATACCCATTAATAATTCGGCATGTTTATTGACCACAACATTTAGTATTAAATCAACATTTAAATCATCTGAATAAGATTCTTCATCGACACCATCTTCATTAGTATTGCTGTTGTTGTTGTTGCTGTTGCTATTGTTGCTGGCGTTTCCAGTATCATTCAAGTTATCTTGTGGTATTATATGGAATATTTTGTTCAACTCTTCGTCAACACAATACTGACCATTCTTGAACCAACGGTAACTCAAGTTTGAGTTTCTATCAATCCCCAATTCAAGAAATGATTTCCAATTTTTGGATAAATAATGCAGTGACCAATAATTTACAATGATTAATGATTTTCCAGTTTGGTAGTTTATTTGAACATTATTTCTCCACCTTGTATTCAACAATTCTTTAAATTGTTTAGCAATAAGATAAATTTTAAATGAAGTTGAATATCGATGTAGTAAATCATACAATCCTTCTAATCCTTCTTTTAATAATACTTGGTTTGCAATTTTCTCTAATTTACCATGCAGTGAAGCAGGCAATCTTGTAAACACTTTGTCATCGTGATAAGTAATCATGGAAGTCTCTGGATTAATTCCAAATAAAAACTTAAAATCAATGAAATAAAATGGAGATTTATAATAATCTTCTTTTTTATCAATAATCATATCATTTCCAACAGTTATACTAACCTCAAATTCATTAGAAACTGTTATATACACCCGTCCGTCTTTAATTTCATACTGAAACTTTTTGGGTACATCCATCAAGGCAAATCTGGTCATCAATACCAAATTCAAATCTTCCAACACTTCCAATATTTTCTCCAGACTCAAATTTTTAATCTTTATGTGGTTATAAGATGGTAATGTGGGTCTTCCTTTATATAACACTTCCAAAGCGGTTAAAATATCACTATTTGGTAATTTAGCTCCACTATAACCTGTCAAACCATTCAATTGAAACATTAAATTTTCAAATTGAAACTCTTGTAATCTAAACCAATTCAATAAATCAATAAATTTCGATACATCTTTCGATATACTAGCCCATTTAATCAATGTATAAACCTTAATGAAATCTTGTCGTAAAGATATAATTATATCCAAGAAATACTTCTTCCTCTTGATATCGGATTCATCTTCAACATTCATAGATAGATTTTCCACTGCAGTTGTAAGTTGTTTATAAGCTTCTTGAGTATAAAATTTAAGAATATTCGATAGTGGTAATATGTTGGCAGTTACATGTGGGATATCGGGGGTCAGAGACGAGGTAGCCTCTAGTTTGCCATTAGGCGATCCATTTGAATGCTGGTCCATCCTGACAATGGTATGTTGTTGATCTACGGAAAGATGAGTTCTTCTATAGAAAAGGATTGGGGAATAAAGGAATGGATGAAGAAACAAAGAAATCAAGAACGAAAAGAAAAAAAAAAAATTTGGGTTGTCTTTTGGTTGTAAGATTTTTTTTTTCTTCCCTCTCATTTTGTTGTTGGTTGTAAGAACGAAAAAAAAAATGCTGAAAAGTCGCGGAAATGTAAAATGTCGTGTGGCTGGAAGTTAAAATGTCGTCAGGCGCGTGACCAAAATTAAAAAATTGAAAATCTACAAAGAAAGATTTACTCATACAGTTATAAAACCCTTTCCATCAATGGTGTTAATAAATAATAATACAAACCGAATATATATATTCATTTTCTAGATACCTTTCTTTTGTGTATATGAGATATATAATAATTCTATACAAAGTAATAAGTACAATAAATAACAAGTTTTTTTTTTTTTTTTTTTTTTTTTTTCAAATGAATAAAAGAAAAGAATAAAAAAAAAAAAAAACCAAACATTAAGACATAAAATAAACCGCCCTTTCTCCATTCAATTAAATATAGATGAACATAAACAACACCTTTTCCAATTAAACTTATGCATTAAAAATAAAATCTGGAACACAATCTTTGATCCATTTGAATTCTTCCTTTTGTAACATTTCTAAAATGGAGATTCTCTTTTCCTTTCTAACCAATACGCTCTCAACGATTGATTTTAATTGCAACCAAATGGTTTTAATTTCGTCATCAATGGAATCATCTTTTAAATTCTCTTCAAGTTTATACCATTCCCAATCAATCATGGCAATTCTATAACCGGTATTATTTCTAGATCTTCTTCTTTTCATGACTGTTGGGGAACCTTTCGGCGACGAACCTGTAGTAGAACCTGCGGAATTGGTTGGAGCTGGATCAAATGGTAATCTATTTTCTAACATTGAATAAATGCAAACCCCCAAGGACCAACTGTCGCTTAGGAAACCACTATAATTTAAACCCATGATAACTTCCGGAGCAACGTAATCAGTTGAACCACATCTAGTGGTCAACAATTCGTCAGGATCCGCTAAAACTCTGGATAAACCAAAATCACTTAAGTTAATTAAAGGGAAGGGGAAATTGTTGTCGTGATTTTGCAAATGGTGCAACACATCTTCTGGAGAATGAGTCAACAAGATGTTTTCCAATTTCAAATCTCGATGAATTATATTATTCAGATGAAGATAACCAACCAGGATGATCATTTCTGCAATAATGCACTTCAAATATCTCCATAAGATTAGCGGATTTTGTAAAAACTCAAAATTCTGATCCACTAAAAAATGCAATAAACTTCCTCCCTGACAATAGTTAAATATAATATGACCTTGTTCATCATTATTGTTTAGTGAATAATCCAACATTTTAATGATAGAAGGATGATTTAATCTCTTCAAGATATCAATCTCTCTAGAAATGAATTCATCTGGAGTTGAAATAACTTTAATAGCAACCATCTCATCTTCGATCGTTCTACCTAAAAACACGGTACTGAAATTACCATTCCCGATAACACCCTCGATCGACTTCAAAGGTTTTCCTCTAATTATTATATCCTGAAGATCTATAGATATTTCTTTTCCTTCACTAGAAGAAGGTGCAACTGCTGAGGATGACTCGGACGATGATGATGGTAAAGTGATGGAATCTGAAACAATTCTCTTTCTTGGTGTTTTCAAACTCTGAGCACGAGTTATAGGTCTAAATTCTGATGTTATTCTTGGGCGTTCTAGGGAAGATGAAAGATGGGAATTTGAGTGATACAGGCTTTGTTCATGAGTGTAAAAACTATTGTTGTTCAAATTATTGTTGTGTGTGGTAAAAGATGGTTTTGATTTTATAATAGGGGTAGGGAGTTGAGTCAACTTTTCTATTGGAATAGCATTTGATATTGAGCCAGAAGTTGATAAACTTAATGTAGTGCCATCAGGATTAGGATTTAATAAAGCGGAGGATGTATTTAAAGGATTTGTCGGGGTAGGTATTGAGATGGGTTCCCCTAGATTCCGCATAGAGTTGCGTCGAAGTACTGAAGTTTTAAAGTCATCGATATTATCTGGTTGTGAAATTTGATGGTGGTGATGATGATGTTGTTGTTGTTGTTGTTGTTGTTGATTGTTAATATGATGATTTGGTATTTGAATCTTTAAATTGGGATGTGACATAATAGAATATGTTTGAAGTATAAATCTAAATCAAAAGAAGTATTAGAAATATAACTTGGTGTAAAATTTTAAAATCAAGTAAAAACCCAGTGAACAAATGTAACCAGTGAAAAAAGAAAAAAAATAAAAAAAAAAATTCGGGGTGGGTATAGCTATTTAAACCTTGTCGTGGTAGGTAGACGTATGTGGGTCGACCCGTGTGGCAATGGAAAAATAAAACTGGATGGATATAAATCCTAGTGTGGGTAAAATTAACTAGTTAATGGGTATGTGTGTCAAATGAAAAAATATTTCTAGGCCACGCACGCTTAACTGCTCCCGCAATAAAATATTAATAAAAATAATGACCTTTATAATAATTTGCAATTATTTATCTAAACGGGAAAAGAAACAAATCACGCAGAATATTAATGGCGGGGGGTTTTCAACTGATATTTATTGGGAATACTCGGGAATAGGGGAAAGCGTAAATAAATGACAAGTTGATGATCAGGGAAATATGGGAAGGAAGGAAGGAATAATTAAAAGCAATTAGGATAGTTGAAGAAAGAAACGTGATAACTATTCTTCTCTGTTGAGTTTTTAATAAATGATTATTAAATGTAGATTAAAAAGAAACAATATTGCGTTATTTAAATTTTATTGTTGAAATGTGAAAGGAGGAAATATGTAAGTATTTAAATATACATGTACATATACTTGAAAAATATGAGGAGAGATAAGGCGTTATAAAGAACAAACCAAGTGTAAATTAAAAATAAAAACCAAAAAAAAAACTTCAAATAACAAATTCACCGGCTCAACCAAGGTATATAAATATACAATAGGAGAACGAATACAACATCTACACAAATTGGTATACTAAATAATTCAATCCCAGCTTACACGCTTAGTTTAGTTTTGAACTAAATTAGCCTTGGGCTTCATCTTTGTGTAATGAGCTTTATTCAGTAATAATTTTTACATTATTTTATTCAAGATTGTGTTCAACTTTTTCAAAGTGTACAAATGGTTATAACCCACAAATATCTCATGGGACAAACCATTGGTCTTATTCCGTGGTTAATAATTAGTACTTGTCACAAGAGTTACTATTATAAAGACGTTGAACAAAAAAATGTGAGTAATAACAACTGAAATTGTTTTGGGTTTTCTTTTTTTTTGAACTCATCTCAGATAAGATAAGCCCTGGATATTATTGCTATTGTTACTGAACGAGTGGTATATGCCTTGTGCTTCTTTTTCATTTTTGGAATATTAATCCGAGTAGCCTTGTATTGGAATAGTTTAATGGTATTAGCAAGGCTGAAGAGGTTTCAGTAATCATTCTGTATAAAAAGAGAAGTTTCACTGAGGAATAAGTCTCATTTAAGCTCTCTCTCTCACCCCCTCCTTTTTCATCATTCACATCTATCCTCAATTGGATGAAAAAAATAGAAGTGTTTAGTATGTCCCCATTGCAACGAATGATTGAAATGAGAATGTAAGTAATTGCCTCCGCAGAAAGGTGATGACGCCAATCTTTTATTTGCTTTCATTTTAATGAACTAAAATTTAATATCTCGTACATGAACAATCGTCCACCACCACCAACACCAACATTTTTAGTGCGGCCAGAAAGAAAGAAATTGAAAAAGCGAAAATTATTTTTGTATGTGCGACCGATTGGCTCACCTATAATTTTGAAGTCTATTTTTTCCTTCTGTTGGGAGGGGGGTAGGGCGGAGAATGGACGAAAGAATAAACTTGCAAGAGACCAATCAACAAGTAATATGTGTTAAAGAGTTTTTTGTTGGAAAATTATTTGCCTTGTTTGCTTTATACATTGACAGCTTTGTCTTTGTCTATTGTGTATTATTAACCCTGTAGACCTTTTGTGGGTAGGTTTGCTGATGTTGTCCACAAACTGACAAATATTTCTTTTCGAAAAACAAAACCCAATACTCATCGTGTAAAATTTTAAAAGCATTTATAAATTAATTTATCATTACAAGCTTGTTAATAATGTAATACTCGTATATATTCATTTCAATACCTGATAATTCTCCTCATTTTTCATTTATATTTTTGCTGGTTTAATTATACTAGTTTAAAGATAAATTTTTAGTTATATTTTATTTTATTTTATTTTATTTTATTTTATTTTATTTTATTTTATTTTAATTTTGCCTTGTTTTAGTGCTGTAGAGCCTTGTCTAAGCTGGCTTACACAATTCTAACATGAATAAATAAATAGCTATTAAAGGAAGGTGCCGGGTGGTGATTTTGAACAACTTGTATCACTCTGATTTTGTGTTAGATACCGCAATACTAGTTTGTCCAATAATACACTTTGTGTTTTTAGCAATACCGTTACACAGAATACACCTCTATTCTTTTTTTTTATTACTACCCATACAAATTCATACTTATTCCTGGAGAATTCATAAGATTAGTGCCCATAACGTAAGAAATCTCAAAAACATATTTATAAATATTTTGCAACTTTTCTCAGTTAAATAACACCAGGAGACTTCCCTCAAGTCGATTTATTTTGAAATTTGTCTTCTAATTTCAAAAGTTAGCAATATTTATACTCGACTCTTTCTACCTAAAATCGTTCAGTTGGTTTGATTATGCCATGACGTAATTAAATATCACGTGTGAACCATGATTGGCACCACTTCTCTTAATCAACCTTTTCGTTGAAAATTTGCGGCACGAAAAAAAAAACTACTACCAGCACGTGACTTCTATTTGATGTATGTAATGTTTAACTTTTGGTACGACGCACGCTGACACACCACCACTATTTTGAAACAATCTCTCCATACATTTTAGTTAAGCGGGAAAGACAGAAGAAAAAAAAAAAAAATTCTCAACACATTCAGTTCAGTTTTTTTTTTTTTTTCAGTGCTGTCCAGATCCTAAATTCCGTATTCGTATTATTTGCCATTCCATTTCCATTCTATTCATAATTTGTTATACCGAGTAGCATAGCTCAAAGTTATAATTGTATTTTATATACTACTTTACTATTATTAAATCATGTCAGAAGAGAACGATCTAAATAGTCAACCTCAAGTAATTGACCAATTGTTTAATGACAATGATAATGCCGATGATTTCTTTAATACCATACATCATCAGCAGCCACCACAAGTAGATGAAACATCCCAGCAAATTCAACAAGATGAATACCAAATTGAAGAAAGTATACCGCAAGATCAGAATAATGATGATTTATTTGGTAATGATCAGCTCAATGATGATGCTGACGATTTCTTCAACAATCAAATCAATATGAACCAATCGATAAACCAAGATATTCTGCCATTGGATAGAATAACTGATGTTACACGTATTGATCATATTGAAGAGGTTGGACAAAATCTTGATGAACATCATCATTCACAAATACAAGAACCAATCCCATCAGTTGATGAAAATCCTGTTCAATCAAAACCTGAGTATCAAGCAGATTTGACTACATCTCAAGAGCAACATTTTATTTCAACTGAACAAGATATACCAGTTGATACGCCTATAGAATCAATAAGCCAAGTGCCAATTGAATCGACACCTGAACAACCGATTGAACCGATTGCACAATCCGCTACAAGTCCCGTGGCCCAACAATCAATTGAAAGTCCAAAGGTAGATTTAACTCATGAAAGTCCAATGGCTCAATCTACACAGAATCCAATTGTACAAGAATCAGAAGAAGTCCAGGAGGTGCCTGATTCAAATAGAGTCGAATCTCAGTCTTCAAAATTGGATGATTTATTTGCCGTAGATGATGACGATGAAGATGGGTTCCTTGAAGAATTGAAAGCGAGTCAAGTTGAAAAGTCTCATGAGCAACAACAACAACAACAAGTGGTACAAGAGGAAGACCAACAAGTTGAGGAGTCTGGTGAACGAGCCAATGTCGAACAATCATCAGGTGGTGATGAAAAAGTTGAATTTCTTGAAGAAATCCAACGTGCAAGAGAAGAAGCACCAGTTGTTCAAGAGCAAGCGGAGTCGCCTATAGTTCAGGTACCTATTGTTGACGAACCAACTACCAAAGAGCCAGCTGTCGAAGAGCCAGTTGTCGAAGAGCCAGTTGTCGAAGAGCCAGTTGTCGAAAATCCAGTTGTCGAAGAACCAGTTGTCGAAGAGCCAGTTGTCGAAAATCCAGTTGTCGAAGAACCAGTTGTCGAAGAGCCAGTTGTCGAAAATCCAGTTGTCGAAGAACCAGTTGTCGAAAATCCAGTTGAGAAATCAGTTGAACAGCTAAACCCAGAAATACCTTCAAAAGAACAACCTAAATCCAACTTGTTTGCTGACGATAAGGTTGATTTCTTTAGTGAATTAAAACCAGTAACACCACCACAGGAACAAGAACCAGATCCTCTTGACAAATTGGCATCCTTGGATTTAGATGATGATTTGTTATTGGATGAGGAGTTTTTAGATGAGGAGTTTTTAAACGAACCTGTTAGTGAACTCCCACAACTACAAGTCCCACAACTACAAGTTCCACAACAAAACCTTCAACCACAGCCACAAGTTGAACCTCGTATGCGTAAGAAATCGTATGTTCCTGTTGGGCCAATGAAACTGCCTATCTATACTCCGCCGTCTGCTTCTGCAAAACTCGCGCAATCAAATGATTTTGTTAAAAATTTGGAGCAATCCAAAAAGAAGCATGATGCATATGATTTTCCAGATGAATTAATGGTCAATACTACAAGACCTTCACTTAGACATAATGCTTCTACATCATCTGCGTCTGTTAGATATGGCCCACCTTCAGGACATCAATCGGCATCTTCAATATCACCTTCAGGACCGTTAGCACCACCTTCTGCTAATGTTTCAGGTGAATTGAAAACTATCTCACTGGCACCACATGCTCCATCCACAGAAAATGCTCCTAAAAAATCGTTTTTTGTTGAATTCCCAGATGAAGATATTCCTAAAGCAAGACGTCCTGTCAGAGCAGCTCCAGTTAAGGCAGTTAACCAGATTCATTCTCCAAAAGTATTGAATCAGCAGCTCCAACAACTTCAACAGGTGCCACCATCAGTGCCTCCTAAAACCACTAAAACTCCACCCGTGAATCCATATAAACCTAAATCTGGAACCTCGCCAATTTTGCAACAACATGTTCCAATTATTCATCAAAGTGGTATTGCAGCTCCTCCAAGTGCAATTGGTTCCAGTACATATGCACCACCTCAACAACCACCTGTTGCAGGTAGTGCACCTCCTCCTCCTCCGCCTGCTGCTGCTGTGCCTCAGGCTTATTCCTTCCCACAACAGCCACAACAACAACAACAACAACATCCAGTTGCAGCACCACCTCAACAACAACTACCAGCAGCACCACCTCAACCACCACAGCAGCAATATGCGCCACAACCAAATAATGCTTATGCTCCTGCTCCACCTCCAACTCAAACTCAACAGCCAATATCCCCTGTTAATGTATATGCACAACCACCTACTAGTTTGCAGCCATTATCGCATGCTAGTCAATCACCAGTTTTACGTAATCGTCAACCTTCAATCAATACCAATGTTGGTAAAGCACCATCTCAAAATAGTCCATATGTTCCAAATGCAGGACCCTATGCACCACTGAATCAACATAATAGAACTCATTCAAGAACAAATTCATTAGTTGGAGGTAAAGGCAAGGAAGTTAATCCTTATGTCCCTGCATTACAAACAGTTGTTAGTAGTGAACATACACCGCAGCAAACAATTTCACCAACTGGCATGATTCCACCACCAGCAAGAACTCGTGGATTTTCTAATGCAAAGAGTACAGGTGGCAACATTTATAAAGCTGCTCCGAAAGTTGTTAATCCTGAGCAATTAAATTTTAGACAATTTCCAATTTTCAGTTCAAGTGTGGGAACTAAATGTGTCACAGTTATTCCAAATGCTATGTATAATAACCAAGTTCCAAATATTGTTGTTCAACCAATTTCTAATATTTTGAAAGATAAAGAAATTTATGCTGAATTCCCAGGTCCTTTGATCAAAGGAAAATCTAAAAAGAAAGATATTGAAAAATGGTTAGAGTTGAGTTCAAATTATTTAAGAAATTCAAGTAAGTTTGATGAATTGTTATTAAATGATATTTTATTACACTTGATTAAAAATGATGGGGATGTTCATAATAAAGAATTTTTACGTGATGCCTGTAAATTGTTGAATCCAAATATTAATTTCGAAGCTTCTGAAGTAATTTCAAATTTCACTGGTATTGTGGGGGCCACTAATGCACATAAATTAGATAATTCTGGAATTAATACTGTATTTTCATTAATCCAAACAGGTAATTTATCTAAAGCTTGTGAATATTGTATTTCAAGAGGTGATTGGGCATTGGCTTTAATAGTCAGTGGACCAGACAATTTTGCGAGAGTAGCCGCAGAATATGCCAGAAATACATTCCCATTTGTTAAAACTAATAACAAGGTAATGCACATAATGCCAATTATTTTAAAAGTTTTTGCTGGCAATGTTTCAAGTATAATTGAAGATTTAAAAGCGGTGCCAACTGAAGGAGAATATGCTAATTTACACTGGCGAGAAATTATTGCTTCTGTGGCAATTAGTGGAACTTTAAAAGCAGGTGAATTTTTAGTTGAATTTGGTAGATTTTTGCAAAGTCATGGTAATTTGATTGGAAGTGAATTATCATTTATTATGGCAGGATTACCGTTTAATAATACCAACTTTATGGTTTTAATTTCTGGTCATAACTCCATGTACACTGAAGTATATGAATATGCTATTTCATTAGGTAAACCATTATTTTTCCCTCATTTGCTTGCTGCTAAATTAAAACATGCTTCTACATTGGCAGATTATGGATTAATTAATGAATCGCAAAGATATATTGATTATATTAATTCAAGCATTAAATCGTTAGGTAATAAATCACCATTCATAACACCAAGTTTAGTTCATGAATTCCAAAATTTGATTATGAGATTAACAGAGGCAGGTAGTGGAGATCAAGGCAATTGGTTTAGCGGTACGATTAGTAAAGTAAATCTTGATAAAATTTGGGGACAAATTGATAAATTTATAGTAGGAGGGGAAGATTCTCAACAATCTGGAAATCCACAACTGAAATCAGGTAAAGTTGATAATGGAGCTTTTAGAAATTTCAGTCCTTCAATTTCAAGAACTGCATCAAGTATCAATTTACCAAGTGTCAATAATACTCCTGCTGCTGCCATTAGAGGACCAATACTTGAAAGAAAACCAACTACTGGATCAATGGTTCCACCACAATTGGCACCACCGCAATTGATTGCTCGTGGGTCAACTAATTCAGTGAACAAATATTCACCAGGAGTTGCCAACATTGATAAATATGCACCAAGTCCAAAACAAAGTTCTGCATTTCTTCAAGATCATGTTAATACATCAGGATTAGCATATAATCAATCTCCAATGCCACCTTATTTACCAAGTAATTCTCAGGTTGGAGAGTCTCCAAGTACTCAAAGATATGACCCACCAGGAGCAGGAAATAATAAAATTTATGGTTACCAAATAGGTGCACAGAATTCTACTTCCTCAGTTGCATCAATTGGAAATATCAACAATAACATGCACAGCTCTCATCAATATCATCATCATCATCATAATAATAATAATAATAATAATCAACAACCACCATCTGGTAGTGGAAATCAATATACACCGGGCCATAAGAAACAATTCTCTGGATCAAGTATTGTTTCAGGCGAAGGATTGGGAATTGATTTTAGTAAAAATGGAGATGACAAAGAGGTCAATCAACCACAACAAGAAATTCCACCACCTATCTCGTCAGGTGCTATTGTTCAACCAAATGGCTCACCTATTCTTCAAAAGAAAGCTTTTCCACCACCACCACCACCATTAGGTCAACAGCAACAACAACAAGAAGATTCTAGAAAATCATCAACTATTAGTAATTTTGTGCCTTCATCACGACCATCAATTAGTTCAAGAAGAAGTTATGCACCACCACCAGTGGCTGTTCAACCAAATGAATTAGTTTCTTTGATACCTTCAGTTGAACAAGAAATTCCAGATATTTTAGAACCAGTTGAGGATCATGCACAATTAGATGATGAAATTCCAGGTCCTCCACCACCTTCATCGGAACCGATTATTGATGTACCAATTCAAGAGGAGCAGAAACAAGATGTCATCCAAGAATCAATGTCTGCACCTCAAGAATCCGCTTTTAATGAAGAAGAGCAAAGACGACCAAGTGATGTACCACCACAATCTGTATCTGCGCCACCACAACAACCAATCCATGAAGTTGAAAGACACGAAGAACCGGAAGTGGAAGACGAGCAAACTGATAATGCTGAGGTACCTGCACCACCTCCGCCTCCACCAGTTGTTTCTGGACCACCACCTAGAAGAGCTAGTAAACTCTCATCCAGGCCAAATCCATATGCCCCAGGTGGTTCAAGCAGTAGTATTGGAAGTGGACCTAAATCCAACTCAAAGAGAAATAAATACGGACCACCACCAGGAGTTAAGAATGATCCACCAGCTGAATTAACCCCTGATATGAACCAATTTGGAGGTAATTTGGATTCCGTTAGTATGTTTTCATATGGTGGATATAGTGAACCGGCACCAGTACCAGCAATAGCAACAGAAGGCAAAGATATGAAACAAGAAGATGAGGTTAATCCAGAATTGAATGTTGTTGAATCCAAGAAACATGATAAACGTACTAGCAATGTTGATGATTCATATGATGAAGGTGAAGATGAATATCCTAGATATGATGCAATGAAAACAGTTACTAATGATAGTTCAACTCCATTGATTTTGAATCAAGGTAATATTACTCCTAATATTTCAATGTTATCTACACCAAAGAATTCAACACAATTTCAAGCACAACATCATACAATTGAAGGATTCCCTATTCCTGGATCACCAGATGATACAACTAGACCAAATTCTATTATGGGTAATTCAAGAGGAGGAATACATAAAGGATTTTTCAGTAGTAGGTTATCTGAATCACAAAGTGTATTATATCAACAATATGCGGTTGCAGATGATACAGTTGGAGATTATATCCCTACAGTTGAAGAAGAAGACGAAGATGAAGAGGATTACGAAGAAGGTGAAGATAGCTATTCCAGAAGACAGATTCAACAACAAAAAGAAGCTGAGGAAAGAGAAAGAAAGAGACAACAAGAGAAAGAAGAAGAAGAAGAAGAAAGAAGAAAAAAACAAGAAGCGGAGGAAGAGGCTAAACGTAAAAAACAAGAAGAAGATGAAGCTAAACGTAAAAAGCAACAAGAACAAGGAAAGAGAACTTCATTATTCTCAATATTTGGAAGTGGTAAGAAACAATCAGGAACAGGAGAAGGAGAGAAGCAAGTATATAAAGCTCATTTGGGACAGAAAAATACATTTGTTTATGATGAAAAATTGAAAAGATGGGTTGATAAAAGTAAACCATTAGAAGAACAATTGGCAGCAAGTGCACCACCTCCACCACCTCCAAAAATGTCCAAAAAGCCAACTCCAACTTCTAATTCTGCAGCACCACCACTTCCACCAATGGGTTCAGGAGGTGCGGCACCACCATTAACATCATCTTCATCACCTTCTATTGGTGGACCTCCATTACCTAGAAAGAATAACAATAGTGTTAAACCCAAAAAGAGTTTAGCAAATGCCGGGTTAGATGATTTATTATCATTAACAGAAGATGGTAATCTTCAATCTGGAAGTAACAGTAGAGCAAGCGGAGCAGGAAATAGAAGAAATAAAAGAAGAGGATATGTTAATGTGATGGAGAAGTAGTTTTTCTATTAAAGAAAAAAATCAATAAATAAAAAAAGTACAAGTAAATAGTTTATAAGAATATAAAAAGTTTTATGATTAAACATACACCTGGTTATGGTGGTGGTGATGAGGGGGGAGATAAAATGGTATAGATTAGGCTCAACGGAAGATTAAGAAAAAAAAATTTCAAGCTCGGAGTCTTTTGATAAAAGTTGCAAAATCCGATTAGGTAATTCCGTAAAATAAATAAATATATAAATAATAATAATAATAATAATAATAATAATAATAATAATAAGGAGAAGAAGAGGAGATATTGTTCCCTTTGTAAAATACATCACCGTAGTGAAATAAACGACAAAAGGATAAATGGAACCACCACTGAAGTTAACCAACCAACCAACCAACGATACAAATTAAAAAATTAAAAACTCCGAGTGATAAAAAGAGGAGAATCAAAAATGATACAGAAGAGACAAGGAAAAAAAAAAGGTGGGGAATGGCAAAGAACACATAATAATTATACCTACACAAGTAAGATAAAGATAAAGATAAAAAAGTATACATGAATGAATGAATGAATGAATGAATAATCCAATAGACTTTTACTTTTGAATGAAAAAAGTATTGTCGTGTGAATGAACTCAAAATATTCTCCGCAACTTTTTCCCCTCAATTATTAACTTAAAAGGTAATACCCGCTGGTTTTGACTAAAATGTCGCGTCCACGTGAGGATGCTCACATGATACTACAATATAAAAAAAAAAACACAAATATTGAAAAAGAATCAACCCATACGCGTAATAAATACAATTAAATTAACATAAACACACAATTATATACTATATATATATATATATAAAATACCATTTCTATCTATTATTATTAAACTCTCTTTTTCTTGAAATACCCATTTTTAAAAGAACATGAAACATTTAATTTACAACGACAATGTTTACAACTTTTAAATTTTATAAATTTTTCATCATTAAATAATAAAACATAACCATCATTTTGTAAATTAATTTCTTGTATAATACCATTTGATAAATCAGAAAGATTTAAATGAGAATAATTTTCATTTAATTCAGATGATGAAATGATTTGAATTTCTGCATCACATTTAACTTTTCTTAATCTACATGAATCACATGAAGGACCTAATCTTTGTCTTCTCTTAGGTTGTATACTATTACTGCTATTACAACCAGATGTACTTGTGCTTGTGCTTGTTGTGGATGATGATTTGATAGATTTTGATTTTATTATAGGAGATGACTTTGATTGTGGATGTTCTTTATGAATCAATTCAGGAGTATTTGGAGTTGAAAATGAAGATACTGAAGATGACCTACTTGTTAAAGAAGGTGGAGGAGATGATAATGTTTTTTTATTTGATTGTTTAGTCAAGATTTGTTTAGCTTGTTGTTGTTCATCAAATAATACAGCAGAACTTAATAAACCTAATCCATGACTATTTCTAGTAGTTTCAAATTTTGATAAATTAGATTCAGTTAATGAATATGTTTTTGAAATACCCGGAGGTGTAACCAAACCAGTTGGCAATTGATTTTGTGATTGTGATTGTGATTGTGATTGTTGTTGTTGGTAGTTGTTATAATGATTATAGTTGTTGTAGGAATGGGATGGAGGAGGTGTGAGTGGAGGTAATAAAGGTTGAGTAGATATTATAGTAGATATTGGCGGCAATATTGTAGGTGTATTATTATTAGATGTATGTGTATTACTATTATGAGTGCTATTGTGCATTATAGAATGTATTAACAAATCAGACATGATGTAATAGATAATTATATATTATACAAATGTATCCCTTATGAAAGATAATGAAATGGGAATAGGATTGATAAATGAAAAGAAAAGAATAAAAACCATAAAAAAAACATTTTGCCATAAAAAAGGGAAATCTGAAATGATATTTATATTCGTGCAATACATGAGGTGAAGTAAAGTAAGAAGTGAATGAATTTTTTTCACAAGGTTTATTTTAGGAAAAGTCACACTATTCCGATTTTTGCCAATTTTGCAACACTTTCTCATTTGACCTCTGACCTTTGACCTTTGAGGGGAAAATGTCGCAATGAATCATCTTATGGCAAACAAACAAAAAAGAAAAAAAAAAGAAATTTTCTCCCATCCATCGGAGTACGACATTCTCTTTCTTTCTCTCTTTCTCTCTTTTTTTACATTTGCTACTCCTCTTTTCAAAGAAATGTTAATATCTTTTTACATTGATTATTTGTTTTCTATTCAATCCCCTCCTCCTCCTCCTCTTTGAGTTGAGATATGTAACATTTTGTAAAGTTATTAGATTTTAAAGCTTTCTTGGTTTGTTTGTCTTTTTTAACTATTTGTTTTCACACGGTGGTGAATCTTCCTTCTCCCCTCTTTTATTCAAACTGATAAAGAGAGTCAAACTGAAGAGAGACAAAAGAATAATAATAGTACGACATTTTGTCTACCTTCGGAGTTTCTTATTTTTATTATTTCACAAACACCTCGGATAATTAGAACCTTAAAAGAAAATTCATTCCGACTTCTTCCATTTAATTACACAAAATACACAAACCTATTCCCGCAGGCAAGTAGCAGGACGACAGGGCGACTCATTCTAGTCCGAGCGGTTTTATGTCTTTGGTGGACAGAGGGTACACACCTACCATCTCATGATGATTCATTCTGCTTACCAAAATTTAAAAATTAAAAATAAAAAGAAAAAGAACAAATCAAAATTTGATGCCGAATGAATACATGGGGTGGTATTAAAGTTTTATACGATACAACAGAATGTGAACAGTGATTCAATTCAACCCACTACAAATACTAATAAAAAAAAAGAGATCATTCATAAAGTACAGTAATAATCTACATGATAGATAAAGATAAAATGGTTTCGGCTCCGTTTTAAAAAAAAAATTGTTTTCTTCCTTTGATTCGATTCGTTTTTTTTTTATTTTATTTCCTAAGAAGTATAAACTAAAATTTCTTCGCCTGTTAATGTGTCTTTACTCCGATAGGACCCATTAATTATTGGTTGATTTTCCTCTCTCTCTCTTTTTTATGTGGCTGTTGTTATTATTGGTTTGGATATGATAAAGTATATGAACCATGGTAAAATCGTTACATTTTTCCAAACCCATCTCCGATTTAAGCATAAGAAACGTTTGAGTGGTTTTCTTGTATGTTTATAGGTTGATTCATGTGAATCCTATTCCACCCCTCTTCTACATTCTATAGCACATTAAGCCCATAGCCTCACCCATGTGTATACAATACTTCATTTCGTAAACAAGTCCGATGATTGTCACATTTCCTAATTGGTTAGTTATCTCCTACACAACAGATGAACAAATCTCTTGTTTCCGTGGCTCTCTATTCTTGCTCTTGCTCTTGCTCTTGCTCATATCTCCTCCCCCCCTCCTTCAAAATCAGCAACATCCGTAGTCAATCATCTCCATTGTCTTCTTCTTCCAACAATCACATACTCCTCATCTGATTCAAAAACTGAAATCTTTTTTTTTTTTTAAAACACAAATTCCATTTATTGAAATTCCACAAAAATTAATTAAAATGTGTCTATCGGAGTTTTCCTTAGTTTGTCTTCTTCTTCTTCTTCTTCTTGTGCCACTACGACATACCCCATCATACATGCTCGTTACCAAAAAGAGAAAATCCCCTTTGATCCGAAGATGACTCCTCTTCCTCTTCCTCCTCCATCTCTCAATTCTCGTGAGACATCAATATTATCCAATGTACGCAAAATTTTAATGGGATAAACTTAGCGAGGTTTCATTTAATTAACATAAAGTATTATTTGATTACTTAAACCCCGATTGGTTAAAAACTAATTCTAAATCACATTCATTCATTCATTTACATATACACACGGCATAGATTGCATACACTAATCTCTCATCTTGTTGTAATTCCTATATAACCCATCCTCGGACTCCGAGATAACATTCCTTCTGATTTAACAATTTTACTCATTAAAAATATATCTTTGTTAAGTCGTTTATACTTTTCAATCGATCATTACCGTTCATCCATCTATTAACCAACTAAATGAAACCTCTGCCGTGGATTATTTGTCGTCTAAAAAATTTCGGATCTCCCCTTATTGCATAACTGATACAATTTTTTTCTTTTTACCTCCTCGGAGTTTTTTTTTCTCTCTCTCTATAAACCTTAGTTCAGTTCAGTTTCTAATGGTAATTGATTATTCTTACTAAAATATCATGTCGTATTTTATTTTACTTTACTTTGCTTAACTTCTCTCCACACATTTACATTCAGCCCGCCACAGTTATTCTCTTCTATTCAATTTTTACTTTTTGTTAGAGATTATCTGAATCACATGACTTATAGGATATACATATTCACAAATTAGGTGATACCTTCTTTCTGTACAGATTAGCCCATTTTCTAGTTTTGCAGAAATCATTTGATAATTTTTTCATGATGATGATGATGATGATGAATTCCGTAAAAAGAGATTCACGTGAATTATCAAGAATTTCTATGTACAATCTCCGTCAAGTGGAGTTTCCACGGTATACAAGATTTACACTTTCATGTATGTATGTTTTTGGTGGGGTAATAAATTTACACCTTTGTACATTTTAACTCCTCTCTACTTTTGATATTTCCTATTTAGTCAGTATATAATACCCAATGGCATTATATTTGTGCTAATACTGGCTTATCTTTTGAATTGATATCAATACCCTTTTCATCATAATAATCAATACTTAATTTAGTCCATAATATATCCATCAACAACAATATATGAACACCACCCATAATTAAACTAATACTGTAGAAAAAATTGGCATTACCACTTCCTAAAACAATCCAAATATAATAGAAAATAGGTGATAATAACAATCCAACAATTAATGTAATTCCCGTGATATATTTAAATTTGCAATATTTGATCACTGTATCTTTGAAAATTGCCAACATTGTTAAACAAATACCCAAATCTCCCAATATTGGATATGATTTGGTGAAAGAAATCCAAATTAACCCTAATACAATGGCTAACAATCCATCTCCTTGTCCATTTGAATATTCAAATAATCTTAAAGTAATTGGAATAATGAAGATAAATCCATATAAATTGAATACAATCGTATAGAAAAGATTGTAATTTTCAAACATTTCTGTGAATAAATACCACCATAATCCTAAATTTGGTTTAATATTTTTAAACATAATATTAGTCAAATAAACATTATCCAAGAATTTCCAACTTGCTGTAACAATAAATGAAGTCATTATTAATAAACATGAACAAATAAAGAAAATCCCAAATCCTTCAACATATACTTGATGAGTTTGATAATTTTTATTTGAAGATTTCTTAATGATATGTGAAAAGGATATAAAACAAGGAAGTAAATATAAATAATTTATAGATAAATAACTTGCTATACTTAAAGAAATCATAGCTCTTGGGATATTCTCAAATTTGATAATTTGTAAAATACTTTCAATGATAAAAATCCATGAGATTATCAAAGTTGAATGACTTAAATTGGTTAATATAATCAATGGATTAAATAAATAAAAACATGCAATCAAATAATCATCAAATCCTTTAATTTCATTCTTTCCCTTGGATCTTTTAGATTGATATTCATTATACCATTTATTAATATGAATCAATTTCAAAGTTATAATTAAATCAACAATAGTGAAAAATAAATTAAACCAAATTTGGTTGAATTTTGTATTCCCAGGTATACAATTTATAAAATTCAATAATATGACTAATAATGGAGGATGATTATTTATACCTCCATCATATAAATTTATATTATGATTAAAATAATAAAATGATTCTTGTAAAGATTTAAAACTTGAAATAGGTGTGGAGAATTCAACTGATGAATCTAATTTGGTAATGATTTGTGGAAATAATGTAGGTAATATAAAACGAATCAATCCTCCAATAATCAACACATTTGTTAGTTTCGACATGGTTACACTGTTGGTTGGGCTATTGGTTGTGATTGTTGATTTCTTGTTGATTCGTGTTGTTAAAAAAAAAAAACTTTGAATTTCTTTCTCTTTTGTTGGTGAAAAAAAAAATGCACGAATACACGAAATTTACTACTCCCATCATCATCATCATCAAACCAACTATCAAACCAACTATCAAACCAACTATCCGATATAAATGTCAAACGTATGTATTATCTTTATTGGCGACTTAGTTGATATTCAGAATACTAACATTTTTTTTTTTTGTATTTTTAGTTTCAACCAATAAATCCAAAACCATTTTTGAAATCATTAATAGGTAAACAAATCATAGTTCGATTAAAATGGAATAAAACTGAATATAAAGGGATCCTTTTATCTATTGATAATTATATGAATTTACAATTAAATGAAACTTATGAAATAACCAAAGAGGATGGTGAAGTAAAAGAAGAATTAATTGGAGAAATATTTATTAGATGTAATAATGTTTTATTCATTAGAGAAGCTAGTGAGAAGCAAAGTGATGAGAATCAAACTCAACAATTAGAAAAGAAAAATGATGAATATGTTATAGAGGAAACTAAAGAAGAAGAAGAGGTTACAGAAGTAGTAATGGAAGAAACTGAAAGTTGATGAGTAAGAAAAAGAATAACCAAGTAGTAATGATAGTGTATATTGGTGTAAATGAGGTCTTTCTGACCCCACCCTCTAGTATATGAATCGTATAATTATGTATTATTAATAACACCATCTTTGTAATGACAGTATATTCCATTGTATAGTTGTATCTGAAAGTGAACAAGTTCTCAGACTCTGATATCTCCACTCGCAATGACTCGACTGAAAAATTTCAAATCGTGGACAAAAAAAAAATCAACATCAACAACAACATCAACAGCATCAACAACGACCAGCCAATATCAACGGGCAGAACAAACCACAAGAATGTCAGCAGAACCAGAAGTAGCACCATATGGAGGATTTATGGTTAAATCGTTAGAAGAAGAGACAAAACAACTCAATGATTTAACTAATCATCAATATGAAATAACAACATTAGAAGGTAAAACAGAAACAATACGTCCAGAATCTTTAAAAATCATTGGTGTTGATAATCTATCAACTAAAAATATTGAAAATTATATTAATTATTATATAAATTATAATCAAATTGAATATGAAGAAGTTGATTTAATAACTAATGAATTAATAAAAGGGAAAAAATTTCAATTAAAAGAAAATCAAGATTGTATTGATTTTAAAATTGAATGGATTAATGATGAATCAGTAAATGTTACATTTAGAAATATTCAAGATTCAAATAAAGTATTAAAAGAATTAAGAATTGAAGAATTAAAAGGATCTTTTGAAGATGAAATTACAAGAGATGAATATTTAAAAAATTGTATTATTGAAACTCCTGCTAAATCATATAATCCAATAATTGAATTTGAAAAAATTCAAAATTTAAATGGTTCAAATGAAACTAAACAAGAAGGAGTTGATATGGAAGAAGATGAAAGTTCTATTGAATTAATAATTAGACAATCTTTTCAATCTGATAGAAAGGTTAAAAATGCAAGAGAATATTCTCGATATTATTTAATTCATGGTGAACCTGAAAGAACTAAACATCATCATCATCGCCATCATCAAAATGGTAGAAGATCTTATCGAGAAAGAGATAGTTATAGACCAAGAAGAAATAACGATGATGATGATGATGAGGAAGATTTGTTTGCTGACAAATTAGGTAAAACCAATCCGACTAACCGTCACAACAATCATGTTGATGAAGAAGAGGATTTATTTGCTGATAAATTAAAACATGCAAATAGAGATAGATCTCCAACTAGATAAATATACATACAATGTCAATTAATTTCTAATTACCTTCTTGACCAAAATCTTCAGTAAATTTAACATGATTGGCAATATCTGCATCATTAACAGTAGGTCTATTATTTTTAATGGCTTTAATGAAATCTTTAATAGTTAAAGGTGGTTCCTTTAATTCATCAGTACCAATATCAATCCAATTCATTTCTTTAGCACCTTCATCACCAGGAGAACAAGGTGTTAATTTTTCTTTACCATCATTTTCATCAATTACACTTTTAAAATGAGTAGCTTGTTGGATTTTTCTAATTGGTTGCATCAAAGCATCTCTAACAACAACGGCAACATCATGACCAGAATATCCATCTGTCATTTCTGCCAATGTTCTATAATCTGAATTTGTACATTCACATGGAACTTCACCAATATTAATTTCAAACATTCTTGTTCTTGCTTCAACATCAGGTAATGGAATATAAATTCTTCTTTCAAATCTTCTTCTTATAGCTGCATCTAATTGCCATGGAATATTAGTTGCCCCCAATACTAAAACACCTTGACTATCATTTCCAACCCCATTCATTTGTACCAACAATTCAGTTTTAATTCTTCTACTTGCTTCACTTTCTCCTTCACCTCTAGGTCCACATAATGCATCAACTTCATCTATAAATATAATTGAAGGTTTATTTTCTCTCGCCATTGTAAACAATTGTTTAACTAATCTTTCACTTTCCCCCATCCATTTACTAACTAAATCACTTGAAGAAACACTAAAAAATGTCAGATTAGCCTCTGTTGCCACCGCTTTAGCTAAATAAGATTTACCTGTCCCTGGTGGTCCATATAATAATATACCTGAAGTTGGTTTTCTATTTCCAACAAATAATTGAGGAAATTTAACTGGTAATATAACTGCTTCTTTTAATGCTTCTTTAGCCCCTTCTAATCCTGCAATATCATCCCATTTAACATTTGGTTTCTCACTTAAAATAGCACCTGCTAATGCTCCTCTTAGTTTTTTAGTATCTTCTCCTTCTTCATCATTTCCTTCAGATCCTTGTTTTTTACTTTTTGTTGATCCATTTACACTTCCTTCTGCTGTATTACTCTTATTTTGTTTTTCTAAATGATCTTTTAATTGTTCAGCTCGTGTCAAATATTCAGTGAATTTACTTTTAATCAACTCTTTAGATTTACTATTCTTTTCATATTTAATAGCCAACATTAAATAATCTAATCCATTATAATACAACTTATATGCTTCTTCATATCGTGTGGCTGTATCTGCATCGATAGCCTTCTGGACTAATTCTATCCCTTTACTTAAAAAATCAGATGACATTGCAAAATAAAAAAATAATCTATAATGCTTGTTTGTTATTGGTGGTGGTGGTGATGATAGTCGGATCTATTGAATGGCGATTTTTGTTGAACCTTTTTGGCGATAATGGACGAAAACTGAAAGAATCTCGGGAAATCCAAAAATCCAAAAATCCAAAAATCCGAAAAAAAAGAGAGAACAGCGGTCGTGTGAATATGCACAAATAATTAATCAATCAGGGCGTGTACACTGATCAAGAAAATGGTTGATTCATGGTCTCGAGCTACCACATTATAGTGGATGATTAAATTGACAGAAGATGGGGGGTTATGATAAATGTTGTAATAAACAGGATGAGTATTGGTCTTCTGATTTAACCATTGGGTTAAATTTTTTTTTTTTTTTTTGGTCTTTCAAAACCAATGATGTGTGATTTATTTGCAGTCGGACGTGGATTTTGACACAATAAATGCAACCTCAATATCGACATCAACCATTCTATACCATTATATACCATCATAGATCATCAAGACTCAGTAGTCTTTCTCCAGAAAAATAATTACCCATCGAGTTGACTATTATTTGTGAGCTTATTGAACCAACAAGGAAAATGGCATTTGTGCTTAATATCCTATGACTTTGTATCACCGGAAAGTGTTTCACCTATTCCGATACTAAAAAAAAAGCAAATATAAATCTGCATAACATATGCCGCCTGGATAAAACTCGTGTATAACATGATTGTGTATACCTAGCAATGTACGATGGGGCTCAATTAATTCCTTCCGGTTATTTTTCTAAAAGGATTTATATGTCCAAATATATCCGTATTTGAAAATTTTTCTTGCATTCTTCTTGTTTTAAGATTGGTATAATTGCAATATAAAAAAACCCACAGCATGATACCTTCACAACAAAGTCTACCTATCTCAGATACAGATTCGTTAAGTTCTGAAATTTCACCAAGAGATCCTCAACCGTTAAATCAAATCAATTCCTATAATATTCAGCATAATAATATCAATCGTACAACTACAGGAAATTCAAGTCTAAGTACATCATCTTCAAGATTATCAAGACAATCATCTAATTTTTCAGAATTATCGAGAATAATAACTGGTATAAAAGATGATCAACAATTAATTGGAAATTTAAGATATACTAAAAGTACAGAGCCAGATTACATATTGGCAAATGAATTAGATAGAGTAGCTTCGAGAATAACATCCAGAAGGCAATCAATATCCCTTGATACTCCTCATCCACAACCATCATCTTCATCAATAACGTCAGGTGATGTGATACGAAAAAGAAGGAATAAGCAATCAAAAAGAAGGCCGAGTGAAATAGAGGATATACTGGAAGATAGAGATCATGAAGTAGATGGAGAAAAGCCAGCACAACCACCACAACCACCTCCAACATCATCATCACCATCACAAACATCACATATAGAACCAGAAGAATCAGTAGAAGACGAAAAAGAATCAGAAGGAAAATACAAGGCAGATGGACTAATGGCTTGGATAACTGCAATATGTGCCATGATGAATATATTTGCAACATGGGGAGGTAATGCAGCATTTGGAGTTTTCCTCAACTTCTATCTTAGTAATGATACATTTCGGGGGGCCACTAAATATGATTATGCATTAGTTGGAGGAATAATTGTCTTTTTAGCAAATGTTTTATCACCAATAAGTGCTTTATTATATAAAATATTTGGATTTAGAACCATTTGTCTCATTGGAGTTGTTTTTCAAACTGCTGGTTGGATATTAGCTTCTGTTTCAACTAAATTATGGCAAATTTACTTAACTCAAGGGGTATTAGTTGGGGTTTCATTTCTGTTGATTTTCATACCTTCAACATTAGTAGTTCCTACTTGGTTTATTAAACAAAAAGCAGCATCAATGGGGTTAACAATGTCAGGTACTGGATTAGGTGGATTGGTGTTTTCATTAAGTGTGAATAAAGTAATCCAAGATACGGGAGATCAAAAATGGGCATTAAGAATGGTTGGATTAGTGGCATTATTTTTAGTATTAACAAGTGCAACAATTATGAAACCAAGAAATTATAAACAGCCTCCTTTGAAAACAACATTAACTAAAGAATTTATAATTGAAAATGCTAAAGTTATATTTGATTTAAAAGTTGTTAAAAATCAAGGGGTTTGTATTATTGCTCTTTGGTTTACTTTAGTTATTATTGGTTATACATTGATGATGTTTTCCCTATCTTCATACGCCACAGCAGTTGGACTTTCCCATTCCCAAGCCTCAACACTTACAGCTATAATGAATGCTGCACAAACAGTAGGACGTCCATGTATGGGATTCCTGGCCGATTATGTTGGAAGAGCAAATTTCGCAACTATTGGAAGTTTAGTCATTTCAATTTTGTTATATGCATATTGGATAAATGCAGATACATTTGGTTCTTTAATTGGATTTGCAATTTGTATTGGATTGGTAATTGGTCTTGGGGCATCTTTAGTACAACCATTGATTGCTGATGTAATTAGTCCTGATTTAGAACAAATGCCAGCTGCTTGGTCAGCAATTAATATTTTCATGTCATTTTTCAGTCTTGTTACTGAAGTTATTGCTCTTGCTTTGGTTGTTGAAGGTTCAAAAAATCCATATTTACATACACAAATATTTGCTGGTACCTGTTATATTGCTTGTTTCTTAATTGTTTTAACTTTAAGAGAATTTCTAATTAGGAAATCATTACATGAAAGATTGAACATTATGGAAATTAAATTGGCCAGGTTTACCGGTACTACTAAAAGTGGATATTTAAAATTAGAAGATCATTGTGATCCAGAAGAAGATCTAAATTCTGAAGACGAGGCTTTATTAAGAGAAAGAGTTGCTAGATATCACTATTTATTAAGAGGGAATGTTCATAGCTATTTTATACGAATGTTCTATCCCGTTAGAATATAAATTATCTGGGCTACCACTCAGCTATGGAAAGAAACTGCACATAAATTAATGAGCGGGATTTTATTTACTAACTCCGATCAATCCCTTAGCACATGAAAAGAATAACAAAAAAAGAAAATCTCTGCATTGACCAAAGAATGCAAAACCTCAAATGGTATCATAACCAACAGGTCGGATCACTCGTCATGGTTGGAATTCAAGCTATACTGCAAAAGAATCCACTAGAAATGTATTGTTTAGTCATAATCGGTCATCAATTGGACATTTGTTTGAGAGAATGTGTCATAATATAATTATTACAATTCCTAATTCCGTTCATTGTGAATCAATTGTTTAAGCCTTCTTTCATTTCATACCCAACAAATACCGGAGCAGGGGGATTATAATTTTCTACTTCAAACTTTTTAGTTCTCCCTTGGCGGGTACATGGTTCCTGCGGGTACATGATTCCTACGGCGGGAAGATTTCATATGTTTGTTTTTCGCGTGGCCACTGTCTTTGGCCAGTGATTACTCATCTTTGGGATGATTCACACGACTGTAGATTTAAATTAACCTGCAAGTGCGGCGGGCCGTTTCCTATAAATAAATATTATGTGGAGCCTTGTGATATTTAAATTGACCTTGCATTGTAATAATCGAATTTTCTTTGAGTTTTTTAGTTTTCATTAATTTTCCTTTCTTTTCTTCAATATTTTAAGGTTGACGGAGCCCACATTTTTATTCTACTGTTCTTTGTTTATTCAACGTGAAGGGAAGTAAAAGCATTTGACATAATTTTCATCCACCTGAAAACATCATAGTTTACCATGACAAACTCATCACTGTCAGAAGCAAGGATATCTACAAATAAGAGTCTATCTGATGATTCCCACCATTCTACAATAGAAGATGAAGAAGACATTATACCTTATCAAATCCAACAAATCACTACTAGATCCTCATCAGCATCAACAGCAGCCGCATCTGATAATAATTCAATATCAAGAATAAGATCAAACCAATCTGAATTATCTAGAATAATAAGTGGCATTCGTGATGATGAACAACAATTAGATCATATTACTAAATATAATACATTTGGTGAATCGGAATTTATTTTAGCAAATCAATTAGATAGAGTAGGAACTAATGTAATAGAACACCCTCAACGAAATTCAATTGATGATTTAGAATCACAACAGCCAAGCATTGGTGGCTCAAAAATATCAAGTAGAAGATCAAGTATCCATGAAAGATCAAGTGATTCTGAAGATAAAATTACAAAACAGGATGGAAATATTGACCAACAAGAAGAACAAGAAGAGCAATGTCGATATAAACCAGATGGAGGAATGGCATGGATTATGGCCTTCTGTGCTATGATGGCTATGTTTGCAACTTGGGGTGCAAATGCTGGATTTGGTGTGTTTTTAAATTATTACTTAACAAGCAATACATTTCCAGAGGCAACACGTTATGATTTTGCTTTAATTGGTGGTATTATTGTTTGTTTGGCTAATTTATTATCTCCAATAACTGCTTTAGTTTATAAAGTTTTTGGTTTTAAAATTAGTTGTTTTATTGGGATTATATTCCAAACTGCTGGTTGGATTTTAGCTTCATTTGCTACCAAATTATGGCATTTATACCTTACTCAAGGTGTACTTGTTGGTATTTCTTTCCTGTTGATTTTCATTCCTGCAACTTTGGTATTGCCTACTTGGTTTGAAAAGCAAAAAGCAGCATCTATGGGATTTTGTGTTTCTGGAGCTGGATTGGGTGGGTTAATTTTTTCATTAAGTGTTAATAAAGTAATTGAAGATACCGGCGATCAAAAATGGGCTTTAAGAATGGTTGGTATAGTTTGTTTCTTTTCAGTTTTATTTAGTGCCTTGATTATGAAACCTAGAAATTATAAAAAATTACCTTTAAAATCAACCATGACTAAGAAATTCATAGTTGAGAATTTTAAAGCTATATTTGATCCCAAGATTGTTAAAATCTCCGGAGTTTGTATAATTTCCATTTGGTTTGCCATTGCACTTTTAGGATATACCTTGATGTTATTTTCATTATCTTCTTATGCCAGTTCAGTTGGCCTTTCTCATTCGCAAGCATCAGTATTAACTGCCGTTATGAATGCAGCTCAAATTGTTGGACGTCCATGTATGGGGTTAACTGCTGATTCAATAGGTAGGGCTAATTTTGCAAGTTGTGCAAGTTTATTAATTTCAATTTTGTTGTACGCATTTTGGATAAATGCAACTTCATATGGCTCATTAATTGCATTTGCATGTATAATTGGTTTAATCATTGGTGTTGGTTCTTCATTAGCTCAACCATTAGCTGCTGATGTAATTCATCCTCATATGGATAAAATGCCAGCTGCTTGGTCAGCTATTAATATTTTTGTCTCACCATTTTGTCTTGTTTCTGAAGTTATTGCACTTTCATTGGTCACTAATCATTCAAGTAGACCTTATTTGCATACGCAAATATTTGCTGGAACTTGCTTTTTTGCATGCTTTTTAATAATGTTGACATTAAGAGAATATTTGATTAGAAAATTCATAAAGGAAAGATTGGAGTTGATGCAAATTAAGTTGACAAATATTTCTGGTACTACCAAAAGCGGATACTTGAAATCAGATGCCAAAACTGAAAGCGATGATTCCGATGAAGGTGATAACGCCGAAGAAGAATCTATTTTAAAAGCAAGAGTTGAAAGATATAATTATTTATTAAGAGGGTCGGTCAAGAATTATTTTGTCCGTATGTTATATCCAGTTAGAATATAGATCATTAATGAATATAAAAGCATTTATTTATTTATTTTTTAGACTGAAGTTGTTTCTCACTGGTAGCAATCATTTTTTGCACAAGTAGACCAATAATGTAGTTGTCTGATTCTATTAGATCAAGTAGGTTACTCAAGATATAACTAGATTTTATCCTTTACAGATTTTAATATAAAATACTTATTAAATTTATGGATTTATATTTATTTTCATGCTTTTTTTGTTGAACTAAAATTACACAGAGAAAGTTATAAACAAGTCAAATCAATGAAAAGAATACACCAATAGGGAGATAAATTTAATTAGTTTAAACCCGTAATATATATATTAAGTGGATGGTTTTAACATTTTGTAAAAAATATGTATAAACGTAATAATGACAAAATATTCCCAAAAGTAAAATCTTCTTTGATCTTTCTTATTCTCTTTCTCTTTTCGACATTTGAATTTCTCTTTAATTTCATTCTTTTTGTTTCCTTAACGGTTAGATTTGGCAACTCTTTCCAATTCATCCTTCTTCTTAATAGCATAAGAAGTAGAAGAACCTTTAGCAGCGTTGATCAATTCTTCAGCCAAACATTCAGCAATAGTTTTAATGTTTCTGAAAGAAGCTTCTCTGGCACCAATGGTCAACAAAGCAATAGCTTGGTTAACTCTTCTTAATGGAGAAACATCAACAGCTTGTCTTCTAACAGTACCAGAAGAACCAATTCTGGTGGAATCTTCTCTAGCACCAGAGTTGACAATAGCATCAACAACAACTTGGATTGGGTTTTGTTCAGTTAAAACGTAAATGATTTCCAAAGCGTGTTTAACGATTCTGACAGCCTTCAATTTTTTACCGTTGTTTCTACCGTTCATCATCAAAGAGTTGGTCAATCTTTCAACGATTGGGCATTGAGCCTTTCTGAATCTTTTGGTGGCGTATTTACCAGCAGTGTGGGAAACAAAGACTGGGTTTCTGATTTGAATGTAATCAACCAAAGAAACATCTTTAACTTCAACATCTTCGTAAGACCATTTGTTGAATAATTTAACTTCTCTTTGAGCTTCTTGAACATCCAATGGGATGGCAGTAGC